CGTGACATGATGATTTTCGATATGGGATCACTTTTGAAGTCGTTTACTGAGAATGAGTATATCGAACAGAAAAAAAGGAATGGATAACCAGGTCAAACGCCCTATTTAACTTCAAAAATTTTTTCGCTTGGTTGCCTGGCTGGCCCGCTTGGTCACTCGATCGCTCACCCATTTGCTCATCCTGCTCACCCCGCTCACCCACGCTCTTGACAACATCACCCAAATCACCCGCACTCACCCTTCGTCTTAGCGTTGCTCACCCATAAAGCAGCGACTGAGAAAGGGCTCATATTCCACTCGGCCGCGTTCAATAGGTGGCTTAAGTACGGCTGAGCGGACGGGAAGCCCTGTTTTCCACACCCTGTGGTCGTATGTGTTAGACGTGTGCTTTGTAGCGTATATGACCTCTTTCATTTTGAATCTCCTCTGTCTCTCTCTATATATCACGTGCGCACAGCATTTAGGATGCAGATGATGGTGGTGACTAGCAGCGGGTAGGATGAGGCTTAGTATCGTGTAAACGCAGCGTCCTGTCTCAATGTCCGAGACTTGAATTTCGCCATACGACGCCAACACAATGAACTTTCCATCTTCCGAAATATCCAGCGGTTGGCTGTTACCTTTCAATTTAGCCTTCGGATGCACCGGCACGGTCAAAGTTGGAATAACACCACCGGTAGTCGAAATTCGAACTTGGAGGTCTTTGATATTGAAGATCACTGCCGAGGTGGTTCCATCTTTGGAAAAGGAAAAGCTTTTCAAGGAGGGCTGGTCGTTTATGTGCTGTCTGAGAAAGCACCGGCGTTTGCAGGTATCCCATACTTGAATAGATCCACCCCATGACGTTGAAGCCAGGATGGACGAGCTTTTCGAAACCACATAGGTCACGAGCCCATCGCAAGCCAGCTGCTGGCTACAAACGCCAGATGAAACGTCCCAAACTCGCATTATCTGTCCATCGACCATAATGACCAACGGGCCTCCTGAATCTGGCCATGCGATTGCCTCAAGTATGCCATTTTAATGTGGTATGATCGACTCTTACAAGCACTGCCCAGTCAAGGTTCACGTTGCTGGATGTGATAACCACCACTTCAATCGTCCTCAGGCACGACCACCAGTCTTTGTTCTTCTCCTAGGCACCCAAGATCACGAGGGGAATCTGGCAGGTCAAATGTCTGCAGCAACTCTCCGGTCGCGGAGTCCCATATCGTTGCTATTCCACCCGTCTCTTGCCTTCAAGATGATGCTAAGAGCTTGATTTATCTCCCATAACCGAACTAAGACTATTATCAACAACTCAGTTCCTTGGTATTATATGCTATTTCTAGACAGGCACCGTTTCCTGAACTGAGCCCGGTCGGATCTGCCCCCTGAAGCTCAGGATTTCCGGCCCTAGCTTCATCGGATTGACAGGGTACAGGAGTCTGTCTTTCTGGGCACGTTAGCGCTATTTGAGACGTTTGCATGCAAGACGCCTATCTCGACGCGTTGGCACAAGGCACACCAATACACAGCCGCCGAGGCGATCCAATTCATTCTGACTTCGACCGGACGATTTTCTCCACTTCTACATACTATTTGCCGAAGCGAGTTTAACCTCGTACTCTGTGCCTTCAAGAACAGCAAGAGACCAGCAGCAACAGCAAGATGGAAGGATGACACCTGCGAGAAGCTTAGGAACCAGACAGTCATGGACTGCAAATAGAAAATTGTCGCTTCGTAGGGTTATTCGGAGGCATCAACTCCTCTACCAAGCGCATCCGGGTTTCACTACCAGTAGGTCACAGCCACACAGAGGGTCATGTGATCAAGTGCGAAGCTATTGACCCCGCACTGACAAAAACAAGCTGGTGAGATAGCATGCTAGAGCTATTGTTCGTGTCCCACATATTCCATCTCTCCTAATGCATGGTGTCTCATGCCATTCCGAGCAATGGCACTTCCACTTTTCATCCCTCCATGCATCCGCACTCCTCGCGGCCAGTATCACCTCCCACCGCCCGATAAGCCGCTGAGAGTTCAGATCGAAGGTCCACTTGTCGCTATAAAAAAACTGCTACCACATATCTCGTGGTGCCTCAGTCTTCAGAACCGGACTTTTCCCCAGCCAGCAGGTCCCGAGCTAGCCCGACTGACGTACCGGGCGGTATACGGACAAGATGTCAGTTCGGAAGTTTCCGGTGATCTGGTGGTTCGGGATGAATCCTTGGGCTGGATGCCCCAGAGGCGCCCCGAAGAAGAGTAAGGTCTCCTTCATCTGTACTTCGAAACGTAGAATGGCTTCCGCGATACTGAATCACTGTTTGCCATTTACCTGACCAGACTCATTGACTACGACGGTGTTACATTCGACCATCTGGTCCCAGCTGAGGACACCGACCCGGAAGTCATGCAAATCAACATCATCGAGATTGAGGATGATAAAGGGGTGTACGCGAATAAATGGCTTGCATTCGAAGTGGACCCAAGTGAGTATATTGGAAAGAAAGTCCTCGCTGTGCCCCGCTGTTGCCAGAAGAGAAAGGGAACACAGGATCGCTGGCGAGTGAATGCACTCGTAGATCAGAGAATGCATGGCCGGGAGCACTTAGAAGAGCAGAAGGCCTGGGAAGCTGTAAGGCATCCTTTTGCGATGTTTACTATATTGTGCGCTTTGCTGAACCGATCAAGAGACACAAATTGCACCCCGAGTTTGAAGGTGTAAACGATTTTTTGAAACCATCCGCGGCATAGCTCATCTGCGATCTTCCTAATCTCGATGCTTTGAATTTGAAAGCGCATTGTTAAAGTCTTTTATGGATGATAGATTATAGATAAGAGCAAATTGTGAGTTCGAAACGAAGTAGACGACTCTATGCAGTATGAATATCATAAGCTAATAGTGCGCTCCCTTGGTAATCAATCTTGTCAAATTAATCCTCTAACATTAAACCAAAAGATAGAAACAATCTTATGGTTTACACTAAACTTCTGAAGCAAAATCTGCAACAAAAGAATATTTTCGGTGAAAAGTACGGCTAAGGATAATAGTAGAAATCAAAATTAAACAGAAAGATCAAGCAAGAAAGATTGAATAGTGTATATAACATTTTATATATAAATTCAGATATAAAATTATAGAGCCATTTTTAAAGGATCGTCAGCATCTGATCCTGACTCTTAGACTTCTTCGCCAGCAGGAGAATAATCTCATCCTTCTCGTAGACCTCCATTCCATAGGAAAGCTTCACGAGCCGCTCGCCCCAGTCTCTTTTCCAACGGCTTATCCAAAGTCTACGATCAGATCGTCTTCCTCGGGATAATCGCCAGGCAGAGGGGTGGTTACCGCTATCTGCGTCTTTGCTACTGAGACGTACTGGCCCCAGAGACTCGAGGACTTTGTTTGACTCTGAAATTTGCTGATCAGTGGCCAGGCGTTCCTCTGTAGCCGACAACTTATCGGTGGTATGAAAGGTCGTGGAGATATTCGCATGTCATACTTTGTTCATGTGGCCGGACGCCTGGGCAACTCAGTCGATGTCATTGCATTGTGTTCTCGGTGATATCGGCAGAGCTGTGTTGTTTATACCGCCTAGCGGTGTTTCTTCTTTTCAAACTTCGTGATATTTGATGGAATCTCTGATTTTTGTGCACTCATCCGCCAGGACCTAGTCATACTCGTAGAGCACATTGTGTACTCATCCTCCAGGACCTGGTCATATTTGAAGGGCACTTCCGCAGGGTCTTCGCCGCACGACAACCCTTCCACAGTCCCAAAATGAATCACGTTCTGTGTGATTCAAGATGGGAATGGAGGTGCATATCTTGTCGCCTTGTCCCTCGGCAAGACCCTGAGAGAAGCTCATCCAGCTGAAATCATTTCCCAGTTTCAGAAGGCAATGCTTCTTCTGCAGTCGTCCTAGGCCTGAGGTTTTCAAAGGTCTGACCCGCAGATTCTCTACCACGTAATGAGTCAGATTTCTGTTTGTCCCGACAACGGAATTGCGGCATACCTTTCGTCGCTCGGCAAACTCCGTGTAAAAGCCCAGCCAGAGGTCACGGGCGCGGCAGTCCAAAGTACTCGCCGTCGTGTCAACGCTGCAGGCCGGCTGTGCCTTCTCGAATACCTTCCTTGGGGTCTTGAGCCAGGGCTTAGCAACCTGCGAGTCGGAATACTTCACGTATCTCGCTTCTTGTAGAACTGATTCGGGATCCCAAGTGGCGTGACGGCTTCCCAGGTACGCTGCATGGTTTGTGGAACGAAACTCCTCGGTACAAACGATGTACGGGCGGTGGGGTAAGACGATGGCGGTTTCACCGTACAGGCTGTTGAGGACCTCGGCTTCCCCATCGGCGCGTGCGAAGTGCTGAACAGCGGCCGACACTCGGCTGAATTCGGTCTCCGACGGTTGGATCAGGACGAGTGAAGATGTCCGTGGGCGAAGACTGGAACCGAGCCAGTATGCCCGTGGCATGGCGATTGGAGAGTCTTCGAGCAAGAACAGTTCGTCCATCTCCTGTCGCGCTGTGCGTTAGAAAGAGAGACACGAATGTTGCGAGGAAAGAATGGATCATGCCTGCAATATCATTGCGTCCGAGTCGAGACTAAGCACACGATTGTATTGGGTCAGGTTGAACGCTAGCAGCTTTGTATAGCTTTCTTCCCACGACACTGTCAATGTAATCAATTCCCTGGTCACCATATAGGTTGTCATCGTATGTAACCAGGATGGTTGCTTGACGTGACATCGCAGAAGATGAGCTTACCAACGCCGTGTTGTTGATCTTGTTCTCTAATTGGCATTAGGTTGACGTTATACTCGGTTTGCGCTTTACGCAACAATCTGCCCTCGATAGATTTGTCCTCGGAGTCGAAGTCCGATGGATACAAGAGTACTTTGTCAGCCTGACTCCCTAGCTGATGCAGGGACTCAAAGGCCATGACGGCATTGCAGAGATAAACCACATTGTGGGCACTCAAGACATAGGCGTACTTTGACCAGTCTATATCCGGCAAAGAATCCGATGGAGGGGAGCGTAGAAGACACATCCATCCGAGTAGCAAAAGCACGGCGAGGCGAAGATCAAGCCATAAGACGTATCGAGCAAACCGAATGACATATCTAGCAATCCTCGAGTTGGATTGCATAATGATGTGTTGGATTCTTATTCTGTCTTTGCTCTTGGATCGTGAGAAAGGTAGGCTTGAAGGAGGAAAGGAGGACCTTATATGACTTTTGGGGAACTGACGGTAGCCTTCATTGAAGAAAAGAGTTCCGCAGGCGCGGCAAACAAAGACAGACAACATTCCGCGGAGCCCTCCGTCCTGGCTACTGACCTTAAGGTAAATCTCATCAGATTCTTTGTTCTCGCCAAATAGCATTTAGCGCGCCATGGTACACTGTTTCTTTGTTGCAACACACACTGAACTAGGTACAACTTGTCAGAGACAAGCTTAGCGGATATCTTCTTTAATTCTGCTATGTTCGCGTGCTCTTGCGATTGTCTGGAAAACGTTACAAGTAGAGTAAAACTACTAAATTTTTGTTGGTATCTAGGCCATAAAAGAGAGTCCGAGTTCGTGCTCACTTGTCGGTTCCCTCCATCTCTTTCCCGCCCAGTGACTTCACATAGGTTCTTCTAGACACTGATACTAGGTAGCTTGAAGGTCCAATCTGAACTTTGTAGTTGGTCTAGTCGCCCAGGGTTGCTCACCCGCCATATGACTCCTTCCATGTATGTCTGTAGCTACCATCGATTCTACGTAACCAGCTATTTCGGCCTTCCCTGCACGCCCTTCTCATTCCTCAGGAGGCATGCTCTAGTAGCATCGAATGATGTACTTCTACCAAAGCTGGCCCCAATAGGGGTCCGTACCTTATTCCGAACTCAGCAACTTCCCTGGCAGAATTAGCAACTCTTTCTGGGGGAAAGTATGATAAAGTTTTCTACAACTTGACAACAAAATGAAAATGATCAGCCTCCAGCCACTCACTCTAGGCTTGTTAATTCTTGCCCGATCAGTGACACTCGCCCAATACACAAAAACACTTGACAGAGCGATTGCGATAATCTCGGGTCTAAGTTTGGCCGATCATACCATAGAAGCGCCAGCCTTGCCCCAGACAGCACCCACAAAAATATGCCTGCAACACGAACTCCCTCTCAAGAGTGCGTTGTAGCTGTCACTAGACGAAGATACATCTCCTCATATGAGGCCCGATCGTTCATCAACCGCTCCCCACGAAACATGTCCATCCCACTGCTCCTCCAACTTCCCTTCCTCTGCATGGCCTCCAGGGTAGCTCCAACGACCAAGCCAATCATCCTTGGTCCGAAGACGGCCTTCGCAGGACATTCATATGGAGCTCCGCCAAACGGCAGGTAAGCCTCCTTCTGAGCATCCGTCAGAGTCTTCCACCGCAGTGGATTGTACCTCAGCGCATCCAGTCCCCAGATCTCATTCGAGAGATGACATTCCTCTACGTCCGCCGCAAAAGTATCCAACTTGGTATCTCCATCTTCCTCCCATTCGAACGCACGGTAGATTCGCTTCGTAGGGGGGTATAACCGCAGTGCTTCGGCAACGAGATCCTTCGCCGAGACTTCGCTCGTCTGGCGGTCTTCGAACTGAGCTTTGGTAGGCTTCCGCATGAAAGCGATCATTGTCTCCCTCCATTTCGGACGATCGTTGCCGGCGTTAAACTGGAGTTCGAGGAGCATGCGCAGATTGATCCGCCACGCTGTTTCGAACCCAGGCAGGATCCAGCACAGTGGGTTCTTACGGGGGTCTGTTATGTCATACTCGGGGAAAATAGCCGATAAAGGTGCTTGGAGCTCGTCGTTCCGGGCAAAGTCCACGAGATTCGTTTCTGTTTTCGATGTTTGCCAGACGTCATTGATCCTGTTCGCTAACAGAACAATGTGGCTTTCGACATCTGGGATTGTATCTAGCTGCACTTTCAGAAGCGTGATTAGGATGGCTCGCAGGGAAGTGGACTGTATGAGGCTTGCAAGGTGAAGACCACGCTCTGACTTCGCGGAGATGCTGATCAGGCTGTGAGCGATGGAGCGGAGTGTTTCGGCCAATTCCACCCATTCTTCTGCTTTGAGGCTGGTGAGCTTTCTCGCCTGCTTCACAAACTGATTCGCGTATTGCTCATCAGGCGTCGTGAAGGCGTTCTCTATGCCAAAACTGACGCGAAGGCGCCCGTTCGCTCGTATGCGGGATTGCTGCTGGGAAAGGTGGTTCTTCAGGCCTTCGAAGTGCTCTGCTTTTATGAGCGTCCGGCACTCTGCTGGATTGGAAGTTCCGGTCTGTGTGGGCTTCGAGATTTGGCTCTTGAGGCGAGAACGTGATCTAGACTTGAAAGGAAGGTAGGCGAGGAATAATCCGATGAAGAGAATCAGTAGAGTTACCATGATGGGTTGGCTCGACTGTTGAGGATTCTTCTGTGGCCTTGTTGATTTGACTGCGGCATTTTGCCAAGAAAGAGGGGAAGGAAATATGTTGTGATGGGAAGAAGACGTTCTAGCGCTGACAGCGCTTAGTGTGAATTTGTTGAGACCGAATCTTTCCATCTCGGTAGGGGGGGTGTGGGATGCCACAGAAAGGTATCTCTCGAAGAGAGGATAGCCTAATTTCACGAAATGAGCTGTTGATATAGTTTTCAGGTGGTTCCATGGTAGGAGTTTAGATTGTGCGTCCATTTAGAGGGGTTTGGCTCAAAGTACATTGGTGTAGTGAATATACCTTGATGGGCTGGGCCGAAAGTCAGGCCGCAACTATAGCTTTATGATCTGCCTTTGGTCATGTATGATAAAAGTCAAAATGTGCTACAACTGCTCTAGAGGTTTAACTTATTCTTCTGGTGTTTTGGAATATATCAATTATTTTGATTGTTTTTTTGAGGTTTTTCACCTGGGACCCAGACCTTGATATTATCAGAATAACAAGGAAATGTGAGCCAGTGCTTACCGGATAGCTTCAACGGCTTTGTTTGTTTGTCAGAAAATGATTTTGTTCTGGAATCCTCATTCTGGGCTCTAGTGACCCTGATCCCCCACTAGAATATGAATTTGTTGGAGCGTAATGCCATCTTTGACTGCGACAGGATCTTCATCGTGCCCTTTTGCAGGAGCCAGTGGTATCTCTCCTGCTGGTGTCCCAAATTGTTCCTTCACGAGTGCTTTAATGGCTTTTGAATTCTTCTTCGGTCTCTCCAGGCTCTGATCGATGCTGTGTAAAGTGCTCGTGATCATGTCTTTCGATCCCCAGTACTTAGCTCGGGACGACGTATCGATGCACTCGGTAGCAGCAAACCGTGGTTCCCTTCGACAATAAGCATAATTGTTGCTTCAAAAGCTCTGGTGCACCGATCATCCACATAACTCGGACAAGCAAAGGCTTTTCACCTGGAACCCAGACCTTGACATTATCAGAATAACCAGGAAATGCGAGCCGGGTCGGGTAGCTTCAACGGTTTTCCTTGATGAAATTCTTGTGGGTAGTGTTCCTCTTCCTCAAGGCAACCATGACTGTCAATGTAGCAAACATTATGCTTATAGAACGCCTTGTATCCGGACCTTTATCCAGACGATCGACCATTCCTGGAAGACCGCCTTCACATCGCGGATCAACTGTCGCGCCAGCAAGTCTTTCGATTGCGGAAGACGATGCGAAGGCACCGACGAGACCATTGGATTTGTCTAAAGGACCAGTACATTCTGTAGATATCAAAGTTACGACTCTTCCATTCCCTCACTCGCTGACAGTTCGTCTTGATTAAGCCCCAACAGCCTGATGGTGAAGTTCTTCGTCGCAGCCACAGACATAGTGGGGTGAGTGATATCACTCGTTCTCAGGAGCTTTGTGGGCACATCCTAGTTGTAAAAGATGCACATCAAAAAATCCAAGAATCCAAACACCCCTACCAAAGAACAATCCAACACCACGCCAACCAACAGCCTTTCCAGTGCTCATGAAAGTAAGCGAACTTGGCAGTAGACTTTAGATGCCAAGATCATATAGTTCTGATGGTTCTTACCCTGTATGGGGGGGCCGTGGTCAGCCAAGACCGCCATCTCAGGGTGCCGGGCCCGGGTGGCCAGATAGCTCGATATACGTCTTTCTTCTCTCCTTCGGCCCACAAGGTGGTATTATCGAGCTTGCAAAGAGCCTCGCGTGATGGTACAGTCCACGATAGAGTCCTGGTTGTAGGAGAAACACATCCTGGTTGTAGAAGATGAAGTTGGCCACTACCCTTTCCTACTTGACTTTGACTTATCAAGTTGAGAAAGAGTAATTGAAGCACAAGGCCGACCAATGCAATGTTCTCTACCTGGGCTTGATCTATCAAGTTGAAATATCAAGAGAGGTCACATCCTGAAGCGATTACGAACGAGCCATAGGGCCAATTCAGAACGCAAGCGCCAGAATGAATTGGGAATGATCTTGTCTCGATGCTTTCGCCTGAATCCAACGCGCATTCACACACAGAGAGGTGAGATAGAAGAAGACACAACCCGATCACAGTGGTCAGTGTGGGTTGGAATTGCCAGCAACTGTCTCCGGGTAGTGACGGACGTTTGTAGTTCTCGTAGTACTTTCTCGAAGGTACGTACCGTTGGTGGTGACCTGCCGCCGAACCTCCACTGTGTTGAAGACCAGATCGGACACATAACAAGTGCGATCTTAACAGGGATGATTCATCCATGCCGGGCCCTGGTCGTCTCTAGTATCTCGTCAATACCGAAGACGCAGCCGAGCTTAAGCACGCGATTGTATTGGGTCAGATTGAACGCTAACCGGAGGAAAGGCTCGTAGCTGACCACAACTCAGAACGCATGGCTCCGATGTCGCGACTTGTGGCTTGGTTGACAATACTCTGCCAGTCGGATTTCTTGCCTTCGTGAAGCAAAATCTCCCGAGGTTTGCCTTTCCCAGCTGGTCAGACCGGTGTTCAACAGCCTCAGACGATGGACCTTTCCGCTCTGGAAACTGAACCGTGAGAGGCTCGCACAGGCCATGCAAGCTGGCTATCCTTCTCGTTTTCTTCTTTGTTGCTTTTTATCCTCCGTTGTTGTTGTGCATCTTTGTTTTTCTCCCACGAGGACACAGAGATGACATTTCTTCACCAAAGACCGGCACTCCTGCCCCACACAGCACGTCAACCCAGATATTGGGCGACCTGAGCCTGGTGGTTCTTGTAGGCTCTGGACGTCCAGGCTTGAAGACAATGCCAGGAAGAATATCCCAGCACAGGCCCAGCAGAACAACCATCGCAGCCGGGTAAATGTACCACTGGGCCACTCGTCTGAAACCCCGTGGTTCTTTACAGGTTGTCATATACTCGGGAGCCTGCACTGATGATTAGCAGCGAGCGTCAGGCTTAAATGATGCAGGATCTGTTTGGAGAAACAACTCACCGCAATAGGCCATTGTTTCGCAACTCGATATACCAAGGTTATCTTGGTATCCAAGCTGCTAGGCAACGGGTGAAGCGGCTGTCCACAAGAAGCCAACCCTGAGACCGCGGCTTCGATGCTTGCTGATGTGCTGTTGATCGCCGGTGACACTTGAGGTTGGCGTCATAGAACCAGGCCCGATCCTCAGGGACGTGGGCAAGGACCCAGACTAAGTCGTGATCGTTGCTACAACTACAGCTGGGTCTTTATTTTGCCTCGCCCACGTCCCTCGCTGGGCTGTGTTTGATGAGAATGATTTTCGAACTTGGCAGGGGATTTGAGCAGTATTTATGCTTTTTCCGGGAGTCTGAGCGAGACTGTCGGTCCACTGGCCCTAGAGACGATCTCCGCTATATCGGGAGTATAATGGTGAATGTTGAGACGCTCTCTGGAGACTGTCCGCAAGTCTTTATCCAATCTGGTGGGAAGTTTCGTTTCACTTGGTGGAATATTCCCTTCTGAAAAATTCAACTTGGCCTGCTGGAAGTTATCAGCTAGGCTAGCGAAGAAGATTAAAACTCTGCAGGGATTTGCCTCTAGACGCAGCTCTTGCTTTGTTGTCTGTGGTGTCTCAATTTTCTGGGGCGTTTTGCTGCCTGCTGCATTTTTGTCTTAGAGCGAGCTCTTCACTGGTGAAGTGATAAGGTACAGTTAGCTCTGGCATTTCTTTGTTCGCTGGTACTGTAGACTTAGTGAACTCAATATGACCGCGCGCGGTCCCTGATATCGACTCTTGAAGGCCAGTTCGCATTGTTGGAAACACCGCAGTAGGGGAAGAAGCGTCACATGACCGGCATAATCTACGCTGACAGTCGACTATGCATTACCTTTTGTGAGTTTCTGCTGCCGTTCAGACCCTTTTTGCTTAGTGCTATCCCCATTTTGCATGAGACAATTATATGACTGGCGCACCTCAACGCCGATCCTCGTTAGCAGGGATGATATGCATGCGTCACTACATACATATCAAAGATTTGATAGTCCGATCCCCACCTCTCTCAAGGTAAGATGAAGATGTCAAGCCACAGATATTACGTTATAATGGCCTAAGTGAAGTTGACCCATTCCGAAAACAAGCTCGGCCAATCCTGGTCATCATCGAACAATTTATCCATCCCAGCCCCAAAAGGTGCCTGATGGTAGCCTGCTCCCGTTCCTGATCCACACATGGCATTACTCTGCTGAACCGCCTCCCAAAACTCTGTCTGTTTGATACTTCCATTCATTATAGGACATCGACTGGACTTGGTTGGCGAAGGCTCATCCTTCTCAGCGCTTAGCGTGCTCAGAGCATCGGTGCCCGAGCCATCGTAAGGTGATACGGACGGAGAGTTGCTACTGGCTGCCGCGTACGTCTCTAGGACGATATCCAGGACCGACTTGAACATACTGAAGGTATCAGGGGTGTCGCCGGGCTTCGAAATGGATAGGGTCGACATGCGGTGCGAGAGGCTTTCGAGGTAGACTTGCATTTTGTAACGTGCTGTTGTCTGGAGCTCGTTCCATTGCGAATCCACGGATGGGGAAGAGACAAAGCATATTTGTGACGCAGTGCTGATTGTGAGGATGATTTGGCACCACTCCCTCAATGAGAAATAGATGTATTGGGCCGTGGGTATGGTGAGAAGATAGTCAAAGAAGCCCTGGATCTCGGAAAAGCAGGAGCGGGCTTCTTGCAAGTGCTCTAATGGTTGGTGGCTAACTGTCAACGGGTCGGAAGGTGGTCTTCGGTTTGGGCTTGAACTGTGCGCTGTCCATGGGAGATTCGCAGGGACCACTTTCAGAGACTGAATAGAGAGGCGCAAAGGGACTTCTCCTGGGGTCAGCAAACACCAAGCCTTATAAGCAATGACTATAACGTACCTGTTGCGGGTACATCCGATCGTATCCTACGCTCGAGGTCTTGCATATGTAGGTGAAATGACAATGTATCGCTTCCTGACTCGAGTGTGTCTTCACGGGAGTCTGATCTGTGGCGGGCTAGAGTTTCCCAGAGTATTTGGATTCGTGAAAGCTGTGTTTCGATGCTGATATCTTGGTTGGAAGATGTTTCATCTCCTATCGACGACTTCAGAGCCTGGAATATTGCAGTGTCACTGCGACGCCGTAGGCCAAAAGATATACTAACATTCACTCAGCAACCAGTCTCCTGGGAGGCATGAATTAACTCACAGTGATGATAAATTATAACATCCGAGGCAAGAGTTGCGCATAGCCGTGTCTTGCAACTTGTGATCAAGCTTCAAATCAGATATCATCCCAGTGAGTATTTGCAGATACTGCCACATCTGGTTGTTCATTGGTCGGATGTGCATCGGATACCTGCCTCACGGTTAAAGTCAATTTGGAGCTCCTCACCGCGGCAGAGCTGGGGTTCGGCTATACCATGCAAGATACACGAGCAGACCTTGAACGTAGTCTAGGCTCTTCTCCCCATGGAGAACAATTCTCTCACTTAGCACACGACGGAACTTCTCATCGAGCTTTCTCTGCAAAAGCGGCCTTCGGACTGCAGATACTACAAGAATGGCGAAGAAGAGGAAGGGTCGGGATTTTGCCATCGAGGCGGCGGATAAAGCTTCAGGCACCTCCACAAATGGGAAGTAAACAGTCCGATACTTGAATTGAGATAGAAGCTCGTCTGCCTCCTTCATACTAACATTGAGGTTGTTATATTTAGTGCCGGGTGCTGAAGATTCGCTAAGGGGCGGTGTGTTGGTTTTGAGACCATCGTCTTCATGATGGGAGCAGCTGTCACCGAGTAGTGCTTTGCGCAATGTTTGGCGATGCAAGTCGCGCATTTGGGCAGACTGGTCTTCGTGGTTCGGTGCGGTTTTGAAGAGCGAGGAGACGACATCCTCTTTACGGGACTGAATGCTGCAGTCGCTTGTCGAAGAGCTCTCGGTAGAGGATTGCTCATTGCTGCTGGAAGACTGGCTGGCGAAGAGAGTACAGTCGTAGCCAAACTTAATGCATCTGTCTTCATCAGCTTTGCAGCTCGAAGATCTCGATAATATAGTTCCTACCTCCGACAGCCATTCTGAGAGGACGGCTGTTCAGGGGGAAGACAGCGAATCTTACGTGTCCTGCATTTTTCGCACGCCCGAGACGTCTTAGGTCGAGGACACATAAATTTAAAATCATCGTCTGCTGCCATTGTCGATATACAGCAGCTTCTATAAAGACCATTGTTGTAGTTAGTTAACTGCGGGCCTCATAAATAAGGACGCGGGAAAGCGGTGGGAAACTCGACGCGAAGCCGCACTGCGGAAGGAAGGTTTTGCCGCGCTGTCAATAGCAGCGGTCACCGCCTCTATTTTGCCGCCTCGCATAGATAAGAGATAAGATAAACATCAACAATTAATTGGTCCCCCTCTGCCTTACAACAAACATATTGAGCTACAAGGCTCATCTCATGCCCATGGTTTCACTTCACAGTATATCACCCTTGTAATCCACATCACGCTCAGGAAAATACCCCTTCTTGATCATATTGTCAACCAGAGAGCCCTCTCCTCCCCAGACAGACCGACCAAATGCCGCCACCATATCCAGGCCATTCAGCAACGTGCCTGTACTCCACAGCTTGCCAGAGTCACTGCATACATATCGCTTTTCGACCCAGTTGGTCCCAGGAGACTCCTGTCGCAGCCTAGGCAACATGAACCGCGGCCCAGTTGCGGTCTGACCTTCCAGGATCCCCGCAGCGAGCGCCGGCTCAAACCCTCCGCACACCGTGAGAAATGCGGCGCAGTCCTTGTAGCTCTTGCGCAGGAACTCTTTCTCGGCTTCGTTCGCCTGGTAACCGAGTTTGCTGGCACCGAGGACCACGATGTCGAGTGGCGGGCATGTAGCGAAGGAGTCCTAGTGGATTGTAAGCATGTGATTTGCAGGAAGGGAGGGTCGTGGCAAGGGGGATCCTACTGTAGGCACTACTCTCAAGTTTGAGGTCAGTCTGGCAGGGGTGTCGCCGGTCTCGGTGACCCAGTGGAAGACGAAGTCTAGAGCTTGAGCCTTAAGCTCGTCCGTCACAAAATCGTCGGGCATGTCCTTAAGGAATTCTCGACTCAGGACGGAAAAGAAGTTGACGGGGACGATGTCGAACTGCTCGGTGACCCTAGATCGATCGTAAACAAATCAGTGCTCTATCCAGGATAAGGAGCTCGAGATCCTTACGTGTTGAGCAAGATGACCCCGACATGGATCGGGCGTCCGGGGTTGCGAAGATCGATCGGAGAAGACATGGTGGAGATGTAGATTGCTGCTGTTGTTGCTGCTGCTTGTAATTGAAAGTTCATGCATACTGGGACCGATGGGGGAAGATCTTTTATATTGTGTTAGATATGGTTGTTTCGATGCTGTTGTATACCAGTCTATGCTGGGCGGCAAGACTTTCCTCCCACGTTCCGCACTCGCTTCGCCATGCCATCCGAGCTAGTGTATTATATGCACTCAAGTGATAAGGTATGCATGTTGATGTTACCCCTGCCCTTGTCCTGTCATCCAACATTGGGGAAGCGAACTTCCTTCTTTTTCATGGTATGTTTGAGCATCGGATCTACGAGTTCAGTATTCATTCAAAGGTTGATCCGTACCACTACACATACAAAGCGGTGCTATTCAAGATAATTTTACTGCATGATAGTATGATGTCGCCATGAAGGAATTCATCAACCCGATTTTACAAGCCATTAGCCAGTATCTACTGCACGTATAACGATATTTAACGTGTACCAAGTATAAGCGGGTATGAGCGACAAATAGCAGACTTGGTTACATCCAATTGTATTAGTGATTCCAAAATTACAAACCAGGATATTCGGTGTGGGACGAACCAAAAAAAAAAGACAAAAGAGAAGGGCCGAACGCGGATCGAACGCGTGACCTCGGGATCTGCAATCCTGCGCTCTACCACTGAGCTACCGACCCTTTCTTGGTATTGGCTGGCTTTGGCTTTTGTCTATGTTCCGCAACCTGTTCCCATGGAGCTTTTCTAGTGTATCAGCCGAGATATAAAGGAACCTATGATACTCAAGTTATTCTTGAGGTGCAATGCACTGTTCACTTTTGGTGCAGAAAACCTTACTACTTGAAGACCATAGGCAAGAAGCAAGTTGCAAAGTTCTGGATATTGATTTTGTCAATCATCCAATCATGTTCGGTCATGAAGATATATACAGGCGGCCGACGAGTGCGTACATTTTATGTTATGAGCGTAGCTAAAAGCAAAGGATCTGACACGCATCCAATATGTCATTTCCTCCACATTTACTCGAGTATCATAGTAACCGCCCTCTTGCACTTGGATTCTGGGAATCTATTTCCATCCGAAAACACAAAATTATAAGATGTTCTCATTCGACATTGTTCCATGGATTTCACATGTTCATGAAATCTCCACGGTCCAGGGGCTCATATGAAGTCTTGATCGACCGGAAGATCTACCGTATAGCATTAGGAGTTCCGAAAGTACAAACGAAGCACTTTTGTAGCTGCCAGTATGATAATGAATGTTACCACACAACGCAGGGCCGTTCGCCATCTAGACGGTGGATCCACCCAGAAGGTTTGGGATGTTCCAATTTCACGGCCCTGTTGACCGAGAGCAACCACACGAAATCTGCTGGCCCTCAGACCCAGCAGGAACATCAATAATTGTCTCAAATCCCTTCTTGGCAACTGTGGTGACCGGATGGGACTTTGAGTGTGAAACATCGACCAGCGTTTCTAAGCTCCAACTAGCAACTTCTGTTGCACCATTCCAACTGACAAACACCTGCCGTCAATCCACAACTGCAGTGGGATTTGTACGCGGTTTTTCCAACCAAAGACCCTTTGAAAGACTCGGTAAGAATTGGTGACCCTAAAGGAGAAAAGAGTAAAACGACCGAAATGCATATTGCTGATTACTGACGTGCCATCGGGTGTGTACTGCGTGTATGCAGCACTATGTCCCCAGCCAACGAGGATATTCCCATTTAGCAGAACATCGACATTACCTCGTGAGCCGGACTTGACATAGTTGAGATGCCGGTATGAGGTCTGAAGCCAGACCTGCCGCGCTGGGACATCGACCTTGGGCGCAACGCCTTGAGCTTCTGGCATCAGGTCATTTTCAAACTTGGCTGAACTAATAAATAAAGCCATCGTGTCATTAGGCCGCCAGCAAGCATCATGCTGCCATGAAAAGTCTGTGGCTGCTCCGTCCGACATATCTCGGAACTCGTTGAGTCTTCCACCTAGCACCCATAGCACCTCCCCGGATGACGCTTTCAATACTGACGACTGAATGCGTGTGGCGGGATGAAATCAAGTAGTTTCCAGAAGGACCCTTTCCCACGCTGTTGATACGGAAGTGGTCAAACGCGGTCTTTGGAGTAGATTCACATCTTCTAAATTCGCAGCTATCGAGTCGTGGAATGTGACATTCAGCGGAAAGTGCTGGAGTGCATGCCATTCGAAAAGCAAAGCTCCACTTTCAACATCGATTTCCTGGAAGATTCCATCGACGATCCACCCGGTTGATCCCCCAACCGAGCTCAGATCTCCGAGCACGGGGTTGTAGACTATCACGAGTGCGGTATCATCGCGGGTAATGTGGAACTCATGCTTGTCTGCTGCTGGGTAGCCAACTGGCTTTATCCGATACCGGACCTGGTAGGAACTGCTGAAGGGCTCTTGGGTTGGGAGGGCCGTTGACGAGTCCTTCTGCTGCTATCGTGAGTGACAGGATCTACGTCAGCTGGAACGGGGCTACGGAGGTGAGCATGTGGCGTGTCGAGTGTGCGGGAGGCGAGTATTCTGCACGCGAGTTTCGACCTGTTGTCACGGTCTTTCGGGAAGGTTTTGAGACGGTGGTGGGCTTACCTGTCGGGGCGAGAGATCGTAAGTTGCGGGTTGTCGCTTTAGATAAGCATGGCGAGATCTTAGGACAAAGTCATGAGATCAGACGGCGGAGATCGTATCGAGACCGGGTGCGCGGGGTGGAGGGAATGCTACCAGTCTTTTGCTTTCCTTCGTCACTGCAATATTCTGGTTTCGAGGGAGATGGAACGGGTGAGATTGGTGGTCGGTGGTTGAGTGATAAATGATGATGTGCGGTGTCTAAATGTACTAATGAAGTGGGTATGAATGCTGGCAGTATTGAACCGAGGTATGAACATTATGATGAGTTTGCAGAATAATGTCTTTACACAGGAATGGAGACTATCATAACATGATAGACAGTAAAGCCTGGCACCCACCTTCTAGAGCAATGGATGGGTTTGCCTAACGCACGAACCAGGTGACTTGAGATATGTGGCACAGTTTAAATCAACAGCATAACCATTTATCTAGCAGATTGTTGCAAATGGAACATATTGAGTCGTATATTGTCATACTAAGATCGATAGCAAGCCAGGAACTTGGAATAATTCAATGTGAGACGGTCCGAGATTGCGCCATTCAGCTGGCACCGAAGCAATTGCATGGCTCATGCTGCCTGCAAAGGTTTTACTTTATGTACTGCATGTTAGCAGAGAAGTCTACCATACAGTGGCCGGATAAAACTATGCGGTTACGGTATTCGAGTCTAGTACAACTTAATCCTCACTTCCACTCACATAACTTGCTTCTTTCCCCCCAGAGAAATTGCAGTGCTATAACCTCTATTTTGTAGTCGTCAATGAGAGCGGAAGTCAAGCCTCAGTAGTTAGCCTCAGTTTCGGCTACTATCTAATTTAACTCACAGCAAGTATGGCTATAGGTCCATTGACGGTCTTTTCGATTGACTATGCATGAGGCTGCAGGAGTACTTGTAGGGCTGTATCTACATGTGACTGGAATGACGTCATTTGCACCACACCCGCAAACCACCTGGTGAAACGGCCAATCTACAGTAAGAAGCCTCAAAATATAATGAGATAAATAGTCCAAAGCAGGTTGCATTTGCATACATCATGGGAATGTCTTCCCTCAGTTATGACCACTTAATGGGGGAATCCGCGGCCGAGGGAATTCCCCAACCGGTTCCATGCATTTTTACCTCGGCTCAACGAATACCCCAGAAACGGGTGATAATCTCCCCTCATCTCCTTTCTTCTCCAACTCAACTTGTCCTACCCACCATCAACTTCACCTCACCCTTCGCAATCCCTCCACCTCAATCCCACTACAAACACAAAATGTCACAGCCATACACCTACGAATACTTCACAGTGACCTTCCCAGCAGAGCACCAATATGTGGCCCACGTCGAAATCAACCGTCCCGCCAAACTCAACGCCTTCATCGAAGCGTGCGCTCCCCTCCCCACCGCCCCTACCCCCCATCCACACTAACACCCAGAATCCAGAATGTGGCACGAACTCTCCAACCTGATAAACCGCCTGTCCACCGACCCCTCAATCCGGGCCATCGTCCTCAGCGGCGCAGGCCCAAAAGCCTTCACGGCCGGTCTAGACGTGCACGCCGCGTCGCAGGGGACTCTTTCCCCGTCAGACAACACCGAAGAACCGCTCGACCCCGCGCGCAAAGCGACCCAGCTGCGGCGCCACATCCTGGAATTTCAGCACTGCATCTCGACACTAGAGAAGTGCGAGAAACCGGTCATCGTGGCCATGCATGGCTTTTCGCTGGGACTGGCGATCGACCTCAGCGTGGCGGCGGATGTGCGCGTGTGCGCGGCGGATGTGCGGTTTGCCGTGAAGGAGGTCGATATCGGGTTGGCGGCGGATATTGGGACGTTGAGTCGGTTGCCCAAGGTCGTTGGGTCGTTTGGGTGGGTGAAGGAGGTGAGTTTGTCTGGGAGGGAGTTTGGGGCTGAGGAGGCGTTGAGGGTTGGGTTTGTGAGTCGGGTCTTTAAAGATAAGGAGGAGGCGGTAAAGGGGGCGCTGGGGTTGGCGGCGTTGATTGCGGGGAAGAGTCCGGTTGCGGTGCAGGGGACGAAGGAGTTGTTGAATTGGTCTAGGGATCGGAGTGTTGAGGATGGTATGTCCCTTTCTCCTTTTCTTTGTGTCTTGGGTGGGTTTGGGGGTGTGTGTGCTAACGTGGGTTCGGTGTAGGGTTGAGGTATACGGCTGTTTGGAATAGTGCTGCGTTGCAGACTAGGGATGTTGAGGCTGCGTTATTGTCCGGCATACAGAAGCGGAAGCCTACGTTTGAGAAGTTGTAGGGCTCGGGGATTGTGTATAGTACGGAGTACTGCTGGTTTGGTACTTGCTGTTAGAATGATTGCTTTCACTTGGTGTTGTGGTTTGTGTAGTTCATTGCGGGCGCTGGAGTGTCTTGACAGAGACTTTTACCAGGTGCTCGAGTTCTCATGTCGTTGAGTCTGTATTGTTCAGGTTGATTGATGAGCTGAGACTTACCCATTCATGGGCGTGGACTCGTACTTCGCTTCTAGGAAGCATCGCTGGATGTGGCTTGATCTCGTCGCAGCAACCTCAGTCCGGGTATGTCCCAGACACCAATACAGCAAGCTTAATCACATCTCACAGGCTTATTCCTTTCATGAAGCAATTGTTTGAAAGAGTTAGGTCAACCAGTATGGCAGGCGCAGTTACCTCTCAAATAGTCGAGGGCCTGTCGTACAAAGAGATCGACAAGAATTGCATTCCACACAGGTGTTTCCACTGAAACCAGTGATCGCGGCGTAGGTAGAAACCTCAGTTTCGATGTGTGTGTGTACAGTCTCTTGCTTACCACAATCATCCAAGGATTACAACTGGTTTGCACACCCAGACAACCTGACCGCAAGTGGAATTGACCACGGAGTCATGTGGCTACGGCCATCTCCACCAGGACCACGGCGGTACATGACAAGTCTCACCCGGCATCTAGATTTCTAGGCAGTGGAGACATACCCCCGTATCTCGAAGACGGCATTCGGTGTTGGTCCGGCCGGAGGAGGCTGAAACGGTTAGTGTTGCCCAGCCCTGCCACCCGCCTGACATGAGTCGTGGCGCCTCAGAGTGTTTCAGAGTCAGGACATCCTGTGGCTGCCCAGTGTTTCTGCTTGCAGGGGTTTCTCAGTTATGTAAGAGATCACGGGGTTGTGGCTGTTATAGGGAGAATTAGGGTCGAACTGGAGAAGGGGACAGGATTTTTGTAGCTAGTGGTGGAGACTCCAAGAGCTTGGCATAGTTAGAGGGAGTCTAGAAGAGTGACTCTGGAGTTACTGGGCTGTGCACGTCATTGCTCGCACTCCCGAGTTATTGTAAGAGGTAATTGCTCGTCGCCAAGTCCCGAGAAATGTCCGATCGAGTTGGAGGCCTGAAGAATTGGTTGCTATTTTTATCCTGATATTCAGTGTATCTGCTCGCAGGTGAAAAATGCCTCTACAGACAGATTCAGCAACAGGCCATACTCAGACACGAATATTGGCAGAACCATAGAGCTCAACTACCGAGTGAACTGGAACTAAACAACCCAGCAATGAGATGTACCATCTCGGTGTTCGGACATATTCACCGCGCTTGACGCTGTGCATGCTATGCTGTATAGTGTATGTACCCCGCTTCCATCTCCATCTCCTTGCCGCCGCGACTAACCCAGATCGAAACGGAGCTTCATCCTTCAACTTCACTCTGCATTCATACCACACACTCCACATGCCGTCAGCCCTCGATTCTATCATCCCAAGCCTCACATCACGTCATGCACCCTCCCTCACAGGTGGGAAAACTCCCCAAGAACACCTGCACCCCGCACTTCCCCCTTCCGTCAACCCGAAGAATATTGAGAGTATCCCCTGATACCCAGAGATCGGCGGGCTTGTTTGCATTTGAAGAGCCTACCAGCGAGTGTGATTCGTCCCAGGGACCCAACACTCGGAGTGGTGACCCCGAGTTGGGTGCGTGAAATCCTTGGTGAAGAATGCCAAGTTGGCCGTGCAGCTACCCCATACTGAACCTGACACTGAGGGTGTTTGGGGAGCACCCGACTTCTCTCGGTCCTGATTCTGACTGATGTCCGAGGACTGCTGCGGTGGATAGAGGAAAGGAAATTGTCCGTGTGGGATAGATGGGCTGGGGGCTTGGTTTTTCCACGTATTGCTCTTGGGGTCATCGTGCGTACTGTATATAAGAGGGTTATGAGGGCATGGGATACGGGCTGGAGTAGAATTCAAGTTCACTTTAACGCAAACAAAAGCAATAGAAACGAGTCCGTACTCAAGAACCGCCAAGATGAAGACTGCAGCTCTCGCACCGCTCTTTTTCCTCCCCTCTACCCTCGCCGCGACGATCTATCTCGCCGGTGACTCGACCATGGCGAAGAATGGTGGTGGATCTGGCACGAACGGTACGTGGGGACCTCACCTCCGACCACACAGTTGTACTGTACTGGGTGCTAATGCGTCGCAGGCTGGGGTCAGTACGTCTCGAGCTACGTCTCAGCCAGCGTGGTCAACGACGCTGTGGCGGGCCGCAGCGCGCGCTCGTATACGCGCGAGGGCCGGTTCGAGAACATCGCCGAGGTGGTGAAAAAGGGCGACTACGTGATTATCGAGTTCGGCCACAACGACGGTGGCTCACTGTCGACGACCGACAACGGCCGCACCGACTGCGGCGGCACCGGCAGTGAGGTCTGCTACAGCGTCTACAACGGCGTCAACGAGACCATCCTGACCTTCCCTGCCTACCTCGAGAACGCCGCCAAGCTGTTCACCGCTAAGGGCGCCAACGTCCTCATCAGCAGCCAGACCCCCAACAACCCCTGGGAGAGCGGCTCCTTCAACTACTCCCCCTCGCGCTTTGTCGGATACGCCGAGCTGGCGGCCGAGGCTGCCGGGGTGGGGTACGTCGACCATGGCGCCTATGTCGCCGCTATCTATGAGTCCTTGGGCAAAGACACGGTTGACTCTTACTTCCCCAATGATCACACCCACACCAGTCCCGAGGGAGCCCAGGTCGTCACTGAGGCCTTCTTCAAGGCTGTCGTCTGCACTGGCGCCTCGCTGAAGAATGTCTTGACGACGACGAGTTTCGAGGGGTCGTGTCTATAGTGAAGAGTTTGGGGAAAGGGATGGGAGACGGAAGTCATGTTATGTATAGTGTAGTTGCATTGCAAATGGTATCTGACTGTATCACTTGAGCCCATAAGCGAAAGCCGCCCCTATAAGTCTGCAGGATTTGTGCCTTTATGCCATCTCCTCCAATGTAGTCTTCACTATTCCCCGCTTCTCCACTCGACTGTAGTATTGCATCAGATTCGGATACGACGCAATCAATAGTGGGTTGGTCGTCTGAATTTCCCAAAGCACAGGGAAGAGCGAACAATCATCTATTCCAAAGGCGGCGCCGCTGGCAAACGGTTGTTCCCGAAGCGCCGCTTCCCACCTGCTCAGCAACTCAATATTACCAGTCGAGCTCTTCTGGTCGCGGCAGCTGGCTAGTAGTTGGTTGATCTCGCACAGGAGGTTTCCGCCACGCAGTGCGTCCACCCCCGGTCGCACTAACTCCAACGCGTGTTTGGCCAGGTGCGCCATGATATTCGTGTCACCGGCAACCTCGGCCCCATTGGCATCAATAAACACCGGCAGCTTGTCGGGGTAAGTGCTTGCTGAATGTGTGGCATCGTAGCGAAGTCCGTTTTCATTCAAACACAGACGGATGCGGAAGTTAGCCACAGGGTCCGGCCCCAGCACAAGCTTGGCCGTGGTGGCCGTCACAAAATTCACAACATCGAAGCCCCCGCCGTAGACACCGTCCCAGTCAAAATCAGTCGCGTGGTTCTCTTGTCCGAATGCCCGGATCATGCGCTCGGTCTCCGCCGGGTGGCCATGAATTACTGGACGGGCACTGTCCTGAGTCTTGGCGACTGCACCTTGGCCCCAGATCGCGTCTTCGGTCGGACTGAGATAAGTGCCGATGTGTCGAAACGTCAGCGAAATTCGCTGTCCGCCGTACGCTCGCTCCTCGGACGACTTTTCATCAATGGCGCGTTTATCGGGTCGAATACCGTGCAACCACCGCATGTTGGTCTTCTCACCCAGGATGAAGAGCGACTCGTGCGGCATGGGAACACGCTGCGTGAGGCGACCGTCACTTGTGCCCTCGGACTCCTTCCCCTTGGTACGCAGGACCATCACCCGCTGCGCCCCGAGGCTGACGTTGCAGATTGACGAGCCGCGCACGATATCCAAAGTTTTATCCGAATGCTCCGAGATCCTGTCCTGTCCATCGCGATACAATTGGATCAGCGCGTGGTTGAGCGGATGACCGAGAATAAGCTCAACAACAGACCGCACCGCGTCCACCGTCGGAGTAAAAGGCTGCAAGGGCGGCGACTCGTCCGCTGGATGACGATAGATGGGGACAGATCCGTCATCCAGGGCTCGCCCCTGCACCGCCACCAGTCGAGGGACCTGCCCTGACAGATGATACATCTTCTGCCAAGCGACTTCATCGCGTATCTTCTCGAAAGCCTCCTCCGGTAACTCCAAATCATACACAATCCGCGAGTCGCCCTCCCCGATGACATCCCCAGGCCTATACACCTCTTGTTTTCTCGCCCGGTCACTTCGCCGCGGCTGGTCTGTGCGCGAACCCGCCTCGCTCTTGGCATCCGGTTTCTTTGTACGACGGACACGTATGCGCGCCTTCTGGGCCCCAACTTGGGGGGTATTCGCTTCCGAGGCCGCATTCCGGACGCGCGAGCGCGTGTAGCTCGCCAGTTCCTGTAGACTCTGGTTTTCGGGATCGGAAAACTCCGCCATGAGATCTTCGATGCGGCGGCGCCGGCCCCCGCCCACCGCGGGAGCCTCCGCGCTCGCTTCCTTCTTCGTCGCCGATCGCGATTGCGCACCAAAGTCCAGTCCTTCCATTACGCCCTCGATTCCTGCTGGGGTTACCGTGCGCAGGGGGCGGTGCGTGCTACTACCCCGCGCGATTGCGTCGGTTTCCGCCCAGTCGAGCTCTTCGAAGAGCTCCTGCGTGGTGATCCCGCTCGCGCCGAAGATGTCTGCCATGCGCCGCATGGCTTCTTCGTGGCGTGGGAAACTGCGGTACCCTAGACAGTCTTCGATCAGGGTAACGGAGAAACCATGTCGTGCAGCGTCGAGGGCGGTGGCGTAGACCGAAATGTTGGATAGAGATCCGCAGAGGTAGAGTTCGGTGATGAACCGCGTGCGGAAAGATAGAATCAGGCTATGGTCTCTCAGGGCTGAGTATTCTGATTTGATGATGAGGGTATCTGACTCCGGGTCTATCGCAGCCACTACCGGTGCGGGGAACTTAGCCCCGGGCGTCTGCGGCAGACAGCACCGAGGTTGCTTGGCTGAGAGGAAGGCCTCCTCATCCATGCTTTCGTCGCCATCCTGGCTATCGCCGTCGAGGGCGCTCTGTGGTTGTAAAGTTTGGTCTGCTCGACCGAGGACCACGAGGTCTTGGGCGTCCGATGGGCTGGTTAGAGGTTGTTGGGACTGGGCATGGGAGCGCACCCAAACCACGTCTCCATTGCGGCGGAAAGTGCTGGCTAGTTGGGGGATCACTTCCAAAAAGTCGGCTGTGTTCGGGACATGAAGCGCCCCGGTAGAGCGAATAAAGTCATTTTGGAGATCTAGGAGGAGCAAGGCCTTGCGAGTTTGAATGGGGGGCAGATTGCCGAATTGGGGGAGGAAGCTCATTGTAGGGACATGATAACGAGGCGCAGGAAATGAACGCAGGAATGATAGATTCAGATGATGTTGGAGAAACTAAAGATAAGAAAACGGGTCTTGAAGATCAATTTGTGCCGATGTCAGTAAATGTGGGGGTTGAGCATTGAGGAAGGTCGCAGTCGAGACTGGGAAGTCGTTGTTGGGTGAGGAGAAGATGCGGAGGGGAAACGTCAAACTTGTTGGTGCGAGCAAGCACTCGACACCTGAGCCCTCAGGCATCATGTTGGAATACTTTTCCGAGGCTGTCGGCCGAATTAAGAAGCGGTGTAGCGGTCCCGAGTCGGACATGCGGAGACTGCTCGATTGGTCGGTTCGCTAGGCTACTAGACAAATTTCAACGAGCATAACATCTGATGAGAGGCAAGAGACTGAGGTGCAAACACGGGGATAAGCTGGATATTGCGGGCATCGTAAGTGAGACTGTGAGAGAGAATGGAGTGGAAGAGAGAAGGTGTACTGAGAACATACTGAGAACCAGTAGAGACAAGGAAGAGGTAACGTGACTGGAGGGTGCAAATAGAACAAACAGACAACACAAACAGACGAAACAAAGCAAACAGAGCAGACCCCAGTCAATACTTACAGTATGATCAGATAAGATCGTGTCAGTGCTCAGCAATCACTCTGTTCTTGAGTGAGTATGCAGGACTGAAGGACACAGGGAAATCGCTATCCGAACAAAATCAATCATATGCTCGAAAGTAACAAGCTGATGGTGGCACAATGAATGGTTGCAGGACTGGTCAAGTGTGTGCCGAAGCGAGCCACTGCTTACTACTTCAGGCAGGAAAACACAGGATCAGCAGATAGAATAGATAGCTTGCTTCAAGACAGGATAACTCTCTTTGACGGTACTTACTTTTTCTTCATTTCCAATCAGAATTTCCTTAGTGGGCCAAGGTACTACTCGTTTGTCTGTGTGCACCAAAAAGATTGCTGATGGTGCGGCATCCGAACGCACTTCCGCTATGAGAAGCCAGGATGGTTGACGAAGAGTGCACTTAAGACAGCAGTGTGGTAAGCACGGCAAGAGAGAGAAGTCTTCATGCCAATCCTCAATCAAAAAGTGCAGAAAACTTCTTAGCACCCTGAGCATGTAAAAGGAACATCGCTACAAAACTAAGACTGGTCTGCTGGGAGGCATCCTGTTTGCTACAGTATACACTAGAAAACAAATATTTTTGTTTGCTAAACTCAATGCAGTCGACTATAAGTTTGCTTATCGAGCGGCCATTCAGGATAGTCCTGGAGTTGTCTCAAGCCTAATAGTCGCCACGTAGAAATCTATAAATTGCATTGAAAGTAAACAGCACTTATTTGTAAATTATGTAGGGCTCATCTAGAGAGTTTCTATGGCATCTTCCAAGCCATGCAGCTGAGAAAAGGAATAGATACCCAGCAACCCTTGAAAGAACATTCCATCCGGGTTGGATTTCTTGTGCTGCTTTTGGACATACCACCTTATGCAAAGCGATCAACTTGTCGGTGATTGAATCTCCCATTCTCTGAACCCTCTAATTTATCCGTGTTTATTGAGTTAGGGTAGCACGACCCTAATTGCCGATCACATTGTTCTAGTTACTTAAAAGCCGGAATGCGGCCTTTCTACGGACGTCCGCCGGAGAACAGTAGACAGCTTTACCACATGCTTTGACTGATACTACCAATTCTTGGGGACCTTGGTCACATGCAAGTCTACGACGGACTAGTTTAGGAATTCTTGTTGTGCTGCACCCTTGTCCATGTCTCTTAGCTGTGCAGAACAAGCAAGCCTAGTTCATCCAGGCTTTCGATGCCCCGGCTTGGACTTCTACCTGCGAACTTCCGCCTGCGCCTTATTCAAATAGCAAAGGCACATGATTAATTGAAATACTGCTGCCCAGAACATCAAACAGTCTAAGACCTCGCTTGAAAAGCACAGATCCAGCACGGAGGCTGCACGGAGCCTACCAAATAGGGACTTGTGCTGCGGCTATATAAATTAATAGCTGTCACTCGCAGGAGCTATCCCACTACTGCAGACTACAGCCCCAGAAAAGGAAATCACATCCCCCGCACCCAAGTCAGCACAAAAGGAAAACAGAATTTCTCTTCGCCCAGTCACTTTCAATTTATCCATAACACCAGAAGCCTACCAAACACGACCCATGGATTATAACAATCGCAGCCGAGCAACTACAACTATTATTCAGCCCGGAAATCAAGGCCGGCAGCGCAGGTTTTCAGATTCTCCACAAATCAATCTTGATAAAGTCTCCCACGTGTTATAAGTTTACCCCTCTGATCGGCAAAGGCTACAAGGCACTAGCGGAGAGTCACTCAATTCATTGCTTAAATGAACCGCCGCGTCTCGCGAGGGCCGGCGCTCGGTGAAGATACCCGTTTAGGGCTAACGGTCCGAATCACGGCACGGTCCACGAAGTAGACTGAACTTCTTCGACATCGCGAGAGAATTTGCGGAAAATATGAAGCATTGCTTTGCTGTCCTGCCGAGGAGAGGGTTATGCTTTGACGAATTCACATGTTATCGCGCTATCAAAGGCATATCGGCTTAGCTTAGCGTGATGTCGTAGCAGGTGGTTGGTTTTCCCGAATGTCGAGGTCCGTGTGTCATGTCAAACTTCTGTGGCTCCGTGTATAATTCTTCTTGGCTGTGGTTTTGATATTCTTCGTTGAGATTGTCGACCTCGACATGATAGCAAAGAGTACACTTCCCCCTTTTCCCTCGCGGCTACTTTATCTGAGTTGCGACTAGTCAAGGCTATGACTGTTAAGAACTAGATGTGGATCCCCCCAACGGTTCAAATCCACGATTTTGGCTATTAATCTGCGAAAACCCAACAAACACCATGGATGGGTCGGAGCTACTTCGGTGAAGACTAATGAAAATACTTTTGCCTCCATTTCTTTCAATGAAGTGTATCAATAAGATGATAGGTAGTACGTAAAATCATTTTATTATCCCAAGAACCAAGCACTGTATGTACAGTCCATGCGACGCGTCAGCCATTTTTACATTAACACCTATTTACCGCTGGCCACCGCACTCTCTGACACCGGGACTGCCCAATCACGAACACTTGCTGATGTAGCCAAAGTAGTATCTGTGGGCAGAGACGCTGTCGAGCAGGGTCCCGTCGTTGCCGGACTTGGAGTCCACGCCCACCACCTCAGTGATGTCCGAGGTAGTGACGGTCACGCCGCTGTCGCTGGTGATCCAGTACTCCGGGCTGAAGTGGTGGTATCCCAGCAACTTCGGAGGGAGCTTGGGAACGATGTCGTCCTCGTGCGTGACCCGGTAGTTGCTGCCCTTGTTCTGGTTGGTGATGTAGTCGGCCAGAGCGAGGTTGCCGATCCGCGGTTGGCCGAAGTTGTACTGATTTCTGTTAGTGTTTTTGTTATCCGAGAGGATGACGGGTAGGGCTGGGGTGCATACCAGGTCAACTGTGTAGCCGTCGTTGCGGAGCACGGTGGCTGCGACTGCTGCCAGGGCGGCGCCCAGGCTGTGGCCGGTGAAGACAAGCTCGTAGTCCGCGTGGCTGGTAAGGGCAGCCTCGATCTTGGCCGTGATGGTGCTGGCGACCGTCTCCCAGGCCTTCCAGAACCCACTGTGGATTTCACAGCCACTGCAGATGCTGCTGGCGTCGGTGAGGCCAAAGTCTATGTTGGCGATCCAGTTGGAGAGGTCATGGCTGCCACGGAAGGAGACAATGATGGCCTTGTTGGTTGCGTCGACAGCAATGAAGCCGGCTGTATCACCGAACTCGGCGGTTCTGATGTGGTCTCAGTACGTGCGTCGAGCATTATAGAGTCAATAGACTTACTCGTTGAACTCGTCGAGAACGGTGGGAGCCGCAGACACGACCAAGGGGCAGTTGTCTGTGGAGCAGGACAGCGCGGTGCTCGCCGAATTGATGTTCGAAGAGCAATAGGCGGCCGCGCTGTACTGGGAGAAGAGCTCCATCTTGTCCAGCAAGGCAGTGGAGACAGCTATGATAGGAGTTAGAGCTGTGGAATGAGATTGGCTTGATTTGGTCACTGACATCGACGTTCGATCGGCGCAGGAGCAGCCTGGGCTAACAAGCCCAAAGCCGCTGCAATCCCTAGTTCTCGGGCGAAAAGCATCTTGGCACAAGATGAAAGAATGGGAAAGGTCGGCTCGAAAGTGATCTGCCTCGTTCCTGGAGGTGCTTTGGGGACCGGCGATCAATCCTCCTTTATATAGAATTCCTCCTCCATTCCACAAGGGGTGGGAATCCATTGGGGTTCAGGCGCAGGGAGTCCGAGTGATACGAACCACTAACTACAAGAGGCGCGGGAAAAGTATATTCAGGTAGTCACCTAATTTAGTAGGAGACCAGCTACAGCCAATACACGTTGCTCGTAGGAGCAAGCAAAGGATTCACAAAGGGCTAGTAGTTTGGATGGGATCCTCCAGGAGCGGCCCCCAACAAACATTGCTCCGTCGGAGGAAGATAGGGCAAGGGCACGGAGAAGGGGGATGGCACACTCAATCGCACACGGCTCGATCTTCATCGCACACTGGTTAGATTTCTAGTTACAGTGCCACGCGTATGTAGATGGCAAATGGGTTAGCAGACAGAAAGGGCTCTAGTTCAAACTGTTTTCTACCAAATGGATACTATCGGTGACAGCCCCTTCCGGATGGACCCGCCCGGCGTTCGAGGCTACAGCCCGATGCTTGTTCCTGCCTTGCTGTTCTTCAGCCGGAACAGCGTGACTGACCTGCATGAACGGCCGGGATTGTGCATCCTGTTGCAGTAGTCAGTCAGAATTCCCCTGAGCAGCGTCTTTGGCGCGGGATATCACAGTTCTCAGTCGGCAGGTTGCCGGATCCCCCCCCATCTCGACCCACTTTGTTCGCTTTGATTCGGCGTTTCTGCCAGCTCTTCTATAGTTCCCACTGTTATAGTCTCGGAGAGTTGCTGTCCACCACTGGAATGGTCACGGGGTTTCTTGCAAGCTAGCAATCCTTCAGCATCGAGTGCAGGATGGAGTTTCTTCCAGATGAGGACGGGTGGTGACCGTCTGACTGTATCTCAAGTTCTCAACTCGTCAGGCTGCGGAAGAAACTGTGCCTGCACTGCCTGGGCAGTCACCGCCCCCATATCACTTGCGCCACCAACTTGGGATGCCTGGCAGATTGTGGTTCAGCTGGATGCAAAGAACTTTGGGGTGAAAACAAAAAAATTGTCGCAACGTGCTTTGGTGCCTGAGGCAATAACCATCTCGAGAAACCTTGTCGCGGAATCGGAGAAACCTCTTCACCCGGCCTCAGTGCCTCAGGCCGCGACGAGGCTTGACTCTACGATGCAGACGTTGAGTGTTTCCCCATGTGAGGTGAATCAACCTCAATTAAAAGTGTTTGCTTGTCTATTGCATTGGTCCTGCCCTCGATTTACGATATGATTATTCTAGTTTTGTTGTTGTATTATACAGTGCTCTTGACAGCGCATGTCATAATGGCACAGATCGCTAAGGGAACCATACATCTTATATACTAGTGAATGGATGTAGGTCAGATTACATATAACCCAGTATAAATAACTCACCCTTTGAACTAGTAGCCATTTAGCTAGGACTAAGCTAAAGCTTATTCACCACCTTCGAAGAGCCGAAATCCAAGAGGATGGATGCTGGGTTCGTCGGATCTCTAGCTAATACGAGATTCTTGAAGCTGATCACCCACTGTGCTAGGAGAATATAAACTACATAGCATACAAAGATATGGTATGTATACATGATGTTGACGAGATAGCAAGGAAGGGACGGCAATGAGTCTATTGTACTCACCATCTCGAAACACTGATAAGATCAAGTATCCATCATCACGAACTCCCAATTAGGAAACCCAGATCAATATTCCCTTTAGCTCGTCATCCATCGGGCATAACGAATGCCAGAGTGAGTCACTCGATGGACTCCGGGAGCAATAGTCTCTTCATCAACTTTACTTCTACAACTTTATCACAAAATATCATTATTCAACGCTCTAGCATTCTCGACAAACCACATCTTTATCAACTTTATCCACACCCCCAAGATGTTCCTCAGGCTACCACACGAGTTCATGCTGCTCGTAGCAGAGCAACTAGAATCACCCGCGACCTCCATGCACTTGTCCTCACCTCTTCACTCATCTACCATCGATGTCTTCCCTGCCTCTACCCACAGAATTATAACTGGGCAAAAGCGCTGTCTTGGGCCGCCGAACGCGGCAATCTCGCCACCGCCCGGCGCGCGATGAAGTACGACCAGATGCACAAAGCGCAGTACTGGAGCACGGAGACGAGCCGGTTGATCCGCAGCATAGTGATCGGCGCCGCCCGGAGTCTGAAATGGCGCGGAATGGGTCTTAGCCGCAGAGCCAGCGTGACGTATCTAGCATTTGTGCTTGCCGGAGTCCTCGGCCATGCTGAGATGGTCCAGCTCCTCCACCAAACCCATATATCCCTAGAAACACCAACTTCAGAATCCGGCGGCACGGCTCTGTTGCTCGCCGCGTGGAATGCTCGCGAGCATGGAATCCGAACTTTCCTGGACCTTGGGGCCGATATCGAAGCAAAGGATCTCCGGGGCATGACGGCGTTGATGGTGGCTTCTGCGGGTCCGCATAGAGGGCTCGGGGAGCTGCTCCTTGCGCGCGGCGCGCTGTCGAGTCTTGCGATTGGACCGGAGCAACCGCCCTCAGATATGCCGTCGACATGGCCAGGCCAGCAAGAGCAGCGGCGCTTATGAATCATGGCGCCAACGTCAATACGCAGGACTGCAAAGACCTTATGCCCCTGCCTGCTTAGCCATCTTAATGCGGGCCCTGCCTGTCCAGAACTCCTGGAGGTCCTGCTTGCTCATGGGGCAAATGTTAATGCCATTGACTCTACCGAGACAACGGCCTTAATAACCGCCATCTGTCACAGACAGACGTCGGACGTCCTTATGCAACTCCTAGAAGCAGGGGCGGATCCCAATGGGACCAATGAGCGTTGGCTGAGACCTGACAGTTGGTCTCTATAGACTCTTTCCACAATAGGAGGGCGTGGCGTTCCTGACGAGGAGACCAGGTTATGTTTTCTCATATGATCCCAGGCACACAGGGATATACCCAGTAGTCTCCGAGCCCTAAGTTTTGTTCCACGTCGCTCCGCAAATTGAGCACAGCCCGTCCAACACAAATGCTCGATCTCTGTCCGGAAAGATATTAAAGATTGCAGACTGTCATACGTCACTTCGAGGAGATCTCTTTGCCGGCACATGACGGACTAGCCCGTTTGTAATTCACCTGTGGAGGTCCGCCTCAGCGTCATAATATGATTACTTCTCTAAATGGCCAAATTGACAAATTATTTGCATTTTCCCAGCAACAGCAAGTCAATCCCGTGGGAGATTTGCAATCATTCCTCATGTGAGGAGACAAGGCGATTCTGTTATCTCCGACCTCCGTGGCTTGTTTCACAACTAGGCCAAGTCTCAATTGTGCGAGGGACCAGGGGATCAGTGTACGTGACTACATTATTACGCTCTCCACGACCGCCCATTTCGACAAAAAACCTAGCGACTTGTATCAAGGGCTTTTCAAGGTGACGTTTCAAACTGATGTTTGTATGTGATAATGTCCGTTTCAATCGAAATGCTATATCCCAATGCAACCATAAGAGGCACATGCCCCTTATCAGAACTTTTCCGTGGTGTTGCAGCCTTTCGGAACCAGAGTTGAACAAAATTCAAGCCCAGAGAATAAGAATGATTGCCCCTACTAAGTATGACCTTCCAAACAAAAGTGCATGGTAGAATTGATGCAAGCTCGCCTACCTCCCCGTCTAGAGGCCCCTGGGCAAACACAGCTTGCGTCTGACGTACAGCCAGCCCCCAGTCTGCTTTCGTGTAGCCTTTGGGCTTCGATCTGCTAAACCTGCCAGTCACCTCTCGCATTCAATACTGTGAGGACCCGCCCAGGGCTAAACGTCACCCTCACCATCCCTGAACAGCCCGAGCCAGTCACTGACTACCCGTGCATACGACAACCAGTTGAGACAGCAATCACGCCGGGCTATGCCCCTGTGCTCACAAATAAGTACCTCAGCACATCCCTTGCCCCGCAAATCCTACCTCATCCCCTTGGCGAAGCGACCTGAAGCCCACCATGGACCAACTCCAAGATATCCCGCAGACGCGCATCCTCCTCCTCGCAGCAACAGCCCTCCTAACTAGCATCCTTCTCATCAGACGCCTCCACCGCGCCTACCACCACCGCCAATTCGCGCGACGCCACAACTGCAAACCAATCACGCACTACAACAACAAAGATCCAATCCTCGGCCTCGACGAAGTCTACCGGGGGATCACCTCGGCACGCGCCCACAAAGCCCTGGAAACCCTAGCCCAGCGCTTCGAGCAGCACAAAGCAACCACATACGCGTCGAAGCGGCTCTGGCGGTACAACATCGTCACCATCGAGCCCGAAAACATCAAAACCATTCTGTCAACAAACTTCAAAGACTACGGCCTGGGCCACCGGCTCCCGATCTTCAAACCCCTGCTCGGCGAGGGGATCTTCGACACCGACGGAGCGCACTGGGCGGCGTCGCGCGCGCTCATCCGGCCCAACTTCACCCGCGACCAGGTCGTCGCTGATCTCGCTTCGTTCGAGGACCGGGTCCCCGACCTCCTGGCGTTGATCCCGCGCGACGGCGTGACGGAGGTCGACCTCCAGGATATTTTCTTCCGGTATACGATTGACTCCGCCACGGCGTTTCTGTTCGGGCAGTCGGTGGGGAGCTTGAGGATGAGGCCTTCCGAGTTGGGTTTTGCGGACGCGTTTAATTATGCCCAGGGCGCTATGATGGTGCGCATGTTGCTTGGTCCGCTGGGCTGCTTTTATCGGAATAGCAGGGCGGAGAGGTGTAATCGTCTCTGTAGGGAGTTTGCGCGTCCGTTTGTTGATGAGGCGGTTGCGATTGCGAGGGCGGGTAAGAGCGCGGGTGCTGCGGAGGGGGGCAGGTATGTGTTTTCGCACGAGTTGGCGTCGCGGACGGATGATAAGGGGCGGATTCTTGATGAGTTGATGAATGTGTTGCTGGCTGGGAGAGATACCACCGCCAGTCTGCTGAGCAATATGTTCTTCATGCTGGCGAAGCATCCCGCGGTTTGGGCGCGGTTGCGCGAGGAGGCCAACGCGTTCGGGGGCCGTGTGCCCACGTATACGGAGCTGCGGGGAATGAAGTACTTGAAGTGTTGTATTAATGAATGTGAGTGGTTCTTACCTCGGTTTGTTGGTTGTTGTCTTGCTGATTTGGTTGTCGGCCTGCCAGCTCTGCGTCTGCATCCTGTCGTACCGGTCAACGATCGCAAAGCACTGCGTGATACGGTGCTACCGGTCGGAGGCGGCGAGGATGGTCTGTCGCCGGTGTTCGTGCCGAAGGGCACGCTGGTTGGGTATATTGTATACGCGATGCACCAACGCAAGGACTTCTACGGGCCGGACGCGGATGTGTTCCGGCCGGAACGGTGGGAGGATGGGAAGCTGCAGCCACGGTGGGAGTATTTGCCGTTCAATGGGGGCCCGCGAATCTGCATCGGGCAACAGTATGCGTTGACGGAGGTTGCCTATGTGACTGTGCGCCTGGCGCAGGAGTTTAAGGGGCTGGGGAGTCGCGATCCAGGCCCGTGGGAAGAGTCGCTGACTTTGACTGTGTGCTCGAAGAATGGCACGAGGGTCTGTTTGACACCGGCTTGAGGTTGTGGTTGGCTTGCGTGGGCTTTGATGGAGTTGACTGGGCTTAGAGGTAGCTACTTGGGAATATTCATGGTAATATATCTTTCAAAAAGATTTACAATAAGGCAAATGCACTATTCCCAGGTGGCATTTATGCACGAAATCAAGAAGATTACGCTCAGCCCTAATTGCCCCCCTTCATCTTCACCCACGCCTCATAATGATCCTCAACCACCTTTTCCACAGGTAAATACGACATACCCAGCTCCTTCACACTCCGCTTATTGTCTAACTTGAAATCGACCCCGATATTCCGCGCGATCCAGCTCCTCGAGACCCCAATAAAAGGTCCCGCTAAGTAGACCATCACCTTGGGCAGGTTGCGCGCCGGCAACACCTTCGGATCGCGATGGACCGGCCGCACGATCTCCGCCAGCTCGAGCAATCCGACCGTCCGATCGCCGGCGATAAGGTAGCGACCGGTGGCCGTTGCGCTCGTGCCGGCCCTGACGTGCGCCTCGGCCACGTCGCGCACATCCACGATCGGATAATACAGTTCGGGGACGCCCATCTTATTGGCACCCGAGAAGATGTTCTCGATCGTGAAAAGGCTGCCGGAGGTGGACTCGGCCGTCAGCGGTGGCCCCAGCGTTAAGCCGGGGTTGATCACGACCAGGTCCCACCGGCTTTGATCGTCGCGGATTTTCCACGCCTCGCGCTCGGCGACGACCTTGGAGTAGTGGTAGGGATTGTTGGTTTCGCTGGCGGTGTCGTTCCAGTACGCTTCGCTTAGCGTGCTGTCTTTCATCTGCGTGACTTCGACGCTGTCGCTGTACATTGCGGCGACTGAGGTTATGTTAGAGGGGCTAGGGTAAGACGGGAGGGTGGTAGTAGGGAAGACGCACTCGATGAGGTGAGGACGACGCGGTGTACGCTCTGGCATTTGTTCACGGACTCAAGGACGTTGCGCGTGCCTTGAAGCGCGGGCTCGACGCATTCCTTCACGCCGTCCTTGATCTGCGGCGGCGCCAGGAACGGCGAGGCGATGTGGTAGACCACGCTGCAGCCCTCCACCGCTGAGTCGAAGGATCCATTGCGGAGGAGATCGGCCTCGAAGAGGAACAGTTTTCCTGAGTATTTTGCCTGGAAGTCGAGGAGCGGCTTGCATTTGGCGGTGTTCTTGAGGCTGCGGACGGTGGTATGCACCGTCTCGCCCTTCTCGAGGAGGAGCTTGACCACATGCAGACCGATGAAGCCTGTGCCACCGGTTACGAGCGAGGCCGTCATTGTCGTAAGTTGTTTGTGATCGAAGGTTGTATTGTAATGGGAGCCAAGGTGCTGATGCTGGAGGATTGTTGGGGTCGCTGGGGAGTGATGCTCCTTTTAACTCGGTCGGGCATTGCGAACAGATCTGGTCATGTTTCAATGAGTGAATACGCTTCGATTTTGTTTGTCCTACGCGAGGCTTTGTCGTAATTCAACCGGCGCCATCTTGCCCTACCCAGTGATGACAGGTTGGCTGCTGCTGTGGCCGGAGTTCGGAGCCATGCACAGGGTTCTGGGATCTTGCGATCATAAGGGCCCAGTCGTACAACTGAGTTGCTTTCAATTGTGTACTGGCTGTAAGGAAGTTTACCTTTCTGGCCTTGGTCCAAATCCCGACTCTGAACCGAACCGATGAATTTACGATGCTTGGTTCAATTATTAGGTGCTTTGACAATGGACCTCGGCTTCTTCGAGGACTCTTCGTGTATCATTATTTCATTTTTCTCCATGTATAAGACAACGTCTTTGATCGTATCATGCGAGTACGTAAGTTGCATAAAACCATGCAGCACAAAGACTTGAATCGTTCGGACAACTTTAGAAAAGAGGAATAATCTGACGGGTTTTGTAGAGATTCATATTCAGAGCTACCCAGTATCACTGCTGGGTCAAGAAATTAGGCCCCGATGACCCCTGCGTTAGCGGCATGATCCACGTCCTTTGTAATACTATGTTATGCAGGGGTAACTCTGTTGGACTCTATTGTTTAGCCCATCTGGTTTGACCATTTTGACTGCATTTGAAGCTGCGGTTTATATTGAGCCCTCTGTTTCGAAGACAACGCGTTATCTGAGCAATACTTACTCTGATACTGCATATATCACATTTCACATTCAGATGGCATATTTCATCATAAGCCATCGACCTTCGGTCTATCGCTCTAATACATACAGACTGCATCAAAGTCTAGAAAGAGAAAAAAACAAACAAACAAACACGCTAAAGGGACAGAAAGAGCACGATTACAGGTTGCTCTTGACCAGAGACACATCCTGCTGCAGAGCCAACCTGTTGATATCGGCACTGGGGGTCTTGCCGGTCAACAGCTCCGAAACCACCTGGCCCGTTCCCAGGGCGAGGGTGATTCCCCAGGGCCCGTGTCCACTAGCGACGAACACCTTTCCTCCTGCGCTGCTGACCGCGCCCGTGACCGACGAAATGATGGGCGAACCCGTTGTCGAAACCGGCCTGAAACACAATCCTTCGCTCACAATCTCCAGATCACTGGACGTCGACGAGGCGCTGCCGGTCAACAGTCGCGCCACCTCGCGCAGCCGCTCGACCTGGGCCTGATCGCGCAACTTGGGGATGTCGCCCGCGACCTCCGGCAACGGCATCTTGTCGCTGTTCAGCCCGGCAATGTAGATCTCGGGGATCCCCTCGTGGTTCACACGGCCCAGCATCTCCGGCGCGAACTCCCATTGCGGGCCGGGCGCGCAGAAGATCGAGTGGTCCTTCTGCGCCACGGAGCGCGTGTACCGCGGCGAGCGCACAATGACACTATATCCGGCCAGCCCGTTGATGCCCACGGCCATCTTCCGTTTAAACAGCGTCTGAAACACGCGAGGCGTCCAGCACCCAGCGGCAATGACGACATCCTTGCACGGCAACGAGATTTCCACAGGCGTACTGAACGCCGACATGCGCTGCTCGGCGCGCACGGCCTCGATCCTGCCCTCTTGGTCCCGCACAAACCCTGTCGCGCGCGTATTCAGCAGAATCTCGACTCTGCGCTCTCGACACTGCGCAAGCAACCACTCAACCAACGCCTTGGGATCGACCTGCGCACAGCCAGCCTCACTGGAGATCTCCTCAACGACACTCTCGCCATCGGGGCGATTCATCCACGTCGGGTTGCCCTGCCCATCGACCCTGGCATCCTTCTCCACCATCACCGGCCCTGAACCCTGACCACTAGTCGACGTTGAAGAAGAGAACTGCTTGGCAACCTCCGCCCGACTCGTCCCAGACAACAACCAATCCTCACCGCGCACCTTGCCGCCGGTCTTCCGGCCCTGCGCATCCAGCTCATCCATCGTCACTCCGAAGGCCTGGCTAGCCGCGTACCCCCATTTCCGGCGGCCGTCGTGCGCGTCCGCGAGCTGCTGATGCAGTCGGAAGGACAGGTCCGCGAGCGAGGACACGTCGTCTGAGAACCAGTCCTTGGCGATGAAGCCGCCTGAGAATCCCGAGGCGGACTGGAAGAGCGCGGACGCCGAGTCGACGATCTGGATCTTGCGCGTCGGCTCGGCTTGCGCGGCGTAGTAGGCGGTCGAGAGGCCGATGATGCCTCCGCCCAGGATTACGAGGGTCATTTTTCGTTGTTTTTGTGTGGGGGGTGAGATTATAATGATTCTGGTTTGCTTGTTTGTGTGTTGAGAGGGTTGTTGTTCAATAATTCGTGGTGGTGTATGGTTTTCAAGCTGAAAAGTGATAACAGGCCTGAAGCGCGCGTATAAGTGTTATAGCATTGAGTTTTCCGTTAAAGCGGAAGATTTGGCTGAATCGGGATGGACGGTGCGAAAAATCCCCCCACATTTTCCCGTGGAGTTTCGCCGCGGGGAAGAATTTAGGGCAAGGCTAGTCTGTTTCGGGCAGTCGATTCCCTGTTGGTGGATTGTCTCCATTGCATGATTGAGGCCTAGATTTGTCAAAAAGATTGTTAAGGGCGTAGATAGTGGGGTGCGTGGCTCAATTTGAAGATTGATGTCGATAAGGTTGGTTGCTGGGCTTGGCCGAGGCTTTGCTGGTGTGCTATCATAGGGGGATTTGCGTTATCTAATCATAAATTAGAATCACTTTAGATGTTGAAAGAGGTGCCGTTATAAATGACATTCATATTCATAAACTACTCAACAGTAACTACAGCAAACACGACATCATCAATCATCAGATTTTCACACAGCAAACCCACTTCGGCAGAGCGCGCGCATAACCCAAAGCCGGACACACGCAGGCATACAGCCCTAAAGCCACGGTCAGGAACACCGTCGACCGCGCTTTACTCATGGGGATGGATATCCTCGCTTTGCTCGGTGCCTAGTCCCAAGGTGCAGTTAGTCAGTGTTCGTTTGCCCCATCCACGAGCAGGATTGGCCATACTCATAGGTCCCTTTGGCTCATACGGGCGGAAAGACTGCGTGCGATCGGGAGCCTTGTGGGTGGTGAAGCCAGTGCTTGTTGTGTCGCTCTGCGGAGCATCGCTGCCGGTGTGAGCAGCGCGCTTCAACTCCTCCCACCGGCCACCCGAGCCGAGATCGTCGATCGACTCGACAATGTCTGCGCCGGTCAGGTGGTATTGGCCAGAGAGCTTGCGGGACTCGGACGACATAATTAGATTCAGGGTGTTGTGAGCGTTGGGAGTGCTTCTTGGATAGTGCAATCGGTAGCTTAGGACGGTCGGAGAGTCAGGATGCACGCAACAACAAAATCCGGGGTCGATGGGCGTTAAGTAGGCGGGGAAGCAACAATGACTGCCTGCATGACGTCGAACTTCGATCAAATGGGGTCGATTTAGAGGGCGAACCGGGGGTGCTGCATTCGCCGGCAAACCGTTATTGGCGCTTCCAGAGCAGCTGACACCTTGCATGCATAACGTGGGCAATTACATCAGTTTACGAGCAATAACCGGGGGATACTATACAGTTCTCATTGGTGTTTGCGGGCTGAGTAAGATGGTTATTCAAGGTTTATGGCACGTTACCAGTAGTTGCTGAACCACAAGGAGCAGTCCATGCCAAGAACTGTTGGTTGAGCTGTGAGACCAGGTGCTCTGTAACCCTAGCCCTTCTCTTCGGTTGCTCTATCTTCTGGGAAACCCTGCATTTTTTTCGTTTCTTGAACCTGGATGAAAAGGTTATTTTCATGAGCTGCATAGCAGTATAGGCACGCTACACTATTACTGGGTAGAACGGTGCATTTCTCTGTTCTGCTAGGCCGACATGAAAAGGTCCTTGCCCCGAAGAGTAGTCCATTCCCCAGACGCATACCACCACTACATCAGATAATCGCAATCATCTGTCTAGTTCCTCCAAACGGAAAGGTTCTTCTTCTTGTAAGATGTATACCATTGTCCAATCGCGGAACATTCCATCATCGTGGCACGGCAATGACGAATTGAAGCTCCAGAAGTAGATCTCCAAGGAACTTTTCACATCCGATTGACGGAATTCTACATCAGCGAGGGTTGGTCTACCCCAGCATGCCCACACCGGCAGCAACATAAATAGGCCACAACCTCCAGTCTGAAATCGTAATCCAGAACTTCGACTTGCATCGCAAAACAAGACACTCATCACAGACTTGTGAGTCCGGGTCTCTGTATCCTCATGGTGTCCAAGCAGACCCACTACAATCGCGTGCTTAGACTTAAGAAGACACAGACGCGGTAATGCAAGGGGCGCTGAACACGCCTACACCAGGCCCGAAAGCTGGATTCAGATGGATGCCATACCCTATGGATTCGAACAAGCCCATGGCGGTTGCGCGGGTGGGCCGAGTCCCACGCGGTGAGAAATGGTGGTTCCTCGTAGCCATTCTCCTCGCTTGCGTGGACTTCGACCTATCATGGGCCAATACACTCGCGCATCTTTGAGTCCATTTATCTCATCTATCTTCCCCCCATTATCATCTTATGCAGTGTTTTCAGGGGTTCAAATCAATCAAGTCCTACAACTGAGTGGTGGGTTTCAAAATCATCCTCAGATGTGATTTGGCTGTCCACCACCCTGACATCAAGATGGGGTCGGTCTCGTTGGACATATCCGTTTCAAAATTGAGTCTGCATGATTACTACGGAGTTGTCTGGTTTCGCAATCTGGCCCGGCACGCATCGGGCATACACAATGGCCAACAAACCCACGGCGGGTGCCTCGACAACCAACTACACCAACTACAGGGAACACAAACCCATTGGGGAGCTCTCGCAGGCTAAATAAAGACGCATTCGCATTCGGCATTACCCTCTACACCCCATCGGGTGTGGCGGCGTCCTGGCCTTATTGCGGGACAATCTGCCGCGCGCCGATCCCTTCAACCCATGTGGCTGCGATAATCCAGGCCAAACAACAGGATGTTCAGCAAAATGTCCCTTCCTGCTGCGACTTCACACTGTCGTTGTGCTTTCGGGTCCGCATTCAATTACTTCCGTCTTCCTTGAATTTGGCGAGTGTGGTTAACGTCAAGGTCGCAGGATGTTCAGCAAAACATCCTGGCCTGCGTTGCCCTCCATGCTGTTGATATCGTTCCGGGCCTGGTGGGATGCACTTGCGTCTTTCCTAACATTGGCTGGTGTGGTTAACGTCAGGTGAGCCTCTTCCAGAAGCCTTATACTCAGGCCAAAGCTTGCTTGGAAATGTCATCAATGAAGCCTCCCATACCAAGGTGCTGCGCCCGTTACCATGGGGTTTCCTGCTACTCATGTAACCATTTCTAAGCATGCAACCCCGGGGCTTTCGAAACCGTATGCTGGCTGTTCCCAATCATAAGAACATAACGAGGAAGCAAGAAGGCCAACGGAAGCGCGAGCCGCCAGCGAGGTGATTGTTTTGCTGGGGCGCGTGATGACAACGCCGCAAATCTGCGTGATGTCGCTAACGTCAGTGGGTGCCTCGCGAACATTCGGTATTTTCCGTTTGTCTATGGCCTCTCCAACAAGCTGAAGAGGAATGAAGCAGGGCCCTCGTGCGACGCCCAAGTCCAAGCCGAAGAGCGGTTAGAGTCATGTGCAAAAGTGCTGTCGACACGCCATTTTGGTGTGCTCTCAGGAAAAGCTGAGCAGGAACCAGCTTGCTTCCCAGTATCCCGATCTCAGAACATGACCCTCGAGAAACAAGGAACAAAAAAGAAAGAAAGAAAGAAAAAGAAAAAGAAACAAACAGTCCTCAGGGCGCAACTGAAGCAAAGGATCAATTGCAAAGTTACGATCCGCTACAACCATTCTCGTCAAGTAGGTTCATCTCCGGAGATCGAAGCATGAGTCCGTTTTCTCAAAAAATCAAGCATCAAAAGGAGATGGTGTCTTTTGTTGTCGCATTGCATGCCTAATCAGACAAGAACAGCGAATCAGAGGAGTCCGCTCCTCTGTCCCACGTTTTCTGGCATGGGTCTATTGCTTGCAGATCAATTATTCAACGTCTTCGATCAAAGTCTTGCTCACCATCTGGAAGATCATCTACAACATGCCTTGGTCTGGTGGCCTTTACTGTGCAGCCTGCCTCAAATTTCAGTGGTGGCCTGCAGTCCCAGTGATGCTTTAGTAGTCATACTACATCGTATCTCATGCATGGCAAGGCCGGTCAAGTCATTCACCTGCTCCCACTCTGAGAGGCAGTGGAACTCAGCTTCAACAGGCTGTTAGGGCTCGATCATGTTCCAGGACTCCAAAGAACCAGAGAGAGCTGCTTGTTCTTTTCACTTATTCAATATGAAACGGGCGAGCGCGATAGCTCCCTGCGCACGCTGCTGAACGACAAGAGGAGACCTCGCCGCCATTCGCATTATAAATCACATGGCGTTTCGCGAGCTGGTCACTCGGGACCAGTATGGGGCGTGGGTGCGGAAGTGTCGAGTCCAGCATCCGCCAGAACGATTGTGGGTTTGGTGTTTTCTTGTTCTACGCCGAAAATGTCCTCCTTGACACAGGCTATGACCCAGAGACGTCATCTTCAGACGCAGAGCACTTCTTTCCCTCTTCTCAGGGTGTGCCAACTGTATCTTACTGGAGAGGTGGAATCCCCTGGCAAAACGCTTCTTAGAGTCATCCGAGTCCCGGGCTTGCCTGTCAATGATCTGTAGGCTCTGTAGCCCGAGACTTGGTCAACGCCGGAAGCTCCTCGCCCAGAGTCATGGGCTTGGCCTGTGGGCTCTATAGCCCAAAACTTCGTCAACGTCAGAACCTCCTTGCTCAGGTGTGTTCTGTATACTTACTCTATTCAAATACAGTAGAGAAAGCTTAACATAAAGATAAGATTATATAAACTTCAAAAAATATAATAAAACAAAGAAAACACAGAAAAATCCAAGACTATTCTTCTTTCCCACTTATTTACCAGTATATACCCAATTAGTGTCTTCCACCAAGAACCTCTTATAGTGTAGTAACCGGGGTTTCTCCCTCATGGCTCGACATCATCCCTTTGAGAATCGTTTAGTTTTATAGACATTTTTCCATTTCCACTCCCTTTCCTACACTGAAAAAAACTTCTATTGCTAAATCAGTGGCTACTGCCTAGTCACAACCTACCGGGTAACGTTGCAAATATAGAGCGGAAAAGCCAAATACACCTGAATCGTTCCAAAACTAGCCAGATAAGGGATACGCATCTTGCTTGATCCTTTTCCAGTAATACGATGCAAATAGGACCCATTAGTAAGCTTTTGTAGATTTTTTCTAATCTCTTCTGGGGTCTCTTGAAATATGGGCTGAAGCTAGTTATATTATAACTGGAATACATAAGCTCACCCGGGAATCACAGCCAATGCCAAGCACGGAGGTCCGTATTACAACCGTGATTACTGGTTCTTGTGAGGTTGGAGTTTCCTGTATTGATGCTAATGAATGAATGTAACATAGCGGGAAGTCCGCTGCGCAATGGTCGAGATCTTCCAGGGGAGACGCGAGCAGAAGCCAAGGGCTGACAAACGAGGCATCAGGAGACGATTCACGCGACGATTGCTCATGTTGTAGCACAGTAGCGACATTTATAAACACCGATCTAAATGGGAGCTCCATTCGCTGACATTAGACTATGGAACCTCTCTGCGGGCAGGATGGCACAAGACTACACAGGACACCACGAAGTGGAGTATGAAGTATGTCACAGCGTACCAGGACAGGCAGATTCAGCTCCGGGAGGCCCTGTTGGAGTTGTTTCCGGGGGCCAATGCAAACAATATGCCCTCTCACGAGGAGATAGTGAATTCGAAGCCTCCCTGCGTCGAGGCGAGAATTCAAAAACTGACCCGCATCGCGCTCAGCGCGCCGTCATGGACCCGCCGGACCACCTACGAGATGATGGTGCTAGGCTATCGAATCCCAATCCCGCAGAGGAGTGGCTACTGGCATTCCATTGAGCACTTCGCCTGCCTGACCAAGTCGGCCCAGTCTCTGCGCGCGCTTCCCGCCCTTAACAGCATCCTCCCCTCGGTCCCCGTGACCAGAACCTTGGTCGATCTCTTGCAGCTGCCAGTGGACACGGCCCTCCAGGCTCTATCCGGTCTACGACATCGCCAACCCAGTCGGCCAGTCCAGCAGTTAATGGACGGCCGAGAGAATCAGTCGAGGGCTTTTCTCCACGGTGCGCCTGATGATGAGGGCCTGTTTGCGTGAGTCTTCGGTCGCGTTGAGCGTCAAACACGCCGAGAGCCAAGTCCTGCCGTTGAGGGGAGTTTCGCCATCACTCCAAGACCAATGGTCGATGACACGAAGCCTGTTGTTTTTCGCATGGCCATTTCGAGCTCCCCATCTATCGCGACGAGCTATCCCGCGATGCAAACATCAAACACCGCAGCCCGCTGAAGCCCAGACCTCTCAACCCTCCCATCCCAGGTACGTCCGATTCCCCAACGACTGCGTATTCGAGATCTCGTTCGACCTGTACAGTATGGACTATGGCGACGAGATACTACTCCGATTCCGATTCCTCCGGTTGCATGACCTTCTCGTCGAGTTCCTAGATCCCCGTCAGCACGACAAGCGCCCAAAAGACCGACAGAGGCGCGGTCCGTACCCTTCCCAATCTCGCCTTCAGGTTCTGAAGCTGGCTCTCCTTTATCACGAGGTGGCGGTCATCATCGAGGTCTTCGACGATGTAGTCGTGGCGCTCTTCGTCGTATTTGAGGATGATGGCTTTCACGGACGGGTCGCATTCGATGAGGACTCCTGCAGTGATGGGGTTTTGTTAGCTGGCTGTGCGGTTTGGGGGAAAGAAGAGAGTAAAATCCACCTCTGACGGCGCGTGGCATGGCGACTGGGTGTTTGTTCTGAGCTGAAGAGAATTTGGGAGAGAGATGATGGCGATGGTAGGGGATGAAGAAGGGTGAGTTGAAGACTGAAGGGAGTGTGCGCGACCGGAAGATCAGCGGGCAGGTGTGCCAAGTCTTACCGCCTCAGGCATCGCAGGCCGGCTCTGTCAGGCAACAAGGCATAAACATGCAGCCTGAGGCGGAAAGCTCGCGTTCGCTTTAGAGGCAATTTCCCCATTTTCACCCCTCGCTCCTATCTATATATGCTACATAGTACCGGCGGTCTATGTCTCACACTGATCCTCCTCATCTATAACCTCCCGTGGTTGCCTCTCCCTGTCCTGCGCGCGCCAACCCGTCCCCGCCTGTGCAGCAGCCGCAACAAGGATCAAAACACAGCTCCCTAGAAACAGCCTCTGGATAGCCTGCTCGTAGCTCTGAACCGCAACAGCCCGCTCCACCCCAGTTAAGCTCTTGACCAGCGCTGGACTGCCCAGTAACTTCCGCACAAGCTCCTCCCTGTCCTCCAACCCATGGTCCCGGAACCTAGCCTCGAGACCGCGCTTCAACTCGCGCATGAAGAACCCGCCCCCGATGGCGGAGCCAAAACTGCCCGCAAATCCCCGGCTCATGCCCACCAGCGCCCCCACGATATAATGCACGTCGGTGTGAGTGAGATACAGCAGATGCGAGAGCGTGTAGTTCAGCAGCGCGCCGACGGCCAAGCCGTTCACGAAGGTGGCACAGACAAAAGTGATCACGGAGGATGTGGGGGTCGCCACCATCGCTAGAATAAAGCCCGCAATGGCGAAGAGCAGGTATCCGATCAGGCTCGAGCTGTTGAGTGACTAGTCAGTTGCCAGTCTGTATCCCGGTGGCTAAAGGTGCATGGGGCCAACATACAGGTAATAGCTTTGGGATCTACGGATGTGCAACCAGCCCGCTAGCACACCTCCCAAACCAAACCCAGCATTCGTGGGTACCAGGATCAGACCGGCCGACGCTGGGTTCCAGTCGCGCACGACCATCGCATACACTGGCGAGTAAAAGAGCACGGACCAGCGGGCCATCCTCGTAATCAAGCCCGCGAAGCAAGTGAGTCCCACGGTTCTGAGCTTCACAATGACCATGGGGATGATGGGCTGGGATGCAAAGCGAGCTTCGATGAGCAGAAAGAGACCGATCGAGACGAGAAACGCCAAGATCGGTGCGATCCGGATCTCTGACGAAGCCAGACTGGATAGCAGCAAGGTGACCGAGATGGTCTGTGGGGTCAGATGGCTTGTGAATGTGTAGCACATGGCGAACTCACCATTGTCAACGCGCCTGCATAGTCAACCTGGGCCAACTTCTCCAGCAAGGCGCCCTTATCCAGCTCTTCGTCTTCCGGGCGGATCGGAATCGCCGAGAACATGACAGGGGCTAATATGAGGGCGACCGGCGCTTGGATCCAGAAGATGAGACGCTAAATGGGCGGCCGTCAGCAAAGCCACTCTATGCCGGTAGGGCTGCACCGACCCATCCGTAAGCCGTCGTCAACAGACCCGAGAGCACGGCCCCCGACGAGATACCAGTAGTCATCCCAACGCTAATCAAGCCGAGGAACAGCCCTCTGCGCTTCTTGCTGGTCAAATCCAACGTCAGAACAAACGCCGTGACCGTCTGCCCGCCGGCGCCGCATCCCGCGATCGCTCGTCCCAGGAGAAACACAGCCAGATTCGGTGCGGCTGCAGTGACGAACAGTCCCAAAGCCAACAGGCTCGAGGTGAAAAAGACGTAGACCCGTGGTGTAAAGATCTGGCACAGTCGACCTGAGAGTGGGGCGATACTCGAGTATGCAATCTTGGGGCAGGATCGTGTCAGCTCCGCGCGGCAATCTCTCTCATACCACCAGACGTGAAGGGACTACCAGGAACACCGAACTAAACCATGTGACCACGGAGAAGGCATCGAATTCGGCGGCAATGGCCGACTGGGCAGTGGTCATAACGGTGATTTGAGTGGCTTGAAATTGGTCAGCCGCTGTAAGCTGGAGAGTGTAGTTGTCAGACAGTCTCTACCTTGAATAAACAATAGCAGTCCCATGGCTACCATTATGGCGGAGCCTTGGAGAGCCGTGGCCGGGACCCGAGGCGCATCCTGCACTTCCTCCGCGAGACGTCCCATGAGGGGAGTCTGCTCCGATGGTAAGGATTTCTGTTGAGGGGCAGTCATTTTGGATTGTGGTGAGCAAGAGTGTCTTCTCACGGGCGGACTCTGTTCCAGGGCAATTCTGCGAGTAAATATCGAGGGGCATGTATGATGTGATCGGCGCAGAAAAATGCGGAATGAGCGGATAAGCTCTGTAACTGCGGAGTAGCGAATAAGCATTTCTAATCAGCCCAGACGAACCAGGCAGACCCGTCACCATTTCATGGCATAGATAAGTGATGGTCGTCCAATAACAAAGATTCGTGGTAGCTCGGACGTTTGTGTCTGGGTCGGCTCAGGCCGAGAACTGGTGGAGAGCGAATATCCGACGCATCCGCTTATCTGGCATCATTCTGACAGCTCGCCATCTTGGTTATCTCTACGGATAATGATGTAAGCTCTGGTCCATCTGAGATCAGGTTTCACATGTCACATACATCGCCGATCATGGGTTAGAAGTAAACGACCGAGTGCATTGCCGGTAGTGGAGCTGCGGGTACGATACATGGAGCCTGGAGTACTTTTGGTCCTTCCTAGTCGGAATGAATGTGGACCTCCGACATACACGGATGACTTCCACTGCGTAGTATGTAATCTCGGCAGTTACTCAGGTGGCTTTGAGTGATGCTAGTCGACTTCGGTGTGCGTGTGGTTAGTTGTTGTTGAGATGGTTTGAGGAGGGAAGGAGAAGATCAGGAGGAGGGCGGTATTCCGGGGCAGATGACTTTGGGTGGTAACTAGTACTAACGAACTCATGTAAATGCACCATCCCAGCTGACCCTCGCACTCGCAGCTATTAAAGCAAGCCCCTTCGTTTTGGGCTTGCTATGGTAAGATTCTTGCAGAATGGCCGGTCTGCTTCTTGTACGACCTCTCACACCACCATGAAAACCTCAATCATCTCGCTCCTCGCGTATCTAGGATACATTTCTTTAACGGCCAACGGGTTTTCCCACCAATTCACAAGTGAGTGTACCGGCCTTGGCTTCCTGGCACGTGCTAAAGATGAACAGCTCTAGAACAAGGATCTAAAGACAAGATAGGTGCTCCGCATGCGTCGGAGACAGTTGTTGGAGGCCACGAAGACTGTGAGTCTCGTCGTCGGGTCAGAGATATCCACAAGTACATCCACTGATTCAATCTATCCTCGCCAGCCTGCTATGTCTGCTCACCCCCTTGCTCAGCTGCAGTTTGCTGTCACGGGAGATACCCGCAGTGTTGCACCGATGGGGTCTATTGCTACTGTTGCCGAGACTGACGAGGAGTGGCGACGCATGGTTGCACCAAGCTCGCACGGATCCTAGCTTGACAGCGCATCGGAAGAAAGGCCAACGAGTCACCGCGAAGGAGACGGAGCAGATCCGTGTTATGATACCTATATAGTCTAGGAGGTGACAGAATACCACATTATCGATCTAAGACGCTTGTTATGTGCTCAGCAGTACTTACACACGAGGCCATTCCGGCATGCCAAAACGGCCTATAGGGCCAAAAGCCTGGTACAACAGGTCCAACCATCGATCCACTATCCATAGATACCCGTTGGCTGTCTCCACCTGCGCAACAAGGATGGGATTTATGATAACAACCGCGTCCTTCTGCCGGGTGATAGTAAGATTGAGTCTGGTCACATCGCTGGCTATTGACAGAAAGTCGTTAAACCCCAGGCTGGCAAACCTCTCGCCACCACTGTAGACCCAGCCATATTCCCACACAAGGGTGTTGGATGAGCTCTTACAGGGGGTCACCAGTGAGTTCATAAGCCTCATTTTGCGGGGCAATGAATGATACTTTTGAACCATGCTGTCTCGAGAGATGACGAAGCGTGTCCGGGGAGTTTGTGCTCAAGATTCTCGAGAGATTGACCAGTCAGGGATCTTCCTGCAAGAATGCAGCAATAGTCAGATTTGTCTTCTCCTTCATCGGTGCGGTAGTACGATTGCTGGGCCCTCCGCCGTAGACTAGGGAAGGGTCAATGACCTGGGCAATTGATGGATAAGGCCAATTTTGGCCGCGATATTCGCTGTGGTGATTGCTGCTTGGTCGTCGATGTACGCGGTACCATCAGTGGAATTTATGAAGTGGATATAGTAGCCCTCTGCACGATCTTGATGAGGACACCTGGTTGAACTGCTGGGATGTATGAAACAGCTCGAGTGCGGTGGGAATCTCCGACATCACTGTCACGCTCAGACAGCCCGACAAGGTCGGAGGCTGTAAGACACGCCTCGATGATGTGCGTCCACGGGAGCGCCTCAATCAAGATATAGGCCTGCTACGTCATGAGAATCTCGAAGATCGCAGCGGTCATTTTGGCCAATGCCTGTCTGACCGTATAGAGTTTCATGGAGCTAGTGCATTGGATTGCTGGGGAACGTACATCGTTGGTCGGGGCCAGAAAGGTATAGTTACGTTCGTAGTCGTAGCTGAAGCGTTCGGATAACATGAGATTAATCTGCACGATGCCTCCCGTCAAGTTGTACACCTGTGCGTACACTGACAGTGCTGGGATGTCGAGGAGGGTGTCCATGAATGGAGAGGCCTTCGCGGCCCCGGTCATGACTGCAGTTACCAGCGCAGTTGCTGCAAAGATTAACATCGCTTTCGTCTCGGAAAAAAGGCTAGAAGTCAGTCCGATTCTGGACGCTGCGTACCACCATCGGAAAAATAAGAACGGTCTTCAAAGTGTCTACCGAATGACTGACAGGAAGCAAACATGTTACGCATCACTGATACCCAAAGTAAAGAGATATTCGATCTAATCCGGTGAAGAGGACTAATTGCTTGAGGTGACCATCGTCTCTGACGGTAAAGGTCATGTCAATCAATACCTGCTATACTTCTTCCGGAAGTTTTTCTCATCTCGTTCGGGGTCCGGCAACAAAAATCAAGTGTTATTAATTAAGTGAACGCGTTCTATATCTATCTATTTTTCCCAAGCCAGGATTGTGGGACAAACTCCATGGGTATTGATCATCACAGTATCTTGCTTTGCACTCCCGGCACAACGAAAGACACCTTCTCTAGAATGCCTTCCTTCTCAAACGTCTGGCGCAGATCCTTTCCCATCTCTGTGAAGTGATGCCATGCCTCAAAGTGAATGGGGACAATACGCTCGATCCCAATCTCGCGGACCAGTCTCGCGGCATCGCCGCCGCTCATGGTGATCTGCAGCGGCTCCGAATGACCGGGGGGCATGACCTTGGCCGCGCCCAAGTTCATCACTGCCAGCATGATGTGGAACTTTTGCTTCATTTGCTTCAATTCCTCCAGGTAAACCGTATCGCCCGTCACCCAGATTGCGTTGGGTCGTCCATCCGCCGAGTGGGCGAAAGCAGCCGTGTGGAGGATGAAGCCGGTGACCTCGCCCCCGGGAAGATGGACGCATGGGGTGCCGGTGATCTCGTACTTGACACCGCGGATAAAGTGGGTCTGCTGCTCCCAGGGCTTGATTCCGTGGACGCCGGGGCGAGGCGCGAGGTTCTTGGCTCCGTCCATGGTGGTGACAACATGGCGGCCATCGAGCAGTTGTCGACCCACGGGGTCCAGGTTGTCGCAGTGATCCTCATGGCTAAGTAGCACGGAGTCGATGGGGGGGAGTTCATGCAAGCCCAGGGCTGGGTCCTCCATGCTGCTGGTCACCAGAGGCTCCTTGGCATCAGGGAAAAGATGAGTGATGTCGTGCTCAACCCCGGCTGGTCCAAAGACTGGATCAGTGAGAAAGGTGACATCGTCAATCTGGAGTATAGCGGTGGCAGTGGTGATATGGGTCACAGAGACAGAGCTCTTGAAGCTTGAAGAGGACATGACAGTCATTATTGCTCGCAGGTGTATTCTCTGTAGGCAGATGGAGCGGGGGGATAAGAGAGGATTGAACGAGAGTGTGAGTGGATAGACGGATACTCAAACAATATGAATAAATCTCAAAATAACTAGGAGGCGTTATGATCGCTCTAAATATCATTCTGATATCTCGATTTTATCGCCGAATCTGTTAGTTATCGAGCGCACCGGGCGGTGGATCTCCATCCCACTCGGACAAGTTTTGGTCAGCTCCGTCGATGCGTCAAGCAGACAATAAATTCATTAATTCATCAAATGAATGGCATTTGTCAGTGATCATGCTATCTTACGCAATCAGCGGCTGGCTGTCTGAAACTCATTACAAAAAGCGACAAGATGCTCGTCCTTTCCTTCCTCTCTTTGCAACGCTTCTGTCAGGCAGTTAGTCAGTCAGCCAGTCCGTCCTCCTACCTACTTGACCTCCTTCTCCAACTCCAACCATGACGTCCTTGTCGTCTTCTCTCTACACAGCTGCATCCTTTCTCTGTTTTGCCATCATTCCCAAGCATGTCAAAGTTGGTCTCACACTAATCCCGAAGGCGATTGAGGCGATTCCAGCCACGGAGGAATTTACTCTGGCGAAGGCGATCATCCCCGCCACCTGGCATTTTGTCAACGGCTACCTAGTGACGCTTGGTATGACGTATTCAGTATTCATCGGTCTTGTTCTTCTTCTAATGCTTCTCTCCCTAGGCCTCCTGAATTACAGGTGGGCTCGCTCTGGAGGCCCTACCTCGACGGCTGAACAGTGGATGGTCGGGGCCAACGCGCTAGCTGGGGCCCTCGTTGGCGTGCGATACTACAAAGCTGGTCTTAATATTGGGTTGTTGGTCTTGTGGCTTGCTCCTAGTCTGAGTATTGCTGCCGGACTTCTCTGAATCCGAGCAGGCTTGTCACGAGGACGTTATGTAGTCAGAGGGCAGTCATAGCGGGGGCAAGTTGAGAGGCATAATATCAGAAACATAGATGAGAAATGAGAGATAGTGGGATGTTTGAATGTAGTCTAATGAAGCGACCCAAGCAATTGGTACGGTCCCGCATCTGATGAGCGAAAGTAACCTGACGCGGTGGTTCCTGCTTCTTGATCGCTTTGGCGTCCACGTGGAATAGATACGGCTATAGCTCATGTAAGGTGAGCAAACCTTGCGATCGATTCGGTCACTTTCTTTATTCTTTGCTTATTGATCCATGTATTCGAGTATCATAATCACCCATTCCAATTGACCAAAGCACTGCATCGGGACCTCGGGACCTCGGGATCTGATAGATTTCAGTCTGTGCCGACGGCCCGTGGTGGAAACTGTGCTGACTCGCCCGATTAACTGGATTTGGCAGGTCAGAGGAGAGTCCGTCACGGGTTACAAATCAATCTGCTAATGCAAATTTCTAATCGCATCATGCCCCTGGTGGGATGGACATTGTCTAAGGGGAGTGACTTCCCTTTATAAAGCAAAGCTTGCCAATTCGAGGAATAAGGAATATCATTCGCACAACTCGAAACTGATTCGACACTTATCTATCTACTACCAGGAAGATGATGGTCGGTGGAGCTTCTGACGGTAAGCATCCTGCCTTGATATCCTTGAGATGCACGTTGAACTTTAAAAAATAAAAAAGGCTGACTCAGAAGCTTGTTTAGGCTGGAATAGCCCTAACGATCCCGAGAACCCGTTCAACTGGTCCCCCGTGCGGAAGTGGTTTGTAACAGGCTTAGGCCTTCTGGCTAGTTTCGAAACTCTTATCAATGGCACCATCATCACTGTGGCCCATGAAGCGATCAATCATCAGTTCGGCGTCAGTGATGCATCCTTTCCCAATTCCTACTGGCCAGTGGCCTCTTGGGGCTTTGGCGGCGCCACCTTTTCTCTGATCGTTCTTCCTATCATGGAAGACTTTGGAATCCGCTGGGTGTTTCTCGCCATCTATCTTTGCTTTCTCTGCTTTCTGGTACCACAGGCTGTTGCGCAGAACTTTGCTACTCTGGTTGTCACCCGCTTCTTTACTGGGGGATGCGTGGCTATCCTGGCCAACACCGTGGCAGGAGTAATTGGCAACATTTGGTCCGGGGATCGAGCTCGCACGCTCCCGATCAGCCTCTATATCACCATTTACATGATCTCTAGCAGCATCGGCCCTGTCGTGGGCGCTTCTATCTTTGAATATCTCTCATGGCGCTGGATTGGCTACATCGAGTTAATTTGGACTGGCGTCCTGTTTCCTGTCTTCCTCCTGGCTTTCCCCGAAACCCGAGCGTCGGCCATCCAGAGCAAACGGGCTCGAAAATTAGGTCGTACCACTGAAGCCGCCACGGAGCTGAAAAACGAGACTCAAGGAAGCGCAGGTCTACTCATCCGACTGAGCGAGAGCATCAAGCGGCCGCTCTACATGCTCTTCACCGAGTCCGTGGTCTTCGTCGCCACCCTCTGGTCCGCGTTCAGTCTCGGAACAATCTACGTCTTCACGCAGTCTGCGGAACAAGTTTTCAACGGCCTCTATGGATGGAATGCGACGCAGGCAGGCTACGTGCAAGCTGCCATCGTGATCGGGGAGCTCTTTGGGTTCGTTCTGTGTCAGGTCTGCAATCGGTGGTATTTTGCCTCCGCTTCGCGCAACCCCGAAATCCCGGGCAAGCCAATCCCCGAGGCGCGGCTCTATGCCGCCATTATAGGCGGTGTCTTGGGCAACACGGGGGGTATGCTTATTTACGCTTGGACCGCGTATCGCTCGCTCCCCTTCATCGCGCCCGCCATCGGCCTCGCCATGGTCGGTATGGGCAGCACCGCTGTGGTAATCAGCATCGTGACCTACCTCCTGGACGCGTACGCGCACCTGGCCGGCAGTGCCATCGCGGCCGTCGGTTTGGGTGAGAATGTCTTCCTGGCGCTCCTGCCGCTGGCTACCCAGAGCATGTACACGACTTTGGGCTTTCACTGGGCTAGCTTTCTCTTGGGTATGATCTCTTTGTTGCTGGCGATGGTCCCGTTTGTTATGTTGCGGTGGGGTGCGCAGATCAGGGCGCGCAGCCCTCTTTTGCAGGAGGCGCTGGTGCTGACAGCCGAGAGCATGTCCGGCCCAAGCGAAAAGTGAAAAGCAACTTATGCTCGTAGCACGGGCTAAACTATCGATCCGATATAGCGTTGTAAGACGTTCAGGCCGGCATCATGTCGTCTGAGGTGCCTACACACACTAGTCTTCTGACTCAAGAGTGGTATGATCCTCCGCTCTCGTCAGGCAGCGTCCCAGAATATCTGGCTTATTCGATGAATAGAAAGAATCCACGGCTAAGAGTCCTATGATTCGCTCTAATCCTGCTCCTACCTATCGCCGCATTCATTGCGTCAAATTCCGCACGTGCAGCCACGAGTCCAGTCAATGCAACTATGCCATCAAGCATCGACTCAAACAAACTATGTCATAGTATAGCTGGGATCTATACTAACCTGAAATGAAATTCATGTCTAGATCTACAGATGACAGAAGCATATCATTTTCTAAACCCAGTAGCATTTATCTCCGCCCAGCGCACATGAATAACGTTCTTGACGATCATTCCATAGACTAAAAAAACGTGGTCTTATGCAAGCTGGAACAGAATCAATAGCATCTGGTGAACCTATTTGAGCTTATATGAACAACTGTCCAGAGTAAGAGATCGACATGTATTCAGCAGGTTCCTGCCTTGTCCACTCCTCTCCGCTCACCACATAAACCCATTTTTCTGCCGAATCGGCTCACGCCCAGCTGCGTCGCGCCAATAGACCGCTGGTCTGCAGGGCCCAACGCCCACTGTACATCAATAGCATTCGAGAGGCCCCAAACCGTTCTTGGTCGCGCGCCGCAAGGCCGGGGTGAGATCTTCTTTGCTGCAGGAGGTGCCCACGACAAATTCCCAGAGCACACCGTTACCGCCGTCGCAGCAATTGTCAATGGCGGAGCAGTGGAATTTATTCCATGGTCTTATGCAAAAGGCGTCGCGTGCGACTTCTTTGCCGATGTTTTTTGCTCATGATCGTCCATCCATTGTACTTATTGCCGCCGGTCTTTCCTACCCAGGGCTCATATTGCATGATTGGTTTTAGGCTGTGGAAATGGGCAGGGGAAGAGCCAAAAAGAAAAACACCAATAAAGGGCTTCATGCTGGGATGTTTGGAATGGGAAGAGTGAGGGACGGTTGGAAAGTGTCGGGTGCTGTGAGTGATGGATGGTATGCTTCCCGGGCCTTCTTTTATGTTCTGCAGCTGACTTATGAGGTTCGATTTACCGCAGTCCAGTCATGATCCCACCCGCCTTTCCAACGTGAAGCCTTTGTACTGGGGAGTTCTGCAGAAGGAGCGAGGGCGAAAGTCGTCAACAAGGTGCTTACCAGCCTTTTTCAAACTCAGTGCAACATTTGCCCCTGTGCAGCTTCTTCCCGGGTAGTCCAGCATTGCGACGTTGAAGGTTCTTGTTAGGGCATCTTCTGCGGGCAAAGCCCTGGGTGAAAAGCCCGCCGTGCAATCCCCAACGCTTCATTGCTTTATTTGCTTCTGGGTTCAGAAAAAAGATCACTTTATTCGACACGATTAATTCGAAAAGTCCTTGGGGCTTATTTCTGGAGGCCTAGCGGATGTGTCGAGGGTGCATTTGACCCTGTCCTGTGTCTGGCTTACTGGGCTCCACTTGCTCACTTTAACCGCACGAACTATACCTCGGTGTCTGCATTAAGAGACCTACTGCACAGCCACTTGCACACATCTGGAGCGAGACCCGCTCGATTACGGTCTGAACTACCAGAAAGCCACGGTGGTCGGACAGAGACTACGGTTTCTCGGATCGGCTACCATCCAGGTTCGCAGATCGTTTCTCGTTACACTCAGAGATAATCTAGCCTGGAATGATGCAGGGCGTTTTCGGCAACATGTGCTTCACTCAAATCATAAGAGTGATACTCATGCCAGTCCATGCGTCGCACACCCGCATCGACTATCCGTCCCTGGCATCCACTCTTCTCTATCGTGCAACCCTTGTCACATACGCATATATGCCTCCCCGCTGACCCATGAGCAGAACGCCGCAACAACATGCTCGCCATGAGATTCCATTCCGTGGGCACAGCAGGCTCGCGGTTTCTGCAGACTAACGCAATCTATGTATTTCGGACCACATTCGACCCATCGCGGCTGGAACGAGCTTTCTACCAGCTCCTGTTCGCGTGGCCGGATATTCGAGCACGGATCAACCTCCAGACGGACTGGCGCATATCCGACCGACGACACGGCGGCACGGTGGCAATCGCGAGTGATCGACGCGCCCTGGCCGAATGCATCTCTCTCGACCAGATGGCCCAGGAAGAACTGGACCCAGTCGAACGAGCGCGGTTGGGGGGGGATTGTTCCAATCCAGCCGCTCACTTGGATTCCAACTCTGTCCCCCGGTTTTCGAGGTACACGCTCTCTATTTTCACGATGGTTGCATGCTGAAATTCATTATCCAGCACGTGTGCTGCGATTCGGCAGGTAACGTGGTATCTTGTCTGGCATTAAGTGCATTGGTTTGGCTGACTCGAGAGTCAAGGTCTCTACACGAATCATCTCCGCCTACGCGTCCATCCTACATGGCGAGTCGATCGAAGCCTTGGAAGAGCAACAGCCTAGCAGGCTTGTGTTCCAGGCCCCTACGCAAGAGAGCAACGGTCCTCAAAGCGACGACGGGCTAGTGAGCCAGCTCTACCAAGCAACACGTCGACAATGGCTCATAGGCTGGCTCGACCACATCATCTTCTTCGTGTAGCATTGGCTAGCTAGGGCTTTCTTGACTGACAGGCCACGATCCCTCCGACCGATGCACATCGCAGGCTCGGCCGGTGGTCCATCTCCTTACCCATGCAACCCAGCAAAACCTCAACGTGACAAGACACGACCTAGTCTCGGCTATCATAGCGCAGGTAGGAAACCCCGTTATCCCTTATCGAAAATCCACAACAACTAACAACTCGCCGCGCCGACCTAGGCTGCGCTGCAAGTATACCCAGACGAAACCACGCAAACCATCGGCTTCGCCTACAGCTTCAGCCGCCACCTCGAACGACCAGCCGCACTGCAGAACGCGATGTGGGTCATCTCGATCCCGCTGCCCACGCAGACCGAACACCCTGTCTCGATCGAGGCGCAGCTCCTCGCGTTGGCAGTCCGGGTCTGCCAAGCCGTTCACGCCGCCCGCAGTGCCGCGAACTCTTCCGCAGGCACTACGCAGCCATGGGCCCGTGGCACCCGTTCCGCCCCACCGTCCGCAGCCCTAACTCCCCCAATACCGTCGTCTTTTCGTCCTCGCAACTACATTGGCAGAATCTGGATTTTGGTTGTGAAGGGTGTGAGCTCAAGCCCTTTTTATATGACCCTGGGCGTCGGTCTGGTTGATGTTCTGCGGTCCATCGGCTTGGGTTACCATGACTGGATTCTCACCACCATGGACAGTGTCGACCATGGGTATTGCCTCTAGGCGTCGCTCCATGCGGAGCACTGGGACCAGCTTCATGTGATCTGTGCAGGGCTTCTGGCTCACCGTTGAGGTCGGACGGGGTTTATGCTACCATTCGGTCAGGGTGAAGGCGCGGCTGGGACGGTGGAGGCAGCCGGCCACATGCACTGTACTGTACTAGTAAGGAACCGGGCCCTGAGAACGAAGGGATTAAGAGGCGGGGGATGAGACCGTGGTTGTTGATCACGCCTCAGGGCTATAACGGCTGGGTCAGTGTGGACACCATCGGCAGGATGCAATGCTTTGGGGAGTTGATATGCCTTGGAGGGTGCACGTGGAATCAGGTCGAGACACGGATCTCGCAGGGCAGTATGTGGGTAGAGACATGGGCCTATGTCGCGTTCGAAGCGGAGCTTCCAGAGTGCTTTCGGTTGCCTTCGCTGTACTCAAACTTTGGGCCGTCTGTCATGAGACAATAGCCGGGATGAATCGGTGAAGGAAAGTGAAGGGTGGGCAGGCCAGGTCTCGTATTAAGAGGACTATCTTCTCTCTTCCCGCAGAGTACTTCTTTTCCGTCCTCATTCAGGACAAGACTGATGGCCATTGAAAGTTTCGAATCTTCAATGGGAAACAGCCCGGTACACATTTAATAGTTTATCGATTTTACATCTTCGCAATACACTATCTCTAGTTGTTCAAGTGGGAATGGGATGTAGCGGTTAAGGTTATTACTCATTCCAAAGGCACAATGAATCGAGATGACCAAGGTAGGTAGTTCCTGCACCTCTATCAGATCTGGGCGTTGCCTCCCTTGTTTCTGGTTGGTCAGATTCTGTCTATAAAATACGAGTTCTTTCTTTCTACTGTGTACATTCTGGATTGTTCGATTGATGTTTCCATTCTTCTGTAATATGATGCAGACACACCGAGTCCTATGCTAAAGTATGCGAGGACAAGACAGTGCACAGCAGTTACTGTACTGGAGACAGTCCCTCATGCAATTGAGGGCACTCTTCACTTGCGGTCGCTTCGTTCGGCGCAGCGTTCCATCTCGGCTTGCTTCTAATCCTCCTCGTACTGGCGCAATTTCATTTCTTTTTGGTGCTCAGCATGCATGCGCTCTAAACTGCGTCGTGCTAACGCCTTCCTATTGGCGTGCGCGGCCACCTTACCGGCCTGGAACTCTTCGCGCTGCTTGCTTGTGACCTGGAACTGTTCCTTCGAACGGTCTGCCGGGTCCCGATCATTGAGCTCGTCCCACTCCTCCTGGGACTGCTTCTGCCACAGCCCCACAATCTTCAGCATGTCGTTCCAAGTATACAAACACGAGATCTTTCTATCACCTCCGCCCCGCTTCTCGATGAACTTGGTCCAGTGGCGGAGCACCTGCTCGCAGAACCGGGCCCGCCACCACAGCCGCTCGCAGTGCGTTTCGACGTTTTGCTTGTAGTACGGGCCCCGCTGGGCCCACTCCTCGTGCTCGCGCACCCGAGCCATGTGCTGCTCGCCCACCTCGCAGTAACGGACCACGTCTGAGGGCTGCGGCATGAAATCGCCTTTGATTTTGTGCAGCCGGTCGTACCAGTGGTGCTCCACTCAGTCCATCATCTGCTTGAACATCTGCGGCTTCATCTCGGTCAAGATGCTTTGTCGACTCTTTCAGACGGCGCTGAGGTAACAAGGCAAGCTATGACAACTCCGGTCTTCTCAGTTCGGTTTACATGTTCTGGGAATCAATGAGAGAGCGCGGCAAAGCCGTGAGGTTCTCCACGTCAATGAAATAATTTGGAACCGTGGTCAAGTGTTTCTGCATTACATGTCCATTCCGACTGTCTATATTCTGTCCAGAGCTAGACGTGTATGAAGGAAGATTAGTTTGACTCGCACAACGACACAATATCATCAGGGACGAAAGGTTTGAGTATGTTGACCAAAGACGACAAAGGAACCCAGTCTAGAGTCCCATGAATCGTCTCAATGGCCCGACCACTGTAGAGGACACGGGCGTAGTGCTCAGAGTCGGAAGTCTTCCTGCTCGAATTGTTAGCACCCAGTTCCGGGATGATTTTTTCAAGGACGTACCATATTTCGAAGGCGATGTTTGAGCCCATCCCTGGCCAACGTAACGCCTTGATTCCCAATGCACCTAGGATAGGCCCCAGATCTCCATCATGCACGAAATTGTGGCTGTAGACCAGAGTTGAGGTGTTCTCCGCCACCGCCTCCAAATGCCGTACAATCTCACCGATGAACAGCCCCTCTACCAGCTGAATATATCGCGTAGCGTTGGCATTGTATCTCCACCAATAGTTCCATTCCCAGTCACCCGCACGAAAGACTTCATCTGCTTGCTGCTGAGTCACACACAGAGAATCGTCCTTGATGCTGCAGGGCAGTTGATAGCCGTTGCACAGACGAGCCTGGAAGTTGTCGGCGAAGTGATCAAAGGTCGAAGTCCAGCTCGAAGAGTTTGCATCGAACATGGTGGCTAACTTGGTGCGAAGCGACGCCGTGACGGACAGATGTTCTTCCCACTCCGCGGTAGACTCAATGACTGACAGAAGGTCGCTGCGTGCGGAACAAGAAAATCCTTGATCGACGGTGTCGACACTAGATGCTTGCTGGTGCAAAGGCAAAGACCCACGATAATCCGGCCAGAGCCCTCTCAAAACACCGCCCGCAGAACCCTGCGTTAGGGCGGAGCTACTACTGCGTAACCAGACCTTGTTGCCATTATCCTCGTCCGGGGAAGATGGGATGAGCTGCAATTGGTCCCGATACACCGCCCGCAGATCGCGACCGTGTTCATATCCGTCCAAGAACCCTCCAACCGTGAGTTGTGGATATTGGCAGGACCCATTGACGTAGCCTGCTAGAAATGGGTTGGTTGGATCGGAGTATGACTGCGCGTATACGTGCAGTGGGGATGGATCTTGCGAGGCGGGCGCAGCGTATAGAAAGGGCTGGACGTTGTTGCAGTTATACTCTTGATTCTGTGGCAAGTCAGCGGGGGCACCTTCGCATCGGGACAAAAAGGATAACCGGATCACCGACCTCGCCGCCCGGAAGAATGTTGTAGGGAGTCCTGCGTTGGTGACGCTGCAGGTATTCGAGATAAACCAACTGGCCGGAAACGGACCCATTGGCGATAGGAGGAGGTAGTACGTATGTGTCTACGCGGGGATGCGGCATAGAGCAATAATTATAGCCATCATCCGAGGTAGTCGGGCTGGCCTGATCGGCCGGTGCCGAGTAAATCCCTCCATAGGTCCCAAGCGAAGTGTTGGTGATGAAGGTAGTGTGATTGAGCGGCGGATAGAAAGTGTCGCGCGCCGCGACCGAGGGAGCGAGGAGGGTAAACAAGAGGGAGATCATGTCGGTGAGGCCCTCGTAGATGCTGATTGACATGGCGACGCCGTGAGTTCGGGCGGCAAATGATCGCTTTTTATAGTACTCCAACTGGCATCCTCCGGAGACAGTTCTTTTGGCGAGCAAGTTCACGATGCGGGCCCCTTCGGAAAAAAGATGGTTGCGCTCCTGGCGGGGATCGACGGTGTCTGGCCGGGTTTACCACTCCTAGACCGCGATTTCCCACGTGGGTGGGCAGGGACAGTAACCGAGGAGAGTGACGGAGATTGAACTCCCACGTCCATTGAGGAAGTCATTGGATAGGCTAATGCAATCGATTGACTGGGTAGGATAGAGCATTTCAGCATTGACAGCCACGGAGGCAGTGAACCAGGCCCACCAGCGAGACCATGGTTGTTGTTGTTTGTTTGTGGAGTCTGATGGATGGAGCAGTTGAAGGGAAGCTGGGGAAACTGAAGGAGGAAGTGACGGGAACGGGCCGGAGGTCAGCTGACCCGCCCGCTCAATGACCGGGTATGTGGTCGACCTGTCACGTGGGGCGAGATAAGCAAGCATGATGAATGAATGCTGGAAGGGTTGAAAGATGGACGGATTGATCTCAGTCTCGTTCAGCATCTGCAAACCATGGAAGGGAATTGGGTCTTTTCCCCGTCTTCCCTTACTGCTCAATCTCAGCTGCGCACTGCTGAGAGACCGGCAAGAAACCTACTATCTCATTCTCAAGATCCTCTGACGATACGCGATGAAAGGGTATAGGGCTTGGGGTTGTCCTTCAATCGCTACCTTCCGCTGTCACTTGATGATCTCTTATCTGTCAATATACCTTAGTCGACGACGGGTTGATGGTTTGAATTATTTCATAATGTTCCAAGGCCATATCATATCCGATGGTATTTATTTGACCGTGCTCGAGGAAGCATTCAGTTGGGCAAAAGAAAGGAGTTGTACTTTAACATGTTGAGCAGCGACCGCGGCACCGGTAAGATGCTTTATCTAGCGAGACATAGAAGTACTACCCATGCCTGGAACGACTGGATGAATGAGAGGCTTGCTCATTTATATTTTCAGCATGAGAAAGTGCGCTTCAGGTTGATTCGCGATCGCAAAATCAATCCTAGAGGCATGTATGTTATAAGATGTGAGGCCACTGTGCAGCGGAAATATATTTTTTGTCGAATGTCAATGTGAAAATTCTCCGTAGCTTGCTAGAGCGTGACCAGCTGGCGCGACTTGATCCAATGCCCCTACGGTTGAACTGAATAACATCGCGACTGTTGCTGCCACGGAGATAAGGGATCAGGGGCTGGGTGCGAGTGCTGGCTGTGGATATCTGGGATGCAGCCCATTGTTGTTATGCGCTAAGCAGATAACCGCGACCGCTCTCGAGACAAGATGGCTTTCAGCATTTCACGCAATCGCATCAGAATAACGCGTATTACGGGAGGGGTGAAGAAAGTCTCCTCGAGCGCTGCAACTCCCAGAAACTATCGTTTAGGGAAAAAGAACCTGCTCAGCCAGCCACGCAGCGGTCGCAGGCTTGAAGCCGGTGTATGCGACAGGCACTGCCAAGCTCTTCCCGACGAATACGTCGTTCGTCGGAAATTTTGGAGCATGAGTGCTGGTCAAGAGTCATAAAGGCTACTTCGAATGCAGAGCGTGGTGCAGCATCCGCTGCATCCACGATGCCAGGTGGAAGATTGGGTAGATTGCCGGAAATGGGCGGCTTTGTGCAGACGGGACAAAAAGGGGTAATCGCAATCCATACCTACCGTTTCATCAGTCCCTGACTTTAGTCTCCTGCCGAATGGTTGGTATATATCTCGACAGCCGCTAGAGCACAATTGCTTGTCCGATCTCCAAGCTGTGTCCCACCTTTCGGGCGATGCTTATTGCTCGACGTATAGACCCTCCTTCACCCTGACGGGGACTGTTTCATGCTCCACCTTTCTGCAACGCACCGGTGCGGTGGGACGGGGAGTTTGGAGGGCGAGAGCGGCGGAAACGGAGGGGAACGGAGGCATCATCTAAGAATAAATTAAGCGTGTTCGACGGGCGATGACCTCTTTAGGAAGTGACAGCAGGCCAGGATGGTCGATGAGGATCCAGATCGAGTTGGGGAGGGAGAGAAAAGCACTGTGGGCTCCACTGTAATCTTATCGCATCAGAGGCCTGCAACCCCTATCTGCATGGATGTTGCTCGAGGGTTGAATCATGTGTGATAGTAGAGGTCTACCCCAAGGCCTTAATCTAAGTGGTAAGTGGATGTTGGATACAGTATCAAGCACTGCCATAGAATCAACATCTGCAACCTGCACAGATGCTATGCGACGAGGGTGTAAATACACAATGATGCCCCTTGACCGACGACAACAACCATGGAAAAGAGGGAAGATAGATTCGTCATGGCGGCTTGTCGCAATCTCAGCCTCAGATTGCAGGCGGGAACTGATTGGCTGAGAACCAAGAAAGTGGCACTGGCGGTGGATCTTAGTCAGCCACTAATCGATTGGCCTATTCCCTTTGGGCCTGGCGGTGGTTTTCTGCCATTCCACCATCTTCCACTTTACTGCAATACACGCACTCTCTCTATCTCTCCATCAGCCACCGCGCACTCCGATAAGTGAATACGCCCGATAGCTTTGCACTATGCGGTCAGTTGAACCGGTCAGGTTGGTCAACAACCCAAGGTCGGTAAGGACAAGATGCACGATTCCCAGGTTCGGCTAATTATAGCGTTTGGATGGCTGGAGATCAAACTCTGGTTTGCCACGCCGGTGGACTTCAGCCCGGGTGGATCTTTTTTGTTGATATTAACTTGCTGTTCCAACTTTCTCACTCACTACGTACCCAGGGTCCTCCTCTCCTCTCTCCGCTATGCCTCTGCCCGCTGGTCCGCGTGGCAGAGAAAACATAAACACCCCCGTTCCTCCACATCTCCTCCACCGCCTGCCTATCAACTTCGGCTGCCGCCCGCTCCTGTGACTTGTTGTCCGTCTTGCCGTCCCGAGTGTCGTCATCCATTCTCACCATTCCCCTCGTCTTGATCATCGCATTTATTCAGACCGGATCTCGGACACTGCTATGCCTGTCCTACCTCGTTAACTTGGTTCTACTCTCGTTACTCTGGTTGACAGGACCACTTTATATCTAATCGGCCACTGCCCCGCGCGCGTCCCGACATTGATATAGAATTCGCCATGGGGCGAGAAAACGGGCATCGACGGCGTCCATACCCGACCATGTTCTCTCGCAAACCGACCAATCTCTTCGCCCTCATCTTGCTCTTCCTCATTGGCGCCTCCATTTTCAAAGTCGAGTTGGGACAGGGCCCCTTTGACCCGAGATCGCTGTACCGCCTGGACTACCAACATAAAGAGCCCGATTACTGGGACTGGGAGACCACCACCCGCTTTTCTCGCGTCCAGAATTACCAAGTCTCTGATGACCATATCTGCGATTCGTTTCCAACCTATTTACTGCCGCGCATCCAAGTCGTGCTGAAGATCGGCGCTTCCGAGCCGCTGGACCGCGTCAACGCTCATCTGTCCACCGTCACTCGCTGCATCTCCAACCTCATCGTCGTCTCCGACCGCGAGTCCGAAATTAAGGGTCACCACGTTCACGACGTCTTGGCCACGCTTCCCGCGTCTTTTCGAGCCAATGTGTCCGATTTCGAAGCATACGATTCCATCCAAAACGGCAGACTGAAGTCCGTGGCAGGGCCCCAGGGTTGGCGACTCGACCGTTTCAAGTTCCTGCCGATGGTTGAGCGGGCGCATGAGATCAACCCGACCGCGGACTGGTTCGTCTTCATCGAATCAGACACCTATGTCGTCTGGGACAACATGTTTCGCCTGTTGGATCAATTCGACCCCCATTCTCCGTTGTACATGGGATCTCCCTCCCCCGGACGAGCTCTAGACCACGACGAAATCTCGTATTTTGCCTATGGCGGATCTGGCTTCGTCCTCTCCACCGCTGCGGTCCAGAAACTGGTCGCGCGAGAGACTGGATTCCATAAGGAATATACGGAGCCTCCGCTCAGCCAGCAATACGAAGATTTGATCAAGGCTGACTGCTGTGGCGACTCGATTCTCGGCTGGGCTTTGCACGAGAAAGGTGTGGAACTCTCAGGATTCTGGCCCATGTTCAACCCGCACCCGCTGCATGGTATCCCATTCGACGAAGTGCACTGGTGCCAGCCCGTCATCAGCATGCACAAGACCTTGATCTCGGATATGACTGGCTTGATGCACTATGAGAACCAACGCGATCGCAGTGTACGTATTGCAGTCTCCCCCTGGTTGATTCCGTGGCTAATCCTCCGACTTGTAGGAACCTCTTCTGTATGCCGATCTGCTCGAGTACTTGCAGTTGGGCACATTCGACGAACGAGTGGACTGGGATAACGGCGATTGGGGTGGCTGGCAGGAGCCTCCCGAGTCCCCCGGACATGCATCCTTCGATGCTTGTCGGACCGCGTGCCACGATCACCCCGAGTGTCTCAGCTTCACGTACGATTCGACCGGTCACTGCGTCTTTGTTCGGACGGTTCGCCTGGGGGCCAAGAAGCTGCTGGGGGATGCCAACACACGGCTGTCATCGGGATGGGATCTGGAGAAGATTCAACACTGGCGCAATTCCCACCAGTGCGAGAAGCCGCTGTGGGTGAAGCCTAGTACGACGCGCAAATTTTGAACAGGCGGGCGTCATGTTACCAGCAAGCAACGGCGTTGGGATTTTTCTGGGATGTGGGGTTTCTCACGGCTTTGACGAATGTAAATATGACTTGATACCTCTACTGCATGTGTGTACATCTTACGATAATAAATTAGACACCCACCACACTAATCAATTATTTGGCTAGCGAAGTGACCAATTCAAATGAGAATGCTACTAGGACAAGCAATCAGTAAGGGGTTTGAGAGGGGGCACTTGCCACCTTCCCAGATAAAGGCAAACTCGCGCGGTGCAGTTGCATCATACATCATATCTTATCGACTGCAGTGCTTATCGTCAACCATGGGCCGAGGCGAGATCGGTCAGGTTCCTCCATTGGCTGTATTTCCGCAGATTCCGAGAATTCCGACGTCTTACACACGGTTCCGAAATGGGCAGGAGATGCGCCCAGGAGCAGCTGAAGCGGAGGAAGTACGACTTCGCCATTTCTTAAAAGCCCTCCAGCTTCCCCGCATCTTCCGGGTTTCAAACCTCTCTCTTTGTTCTCTTCTCTTTCCTCTTCTCAATCATATGCACACACACTCACACACACACACACTCACACACACGCACACACACACTCTCTCTCTCACACATCATGGTCTTTACGCCCCATCCTCTGGCCATCCTCTCGGAGGAGGAGACCAACACTGCCCGCGATGTTGTTCTGGCTGAGCACCCCAACACAGTCATTGATTTCCGTGAGATCTACTTATCGGAGCCCCCCAAGGCTGAGCTCCTCGACTTTCTCGCCCTCGAACATTCCGGTCGCTTGAGCCCAACCTCCCGTCGTCCTGCTCGTCTGGCCCTGTGTCAGTACGACGTCATCGGTTCCGATCGCATTCCTTCTTTCCACGAGTCGGTGGTCGACGTGGGCGCGCGCAAGCGAGTCAAGCATCACATCGTGGGCAAAAAACACCATGCCTCTCTAACTCTGTATGAACTTCCCGTCAATTGATTTGCGAGCGACGGATGCTAACTCGCTCTGGGTGGATAGGAGCGAATTTGATACCCTTGTCGAGCGTTGCTTTGCCTCCCCCTTGTTTCAGAAAGCCCTCGATGATTTCGACCTGCCTCCAGGATTTGAGGTCACCATTGAACCCTGGCCCTATGGTGGATTGGACTACACGGATGAGCCCCGTCGTTATTTCCAAGGGCTGTGCTTTGCGACCAACAAGAGCAAGAATAACCCCGACGCGAACTTTTACTCCTACCCTCTCCCGCTGATCCCGGTCATGGATGCGCTGACTCAGGAGATCATCCGGGTCGATCGCCCGGCCACTGGTGGCAAAGGCGAAGGCCTCAACGAACAAACCTTCAAGCGTGACATTATTGGTCACTGCAAGGATTCCGACTATGTGCCCGAGTTGGTCCCGGGTGGAATGCGCAAGGACCTCAAGCCGCTGAACGTGGTGCAGCCCGAGGGGCCTTCTTTCAAGATCACGAATGAGTCGTTGGTGGAGTGGCAGAAGTGGCGGTTCCGGGTCGCCTTCAACCCTCGGGAGGGTGCCACCATCCACGATGTCTGGTATGATGGCCGCAGTGTTTTGCACCGTCTGAGTATCAGCGAGATGGTGAGTGATTCGGTTCAGTCGACATGATCTGGAGATCAGCAGGGGCTAACTATAGTAGACCGTGCCCTATGCCGATCCCCGACCGCCTTTCCACCGCAAGCAGGCTTTCGACTTTGGCGACGGTGGTGGTGGAAACATGGCCAACAACCTGTCGATTGGATGCGACTGCCTGGGTGTCATCAAGTACTTCGATGCGGTCATCACTGGCGCGGATGGCAAGGCGCAGAAGCTGCCCAATGCTATTTGCTTGCACGAGCAAGATAACGGCATCGGCTGGAAGCACTCCAACTGGCGCACTGGTCGCGCGGTGGTGACTCGTCACCGCGAGTTGGTGGTGCAATTCATCATTACCCTGGCTAACTACGAGTATGTCTTCGCCTACAAATTCGACCAGTCCGGAGGTATCACCGTTGAGTCGCGCGCCACTGGTATCCTTAACGTGGTGAACATCGACGCGGGCAAGACGAGCGACTACGGCAATGTGGTCAGCGGGGGGGTATTGGCTCAGAACCACCAGCACATCTTCTGTGTCCGTATCGACCCGGCCATTGACGGAAACAGCAACTCGGTTCAAGTCGAGGAGTCCCATCCGGTGCCCATGAACGAGGTTACCAACCCCATGGGCAACTACTACAAGGTCACGAACGAGACATTGGAGCGGGCGGGCTGGCTCGACGCGGCACCCGAGCTTAACCGGACGATCAAGATGATCAACCCTCACAAGATCAACCCCATCAGCCAGAATCCAGTTGGCTACAAGTTCCTTCCGTTGGCGACACAGCGTCTGTTGGCCGACCCGCACTCGATCCAAGCGCGCCGGGCTCAGTTTGCTCAGCATCACGTCTGGGTGACCAAGTACCGCGATGGAGAGCTCTATGCTGGCGGTCGCTACACTCTGCAGAGCCAGGAGGAGGTTGAGGGTGTCTCCGACGCGGTCAAACGGGGCGACTCGGTCAAGGACACTGATGTGGTGGTCTGGAGCACGTTCGGCATTACCCACAACCCTCGCGTGGAGGACTGGCCCGTCATGTAAGTTTGTTCTCTAGATGTTCTGCGACGAACACGCTAACCAGTGACTAGGCCGGTGGAAATCTTCCAGCTCATGATCCGTCCAGCGGACTTCTTCACGGCGAACCCGTCGTTGGATGTGCCGTCCGACCGTAATGTGTCATCGCGGATCGTGGATAAGGAATGTTGCCGCAAGGCGCATATCTAATTAATTAGGGTGTGTTAAAGCGAGTAATAATAACGAATGTATATATATAGTTTCTGTCCTGTAATTACGCAACCGGTTATCTGCACCATCCGAACCCATATAGACATCTTCCACCGCAGTTCGTAGCAAGAGACTAAGTGGGGAGATGCAGGGCTGAAATAAGATTGGCGCCTAGATTACCAGTCATTGTATCTGCTTGGCACCCACAGATTGAATTGTTCAATGCAAGATTGGTTGAACCTGGAACCGATGGCCCTAACCCAAACATGACTCTGGTTGGTGAACATAGACTGTTTCCCGCAGCCTCGGATCTGCTCGGAATGGCCGCCGTCCCCCTGGTAAAATTTCAGCCTTTCCTTTCCGCCGTCGCCCAGGCTTTCCGAACTCTCTCCCCTCCTCCCCTCACCCTATTGCAATCCCCACGCTCGGAACCCGTCTCGATCTCCTTCTCCTCGTGGGATTCTGGCAGGGCATCAACCGAGACACGTGCCATCTTCCTCGATGGAGCAGCCCGCGAAGCAGGATGCGAGTAAGCGCCGCGCAGACGCCGACAGCGACACGCCGGAACCGCCTCGGAGCAAGAAGCGCGCGAAGTACACCCAGGTTGCTTGGTGCGTGTTCCCTTCCTCCCCTTTGAGCCTGTGTCTTACTGCGCAGTTCTTTTACATTGGTTGCACCTCGCCGTTCTATATACACTAAACCTCCCCCCCGTTCCCTCTCATGCACTGGCTACATTCCTCCCCAACTCGACTAACTATTCCACGCACGCAGCAACGAATGCAAACGTCGCAAGCTAAAATGCACCGGTGAGGCGGTGTGTGCGCGGTGCGTGCGCGATCAGGTGCGCTGCGTCTATGCGCCTGGTGCGCATGCTGTTGGTTCGCTCGGTGGTGGTGGTATTGGTTCGTACACCTCGGTTCCGAATACTCCGGTTAGAGGTGAGGAGGAGGGTGGGAAGGAGGATCGGTGAGTCCTTCTTTTTCTGTTTTTCGTGCTTTGAGGTGTTGGGTCGGTGTGCTTGTGTGGGCGATGGCTAACTGGTTCTTTGGTAGGGTTCTTTCAACCAGGTTGCGGATCGTGGATTTGCAGATCGAGGCCCTGCAGCGCGAGATGCGGGCTATGGCTTCTAGGATGCGTGTGCTTGAGGGTGGAAACGGTGCGGCTGGGGTCTCTGGTGGTGGTGCTGCTGCTGCGGGAGGAGGGGGAGTCACCACGCCTGCGAATCACATCCCCACGACTGGGTCGACGATCTCCTCCACTTCCGCGAGTGCGGGTCTCCATCGCATTATGAATCGGCCTAAGTCTCCCACGTATGTTGGGCCCACGAGTGCGGAGTTTGGGATTGCGGGGCCGAGGGGGACGGGGGATGGAGCTGAGGCGGAGGATGAGGAGGATGATGACGAACAGGATCTCGAGTCCACGACTGCGCCCAGTCCGATGCCTCCTGGCGATGGGGAGGGGCTTGCATCGGCGACCGATCCGTTGCGGTGTCTGGGCTTGACCGAGGCGTTGCGCTTGGTCACCGTCTATGAACATACCGTTGGGTTGATCTATCCCTGTGTCGATCTGGATAGTGTGCGGGCGTATGTGGTGGATTATTTTCGCGATGGCGGTGGCGGCGCTGGGGTCGCGGGTGAGGACGATTGGTTCTTTGCACGCGATGCGGAGGTGCTGAAGATCTTGCTGGCTACCGCGTTGTTGGCTGAGTCGCATGGTCGGAGTGAGCGGGCGGCGCTGCTCGCTGATCGCGTTGAGGATCAGTTCGGTACGCGCATGAAGGTGCCGGAGGTGGATATGAAGGAGTTGCTTATCTTGGCGTTGTTGGTGAGTGAACTGTGGTGTTAGGGCGCACTGATTCGGTCCGCTGAGTACTGACGGTGGTGTCTAGTCGATCTTCCACTCCTACCGCGACGACGAGGTGATCGCCTGGCGGACGATCGGGTTGGCCGTGCGCGGTGCGGTGCAACTGGGGCTACACTGCCAGGAGACCTGGCTGAAGACCGGCGGCGTGTTTCCCGGCGAGCTGCACCGCACCTGGGCGAGTCGGCTGTTCTGGTGCATTTATGTGCTGGACCGCAAATGGTCGTTCGGCACCGGGCTGCCCTTCGCTATCCAAGACTCCGACATGGACACCAATCTCCCCGAGCCCGGCACCACGACCCCCTACCTCACCTGCATGATCTCTTACGCGCGCCTGAGCTCCAAGATCTGGGGCCTGGTCGTCGGCTGGCGCACACGGCCGCGCGCCGCCACCACCGACTACTGCGCCTACCTCGACTTCCAAGTCCAGCAATGGATCCAGTCCATCCCCTCAGAACTCCGCTTCGACCCTTCCCACCGCGCCACGGCCGGCGGCTCCCCAACCCACGCCGACAGCATGATGACCCTGCAAGTTCTGCTAGCGCTGCAAGCCAACCAGCTCCGCATCCTCGTGTACCGACAGTACCTGCTGAGCAGCGAGAGCATCGAGGACAGCGTGGCGGGGGCGTCCATCGCCGTCGAAACCGCCAAGAGCACCGTGCACATGCTGGATTACTTCAGCCGCGTCTCGGACATCTACTACCAACGCCCCGAACCCTTCAACTACTTCCTCATCTCGGCGCTCGCCGCATTGTTCCTCGCTGTCCTGCACGCTCCCTCCCGGTTCAGCCAGGTCTGTCGGCCTGAGTTCTACAAAGCAGTCGACATGGTCAGACGATCGTCCACCCGAGCGCGCACCTCCCGCCGCCTGCAGAAGATCATCCGGAGTCTAAAAGTCATCCGCTTGAATCTGGGGAAGGACTCGCGAGCGACAGCTGCGACGCCACTACCGCGGGAGAGGGGCAGTGCAGGCGGGTTCACGGAGGGTCCGGCCTGCACCGCGGGGCTGTATACACCCGGGCACTCGCAGTATGATGTCTCTTCTTCGAATGGAGGGGAAGGCGCACGACCGCAGCATACTTCGGCTGGTGGGCTGTGGTCGCTGGCTTCGACGGCGGGGAATCTTGCTCCTGCGGAGACGGGGGCTCAGAATAGTTGTGAGGACTTGACCACGTTCTTTGAGATGGCTGGGGGTCTGTATTTTGATCCCAGAGTGCAGGGCGGCGGTGAGGGGGTTGCCGTCCTGGCCGAGGGGCTCGGGGGCGAGTTGGCTGCCGAGGATGAGGCGTTGACGAGGGTCATGGCTGATCTTTTGTGAGTTCTTGGTGGGGTAGCGGGGCTGATTGAAGGTGAAGGGGTTGGCTCCGATATTTATCATGAGTTTTATGATTGATGCATCTTCTAGTATACTTTGGCGGATGGGGTGGAGTTTAGGGGGCTTGTTCATCGTTATTACGGATATATGTATCCGAGTAGAATGGTTTACTGGTAAACTATAGGGAATCCGGAGCATACAACGGAGGGAGAATCGCAGTGACAGACTGGGCATGACATTTCTTCTTTCTCAACAGCACAGTACGAAAGACCCAAACCAGTATGCAAAAGCATCAGATCTAGTACTCCGCCGGAGCTGAGCCCCCAGTTTCCCACAACTGCTCTACACCTTCCGGATACCCGCTGCTGAACCACAACCACTGGTGGAACTCAATCTTGAACTCTCTTCTCACCATTGCTCGTCCCGGTGGGATGACCAGTGATAGACAACAACGGTGTCGATCTCGGGAACTCAATGAGTATGAAGGATGATTGGGTATAGCCACACCACGCACGACCTGCGCGTGACTGCATCGGCCCGGCTTCCGTGACCTATAAAGTATGTTGATGCAAGGTTCAGCAGGATGCCAAGATCAGCGGGCCGTGTGCGGATGGAATGGTGGGTGTTCTGATGTGAGGAGAGACGGAAATCCTCTTGCCAGTCTAGTAGCCCTATTATACATCGCTCTTCTCAGGTGTGATTGGGCCAACATGCACGCCTGCGCTTATGGCGCATATTTCTGGAGCCGGTTTCAGTTTCCTGCACCTTAAGTCTACGTATCGATGCTACCAATGCCATCGAAGATACATGTGGTCAATTGACAACCCCTGTCATTTCCACTTTCTGCATGGGGTGGGTATTTACAATCGAGAAACAGTCGCTATTCAGGTTGCTTTGCGCCGACAGTAACATAGAAGGTATACACCACAGAGAAGACCCGTTAATCGTATGCTGAGATCGGACAGGTTCTGCTGGAATGTACTCTCAAATATTTTGAATTCGGTTATCAGCCCTATCTCATCTTTATTCGGAATGCGCGCTCAACATATGCTCTGTTGTTTAGCCTGGTGTCTGCTGGTCACTTGTCAACATTGGTAAGCTTGAACTTGAGTCAGTAGTCTATTCTGCGGGTCTATCGTTGTGACACGCCAATTCTCTATTTAAAAACGTGACAACCCGAAATGGCCCGGTGAGTTTGACAGGGCAATAGTCGGTCCAAGTGTTTCATGCAGTCCATGCCCTGACTCGAATGCTGCATGGAATGCCTCCTGAAAGGGATAATATGCCGCCGCCGCACGGACCCCTACAATAGACAATGGTCAATGCGACTCAGTTTCTGTAGGGTAATGTGTTGAGCGAGAAGAAACTGTGGTCAGTTGGGTGCGAGTCCAACTTTTCGAGAAGATAGCTATCAATCATCTCGACCCTGTACCTGTCTAGCAAAATAATCCCAAGCAAATGCTGGGGTGCATATGTTGTATTGTGGGAGCAACGAAGGCTGTAACCGCCACATCGTATTACCCCACACACTAAGCAGTGCCGGCATATTCACTAACCTTTTGCCGTCAACACCACTTCTTCTTCTCTCTCCTCAACTCTTCACCACCGAGGTAAACCACCAGCTAAAATCAGCCACCCTCCACTTCCTGCACGCTAACCCCGGACATGACGAAACAATCTCACGCCTGCATGAAGCCCCGGACTCCCCCAGCCCTCGCTGCTGCCATCCCCATCGGGATTTTGCTATTTCCACCTCCTCCGTCTTGAAACGTCAAAAGTATCACGGAGCCAGCTCCGTGTGTCCGACCTGTCTCGATGGCTTCAATTTTGTCACAATCCGTGCCAGAGACCGATGCGGTGGCACATGTCACCCCTTGAACAACTCACGACATCTATATAACCCTCAACATGACCAGAACCATGAAGCAAACAACGGTCATCGCACCTCGAACCAGCCGCAGCCAGTCACCATGAATTCCCTTCTCACTGCCCTATCAGTGCCGTTTCTGGCAGGCTTGGTGCATGGCTACGCGAATCCCGGCTCTTGCTCCGGTGCCTGCAACGTCCACGACCCGGCCTTGATTGTCAGAGAGTCGGATGGGAAATACTTCCGTTTCTCGACGGGCAACGAGATCTCCTACGCTTCTGCCTCGTCCATCAACGGTCCCTGGACCGCCATTGGATCTGTGGTGCCGGCTGGTTCCAAGATCAACCTCAGTGGAAACACTGATCTCTGGGTATGTCTCCTCCTCCGATGCATCGATGCCTGCTAACCCGACAGGCCCCGGATGTGAGCTACGTGGATGGCACCTACTACTGCTACTATGCCGTCTCGACTTTCGGATCGCAAGACTCGGCCATCGGCGTCGCATCATCCACCACCATGGAGCTGAACAGCTGGACTGACCACGGGTCCGTGGGCGTGGCCTCTTCCTCGTCCAAGAACTACAACGCCATCGACGGCAACCTCCTCGTCGACGGCGGATCCTATTACATGCAATTCGGCTCCTTCTGGGGCGACATCTACCAAGTCAAAATGTCCTCCCCAACCAAGACAGCCGGAACGGCCTCCTACAACATCGCCTTCAACGCGACGGGCACTCACTCGGAGGAGGGCGCCTACCTGTTCAAGTACGGCAGCTACTACTACCTCTTCTTCTCGTCGGGCACCTGCTGTGGCTACGACACCTCCCGCCCCGCCCAGGGCGAGGAATACAAGATCATGGTCTGTCGTTCGAGCAGCCCGACCGGTGGATTTGTAAGTTTCCCGTCCCAGACGATGGGCCTTGACTGACCCCCGCGCAGGTGGACAAGAATGGCAATGCGTGCACATCCAGTGGCGGCACGATCGTGCTCGCCAGCCACGGTAACGTCTACGGACCCGGTGGACAGTAAGACTCATCCAGCCCTGTGGTAACCCTCATACTCATACTAAATTTGGCAGGGGTGTGTACGATGACCCGACCCACGGACCGGTGCTTTATTACCACTACGTCGACACGACCGTTGGCTACGCTGACAACCAGAAGCGGTTTGGATGGAACACGATTGACTTCTCGAGTGGCTGGCCTGTTGTGTAGGGGAGTACAAGAGGGAAGGGGAGAATGAGATTGTAAATAGGCAGAGAGTGCAAGTGTAAATAGGTTGACTGGATGAAATACCAAGCGAACTTCCGAGTCAGAGTCATCTAAGTGTAGTCGAAGTAAGAGGTTGTGCTACTAAAAGTTCTGCCTGAGGCGGGTGCGCACCTTCCATCCTTACGCCTTACCGCTGCTTCCCAACACATCCATCCACTTCTCCATCTCTCTCGTAAGCAACTCAATCCCCTCCCCAATCAGCCGCGTCAGGGGCTTATCTACGTTCTCACGAAGACGCTGATGCCAAGGGTCCAGGACCAGCTTGTTCACGTTGAATTTGGTCACCCCGACCTCGACGCAGGCCCGGCACAGCTCTGGTGGGAAATCGTTCGTGCCGTGGAGGACGAGACGCGCGCGTCCATCCAGTGCTTGGTGAACCTGCCGGAGTCTGACAAAGATCAGCAAGATGCGACCGACCGTCATTGCTTATCAGTGACAGACCTATCCATGTCTAACCGCGGCCCTCTCGGTCCATAGTCTCCATGCAGGTTCCTCACGCTGGGCGCCAGAAAATCAACGCCCGCGTTGAGAAACTGTTCCACATCTTCGGCGTTGGTGAGAATCCCTGCAACAGCATTTAGCATGGACTGACAACTGAGACTGATGGGTTGTAGTACCTTCAAGATCGCCGGTGCCCATGATCCCATCCTCTCCTCCTTCAATGCGCCCGGTCTCGGCTTCAACTACGATGCCCCGTGCATGACAATATTCGCGGAGGGTGGTCGTCTTGGCGAGGTTCTCTTCCTTTTCATAGTGGCTCATGTCCACCATGATGGAATCGAATGGAAGGCTATCGGCGACATGTCGAATCTGGTCAAAGTCCTGCGCATGGTCGAGATGCACCGAGACTGGCACTGACGCGTTCGTCGCTGCGGCGGCGGCGGCGTAGATCAGCGACGGGGTTTGCTCCAGCGACGAGGGAAATAACTGGAGAATCAACGGGGATCTGCGATTTTCGGCCGCCTGAACAAAAGCCGTAATGTGCTCAACGTTGTAGCTACCCGTGGTGTCACTGGTGAGCTCTCTTCGCGATAGCAACATGAGGCTGGCGACTCACACGATCGCCGCCAATACCCCATATCGACCCTTCTCGGCCGCCGCCAAGATCTGAAAAGTTTTATTGTTGACCCGCCAAGTCATCTTGACTGGTCGTGGTCGCCCTCACTGGATGGCCTGCAGGAATTGGCAGGGACCAACAATCAGTTCTTCGACTGTCCAGCTAGTTACACAGCAGACGGGAAGGAATATATTAAACTACAATGGCGATGTGCAACAACAATATGAGCAGCAGCAGCAGCAGCGGTCGCAAAACAAAGCCACACCCACCCACATAAGCATAACATCATGCATGCATTCCTCGTACCATGGTCGAGCCAAAGCCTCGATACGAGTCCCCCCCCCCCCCCCCCACCTCTTCTCCTTCCGTGGGCTTCCACTGCCGAATCACATCTGCAGCATTGTCTGACGGAAAAGGTGGATTTCTGCTCAGCTTTTCTCGCTTGCTCCACTCCCGCAAGAGTCGGCAATCGTTGAACCTCGACACGATCTGTCACCCACCCAACCACCCCCAAATTGCTCCAGCTTCCCCTGTTTACCTTTGATTATTTCGTATAGTGCAAATGCATATTCCGCCGACCTTTCCCGGATAATGTGAGGCAGCATGGTCGATGTTACGCAAGGGACTTCGCGTGGCATTCGGAAACCGCGCAAATCCCGCGGCCGTGGATTGCGGGCCACCACCGGCTGGTCAGTCTTTCCCAATCCCAATCCTTCCGATCGGTCGTCTGGAGACTGTCTCTTGATCCTCCCGCTTGTCCGACAAAACCGTACTGATGGCAAAAGTCTGATCTGCAAGAAGCGTCATGTCAAATGCGACGAGGTTTGTCTTTCCGACCAATCTGCTTGCTACCTGCTTTGCGCTGACCCCGGAACGCAGGCTCGCCCACAATGCGGTCCGTGTGCCAAAGGCAAACGTGATTGTGTTTATGGCACCACAAGTCAACCCCAAACCCCCAGTTCGGGGCCCAATACTGCCCCTGTCCTCGCCATCCATCAGCCACCCTCAATAGAGCACCGGCCAGCGCAAAGTCAGTTGCATGAGCCTTTGCAGGTGCTGGTTGATGCCTGTCAGCATCAGCGACCCGCGCCCGAAACACGCCCCTTGGCTCACGCTGCCTCCATATCAGCATCTTCAGGTGTGCCGCCGGGCCAGACACTGACCCCTGCCTTCGCACCCCCTCACAGTAACCATCTCACATCTCCAACCTCGACTCACGATCTAGCCCCTTCTCCTGCAACGGATTCTTCGGTTTCCACGAGGCTGGCGCCTCTCAGCTGGTTTGAGCTACTGGCGGACGATGCGGTCAACGCGGATCGAAGCCTTGTCTTGTCCCCTGCCCCGGGTTCCTCACACCGACCAGGGGACCATCCCACAGGATTGGTCTCTCTCGACAATCTCCTCCCACGCTCGAAAAGGGAGTATGAAAGCTTCCAGGCGGCAGCCTTCAACCGCGACCCAGAGCTCGAGAACCGAATTCCCGCATCAAGCACAGACGAGCAGCCCGTTCACTTGCACGATCACCCTTCCTCGTGGTCAACGCCGGCTCCCATTGAGTTGACGGAACTAGAGCACCTGATATTCAATCACTTCGTGCGAAATATGGGCCGCTGGTTCGACTTCTACGACCCTGGGAACCACTTATCTTCTATAGTGCCTCAATTGGCTGTAAGGAATCTAGGCGTTATGAAAGCGCTCCTGGCCCTGGCAGCGCGCCACCTGTCGATTTGGCATGTGCAAAAGGACCGAGGACGTGGTGCTGGGTTCATCATACCTGGTTCGTTTAAAGGTTTCGGGGATTTCCCCGTCGTCGATCGCCATCTTGCCGTCCAATACTACTACGAAACCTTGAATTATCTCAATAAGGCCATGCAGTATCCGAGCTATGCCTCGAGTCGAGAGCTCATATCCACTGCCTTGCTCATCAGCACTTACGAGATGGTCGATGGATCTAACAGTGACTGGGAGCGCCACTTGAAAGGAGTGTTCTGGATTCAACGGTTTCAGAACAATAACGGTGATTGTGGTGGTCTCCGTCAAGCGGTGTGGTGGAGTTGGTTGCGACAAGATGCTTGGGTCGCCATGCGCCAACGCCGGCGTCTCTTCAGTTTCTGGAAACCCCAGCGGCCCATTTCCTCCCGGACCGCCCCCGAGCTAGCTTGCTTTTCCATGTATTTGCTTGCCCAATGCATTAACTACGCCTCACACGAAGAAACGACGACCAATGACATCCAAAGCCGGCTGGAGAGGGCTAACGAGCTACTCTGCATGCTGCAGGAGTGGCAGGATCACCTGCCAGCGGAATTCAGTCCCCTTCCCACTGTACAGTACACAGATGTCTTCCCACCCATATGGGTTCATCCTCCCCCATACGCGGCAGCCCTGCAAATACACAGTCTCGCTAGAGTCCTCGTGATCGCCCATCGCCCCTCGACCGGCGGCTTCGAGGATTACCAGGCCGGGCAGAAGATGCTGAGGACCGCTTTGAACACTATATGCGGCATTGCGCGTACCGTAATGGAGGATGATTCTGCTGCGGCGCTCACAGCGCTTCAGTGTTTATTTGGGGGTAAGCATCCCCCCTAGAAGCATGCAGAGAGCGATTGACTGACCCACGTAGCGGGAAAGAGCGTGCACGCCCCTCGAGAACGAGCAACACTACTGGAGCTTGTTGATAAGTTTGAGCGATTACTGTGCTGGCCCAGTTACTCGCTTCGGAAGACCCTCGAGACGGAGTATGCCAAAGATGGGCTGCCCGGGTTCGCGGGATGAAGATCCGGTTTTGCCCTCGGCAAACTACCTAATCTATCGACATGGCCGATCCTCGGCTAATCCACTCCCCCACATCGGTTACGAATAAGCATGCGCCGCCATGAGCATCTGAGGGGGAGACCCATTCCATTAGAAGACGAAATCGAGGTCCGATTATCTGATCGCGTGGTTGGACCTGCCTTTCGTCCAAACGCATTTCTGGGGCATAGTCCTGTTGTGTCAGACAGAAGCTTGTTATTCTGCGCGATTACCCTACGGCGACTCTCCAGGGCATTATCTGGAACCTGCGAATCAATCTTGATAGTTCAATGTATACTAGTATGAAACTATGATAATACGAATTCTTGGATAAACCCCATTTTGTATTTGCGTCTGCCCTGGTCACTCCGTGCTGGGTCAATTTACCATTTGTCTCTATGCGCCACAGCTGGTCTGCACGCACCACGCAGATTGATACGTACTATATGTGCCGGCGGGCCTAGAATTGACGGATGCTGATTCCTGTCGTCCTATGCAGCCCTGAGTCCCCGACAGCTGGCTGTTGTGTAGGGCTAGAGCTTCGCGGGGGCTTATGCCTCGAGCCGAGGCGTCCGCCGTTCCGAAGGCGATCCTCGATCGCGGGGGATCAAGTTAACTCTCGGCCCCAGTGCCTATTTTTGGTCCGATCAGGAACGATACGTGGACAGTGATGCAGCTGATGTGACGTCAAGATCCAGTCGCTGACATGCTATATGCTGACAGCAGGAGCCTCGAGCCGAAGACGACCAGGCAACTGCTTTTCCCTTGCCACAGGGTTGAGGCTTATTTAAGACAATGGATCCTTTATCACTGCAAGCCAAGCGCCAGAATCAAAATCCATTATTCATCTCCAACTCGTCAACAGGTGAAGTTTTCTAGTCGAATAACCGCTCTCCTACCGCTCTATCAACTCATACAGTAGGCCCGTACCAACATGTCGCCCTCTTCAAACAATGACCACTCGAGCGGAGAGACCACGACGGGCGCGTCAACACCTCTTGTCAGCACAATGCCCTCCTCCGAATTCACCTGGCAGATCACCTTGGCCGGGAAGGTTATTGCGATTACAGGCGCCAACCGAGGTATCGGTCTCGGAATTGCGGAAGTGTGCCTGGCGAACTCTGCCCAACACGTTTACTCGCTGGATCGCATGGAACCCGGGGAAGACACCCTGGCACTTCAGAAGCGCTATCCCAACTTCCACTGTGTCCAAGCCGATGTCACATCAGAAGAGAGTATTGAGAAAGCGATCAATCAGGTTGTGGAGGAGACGGGGAGGATCGACGGCCTTGTGGCCAACGCGGGAATGACCAAACATCAGCCAGCGCTGCAGTTCGAACGGCCCGAGCTCGAGCAGCTGTTCAACCTGAACGTATGTACCATGCACCCCGGGGCTTGTTCGATGCTACTAAATTGCGTTAGGTGTACGGATCATATTTCTGTGCTCAAATAGTCGCCCGCAAGTTCATCGAGCTGGGGATTAAGGGCTCGATTGTCATGACAGCCAGCATGACTTCATACCGACCGAATCGTGTAAGTGGACTCGACGATCGACAAGAGAAAAGGTCGTGCACTGACGAGATCTTAGGCTGCCCCATCAGCCCCGTATGGCGCTACTAAGGCCGCCGGTGAGTGAAGGCTACGACTTGAATGGGCAAGCTGCTGACCAGCTGTCGTATTTTAGTGCGGAACATGTGCCACACCTTGGCAATGGAATGGAGCAAACACGGTATCCGAGTGAACAGTGTCTCCCCTGGTTTTGTGCGTACTGCAATGACCTACTATGTCGAGCACTCGCCCGACTGGGCGCAGAAGATGGAGAATTACGGTGGCATGCCGCGCCTTGCCGATCCCCGCGAGCTGGGCGGTGCCTACGTGTACCTCCTGAGTGATTGCAGCTCCTATACCACGGGTATCGATATTCCGATCGCTGGTGTTGTGGGGGCATGGTAAAGTCTGCGCATAAGTTCAAGATCGGGGCTGGCGATGTTCCGCTGCTAATGGACTGATTGCAGCAAGGCTGGTGCTGGATCGTTCTGGTAATGATCAGCTTCCTTTCACTGCAAGACTACTGATTTTGTATTATGTGTGAATACCATCAAATTTTAAATGATTAGCAACCGAGACAGCTGTCAGGGACTTTCGAGCTGAGCCAAGAAGTAAGCGGCATTCTCCTCTGCAAAGCCATGCAGCCTTCGTATTGCTCTGGCCTATCCGGGGTAAGGGCTGCCTTCGTACACCTCGCACGCGGAACAGCCACCAGCCTTGTTTTCTTATTTCTCGCCAGGGTCCAAGACGGAGTGAGCAGTTTTCAGACACTAAGGATCGTATCCGGACACCTTGAGGGTAAGGACAACCGATAGGATGGAATTCGTTCCAACTGTCGCAGGTCGTGCACCTTCATCACATGACGGTTAACGGATACCCTGGTCTGCGGCTGAGGGTTGAGTCCCTCATCTCCTTCTCTTCCTCCTCCGGTCTCTTCTGGCGGCAAGATTCTCGAGCCTTTATGTTATTCAACTCCTGGCGTATGTTCGCTCTGCATGTTATATCCTGATTCGTCTGGATTTCTATTGAAGATGGAGGACACCTCGGGCCACGAGTTCCCATTCTTGGAGGAAGTATTTACCCCTCAAGGATCTCCAAAAATCGAGTAAGACAGCGAAACTGAGCGATTTGGGGAAACGGACTAAGCGGTCTATCTTGTAGCTTCGTCTTCGTGCATGGACTCAACCCTCGAGGTCGCAGCGACCACCCGTTCGAAACATGGACCCATCAGAATGGGACCTTCTGGCCCCGAGACTTCCTACCGCAGGATATCCCACAAGCGCGCATTTTTGTGTACGGCTACAATTCCAATATCACTAATCCGCAGAGCATGTCCACTGCCAGCGTCAAGGACCATGCGAATACGCTCTTGAATTTGTTGGATCTCGAGCGCAATCCCCAAATAGTGGGTCGCAGGCTCACCGTCCGGATGAGACACTGGCTGACAGGGCGTAGAATGTACGACCGCCGAAGATCATCTTCATCGGCCACAGCCTGGGAGGCTTGGTCATCAAACAGGTAGATATCAGCCGCGATGCCGAGTGTGGAGAGCTTTGCTCATGAATACTTCCACGACAGGCTCTGTTGAACGCTCATGAGGACCCGAAATATAACGCCATCCGTACCAACACCTATGGGCTCGTATTTTTTGGATGTCCACACCGGGGCACCAAAGGTGTTGAGTTGGGCAAGATCGCGGCCAAGGTGGCGCGCTTCGTGGCCAAGGGCCATGCGAGTAATGATCTGTTGGATAGTTTGGAGCACAATTCACTCTTCACGCGACAGATGACGAGTCGCTTCTCGCACCAGCTAGAAGATTATCGCGTGATTAGCTTTGTTGAGGGTAAAGAGGTGCTTCTGGGTGGGGTTGGGCCTGCGTCTGTGAGCCACGTGAGTATCGCTTGCAGTGCACACGAGTGTTCGCAGGGCTGACTGAACCCTTTATAGCTCGTGGTGGATGAAGAGTCCGCCGTGCTTGGACTCCCCGGGCAGCGGGAGACACGGCTGAAGTTGGACGCCGACCATTCGCAGATGTGCAAAGTCGGGACCCGCGGCGCCATGTACAAGATGATCAAAGGCAACATCAAGCAAATCGCCGACCAGGTTCTCGTCGCGGAGCAGGGATACATCCCTCAGCCCTCGGCCTCGACCTCGCCGCACCCTGCGCCTCCTGTTCCCCCACGCCTCCCGGTGAATAGTAGCATGCCCTACCCGTCGCCCCAGAGCCCGCCACCTGTCCCCAAGCGCGTGGTCGGCGCATTCTTCACGCCGGTGGACAACGACCCCCGATCCATCCAGGCGGCGGAGCACAAGAACCACTGGCGCTGGGACGAGGCTCGCAAATTGGAGTATGCGATCTTCCAGGAGCATCTCCGAGTCCTAGGCCCGGACCACCACAGCACGCTGGAGATTGGCTACCATCTCGCCGAGATCGATCTCGAATCGGCCTACTACATCAAAGCCGCCGAATGGGCGCAGTGGGTCTCGACCAATGCCCAACGAGTGTTCGAGGTGAAGCATCCTCTCGCGATGAAGGCCGAGAGCCTGATGGGCGAGATTCTAGCCCACCAGGGCAAAGGGCAGGAGGCCGAGTCGGTGTGCGCCAACGTGCTAGCGCGCCAGCAGATGACTATCGGCGAGGACGACCTCGAGACGTTGCGCACGCGGCGCCGGCTGGCAATTGCGTACGGAGTGCTTGAACGCCGAACGGAAGCGGTGCAGGCGGCGGAGAGAGTCACCGAGCGCCTTCGCCAGCTGCTGGGCCCAACCCACATTCGGGTGTTCGCTTCGGTGCTCGACACAGCTGAGCAGATGGTTGCGCTGCGCTCCAACAATACCACCGAGCTGGTCACTCTGCGCTTCAATCCGGCCGTCGACCAGATGGTGCAGACCTTCACCACTGTTTCGCGCGAGCTGACCGAGCTCCTGGGCCCACGCCACCCACTCACCATCAAGGGCATGCGCCTCCTCGGTGCCAGCCAGATGCTCGAACCCGACGGCACCACCATCGCCTCCGAGACCTTCCGCCGGGCCCTCGCCGCCGCCGAAGAGTACCTCGGCCCCGAGCACCCGGAGACCATGGCCACCGTCGCCCTGATGGGTGTCATGTACGCCTCGCAGGGCCGCATCGGCGTCGGCGCCTTTGTCGGCGCCCATCGCTCGCACACCGAGCTTGCGACGCCCTGGCTGCTGCGCTATCTGGGTTGGTGCGAGAACCGCATGGGCGCCGGTTGCGCCGAGGTGCAGTCCGTCCTCGTCATGCTGGGTAGGCTGTACTTTGAGGCCCGCGACTACATCCAGTCCCAGGGGTACTATGAGCGGTTGGAGGCGTCGTACCGGCAGGCGGGCAGGCCGATGCCCGATGAGGCGGCCAATTGGTTGCAGCTGTGTCGGATGAATACCATGTATTTGACGCCGAAGAAGCCCAGCGGGCTTCAGAGTCTGTTGTCGCAGTTTCAGCGGATGTGAATTTTTTTTTTTTGGTTCTGGCGTGTGTGTGTGGAGGGTAATGGTGGTGTGCGAGGGTGTTTAGTTCTTTGGTTTGCAGGGTAGTTCGGGTATACCATGGATTATAGGAATATAGTTTTGCGTCTGCGATTGCGAACTTGAGACTGGTCCAAAGACTCTCTGCTATTTGAGGGTTCGGGTGTGCGACCATGCCTGGGGTTTGTAGGTATTCTGGTACTGATCTTGATCTGATCGGGGAACTAATGTTGTAACCTCGTTGCACCTGCCTGGTACAACGGAGTCACGACCACGTGGCTATGCGCGTACAATGGCGGTCAAAGCAATAGCATGGCGATATCCCATGCTAATTGACCATAGAATGGATGTTGAGCGACCCCATGTGCACTGCATATGCATTGTATATGCAGTACATTGCCAGGAGCACTAGGCAGTCATGTGAGTGACAAGCTTTGAGGTTCCATTCTAGCAAGGTAGGTAGACCTTGGCAAATGTACTTTTGGCCTCACTAACCATGGTGAAGGAGACTCGATCCGATTCGATCAGGTTAGTGGTGCAATCATTGATAATTGACATCATCAGCGGAATATAAAGTATAAGTGGGTCGATGAGCACCGCTGACTTCATTTTCAGATCGATGCTCTTTTCGTGGGTCATAGCATTCTCTCATCATCTCATGATGACTACTCTGATCTTACGTGCTTTGAAAACCGGGTCTTGTATGGAGGTGAGGGCTAGACACCAAACGAAGCGCTAGCCCACCCTATGAAGCTGGCCCCAACTTCTACATTTACAGTGTCGGGATTCAAAGTACAGTACAAGTACGAGGAAAACACCATCTCAATCGACATTATCAAAATGTATTATCATATCATAAAACACCATCCCATCATACAGCCAATGCCAGTGGCGTCATCATAAGTGTATCATCGACATCATCACGTCTAATCTAGTTGGAGATCTTGTCGGGAACATGGTGGCTAGAACCATCACCGTTAACGTTTTGATTCCCGCCTGTGTTTGCAGGGGGCTGTGATAACCTACCCAGTGGAGCTCTCGAACTTGTTGCGCGCAAAGTCGGTGGCCTTCTCGTTGGTGGAGCGCAGCTTCTGGGGGTCGGCGCCGAATCTGCTCTCGACGTTGTCGACGCCTGGACACCGGGATGTTAGTTTAGCCGGTTGTGGGGCTTGATGCCGGAAATGCAGGAATCAGGCAAGAGAAAAGTCACAGCTCCACAGGCTCGGGCTCACGTACCCTTGTCGACGTAGTCTTCCTTCTGGTTGTTGTTGGAGCTGCCGTGGCTGCCGCCGAGCTTGGAAGCGATTCCGCCGAGCTTGTCCATTGTGATTGGTTGTTGGGGTGTTGGTTGGGTGGTAGATAGTTGTGGAAGGGAGAGTTCGATTCAATTGATGTTATCTGGGGTGATCAGCATGTCGTTTGGGTGGTTTATATAGGTGATGGTGAGTGTGATCGGCAGAGGAGAAGGAAGATGATGATGTCACGAGCGTGGTGGTGACGACACTTTTGTGCTGTGCATGGCATAGCTTGTGCACCCTTGGCTGATATCATCTTATGTCACCTGTGTCAGCGGACTTTATGCATTGGCATCTTTATGCACAAGCCACATTGCCACTAGTTATACACAGCCACCCGGGATTATCCGCTGAGTCAGCACTAATCGCGCGGGTTGCCTGATTGGGAGACTTGGCATTCGATCCATTCCTTCTCGCACGAACTCCCAATCTCCCAATATTCAGGGGTTGATGACTTGACACTCACTAGTTTCTCTAGTGCCTGCTCTTCAGTCGTATTCGTACACACCTGCCATCTTCATTCGCCCTTCCTCATGCTGGGTACTATCTCGCTTGGTCCGTGACATCATGAAGACTGAAGAACCACCCCTTCCTCTGGGGATGGCCCCATTGTTGGAAACCTCAACCAACCATCCAGGGATAATCAGCATCAGACCAATGTTGCTGCCTGCGGAATGAATGGGCTTCTCTGCCTCTTGAAGGCTCGGGCATAGCTGCAATCGATCCAGGATTCGGATTCGAACCGATTAGTGAGCAGCCATGCGGCGCCAGACCCATCTTTCAGCTCAATTTCTTTCGGCCCCAGTGGAGCTGCATCGCCCAAGGCTTTCCGGGGGGTCCGCAGATCGCCTGTTCCTCTCCTCCAATATAAGAGAATTAGGGATTTCCCTTTGCATCTTTTCCTTCCCTCTTTTTCTCTCGTCCTTGACGCCTGTCTCTCGCTCTCCGATCGTCAGGATTCCCCCCTGGCTTCTCCCCTGTCGATCATGAAGCTATCTCTGTTCGTCGCGGCAGCGGCCGGCGTCGCCAATGCCGCCACTTTGCCTCCGGCCGCTGTCGAGCCTGCCCTCGAGCTGGCGGTCCGGGCCCTTCCCAATGCCCCCGATGGTTACACTCCCGACAACGTTACGTGCCCGTCCACCCGGCCCAGCATCCGCGACGCCGATACTCTCTCCACTAACGAGACCGAGTGGCTCAAGGTGCGCCGCAAGGTCACCCTGCAGCCCATGAAGGACTTCCTCGGTCGGTTGAACTTAAGTGGCTTTGACGTCACCTCTTATCTTAACACCCACTCGAGCAACATCTCTAACATCCCCAACATTGCCGTGGCTGCCTCGGGTGGTGGCTACCGTGCGCTGACCAACGGCGCGGGTGGCCTGAAGGCCTTCGACAGCCGCACGGAGAACTCCACCAACGCTGGTCAGTTGGGAGGCCTGCTGCAGTCGGCCACCTATGTCTCCGGGTTGAGTGGTGGTAGCTGGCTGGTCGGCTCCATGTTCGTCAACAACTTCTCCACCATCAGCAATCTGCAAGCTAGCGACCGGGTTTGGGGATTTTCCAAGTCTTTGCTCGAGGGTCCCAACTACGACACCATTCAGATTCTGAGCACCTACGAGTATTGGAAGACTATTACCGACCAGGTCGATGGCAAGTCGGGTGCCGGATTTAACACTTCGTTCTCCGACTACTGGGGTCGCGCCCTTTCCTTCCAGCTGGTCAATTCCTCCAAGGATAACGGTGGTGCCGACTACACCTGGTCTTCCATTTCCCTGATGGACGACTTCAAGAACGGCCAGTACCCGATGCCGATCGTTGTCATGGACGGCCGCAACCCCGGTGAGGTCATCATCGAGAGCAACGCTACAGTCTATGAGGTGACCCCGTGGGAGTTCGGCTCCTGGGATCCGACTGTCTACGCCTTCGCACCATTGGAATACATGGGTTCGAGATTCGAGAACGGTAAGGTGTCGGAGAACGGCACCTGCGTGCGAGGCTTCGACAACGCCGGCTTCATCATGGGCTCGTCCTCGACCCTCTTCAACCAGTTCTTGCTGCAGATCAACAGCACCAGCATCCCGACTATCTTTAAGAATGCCTTGACCGATATTCTCGAAGATCTCGGTGACAAGGGTGACGACATCGCTGTCTACTCCCCTAACCCGTTCTACGGCTACCGTGAGGCCAGCGAAGACTACGCTACCACCCCGTCCCTGGATGTTGTCGACGGTGGTGAGGATGGCGAGAACATCCCTCTGCACCCGCTCATTCAGCCCAACCGCCACGTCGACGTGATTTTTGCAATTGACTCGTCCGCTGATACTGACTCCTTCTGGCCTAACGGCACCTCGCTGGTGGCCACCTACCAGCGAAGCTTGAACAGCTCTGGCATTGGCAACGGCACCATCTTCCCCCCGGTCCCCGACGTGAACACTTTCGTCAACTTGGGCCTGAACAAGCGCCCGACCTTTTTCGGCTGCGACCCGAAGAATCTCTCTGGTCCCGCGCCGCTCGTCGTCTACCTGGCCAACTCGCCCTACACCTACGACTCGAACTTCTCCACCTTCAAGCTGACCTACTCGGACGAGGAGCGCGACAACGTCATCACCAACGGCTACAACGTGGTGACCCAGGGTAACGGCACCCTCGACTCGAACTGGACGTCGTGCGTCGCCTGTGCCATCCTGCAGCGCTCGACCTACCGCACTAACACCACCCTGCCCGAGATCTGTACCACCTGCTTCAACGACTACTGCTGGAATGGAACGACCAACAGCACCACGCCGGGCGAGTATGAGCCCACCATGTTCCTGACGACCAGCGGGTCCGGCAAGAATGTCCTGCACCGCACGGCGGCCGGTCTGGCCTTTGCCGTGACTATGTTTTTGGCTTACTAGATGGAGTTGTGAATTTTGGGAGGGAGATTAAGCTTCATGTACAAACATTGATAGTTTTGGAAGATGCTGTTGATAGTAATGGATGTGATGAAGGTACGATTGATGGCTGTATTTTCGGTATTATTGCTTAGGATCTAGTGTCGGAGTTGGGACAATGGTACATTTTGGATAGAATTCTGCCTCCTCGATAATAGACTTTTTTTGGCATCAAAGGCGATCTTTCCCCAAACATGGTTCGGTTCGAGTGGAAACCTTGGTTCCTTCGAGAGTCAGGCACAATCTCGGCTGATGGTTATTGCCTTGCTCAACTGGTCTTCTCTTCGGTCAAACTCGAGTGGGCAACCATCTGAGACTGGGGGCTTGACCGGATCGAACTCGGCTCCATGGATACATAAGAAAGCACGAGAAGGAAATGGCCTTTAGCTAAGAGAAAGGCTCCGTCTTAGAATCGATATAACACTCAACATTTGTCTCGGTCAAACCCTTACTGGGCACGAAGACAAAGATGACAACACCCGTATGATCACAAACAAAACATTGCTACACAAAAGCTATTTATACGCCCACCGGCACTGATAGCATATATCGTTCTGGCGCGCTCCTGGACCGGAGTTTCTCGAGAACGACACAGCATCAGGTGAGACTTATAAGAAGGCTATGATCTCGATTCCGTACGCTCAACAGACTCAAGAGTAGTCGGACCTAATCTCAAACACTATGGCAGAAACCAGTATCGAGATTCCCTGCTGGCGGGACCGAATCGCCAGCCGCCTCGCTCCTCTAGGAGCGTACAGCTTGCTCGACATCACCCAGCGTAGGCCCTGGGGTGAGCACGGAATCCCCACCGACATCCAGATCATCGTGGCCTTCACGCGCGGTCGGCCCTTTTTCACCTTCATTATCGCCCCCATTGATGAACCCGCCTGGTACGCCGCCACACTCTACCGCGAATGGTGGAGCGCAGCGACCGACCATAACTACGCGATCCCGCCCAGGATGATACTCGCCGGCGGCGGCGTCATCGACGGCCGGGTTAGCTTCTGGACGTACGAGGTCCGCGCCTTCGGGGGCCCTCGCTTGGCGGCCCTCTGGGGCTGCCGCGGCCAGGACTCGTTTGACTGGTGGGCCGATGAGTTTCTCATCCTGCGCTTCTTCTTCGACCTGTCGGACAACGTGAACGCGGTCGTTTGGGGGCCTACCTTCGGGGGTGCCTTTAGCGGGTGGGACTTCCCCGCTCAGGCGAATTACTTCTCGGTCATCTTGAACCATAATGCCCGAGAGGCGGGTGCGACTGCGCCACTTCGTCCCCGTACCATTACGGGTATTGCTAACGTCCAACAGAGCGCTGCTGCTACTCTTCCTCCGGCTACCCTTCAGGTTAATGGTGTTTTTCCTGCTGTCGCTGCTCCCGCACCTCCCCAGACAGATGACGAAGCAGACGAAGATGATCGTGAAGATCGTGCTCATCGCTCCGGCACGGTCACTCCGCAGCCCACTGCACCAAATGAGTCTGCCTCGGACAGTCCTGAGGGCTCTGCTACTGAGTCTTTCTACAGCCTCGCCTCGTCGGAATACTTCTCTGCTGATTCGAGATAGTAGGATAGTGGGGGTGGCTTTGATGGATCGGTTGAGCTCACGAGGTGTTTGGCAAGGGATGATAGGTAAGATTCTGCTGTTTCGGCCATCATCTCATCACAATAGGATTTTCTTTTCCCCTGATATCAAAAGCTTGTAGTATGAAACTTATTCTCATTTGTATTCCCATTTTGTTCTCCCATTTCTTCTAAGCATGACTAACTATACCTAGCATTTTACGCCTTGTATTCGCTTTAAAAATTCCATCGTCCTCGTGTCCAGAACGACTTCTTCCTGCTTGAAGATTACGGTCGTTCAACTTCTGAATTCATCGATGAGTGTCTTTGTTCAAAAGGCCGACCGTCCTTTGGCGATACTTTATCGAACACGGAGCAGTTCCGAGCGCAGACAACCACAATTTGTTTTTCTTTCTACGGATTATATAAATTCTCATGCCAAACAACCACCGACGCACCCCTTGGGCAGCGTGCGAATCAGACAGGCTGTATGTTGGCTGGATAAGCGCTAAAGCTGCAGCTAAGGCCACATAGCCATGCGGTTCCAACCCGATCACAGCGCTGGTTTGCCCACTTCACCGCCGCCTTTACTGGCTTGGTGCTTATGTGAGGGGAAAAGGACGGCTGAACTGTCAACTAAAGAAGAAATCGTGACAGTTACCAAAGGTGGTCTTCATCATCGCCATGGATCCGTTCAACGCCATTGGTTTAGTTGGCAATATTCGTGCCTTCCTCGGGATCGGGATTCACGTCGTCAAGCACGGACAGAGGATCTACCGCTCCGCCTCGGGCGCGACGCAACAGAATGAAGACCTGGCGGCGACGAATGCCCGCTTCCGGCAGGTCGTGGCCTATTTGCAAAAGCAACACGTATCGGTCGACAGGGCTCTCCGGCCGGATGAGTGGGCTCTGCACGATCTCTGCGTCGAATGCTGCGGGGTGGCCGATGAGTTGCAGCAGCTCCTGGATGGACTACGTGTGAAAGGCGATCGCGGCAGGGCGGCGCAGATAGCCAAGGTGATGTGGCAAGACTGGCGGTGCAAGGAACGGAAGATGGAGCTGCAGAACAAATTATCCAGTTACGAGAGGCAGTTGAATCTGTTTCTTACCAATTCCGCCAGGTAAGGACTCCTTTTCCTCCTTCCCTTTTCGCTATAGTTGGTCGGAGTCGATTGCTAAGGCTGAAGGCGTGAAAAAGACTCGACTTTCGACAACGTCTGGATGAATTGGTCCGATATGGGCAATCGAATCAGGCCGAGATGGCTTCGCTTCGGGAGAACGTCACAGCACTGCGCCGGGTCCTGGCAACGGACTGTGTTGACAAGAGCGACTCTCGGGGTAGGATTCAGCATCTAGTCGGACTGTCTGATAAAGCGTTGTGGAATGTCCGCGCCAGCTCCGTTCTCGGTATCTTGCGCTTCGAGGGGATGAATGAACGGTTTAACGACGTGGATGATGCTCACAGGGCTACGTTCAATTGGCTATTGAATACAGATGGCAAGTCCGAGGAGCCTAGTCCGACTTCTGATTTGCGGGAGAGACCCAGAAGGCATTCGTGCACAGGCTAGAAGAGGGGACTGGTATCTTCTATATCTCTGGCAAGCCGGGCTCTGGGAAGTCCACGTTGATAAAATATATTTGCCGACACCAGAGAACGGAACAGCATTTACAGGTTTGGTCGGCCACCAAGACTCTGGTGGTAGCCAGGTTCTTCTTCTGGAAGCCCGGGCAGGCTCTTCAAAAGACCTTTCGCGGCCTGGTCCGAGGCATCATTTACTCAATTGTATCACAGGCAACGGAGTTGATACCGCTCCTGTTACCCAGGCAGTGGAACGCTACCATCGGTGGAATGCAGCCGGTTCTTGACGACGACAGTGAGATTTTTGCTGCATTCAGCACGCTGATAGAAAGCGATTCCATCTATTCTACACACAAAATCGCGGTGTTCATTGACGGCCTCGATGACTTCGAGGGAGACCGCACTCAAATGACACAAACCTTGAAACGCTGGACTATCTCTAGATCATCAAATGTCAAAGTCTGTGTGTCTAGTCGGGAGGAGATTGAGTTTCAAGACGCCTTCAAGTTTGGCCCGAGGCTGCGACTACATGAAGTAACCCAATCTGATATCCTGAGCGTGGTCCGGAGCCGGCTGGGTCAGAACGAACTTTACGTTCTGCTTGGAACACCGGATCAAAGAAAGTCACTAGAAGAAACCATTACGAGCAGGCCTGAGGGCCTCTTTCTGTGGATCAAGTTGATCCTGCAAAGGGTCGAGCATAGTGTGCTCAGTGGTGATCTACTCGAGGATTTGGAACAGCAGATTGATTCCCTCCCTAATGAGCTGCACGATTTGTTTACCACAATCCTGGCCACTATTGAGCAGGACAGCCCGAGGATTGCGTACTCCCTGATCTCGATGGCGCTTGGCTGTCCACAGAATTGGCCATTGTTCCGCTTCTCTTTCTTGCCGGACTATCTTGCGAGCCCCAATTTTGCGCTGGAGTACGGGTCTACTTTCGGAAAGACGGGCAAAGTCAGCACACGATTGGAACGAGTCCGACGGATGATCTACGGAAAATGTGGAGGACTGCTCGAGATCTGTTCCACCACTTCGGTATCCTACGCGGGCGACCCGTTCGATTCGACCTGGATGGAACAAGATCCGACCTTCAACACTACTGTCAAGCCTACTCATCGGTCAAGTCTGGAGTTCCTATCCAGTGAAGAGATCAAGGTCAAGGTCGAGGCACATATCAAAGGCTTTGATATCCTGGATATACTGTGCCAGACCCTGTTGGCCCACCTTAGGACACGTGCTATTCCGTGCGAATACTTCAAGGCATTTTTGGGGGTCGGCACCGGATGGTATATTGCCACTAAAGCGTTCTCCAGGGACCTCTGTGCACTGATGAGGAGGTCTCTTTCACGGCTGAGCGTTTTCGACCGAGTGAGATTCTCCGTATTTCTGGAGAGCTTTTGTAAGGTTGTCGATGGACTTGATTCTCCGAAATTGCTAGAACTTCAGGTGCTATCTGGAGCCCACGGAGGAGAGAAGAAATTGGGTCGGACCATTTCGGCGGACTGTGCAACGATGACTCGAGTTCTGGCGGCGTGGCACGGGATGGACTGGTAATTTCAGTCCAAGAGCGAGATAAGGGACCTGATGCAACATCTCGCATTTGAGTTTCTGATTACTTCGGCCGTTGGGTCCACCTCCATCGGTCAGCCCCGGCTCACGCACGGACTGGTCAATATCCTATCGGTGTATCTGGAGCAAGGCGCTTTTATTCAGGATCCATCTGGCCACGACGTGCAAATCTCCTACTGGTTATCCTTCGTGTGGCAGGTGTTCATCCGAGGCATTCGACTCAAAAGCCGCCGCCTGCTTCTCCCTCTGTTCGCGCTATTTCTGCTCCGCGGGGGCGACCCGCGCATTCACCTGCAGGTCGACGAGGGCCACCAATATCAGTGGGGCAGCACCAAGCTCTATGACATCGAGCTGGTCACCGAGGGGCGGCAGGGGCAGATGCGGCTGCAGTCGGATTTCGCGCAACTCGAGGCAACGGAGTCGCTTCGACGGCTCTTCCAGCAGAACAACAACCTAGTCTCTTTACGCCAATTCTTGGAGGTATTATTCCCGGTCAAGGTTGCGACTCCTTTTCAGCTTATGATTGATTGGCATCTTGTGCACGAGGAGGACCTCACGCCAGAGCAGCTGGTCGAGATGAGAGAGTTGTTTGCGCCATCGGTTCAGCCCTTGCTGACGCTGCAGGCTATGGAGGAGGTCTTTGCAGATGACGAAGATGATTGAGGCCGGGGTCAACTTGGAAGTCTCACAGACCCCCTGTCGTCATATACGAGCTTCATTCTCTTCTTCTTTCTTTCTCATCGCCCATCAAGTGGAGTCAGAAAATTGTTTTTGGCATAATATGCTTTGATACCCATAGTGACGATGAGATCAAATGCAGACAGGATAATTCAGCCCCTATAATCTGAGGTAATTTACTAAGTATATTAATAACTTGAGAACTCAGATAGTTTGACTACTAAGATTCATAAAATACGTCAAGATAGTCCACCCCTGAGACTTCAAAAACGCTTACACACTTCAGGTAACTTCTATTTGATGATCCCCAAGGAAATATATTGCCGAAACCCATATGTAGTCTAATGCGACCGACCATCACATCAACCGGGAAAATAAAGTCCACTACAGCCCCATTTCTAGCATATCCACATTATATCATATACGTCCTTATCCTGATGTGGTATTTGGCTCTGGGATCTCACGTACAAGAATTCATGCCTAGCCCTTGTTTGAGCAGAGCAGAGCAGTTGTCCATTCGCATGCGCGACAGCAACTTATCGTATGATGCGTCGCCCTAGTATTATTCATCGAGCGATAGTCAGGGTAAGCACACAGTAAACAGTCACTACGTTTACCCGCTTGGATAGAGGGTAGAGCATGTCATGCGAAAATCACTGGTTTGATGTCTGCAATATATGCACAGAACGCCCTGGCTGTCAAGATTTCAAGGGCCAGTAACGCTCTCGATAAAAAGCTTTCTCCGCACCACGGGAGAATAAACCGATCTTCGTCTGTGGGTCTTGTGTATCGATTGATGTAGTCAGGGTAGGCTATTCATGGGAAGCAGTTCTGGTCTCTGCTCGCAGAGTCAAAGAGGAAAATGAAGTTTGAGCAGGTTGGAGCTACAGCAATTAATAATAAAGGGAGATGTTGAACTCGTAGGCACCTAACGATAATTAAAAATGTGATACTAGCTGCAGGTACTTATAGAGAGACATTGGGCTCGACAAATATCAAAATTGAATAAAGCTTTGAAATTCATGAAAGGGTTGTTTAACCTCATATTTATGATGATGAATTTGTCAAACGAAGAGCAAACGTATGCTCGTCACCAGCGCAGTTTTATACTCTGCAAGTATGCCTCTTCTCCTGATAGAGCTCTAGATTCTGACTTCCATGCTTTCTAGACACCATAGCAGATAGATGAAACTTACGTCGAACTGGACTCCCCCTCAATCACGCCGCCAACCCATTCGGCGACAATGATGGAGAAATGTGAGCCGACAGGGGTGTCGATACCCAGCAAGCGGAACCGCGGATCGACACGGTGAATTAGGGCATGCCAGTCCTCAGCATCGCGCTCGTAAGCATTGAACTGACCCATCATCAAGAGATCCATCTGGCGAGCCTCGCGTTCTTTCCAGAGCGGCAGTACCCCGGGCTCGGGCAGACAATAGTCGTTGATCACGACGCGGGCGCCGGGCCTCAGGGCAGGAATCAGGGCACGCAGGATCCGGATAGCGTACTTGTCGGACCAGTTATGCAGGATCCAGCGGAAGAGATAGGTATCAGCCACGATCGGTTGGGGCTGGAAGAAGTCATGAGCCATGAAGCTGATGCGTGGAGCGACCTCGCCCGGCAGCCTGGCCGCCGCCCCGGCTATGGTCGTCGCGTAGTCTTGCACGATGAATTTCTGGTCCGGATGCTGCGCCGCCAGCGCCGCCGAGATATGACCCGTTGAACCTCCCAGGTCAACGACTGTCGAGGCTTGAGACCAGTCGTAGCCGCGAGCCAGGTGCGATGCCGCAAATCCCGGCCCCTGGCCGATCATGCTCATTGCCTTGGCGAACCGGGCCGCGCGCGCCGGGTCTTGTTGGATGAAGTCGTACTTAGACAGGTCTGTCTTGTGCGCTAGGTTATAGCCCTGCAAGAGTTAGCTAGTGAGAAAATGATTGCTCACTGTCTGCGTTGTACTCCGTGGGTAGGGGGAGAAGAATACATACGGTCTCATTGGGCTCATCCGAGTTCGGCCATTTCTCCCATGCTTGTGCTGCCTGCTCGTCCGGCTTCATCAGCCCCAGAATCAGGGAAATTGCTGGACACTAACTTACAAAGAGGGCACCGGAGTAGGTGTCTTCGATAGAGCAGGCCGCGAACGCTGCTTCTGTCGTGCCGGAGCGCAACAGAAGGCTGCGCGGCGTATGCACAACGATGCCCTTACGCAGCTCGCGGAAAACTCCCATTGTGGCGGCGTGCCGGATAATGTGCTTCACACGCATCGGACTGAGCCCGGAGGCGGCAGCAATTCGCTCGAAGCTCGTTTCTTCGCTGGCATCGAAGCTGTCGGCAATCTTGAAGCGTTCCACCACATTGATGCTCATCAAATTGTAAGGCTACTCCCACAATTGCAGTGAGCGCCTTTCCTGACCTGAAGCAGAAGCCATGCGCGTGCTTACCGAGGCCGCCAGAAAGGCGTTTATGGGACTGATCAACAGACCGTATAGCTCATGGATGGCGTCGAGAGCGGCATCCTGAGCTGGACTGACCTCTGCGGGCAGGTCATGCTGCGCCCCCGGCCTCCAGGCGGGTAGCTGTTCATTATGAGCCTGAAGGTAGTCGTGGATTGTCGTGGTATTACTGCTGATAGTTGCAGCAAGTTGCTGAAGGCGAGAGAGGTCCATTGACTTGTCCATTCTGAAGGGTGCAGAGGACTTGAGCCTATTTTGCTCTACTTGGTTTCACGGCACCGAGCTCACAACAAATACTACCTATCATACCATGATCGCACATCACTCAGCATCAACCCGATCTTTGGCACCCAACTCCTAGGTCAAACGTCTGATACCCTCACCGATGTGTCATTGAACGAGACTCTTACCCCCCTCACTGCAATCCCGAAGATGTCTGCGATCGGCGCCGCGATAAAGGGTGGCCCCACATTCTCAGACTACTCGTCATGGCTCATGCACCGATAGCGTCTCAAAAACCCCTCATACATGCCTTGACAAGTGAAGGGGCCAAAGCGAGGCGAAGGACAGAAGGGCAGATTGCCAGCTGTTCCAGCTAAGGCTTGACCCCGCAGCCGGTAGTTGCGCATATGCATGCAGGCAGCAGTTAGGGTGCCCAACACTTCCCACTTCAGGCATGACCACAGACCGAGCCCTGATTGCGTCTCCATGGCTACTCTTCAGCTTCTGACATATCTAGGTTCGGCCTGAAAATAAAAGAGCCTAGATATCAAGCTCACTACTTTTTCATCCACCCCATCCCTCGCCTGATTCCTTACCGCAGCATTGCCCAACCTCCTTAATCGCACTTCCACTGTCTGAAAAGTGTTTCCTACTCGCCTTAGAGAAGTTCAACAATGCCGCAGATTGAACGCATCACGCTCTTCAAGATCCCTAACGAAGAAGACATCCCGAAGGTCCTGGAGCAGTTCAAAATCCTGGGCCGCGATGCCACCAAGGTACGTTGGGGTCTCAGATTTTGTTAAGCGTCTCCGGCTAGGTGTCTATGTTCTGCTGCAGATCAAAGAGAACTAACATCTTACAACTCTGCTCGTAGGACGGCAAGCCATACATCATCAACGCCGCCGTTGGCCAGTCGTTTCCGGATGCGCGCAATCAGGGCTGGAACGTCTCAGTCAAGACCGCGTTCGCTTCGCTGGATGATATGAAATTTTACGATCAGGAGTGCGAGGCGCACAAAGCATTGAAGGCCGTCGTTCTTCCACTGAAACAGGATATCATGACGACTTACTTCGAGAGTATTCTGTGAGGGCATCTTGGGCGACATCATAATCAAGTGTGTATGTAGAAGGCAATGGAACAGAAACCTATTATTCAATTGCACTGTAGCTCTGCTGCGCTTGTGCACAGCTAGATTCTTTGACACACATGTATGCTGCATTTTGGGAAGTGAGGTATCGGTGGGGAATGCCTGCCAGGACCTGTAAGGGTCAATAGCAGTGTCACGTTATCATATCCGATGCAAGGAGCTCTATGGCAGACGCAATTTGGGCAGGATTAGAAACACGCGTTCTGCGGGGGAGCAGGATTTCACTACCACGTACGCGCCCAATTGAAAAGAAACCGAGGCTTATGCTCGATTACATCTAGAGTGAGGGGTACGGGGTGGAGGGGTACTGAAGACGACAGCAGAGTCATACGAAATCTGCGGGCCAGACACATGCATGTCGTTTTTGTGCCACTCCTTCGATTCGCGTGCGCCTTACATGTGCCGATCTATCATACAACCAAGTCTGCAGAACATGAATTGTCACTGGTGCCACGATCTAATCAGGCTTTACAGGTTACCTGCTTATCGCTGTGCTGTACACTGTTCCGCCCTCGGAATTGCGTGTGTTGTTCAGATATATGGAGTGCGTCTCGTGCGGAACGACATTGTCTGCGCTGTGCAGCTCTTCAAACTCAATATGGCTTCTGGGTATGTCCCAGATTATCAGCCATGAACAAGGAAGGCTGCCAGATGCAGATCAAAGCGGACGACGTGGTGACAGCTCAATGGCGCTTAGCATGCCATCGTCCCGTGAGGCCCTAGATGGCTCTGCACTTGCAACCGCCCAGTAAATTTCTGACGCGAAGCAAGGAAGCTGCTTGATCTTCGCGAATCTGCACCTCCTCCCAGCTCACCGCACCCTCCGAATGTCGTCGAATAACATCATCTTGCAGGCGATGGGTGCTTATGACTGGATATATTAGGGAGTGTGGGTGGCGGAGCGATATCTGCTGTAGTAGTCCAGATTATTTGAGCAGTCGATATCATCTATCACACTCTTCTTTCTACTCACCTCCCACTTCCACATCTCCACCCCCTCGAGTCTGAAGAGGAAACTCGCAGAGCCAACATGACAATCACCGCTGCTCCCAGAGGCCTTCGCCGCATCCACGCCTCTGCGGGCGCCGCGAAAATCCTTGAAATGTTCCGCGAGGATGGTGGTGTTATCATCGAAGGATTCTTCACACCGGAGCAAGTGGCCAACATCAACAGGGACGTTGACCCGTACCTAGCCAAGGTGAAGGTCGGCACAAACCGTGAGGGCGACTGGATCAAGGACTTTCACGGCGAGAACACACGGCGGCTGACGAACCTGCCGACGCTCAGCCGGACCTTTCGCGAGGAGGTGCTCAACTATGAACTGATCCATGAGCTGTGCGAGGCCGTCTTCCGGGTACAATCCGGCGACTACTGGATGTGCACAGCGCAGGTCATCGAGATTGGACCCAAGAGCAAGCCACAGGAGCTGCACCGCGACACGGCCGAGTTCCCCGGCTTCACCAAGCTGGGCCCCGCGATGGACGAGATCCAGATCAGCTTCTTTACCTCGCTGACTGAGTTTACTGCTGAGAATGGGGCCACGCGCGCCATCCCCGGCAGCCACCTCTGGCCTGACTACGAGGAGCTGGGTACCGAGGAGATGGCTGTCCCCGCCGTTATGCAGCCCGGCGACGTTCTGTTTTTCACCGGCCGCCTGGTCCACGGCGGCGGCGAGAACCGCACATCCGACGTCTGGCGCCGTGGCATCTCTCTCGCCTTCCAGGCCAGCTACCTGACCCCGGAGGAGTGCTACCCCCTGATCATCCCGCGCCCCATCGTCGAGAGCATGACCCCGCTCGCTCAGAAGATGGTCGCCTGGCGATCCCAGTACTCCAACAGCTCCGGTGGTCTGTGGCAGAGTGATTACGATGAGGTTGGCAAGGCTATTGGCCTGAAGTCCAACGTGCCCCTGCCCCCTCAGTGAGCTGAGGAATAAAGATTAAGCCCCTTTTGCTCGCCTTTGCTTGGCACTTAGCCAAGCATCATCCTACTGGCGGTTTGTGATTGTGTGGTCGAATTGACCATATTTTGCTTAACCCGCTAAATCAAAATATTTGTCTTTATGGTCGTTTCGAATCGTAGAGTTACCCTTCCTACTCTGGTTTGTAGAAGCCTAGTAATTATCGCTGTCGGCCCCTTAGATTCTGGTCAAACGCAGACAATTTCATTGTCTCTGACAGCTAAGATGATGCAGAAAGACAACCAATAATCAAGACCCCTTGCCAGTCACTGCATCGAGAAATTGAAACTTTGGGCGTCTTTGAATTTGTTGTCCGGTACACGACATCTAGGTCGCGTCCGCGCATGCATATACACGAAGAGAACGAGAATCCTGGCGTAAGTCAGAAGAAATATCCCTTGTAAAGCTACACACTGGAGTGCGGCATGGGCTATGTCACAATGGCCACCATCGGAATATGGGCGAAGTTCCTTGGGGCTGGTTACCCAAGGATGTAGGAGAGACTCGGTGCATGCAGCGACACATCAAGAATATACTGACAGGACAGTCGGCGACGTGGCCCCTAGTTTGTCAAACAAGGGAAAACAAACAAGACTGTGAAGGCAATGGATAGAGGGTTCTATGTAATAGGAGGATTAAAAGCAATAGACCCACAAGTTCAAGTCGTCTATAATATTCCTACCGAGTAGCCCTACTCCATAGTTCCAACAACTACGTTTCACCTTGTGAAACAAATTCATCTCCCACGTAGATCGTAGGCATTTACCAACATTCCATCATCTGCGCGCAAAGGTCCTCGGATTAACAACCTTGACCACACTTTGAATGACATCCGGAGCGAGCATGGTAGACGTATCCCCGATCCCTGCCAAGTCGCCCTCCAGGATCTTGCGCAACACTCGTCGGAGGATCTTGCCTGACCGAGTCTTGGGAAGGTCGGGAACTAGATGCACAGCTCGCGGCTTGGCGAATGAACCGATGCGTAGAGCGACTTGTTTGGTCAACTCGCTTGCACGCGGAGGTTTCCGAGGCTCTGCCGTCTTTTTGAGTACGGCGAAGACCACCACGGCCTGGCCGGTGAGCTCGTCATCGACACCTACGGCAGCGACCTCGGCCACCAGGGCTAACTCGAGTAAAGCTGCTTCTATCTCCGCGGTCGACAGACGATGGCCCGATACGTTCACCACGTCGTCGAGACGTCCGGTGATCCAGTAGTATTCGTCGCGGTCCTGGCGGGCGCCGTCTCCGGTGAACTATTTGTCTACGATTAGTTCCTGTTTCTCGAAGTTTACAGTCAGATAGTAAAAGGAATGGGTAAAACATACATAACAGCCAGGATAGGGTCGAAGATAAGAGGTCATGAACTTCTCGTGATCACCCCAGACTGTACGAGCGAGACTCGGCCAGGGCTTCTGAATCACAAGCGCGCCGGCCCTCGTGTTCTCGTCATCCTCATCGCCATCGGCTCTAATAATAGCCGGATCGATGCCGAAGATAGGAAAGGCACAGCTTCCGGGTTTGGTTGGTGTGACTCCGGCCATGGGCGCCATCAGGAAGGCCCCTGTCTCGGTCTGCCCGTAGGTGTCGAGCAGGTGAGCTCGGCCCTTGCCTATGCTGCGATGATACCAGCTCCAGACTTCGGGAGCTATAGGCTCCCCGATAGACCCAAGAAGACGCAACCGGGTCATCGGAAGCGGGACCTCCCCCGGAGGCGAGAGCATGCGCAGCAGCCGGAGCGCGGTAGGAGCTGCGTAGAAATGGGTGACACGGTTTTGCTCGCAGATCTCCCAGTAACGAAGCGGCGAGGGATATATCGGACTGCCTTCGTAGATGACAGTGGTACGGCCCAGGAGCAGCGGCGTGTACAGCCCGCAGAGCAGGCCGGTGATCCAGCCCACCTCGCCGGTGCAGAAGAGCACATCGCCCTCTCGCAGCCCCAGCATGTACTTGCCCATCACCGCGATGCCGACCAGAAAGCCTCCGGTGACATGCACCAGCCCCTTGGGCTTGCCAGTTGACCCGGACGTGTAGAGCACAAAGAGAGGGTGTTCAGCGTCCACCCACTCCGGGGCTAAGTCTGCATCAACGACTGTCTGGGCCAGTAGGTCATGCCACCAGACATCTCTCTCCGAGTTCCAGGCTACCAGGGGCTGTGTTTGCGGCTGGTGGCGAACGACCAACATTCTTTCTACCCGGGGACACTGCTGGAGCGCCTCATCAACCGCCGGCTTCATCGGGAGATATACGCCGCCCCGTCGACTGTAGTCGGCAGTAATGACCAGTCTTGCATCCAGATCCTGGATTCGGCCGGCCAGAGCATTAGCCGAGAAGCCGTCGTAGATGATGGTGTGTATGGCACCCAGCCGCACGACGGCCAGCGTCGCGATGATGACCTCGGGGATCATCCCCATGTATATCACCACCCGGTCTCCCTTCTGCAACCCCAATGCCCGGAGCATGGCTGCGGCCCGACAGACCTCGGTTTGGAGCTCGGCGTAGGTGATCGTGCGACCAGTCCCAGGCTCATCACCTTCGAAGATGATAGCCACTTGGTTGGGCTTTGTTGCGGCATGGCGATCAACGCAGTTGTAGGCCGCGTTCAGGCGGCCCCCCGTAAACCAGGTGGCATCGCCCGCCTCCAAGCTGCCTCGCGTGGTCTCGGTGAAGTCTTGGTGAAAGGAAATGAGGTCGCGCGCTTCTCGCCCCCAGAACTCCCCCGAGTTCTCGATCGATTCGCGGTGAAGCTCCTGGTACTCTTGAAAGCTCGTGAGCCCCCCGTGGAGCTGCTCGGGATCAGTTGAGGCATGTGGAGGTATCGCGCTATGATTGTTTGCCTTGCGCGATCAGTTGGCTGGTCCATCGGATTCGATAAGGACAACAGGTTCTGAGATCGATCAAACTCACCCAACTGTCCCCTCAGCAGTTCCGTTCTCTCCCGAAGCTGGCACGGTCATGGTCAAGTCCGGGCGAGGTAATACGATAGAGCTAGAGGAAGCTAATCCTATGTCATAGTCTATCAATGAAACATTGAGAGGGAAAGATATGTTGTATATGATCAAACTGCCCATAATGAAAGCAACTAGCGGTGTGAGTGTACAACGTGGCGGTGTCTATTCCAGGGTGTCATGTCCTCGCGTCAACCTGTAAGGAGAGGCAGTGAGCTCCTGCAGAATGACTCTCTGGCGCGTCAGGATGTGTGCTGTTCAAGGAATAAGATTCCGATCTCCATATAAGATCACAGTTCTGACCATGCGATTTGTCCCTTGGACTTTGCAGTGGTTCCGCAGACAGCAACCCAAGAAAAGCTCCCTGGCGTTTTACGTCTTATGAAAGTCATATAAGAGAGCTTGGATCGGTATCGAATGAAGAAAAAGGCTCTAAGTTGCTTCTATTTGCTGTAGAACTGGAAAAATAAAAAAGGAAAACACATGGATAGGGCGACCAGCCGCAGACAGAGTAAGCAATAGGTTATAGCCCGCGGCGCCGGAACCCGGGATCGACAGAGTGATCTACTTCTACAGTTCTCTTGCCAGTAGGATCGGGCAAGAACCCTCTCTCGATTAGATATCGCACCGAGGCTACAAATGAGTCTCGTACATGGGCGGTGTTGGCTGCATTGATAACCGAGTCAGGCATTGGACCCTCGTACCCCAACAGAGATTCCTGGCCCTGGTGCTGATCGATCATCTCGTAAACCGGCCACAAAAGATGCGAGGCGCCGGTCTCAGTGACCTGAGCTCGCAGCGCAGCGGCCCACGCTGGTCCCGCCATAGGTTGCAACTGAAATCCGAACTCCGACTGAAGAATGTCCCAGAGAAGGCCTTCACGGACATGGTCCCAAATCTTGCGGACAACGCAGCCCGGGGGGCTTACCTTGCTCGACAGCACACTGTCCATAACGACAGCGGCCAACACATCGGCGCTGCTGACGAAGACCGTGGCGTCAGTTGTGTCGCTGTTGTAGGCGCGGAGCTTAATGATGGAGGCGACAAACCGCCACAGGAAGTCATCGGTATTGGCGACGCCCGATGAAGAGCCCCCCATGACCAGCCCAGGCTTGATGATGGCAGCGTGCCTCTTGCTACCCGTTTCCTCCTGGCCCTGCACTATGGAGTATGCCCCCCGCACGAGCAGCTCGGACATCAGTTTCGTCTGATCGTACCCCTTGTCGCTCTCGTGGAGCTGTTGTAACAGACGAGCGTCCGTATCCCCCTCTTTCACGTCCCATTGCGGACCACCAGAGATGTAGACGAAGGCCTGACAATGCACCGATTCCTGGCTCGCCTGCAAGAGATCGACCGTAGAGCCGACATTGACCGGCTTGAGCGTCGCGTAGTCGCGGGCCCAGTGCACCCAGGCGCCGCAGTGAATTATGGCGTCGATCGGAGTATCCGTCAACCCACGGACCTGATCCCATCGCTCAGGGGACACCCCAAGACAGGGAGCCGCGAGGTCCCCTTCCCATACCTCAAGACGCGGGGCGAAGGATTCGTCCCACCAACGCGCCGTTTGCGCACTCTGGATAACTCGATCTAGAGCGGTTGCTCGCGAAGACGGTCGCGTGTGGACTACCACTCGAGAAATGCTGGGTGTACGCAGCACAGCTTTGAGGATGTTCGTTCCCACGTAACCAGTGACGCCCGTGACCAAGACAGTGCTCACCCGGGCTGGTGGGCGGCAGCGATGTTGCAGCTGCGCTTTGAGGGCCGACAGCTCCTTCGTCCAGTCGACGGCGGGAGAAGCAGTAGGAGACGTGGACTGTTCACCGCTTTGTTCGCCATTCTCCTGCTTCTGAGCTGCCTCAATATGCTGGGCCAGTTGACGTACTGTCAACGCGCTGTGACTGAGAACCGGGAGAGGGATGCGCACCCCGTGGTCCTTTAGAATGCGATGCCCCAGGGTGACGACCTTCACCGAGTCAAGTCCTAGAGACTGCAGCCTGAAGTCTGTGGCCGGTCTTCCCGTTTGCTGTCCATGGATGAGGTGTTGGATGGTAGTAGCCAGCTGTCGAGCTAGCTCTTCGTCGGCAGCCAAACGGCTCGTACCAGCGGAATGCGCAGCCAGATCATGGCTTTGCGCCAGTCGTTCTCGCTGCGGCCATGTAATCTGGAGCATTAATTGTCGTACCGCCTTGCGGTTAAGTTTACCGCTCGTCAAAGTCGGAATCCGGCCGACGGGGATCACAAATGATGGCACCATGTAGGCGGGCAAACGCTCCTGCACACGGGACCGAAGACGGTGCAGGACTTTCTGCACGCTGGGCTGGGCCAGCGTCTGCGGTACTGTGTCCCAGAAGGTTTCCGCATCTGTACCGTCGCCAAAAGAGGGAAGAGTGAGAACTTGCGGATCGAGTTGGGCCATCGCCAAGATCGTGTCCGCCATAGCGCCTTGCTTGGGCAGGTCCGCCACGCTCAATTGCACCCCGTCGGCCTCGTCGCAGAGGGCGCTCTCGATTTCTCCCAGCTCAATTCGCTGGCCACGGAGCTTGACCTGATCGTCTTGGCGGGCAAGAATGATGATGGTTCCATCCGGGGCATAACGAGCTAGATCGCCCGTGCGATAGACTCGATATCGTGCCGCCGCATGGTCCGCTGGGAAGAATGTGTTGGACAAAAATCGTCGAGCGGTCTCTTCTGGCCGGTTGATGTACCCTCGACCGACAATCGGACCCTGGATCAAGAGCTCGCCCACGGCTCCAATCGGCGCTAGTCGCCGTGGATCGTCAGGCTCCGCTATCCAGGTGACGCACCCGAATCCCACTCCAATATTGCTTGCATTGGAGGCGTCGACTGCGGTCTGCACGGTACTGGTAACAGAGCACTCGCTGGGCCCGTAACTATTCTGGAGTACCCCGGGCCGACTGGCCCAGGTCTCGATCAATTTGCGCGGCATGGGCTCGCCTCCCTGTCGCAGATACCGGATGTGCGGCACACTCTCCGGAGTCAAGAGTGCTGCCGCTGCGGTGGTGAGCTGCACCAGGTTGACCTCCAGGCGTCGTATCGCCCCCGCCAGATCTAGCAACCGCTCATCTTCGGATGGTACACAGATACAGCCTCCCGCGAGCAAGGTGGCAAAGATCTCTTCAATGGCAGTATCAAAGCTGTAGGAGGCAAATTGAAGCGATCGCGTGTCGCGGCTGAAGAGTCCGCGATCAATCTGGGCCTGAAAGCCCGACAGACAGCTTGAATGCTCAATCATTGTCCCTTTGGGGACTCCCGTTGACCCGGACGTGAAAGTAACATACATGACGTGATCGGATCTGACCAAGGCAGAATTCTCGTCGGACCATACAGACAGCTGGCTAATCTCAGCGGGGTTAACTACGAGAACGCGGGGGTGAAGTTGTAGGCCAAGCGATTCTTGGCCCACGGATGTGAGGACCACGCCAGCAGAGACTGTTTCTATGATACTCTGAAGGCGCGAGAGCGGTTGCTGGGGGTCTAAAAGGACGAAAGCACCCCCTACCTTGAGAACGGCCAGCATGGCGACGACAGCCCAAGGGGACTTGTCAAACAAGATAGCCGCATAGCCCTCAGGCTTTAACCCCGTGTTGGCCACCAGCCCCGCCACCTGCGAGGCCAGTTGCAAGAGTTCTTCATAGCTCCACGTGTTATCCTCATAGACCACCGCCGGGGCAGTCGGATAGGCCGTACTGCGTAGCGAAATGACCTTATGAACACATTGGTCAAACGATACGAGCGGCGGTATCGAGTTCAAGGCGACTGCATCGCGATAGTCTTGAGGGCTGGCTACCTCGATGGCCTTGACGGGTCGTTGGCTGTCGAGGGTTTGGTCATGGAGCTGTGTCCAGACGTGGAGAAGCTGGTTAAGCATGCGCTCCACTTGCGACCGTTCTAACACGCGGTCATCGAAGCTCATCTCAATCTCAGCCGAATCAGCCCCATCATCTGCGCTGAAGCGGAACTCGACGGTCAGGGCGTATCCCAAGGGATTGCGGCTCTCGACGATGACCTCACGGGTCAAGGCGGGCGGGTTAGGGCTACCCCCGGTCGAGCCCTTGGGATGAATCAAGACCAGCGTCTGAAACTGGCACGCTCGCCTGGCATCCTCGCCACATCGGCCAATGCGATCCAGGCCATGCTGCTCATGAGCCATCAAATCGCCGTACACGCGCTGCACCCGGTCTAAAAAGTCGTCGAGCGCGACCGACGCGTCCTCGATGGTGAGCCGGACCGGGACGGTGGTGATGGTGGGACCGAAGATATCTTCCACGTTGGGAATATCGGGGGTACGACCGGCCAGAATTTCCCCAAAGATCACGTCCGGGCTGTCAGTGTAGCGCCACTGAACCAGCGCCCAGGTGGCTCTCGCCAGAGTCGACGGTGTGAATCGGCTTCTGGTGGCGGAGGCTCTCTGTTTGATACTCCCACAGACGGTTTGGTTGTCATGAGGCTGAGTAACTGTCGCTGGAAGGGCGGGAAACACGGGCGCGGTGTGTCCTTGCAACAGCGACTGCCAATATCGGTCGGCCTCCGCATGATCCAGACGGAGATTATGCTGGACAAAGCTGCGAAACGGAGCGTGGCGAGGCGAAACAGCCGTCTCTAGATAGGCGAACGTTAACAGCTGCGGCAGGCGATCAATGGACCATCCATCCTGCACGGCGTGATGAAGCGTCAGCACCAAATAGCTGGTCGCCTGGTGCGAGTCGACGACAACGGCAGATCGCACCAGCGGAGTCCCCAAACCGATTTTCTGCTGCTCGTCTGCTGCCAAAAATGCCCGTAGGGTGGTGTCGGGGGCATCGGCTATTACCCAATGGATGGGACTGGCCACCACCACCTGCAGCCACTCCTCCTCGAGGGACGCCGAGGGAAAGATGCGACTGCGCAAGGTTTCAGAGCTCTTTACTACCGCTTCCCATGCTTGCTGTACCTTGGGAATCGCCCAGTCAGGCGGAATCGCATAGACAAACTGCTCGACATATGTACCGGCATGGAGCATCGACAAGGACATCAACCCTCGCTGCAATGGTGTACAGGGATAGATGTCCTCAATCTCGTCCACCGCGACCTGGCACTCTGTAGATGCCTCTGCACACAACTTCGCCCGATCGCTGCCGGCGGGCAACAATCCAAATGGTTCTGGAATGAAGGAGGATGACGGCGAAGAAGAAGAAGAAGAAGAGGAAGAAGAAGAAGACGCCGTCAATTCAAGAACAGCCTCGTCCGGGCTTGCCCATAAGGCCATGTCCCTTAATGTTGGACATTGAAAGACGTTAGCTATCGAAAAGTCAAGACCTCGCGATCGTTGCGCAACCACCAATCGCACGGCATTGACAGAGCTCCCACCAAGGGCAAAGAAATTGTCGTCAGGCGTGATCTCGGCCGGATCCAGGCCCAAAATGTCGGCCCAAATGTCGATGAGCTCGTCTTCCTCAGCGGTAGTCATTGCGTGCTCGTCCGGAACATCCGTCATGGAAGAAGATGATTATTTTCGAGGAAGCGAAGGACGTTTGGAACGCTTCGAGAGAAGCAGCATCAATAATCAAGCATTAGAGTTCTTAGTATTAGTATCTCACAAGCCCTGCTCGGGTAGATCCACGGAGATACAGGGGTCACTCGTGCCACTCTCAAACCTTGGGTAGACTCTATCCTATCAGTACACGTCGTCATTCCCTTGCGCTGCCGAATTCACCAGCTGGGACGGCGAGAATGTGAGAGTGGAAGGCAATCTCCGAAGGGAGTCAGTTGGGGCATCAGCGACAGAGCCGATCCCTGCAAGGATGAGGTGGCGCTGGGCTCGGCTACACCAGCTGGCATTCTTGCATATTCCTGCATATTCCTGCATTTGCTCACATACGTGTTCTGTAGATCGCTACTGAGGCATTTGCGAGGGTTTAATCAGATCGGATCGGGGCTCATGATTCTGGCTAGCTACAGGGTCTTGGGCAGCTATGCACATTCATGCACACAAACCACACTATGGCCTACTCTTTCATCTCCCCATTCACCAATAGTAGCTGCCACCACTGGCCGGAATAGAGCCACCGTTGATCCAGCTTGAGCCTGCACTGGCCAGAAAGGCCGCAACTTGCGCGACCTCCTCAATGGTGCCAAAGCGCCGCGCCGCGCTCGGAAGATCCAGTTGGGCATCACGAAACTCATCAGTGACCTCCTGCGGGGTGCTGTCCACCGCAATTTCTCCTAGAGCAATGGTGTTGACTGTCAACTTGTAGGTCTTGGCCAATTCATGCGCCCAGTGTCGGGTCAATCCCTCTAGGGCGGACTTGGTGGCCGTGTAAATTGACAGGTTCGAGCCCCCCATGCGAGTCAGAATCGAAGAGCTGTTTTCGTCCCAGGACCTTGGTTAGAGACGGAATGCTGCAAGAGAAATTGTGCGGAGAAGGCGCGTAACGTACATGTTGATGATCCGACCTCCTTCGGGAGTAATATGCGGGAGCAAACCTTGAACAAGCAAGCAAGGGGCCCGAACATTGACGTTCATCTGCCTACACGGACCAGACTCGTCAGCTCTCTCTGGTTTCTCCACTCGCTTAAAGCACTACATACCGCTCGAATTCGCCAAAGTCGGTCTCCAACAGGGGGCGGAACGGAGGATCGGCCGCCGCATTGTTCACCAGGATATCAATGTGAGGCACTTTGAGCTGAGCAAGGGTCTGGTGAATCACTTGCTGGCCACACTCCAGGGAGCTCAGATCGACCCGGATGAGAGCCGCCTTGCGCCCCAGCTCGGCAATCTGCGCGGCCACCTTTTCCGCTTTGGCGGTACTGGACTCAGAATGGTACACCAAAGCCACGTTCGCACCCCGTGAAGCTAATTCTAAAGCAATTCCGGCGCCGATTCCACGCGAGCCACCGGTCACAATGGCGGTCTTGCCGGCGAGGGAAATGGAGTTGGGAAGTGCAGATTGTGACGACATGGCGAATGCGGGCTTGCACAGAGGAAGGAGCAAGGCTTAGGCCGGCAGTAGAGGCCTTGCGGGAAGAGGGGGACAGATATAGGCCTGCTGGTCAAAGGTCCTTGGGCGTAGATGGCGAATCATACTGCTGATGCATGAATGCCACAGGCAACGTCATCAGGCAGTCATGCAGTTTCAGGATTCCATGGGAAGAGGGATGTGTTGTTCTGGTCAATGCAAGCCAAGTGTGTGAGCGGGGAGAAGGGAACGTGCTGCTGCTCGCCAACAAGTACTTTAAAGCAACTCCGAGGCAGGGTCGAAGTCACATCTCTCAGTTCGGTGACTGTCTTGGTCATCACAATTTCAAACCCTTCTCGATCATCTTCTTTTCTAGCACTCGTGCATCACGCACAATGACTGTATCGACGCCGACCTCCGAGGTGGCGACCCGCCAGAGCACCTGTTACAACTCACCCTACCTGGCCGAATACTATGATTCATGGATCTGGGATCGAGGGGATCTTCAATACTTCTCCAGAATCCTCCAAGAACAGCTAGCAAAGTCGTCCCTGCCTGCCCACACTCCGTTTTGCATCCTAGATGTAGGAACAGGTACCGGCCGGGTGCTAAGGCATCTTTCCACTACCTTGCCGCAAGGGCTCTCCAAACCGATCAACCTGGTTGGGCTCGAGATCGAGCCCCATATGCTCGATCGTGCAAGGCGGCTGCAATCGGAAATCAAGAGCCAGCCGGAAGTCGTCATCTCCTGGGTGCAAGGATCTGCTTTTGAACTGTCAGCAGCGCCACCGTTCAGCAGCTCTTCTGCCACCAGCAGCAAGGTTGATATCTTATTGTTTCCATTCGGTAGTCTGGCGCACTTCACCGAGCCGGGACAGGCCGAACGCTTCTTCACAGAGGTCGCCAAGGTGCTGCGCCCCGGCACCGGACGGGCGTACATCCCGCTCCTCCACAAACTGCTGATTGACGATGGGGATATCACGGAATTGGCCGAGCAAGCCTTGTATCCCGCTGCCACGGTAACAAGCAAGGAATACCCTGGGGTTACCTACTACGAAAAGCCCCTACGGCATGGGGTCGAAGGTAATCAAGTCCATCATACCCGATTCATTGAGGTGGTTAAAGATGGCGATGTTGTGGAGAGGAATGTCGATGATCTGGTGTTAAAGCTGTGGAAGACGAAGGAGGTCTGTGCTCTGGCGATGCAGGCAGGCCTCGTCAAAGTCGAGCAGGAAGCAGTGGATGATGAGATCTTTTTCGTTTTCCAGCTTCCCGGGTAGGTGGCTGGCTGAGATGTCATGCGCCTATTGATGTGATGTGCGTACCACACTTGTATCTAAATTCAGATATATTATGGTTACCACTCCGAGCGGACAATTTTACCTATCAACTGAGAGGCTGCTTCTTTGGGCAGGGGAAACGTGATACGATCACTGCTGGTAGACCTGTCAGCCTCGTCTATCCCTGTGGGGTGATCCATTCCATCAGGACAAGCGGAATGTGGAGCATATGTAGGGAGGACCGTAATGGTGGTATAGCTTCTGACAACCTTCTGTCATGTAGCGGCGAGAACAGCGTCCTCCTACGCGACTATGCATGCGACGAGGCCAAGTTGGGGTGGACTAAGGGCCCCAGTAGGGTCCTTGAGTGGCGCAGACTCCGTCATCAGACAACCTCCTTGCTTCAACTCACCGCTTCAATTACCCTGTAGATCGCGAGACCGGAATTGCAAGCGTGTTGCTTGCGCAATAACTGGCTTGCGAGAAGGGTTGTCTCAATCCTTAATAGGATTACACGGTGCCTCTTCATGAGACGCCCGTGAGGTTCGTGTCACTACCTTATCTCTCTATCTTTGGTCTCGTTTCGCCCCAGAACTTCCCCATGCCTTCAACAGGAACCTCAACGCGGGTCGGTCCCGCTTCTGCCGATGTGGTCATCGTTGGTGGAGGCGCCAGTGGCGTCGCCGTTACCATTCATCTTGTACGGCGACTGTCTGCCACGAAGACGCCCTCGATACAGAGAATCGTCTTGGTCGAGCCTCAAGCCACAGTCGGCCCCGGCCTGGCGTACTCCGGCGCGTGTGCCGGTACCATCATCAACATGCATCGCGATGCCATGGGCCTCTGGAACGGTGACCCTCGGCATTTCTCACGCTGGGTCAATGAGCGCGAGCTCGAGATAGACGACTACCCATCTCGTGGGGTCTATGGTACCTACCTCGAGTACCTGTGGTACCAAGCCGTTGAGGAGGCCCGCCAGCTAGGGGTCGAGGTGTGTCTTGTCGCGGACGAAGTCCAAGACATTGACCGTCGCGACGACGGCACGTTCAGCTTAGCCCTAGCTAGTGGCAAACCTTCTTTGTCAGCTCAAGACGTGGTGTTGGCCGTTGGCAATTTCTCCGCCGTTGCGCATCCCCATTTCAGTCGTTATCCTGGATTCTTCCCATTTCCGTGGCCCACGACCGGGCTCAAAGCAATCCCCACCGATGCGCCCGTGCTTGTCCTAGGCTCTCGGTTGTCAGCCATCGACGTAGTCAATGTCCTCTACCACAATGGACACCGAGGTGAAATTACGTTCGTATCCCGCAGCGGCCGACTTCCTAAAGTTCAGAGTCGAACCGTGCCATTTCCGCATCGCCACACCTTGTATACCCTGGCTAAAGAAGTCGAATCCTGCCCAGATCGAGGATTGGCTCATCTTGCGGGAGGCGTTCTCCACGCTATCGCGCGGCAAACGGGAGATGAGTCGACATGGATGATGAACGGACACCATTCGCCCCTGGAGGAACTTCGCGCAGATCTCGAAGATGCGGAGGAGGGTCGCGGCCAGTGGCAGAGCATTCTCCGCGCGACAGCACCGCTGGTAGAGCGGTATTGGCATGGGCTCGGCGATCCCGAGCGCGACCTCTTTATGAAACGACTCAATAGCGGCTGGATGCGGTACCGCCATGGCATGCCTGTCTCCAGTGCAAAGCGACTGCTCACAATGATGGAGCGAGAACAGTTGCACGTCCGCAAAGGCACTCGAGTGGCCTGGAATGGGAGCTGCTTTGAGGCCCAGACGGACGGGGGACCGGTGCAGGCACCCTATCTGATAGAAGCCATTGGGCAGGAAAGCGACGTCTCCTCTATTCCATCCGGCGCGGTGCAGTCAGTGATTCGCAAGAATCTTGCAGTTGCCCATCCCTATGGCGGCTTGGTGGTCGATTTCAACAACCTCAACGCTTCTCCGGGTCTGTATGCCATCGGCTCCCTCACTCGAGGCACGCACTTCTATGTCAGCTCGGTCGATCGAATTGCAGAGCACGCAGCACGCATTGCCGATGCACTGACGGGGCAGCCCACCGTCCGCTCCCAGCACATTGCTCTCTTCCTCAGTGGTGACCTCTTTTCGCACTTGCTGGCCAGTCGACTCGTACCGCAGCTGCTGGCCGCAGGCCACATCCCATTCCTCTTCATTCTTCCAGCTCCAACTGCAATCTCGGAACAGGGACGATTGCTGGAGCATGCCCTCATGCAAAAGCATGTAGTACCATTCCTGGCTGGCTTGGAACCGTCCCAGCAAAATGAAGCCCAGGCTCAGACCTTGGACGCGCTGGCAGCCACACACGGTCTTTTCCTGCAGACCATCGATGATTGCAACGTGAAATCAGTTGGGCACACCATGCAGAAGCACGCGATAGACCATGGAATTGTTCTGCAATGCTCCACCTCCCCACAGCCCATATCAGACGCGATCTCCCGCCACTTCGTCTCTACGCGTAAAATGGTTCATCTCTGCCTGAATCCACGCTCGGCCGGTCAGCCGTTCTCAGTCCGCTTGCACAAATGTGGCGGAGAGGGACGCAGCGATAGCTCACCACTGCACAGGCCGGAGGGCTGGCGGGAGGAGTATACCTCGGCCATGCTACGTCATAAACGCAGAGTGTTCAGCCAAGGGGCTGATCTGGCAATGGCCGTTCTGGACCGACTGGCTCGAGCACAGGAACTCGAGGTGGACAGCACCGGTCTTGTTTCAGTGGCCGTGACATCTGTCGTTGCAAAACAAAGTCATAGCAACGGCAGCCACGATGACCAGCACACTTCTCTATGCAGCCCCCTCTGTCGCACTCAGCATGAACCTTATGACCTTCTGGTCGAAATCCTGGTCCAGTCCTTCGCAAGTCCAAAAGTAGACACAGCCCTACGGGCCTATCTCCATGGTATCTTAATGCAAACTGCGGGTCTTGCTTCCACCTCAGGTACCAAACAGCCATTCATGGTACAGACTGTCCAAAATCAACCATTAAGCGACAGCTCTACCATTACTACTACAGCGGCTGCTGTTTCGTGACCCCGGAGGTTCTTTGCGTGCTCATTGAATTTGCAGGCTCCTAACTTTTCTTGTCGCTAATAGAATAATGACCGTTCAGATAGAATAATATGCATCGTGATTAAGGCATTCATATATCTGATCCACGAAGCCATGACGCTCACACATTTAATACCTCATTACATTTAAGTGTAGAACGCATGGATCCATTATGTCTGGATTGTGAATCGAAATGGAAACTTAGATTTAAGTTTTATTAATTAAGCCTAGTCTAACTCAAGCTTAAGTTATGCTGAGTAAGTCTTGACTTTCTAAGCTGTACCTGCTATATCTAAATAAAATATACTTAAATTAGTAATAATAATTAGAGTGGCTAACGGCCAGGTCAGGTCAGGTTAATAGGAACTTTTATACCTGACTGCAGGTTAATAGTCAGGTTAAAGAAATTTTTATACCTAACCACGGTATAACTAAAAATAGAATAGTTAAATATTTTAATTATTTTTAATACTAAGACTTATCTACTATATTTTTCTTAGCTCTAGTATAGTTAAAGTATACCTAGATTAAATAAGAATTAATCTAATTATTCTAACTGTTACCTAAAAATATATAAAAATAAGTTTTTTAGAATAAAAAAAATAATTAAGAGATATAATAATATCTTCTTTTTTTTTATTTATAAGAAATAATAGAGAAATCCTAGTAGTATTAATATAATTTAATTTCTTATAATATTGATACTCTTATAGTATAAAATATAAAGAAAGATATATAATTATAATTTAATTTAGACTGTATACTAGAGATCTGATAAATTATATAAAAAATACTATATTTTTACTATTAAAATAATAATTAAAAATTAGTATAATATGTCTAGACTATTATTAAATCTTTTTAAATAAGGTTAATAAGCCTATTATTCTCTTATTTTTTATTTAAAAAGGTCTTAATTATCTATATATTAGATTAAAGGCTATCTGTATTATATTATATAATTAACATAATCGGTAAGCGAACCGGCCACGTAAGCGAGCCGGCTACCCCAACATGAATTGTCCATCCTTTGAATATAAGGTTATTTAAATATTAATATCTCCACGAAAAATATCTAAATTATTAAAAAACTTGGTGGAATAAAAAGACAGGCTCTATTTAGCAGTTAAAACTATTCAGAAATATTAAATTTTATTAATCTGTAAAGCTATGTGTATTTTTTAAGTTCTTTAGTTAATACTATAAAAATACCTTAAGAGAATTATATTTTATAAGTGTCACAGGCCAGTGCCTGCTATTAGTTATGTGAATCATGTGATCTTGGTCTATTAATATAGAAATATATCTGTAAAGAACTCTCTCTTCTTAAGCTTTTTATAAATAGTTTATAGCTTAGTTAGATTAAATTTAAGTCTTATTTTAGCTTTTTATATATAAAAGACTTCTAATTCTCTTAAATTATAAAACTAAGATTACTAAATAAATATTAGAAGAAATAAATACTAGATAAAAAAAATTAAATTATTATTAATATTATCTCTAATCTCTTATAAAATATAAATCCAGAAATTAATAAATCTTTTAGTATAAGTATAAATACTACTATAGTAGATAATACAGACCTAAATAATATAAAATAAAAAAAGAGAATAATATAAATAGTAAAAAGCTGTATAAAAAAAATAGATCTATTATCTTAAGATAATACTAAAATAGTAAATCTTTTTATTATTAACTACTATAATAAATAAAGAATAAATAATAGAAATCTGGTTAATAATTAAATTAATATTAAAATATCTAAAAATAAAGATAATTTACTAATTAAAAATATATTTATTAAATTTTATACTATTTAGTAGTAGCTCTAATAACTAGCTAATTGTTGTACAATACCCGGGGTAGCTGTGTTCAGTACCTCCGGCCTCCACTGATTCGACGGACTTTCAATCCGTTTACCCACGTCATTCGTAGCTAAACCCCCCTCCTTTACTGGTGTATATAGCCAGACTGTTGTGCCTTGGGGAATATTAGATCCCCAAGGATTAGTCTTGCAATGAAGGGCTAGTTGCTTTCTTACAGACCCCCGGCCTTCTACTCCGTTATAGTAGATGTTGACAATTAAGATATATATAATAAAATAATTATATTAGATATATTAATTAAAAAATATAATTTTTTTAAAGTTTCTTCTATAATTAAAAAAGAAGTTTATAAATACTGGTATCCTTAAGTAGTATAATAAAATTAAAAAATATATTTTTTTAGATATATTTAATAAAACTATAATTAGAGCCCTGATAAATTATAGTATTTTAATTATTTTTTTAGATTTAATCTTCTAGCTTTATAAGATTAGTACTAATATAAATATTTTTAATATTAATAGAATTAAGTAAATATATTATCTATATTCTCTAAAATTTAATAATAAAATAGATTAGTTATCTACTATTATAATAAACTATATTAAATTATATATAAGATTTTATTAACTCTATATAGAATTATTATAATAAGTATAATAAATAATTTAGAAAAAATTTAGTAAATAATATATTAAAAAAAGTATTTAAAATATAAAAAATAAGGATATTAAACTATAAACTATATTTTTTTATTAATTTAATTATTAAACCTTATATAAGTTATAATAGAATTAAGTAGAAAAAAAAGTAAATATACTACTAATATTAAAAAAATAAAGTCTTTAAATAATAATAATTTAATAACAGAATTCTCTAGTAAAGAAGATATAATTATAAAAGATAATTTAAAAAAAAATAGCTTTTATTCTAAGCTATAAATAGAAATAAAAGAAAATTAAAAAACTATTAAAAAATAAAATATTACTATTTTTAGTTAATACTAAGATAAATAGAATCTAGTTTATATAAACTTTAGTTAATAATAATTATTATTATTATATAATAGTAAATAAATTACTAGTCTAAATATTTAATTTTCTGTATATTAAAATATCTCTATAAATCTTTAATAAAATAATATTAAATTAAGGTTAAATTACTAAGATTATATATTTTAATCTTAATATATATAGTTACTAATAAAGCTGTATATTTATATATATTATTAGATTTTAAAAAAATAATATAATTCTTGGAGACCTATAGTTATATAAAGTAAATAAATAATATTCTATTTAAAAAAGATATTTAGATATATTTATAAAGACAGAAGAATAAATAAGATATTAAAATTATATAAATTAATTAGTTAAATCTAAAGAATTTAAAGTACTATATATTAAATAAATTATAGAATTAATGATTTATTATCTTTTAAATAATAAATTAATATTAAGTTAACTATAGATTAGGAAAGTTATATTAGATAATATTAAGAAAATATTATAACTAAAAAATATACTAATTTAAAGAATAAGCTATTAAAATATTATTAGAAATAATTAAATATCTTTAATTAATAATTAGTTAAGAAATTACTATCTTATTATCTAGAGATTAATTATAAGATTCTACTAAAATATAATATTAATAATATTAAAAAACTACTATTTTATAAATTTTTTTATAGTATAAAGAAGAACTACTCTACTTACAAAAAATATTTATAAATCTATTTAAAAAAAGATTTATATAAGTTAATTAATTATCTACTATAATACTAATCCTACTAGTTCAGAAACTAGATAATAATATATAATTCTATATTAATTACTAAAAATTAAATAAATGAATAATAAAAAACTATTATCTTCTATTACTAATTTATAAAATATTATAGAATATAAATTAAATATATTAATTTATTAAACTTAATATTATTATTATATTTTATAAAATCTGTATTTATTTAGAAAATGTTACGGGACGGATGGATTGTGCTAATCGAAACGTGCCTTTGAACAAGAAGAAATAGCTGGGGAGCTATTTCATCTGTTCGTACGAAATTCTTTTATGTGTGTGCTAAGCTAGCGCTAGTTCGGTACATAGCGTGCGAGGCCTCAGGTGCCAACTGGTGCCTGAAGCCGAGCTCTATATCAGGGCCTTGGTCCCATAACATTAACCTAACCTTAACTATACAGTTAAATCACTTTTTATACCTTAACCTAACTGCCAGGTTATGGTCAGGTTAAGGTTAAGGTATAACGGTCAGGTTAAGCCACTCTAATAATAATATAACTATAAGAATAAATAGTAGTAGATTATACTATATCTTTTCCACAGCTTTAATAGACCTAATAGTAGGATTATCAAGTAGTAAAGTCAATACTACAGTTTCTTTATGAATAAAATATCTCAATAACATATAGATATATATAGACAGCTACTATATTATACTCTTTCCTAAAAATCTTATTGAGGATATTATACTTCTACTTAACTGGCTTAGTACTAATTACCTTAGAAATATTATATAAATAATTTCTATAATTTTGGAGTTATATACTCAGCTAAGATATATATAATTAAAGCTACTTATAGCTTTTTAAAGGGATCCTGGATTTAGAAGGTTATATCGTATAATCTCAGCCTGTTTTGGAACGGATGTCCACTTGTGGGAAGACCCTAGTTTCAGACCTAGGATTCGTATTCAAGGTTAAGCTGTGCCGACTCTCGTATTGGGTTGTGTGATTTTAATGTTGCACATCCAATCACGGCAGGTCTTTTCCCGCGATCGACGGCTTTGACTGTGCCCCGTGCCCCGGCAACCCTGCCTGATCAATGAATGAATGACATGAATGAATGTGCTGGCCTAATTTAAGTACGCGGACCCTGCCTGCCCCAGGTCTTCCCTTGCCTAATTTCTGTCAGTGATAGTTATCCCCATGGCCCGGCGAGCGCGCAGCGACTCCAGCCCAGCAATGGCGCTCTTCGCGCGCGCAAAGAGCGGCCAGTGTCGCGCCAACGAGGCCTTTTCCACTCAGACCTCGCGCGTGAACATCGCCTGCTACGCAGTCTACTTCCTCATCTTCCTGAGTCTGTTCTTTGTCGCGCTCACCCGTTTCGCTGCCAGCGAGAATAAACGCCGATCCGTCATCTCGTGGCTCCTCCTCACCATCTCCTTGACGTTCATGCTCCTGTGCGCCACCACCTTCCCTCCTCACCCCTTGCTTCCCCTTCGCTCGCTGAAGTACTCTAATATCTCACAGCGCCCAACTCATAGGAGTCATCACAACGACGCTCGCCGAATGCGCCGTCCTGACCACCAACCACGCCACGCGCGCCTTCGTCCCAGTCGATTGGCTAGTCCTGCTGGGCAAACTCGCTCTCTTCGCGCTCATCCTCCTGCCCATCTGTCGCCGGCTGCACTACGGCGCCAGCACAAAGAACATCGACCGGTGGATCCTCATCCCGCATTCGATTATCGTGGGGGTGCTGGGCGTGTTGGTTCTAGCTGCCGTGGCCGTGCAGACGAAGATCGTGGATCTGGTGTATCGGACTGGGTTTATGTATGCGGAGCTGAAAGGGCTGGAGAAGCAGGAACGGCGGTTGCGGACAGCGGTTTATGTGGTGGAGGTTCTTGGGATGGTGGTTGCTGGAGGTCGGATGGGGTGGGCGGTGGTGCGGGCGAGGCATTTGAGGGGCGGGGTGAGTATCTATCCCCCGATCATCCGCATGGGACTTGGGTCGGGATTCGTGATGATGCTGGCAAGAATGCTAATCTTGTGTGGCTAGGAACTCGGCTTCTTCATCCCCCTGCTCATCGTGTCGGCGCTGGGGCTGGCGCTGACAGATTTGGTGGGGTACGTGGATGGAGCGTTCCGCAAGGTGACGCTCGCTCAAACGGACGAAGTAGTCCGGGAGCAGCAGGCGAAGATGTACGTCGAGTATTTCTTCTATGCGGTGGCCGTGCTGAGTGCGGTGGTGGTGGTGTCGTCGAAGCGATTGGGTGATAATGTGGGACGAAGCAGGAGAAGGTCGAGAGGAGGGGGAAGGGTCAGTATGTCGACTGTACGGGGCAAGGGCGATGCGTAGATGTCTTGAAGATAAGTTAGATGTGTAGACAGCAACATAGGGATATCTTAATGTCTAGTTGACGAATCATGAAAGTTTGCATTGCATCGTGTATCTGTACCTCGCTAACGTTGTATCTAGCCTCTAATCCACCTCGTCGACGACTTCTTTGTTCTCTTCTGTATCCTCCTCCTGCTCCTCATCTAACACGACCGTAAACCCAATGACGAGATACTCCTCCCCGGTTGCGCGGTTCTTCAAGACATACCGCAGCACATTATTCTTCTCACTCACATACTTACTAATATTCAACGTGATGCCGGGGATATGGATCGAGAATTCTAATCAGTCAGCCAAGCCCCTCCCAACCACCGTGAGATCTCACCCTACACCCCAGCGAAAAAAGAAGAAAAGACTTACCATTAAAGTCCAAATACGGATTCCCAAAATCCGCCTGATAAACCCTACCGGCCTCGAACTCAAACTCCGCCCGTTTCTCCTCCGCCCGAAAATGCTTCGTCCGCGCCGCCGCATCCTCAGGGATAGCGTATGTATTGCGCACCTCCATCCCAGACCCATCCGCGCCCTCAAGGATAACCGGATCGGACACCGCCGGCAGCGCATTCGTGACATCACCGATATGGAACTGGTTCCACGAGGCCAGCGCGGGACTGTACAGATACGGCTTGTCGGCGTGGGCGTCGCCGTCCAGCGAGGGGTCGAGCATGGTCTTGACGATGCGGAAGGCCGTCCCGAAACCGGGGGGCAGGTAGTCGCGAATCGGGTGGTCGAAGTCGTTGCCGAAGAGGAGGTCGTTGCCGTTCACGGCTTGCTTGAAGGTGAGGGAGAGGGTGATTGAGTAGCGGTTTCGGGAGGTCACTTCGTGGTTGAAGTAGGGGTTTGTGCGCGGGGAGGTCGTTGGATAGCCTTCTTTGTTGTTAGAGGAGTTGCAGTGCTGGAAAGGGTAGGCTGGGGGTTTGGATTAGGGCTTGAGTGATCCTACCGGTGTAGTCTTGGATGCGCACCCAGATGTCGGCTGTCAGGTGTGGGCTTTCAATGCGGATGGGCTCGGCGCCGTTGACTTGCACGCTTTGATGCGTTTGCGGGTCATACTTTGGGCCGACTGTGATGCGGAGTCGTTGGTCTGGAGCTTTGTTGCTGGTGAACATAGTGTGATGGATGTAGTGATTAGGGTGGTGACGGAGGGTAATAGGGAATAATAGTATAGAAGAAGTGTACGGAGTACTGATTCTTTCAGGGAAGATAATCTTGAAATATCTTATCAGTGATGACGTAGGTGGGGTACTGAACCAGCTCTTATCTTATCGCCATTCTTTACCTCTGACCAGCATCGATCAACCAAGTGCATGTGAAAGTCACACCAAGTGAGACACTGTGACAAGTAGATTACTCATGTGGCACTTACAGCTACGGCCAGTCAGTCAGTCTGCATGCAATGTCGGACTTTCCCAGGGATGCCCGGTTTTGTAGGGTTGGCCATTGCCCGATGGGGGAAAAGTGGATGCGGCAGGGCTGATATCATACTTACGCGCTGTTGACACCACTTCTGTTGACTGCCCTATAAATACTTCCCAAGAGTGCAACGACTACTCAATTTACATACTCTTCTCTCACACATCTAAATTAATCATAATGCAGTCAGTACTACAGCCCATTATCGGTCCGAAGAAGGAGATCCACGACCTGACCGGTCGCGTGGCTCTGATTACCGGCGGCGCTTTGGGGATCGGGTAAGTCGACTCACCACAGATACCCCCAATTTTCTCAGCTAACAAACATAGCTACGAGGTCGCTCGTGCATTCGTGCTCAATGGCGCCCGGGTAATCATGGTAAACCGCAAGGAGGAGCAAGGCCAGTCGGCGATCGAGAGCATCAAGAAAGAGGCGGGCGAGAACGCCCAGATCGAATGGGTGCCCTGCGACATGGGCAACCTGAAGGAGGTGCGCGAGGTCTTCGAAGGCATCCGCAAGCGTGAAGAGCGGCTGGACCTGGTACGTAGCCATCCAAGCGTATGAACGGAATAATGTCATATTAACTCTACCAGCTCATCCTCTCGGCGGGCATCAACGCCAACCAGTACGGCGAAACCCACGACGGCATCGACCGCCACTTCCAGGTCAACTGGCTGGGCCAGTTCTACGTCGTTAACCAGCTCTACCCTCTCCTGCGCAAGACGTCCAAGCTGCCCAACACCCCCGCCCCGCGCATCGTCTTCGAGTCGTCTGAACAGCACCGCAACGCGCCCCCGAACACCCACTTCGCCTCGCTGGAGGAGCTGAACAACCCCGAGGTCGGCAACACCGAGCTGTACGGCCGCACCAAGCTGGCCATCATCCTCGGCGTCAAGTACGGCCTGCTGGACCGCGTCATCAAACCTAACAACGATAACATCTATGCTCTTTCGGTGCATCCGGGCGCGGTAAGTCTGAGTCTTCGCTTGTTCAGCGACACGGCCGTGCTAACGAGTGTATTCATGTGCAGGTTAACACCGCGATGCAACAGCAGTGGAAGGACGCCTACCCAGGCCTGTTCGGCAACATCCTGAGCAAGCTGATGCTAGCTGTGGGCCGCAATGTCGAGCAGGGCTCCTTCAGTGCCCTGTGGGCTGCGACGAGCCCTGAGGTGGAAGAGAAGGGGTGGAACGGTTGGTACTTCAGTGATGTTGCGCAGCCGGGCAAGGAGTCCAGTCAGGCTTCTGATCCGACGCTAGGAGTTGCCCTCTGGGATCTCAGCCACCGGCTGATCAAGGAGAAGGCCGGTGAGGATGCAGTCGTGGATTGGAATGCAAGCGCATGAGTTGTTTTCTTAGCGTGTCCATCAGCAATCTTATAATAGTATGTTCGGTAATGTATCTACTTCATGATTGATGCAATTATGCACGTTGCCGAGATGGCGAACCCATGCAGCTGCCGATGGATCATAGGAACTGTTTGTAGACTACCTTCACTAGCACACCTCTTTACCTATCAAAGTAATGCGGTGGTGCATCAATCATCCCGATAAATAAATTATCGTCTAGGTTCATCAAAGCCAATGAGCATATCTTGTGTGAGGAGGTTACCAGATCCCATCACGAGTGTCCCAGTCTTTGACGGGCGCATACGAGGCCATCACGAAGGGCTATAGTAACAACACCACAAGAATGAAAAGATTAACCCAATCCCCTTAGAGAGAGTAATTACCGCTAGACCTAGCACAATCTACATCACACACCATTACCTCCCCATCCCCCATCCCCTCTTCTTCGGGGCTTTTATTAGACTTCACACCACCCACAATCGATTACTCCCCAACCACCCCCGTAATCCGCGCATAAACCGTCGGAAACCCCCTCCTCGTCACCTGCAGCACCGTCTCAGCCACCAATTCCATATCCTCCGGCGTGGTATCGTACAACTCAAAGTCGAACCGCCGCACAAAGTACGCGAGTGCCAGGTACAGCTCGTTGTACGCGAGACTAACGCAGAGAAATTAGTATCCATCGTCTGGTTCTCTCATTCCCAACCTCTTTAATGGGCTAACACGGCAAAAGGGGAGGTAACGTACTTGATGCCCACACACGCGCGACTGCCTTTTGAAAAGGCCACCATGTACCGCTTCAGATGCTCGCTTTTCTCGCCCTGCAGCCAGCGGTCGGGGTTGAAGGTATCGCCTTCGGGGAAGAGGGTGGGGTCGCGGTGGATGAAGTAGGCGGAGGCGCTCAGGGTAGTCTTTCTGATTCAGTATGGATGCGTGAAAGCCTGAAGGCAGGGGGAGGGGGAACATACACCAGGCGGCAACTCGTATCCGTTGTAGGTCAGCGTTTCGGTCGGTGCGACGCGGGGTAAGCGCATGACTGGGGCCGAGAGACGAAGGGTCTCGGTGATTATCGCTGTCTATAGCCGTTCATCAGCATGTTAGCGGGGGCTGGGGAGAATACGGCTTGCTGCAAGAGCACGCACCAGATACGGCAACTTTTCCAGCTCCGTCCAGCTGGCGGTACTCGTTGGCGTCGGGAGCACGGTCTTCAGTTCCTCGCGCAGCCGCTCCAGGAACTCCTTGCGACTGCCCAGGATGTATGCAGCGTATGTCAAGGCACTGGAGGTGGTCTCAGTCCCCGCCATCAGGAATTGGATGGCCTCGTCTTGGAAGCGGCCGCGGGTGCGTTCGCTGGCCGGGATACTGGGGTCGGCCAGTTGCGAGAAGATGGTCTTGTGCTTGGCGGGTTTGTGCTCGCGCGGGGCTGTGGTGTCGGTGTCGATGGATTGTGTGGAGAGGGCGTGGATGCTGCTCAGGTAGTCGAGGGTGCTGGCGCGGCCGGGCTGCAGAATGGCCAGGATGCGCGGCGGGATGCGCCGCAGAATCATCGACATCCATGGAAGAAAGCGGTTGAGGTGCGCGGTCGCTGCGAACTCGTTGACCAGGGTGCGGATCTCGCTGCGAAAGCTCGGGTCTTCCAAGAACCCCTGGCTCGCGCCGTACGAGTAGTACGTCATCACGTCCGAGGTCATGGCTGCGAACGCGTCGTCCAGCCGGATCACTTTGTCCTCGTCATGAAACTCCTGTAGACGCTGCATGAGTTTCAGCACGCAGCGCTCGGTGATAGGCGACAGGGACTGGATGGAGCGTTTGGAGAAGAAGTGGCTGATGGTCGCGCGGCGGGCATGGTGGTGCTGGTGGTCGATTGTCGCAAACATTGACTCCGGCATGCCGAACTGGGGGCCATACTGCGGCGTCTTGTTGCGACGACGTGTACTGGATGAGTAGATCTCCTCGTAGAAAGTCGGATCGATGATGTGGACTTCGTTGGGGCCGACGCGGACAATGGGGCCTGGGGGTGGAGGGTCAGTTAGGGCTGGACGGGAGGCGCGGGGCGGATATACGTACCGTATTGCTTGTGCATCTTCACCAGTTGGAAGTGGTACCGGCCGTGCTGGATGCACTGGTAGTAGAACTCATAGAGACTGGATATGGCGGCCAACTTGGGACCAGGGACACGGCTGAGGGGGTGCCAGTAAAGTCGGTAGAGGGTCCTCAGGACGGCATATGCCAGGAGCCCTACCCCGAGCAAGTACGCATTGTCAGACGTTAGAAGCTCCATGGTGTGTGTACTACCGTGGGACAGAACAGAAGGACATCATGATAGCAGAGGAGGACAGACATATATAGTCGAGCCTTCATCAATGCGATACGAGTCACCCAGCAAATCCGCGGGCATTCGGCTAAATCGGCGAGACTTAATCTGAATCCCTGTCGTATTTATCGAATAACGAAGTGCACAGCTGCACGCCACCGACCCTAAATGCACCCCCGCAGATTAAACTGCCCAGTGGACCCTATCAGCAGCGTCGATATCCGTCTTGGCCAGTTACCCCTCCTCGCAGCATCGGAGGATACAGGATTTGGTCTATTGAGTGTGTTGCAAGCGGGTCCAAGCTCCCACTCGGTTGCCCTAACCGTTGGCTGAGGGTGTCAGCATTAAATCTAGACAGCCCATTGCACACACAGGCACCTGCATGTGACATCTGCAGCGCACTCACGGAACAATACCTTTGTGCAGGCATGGAGAGTCTATATGAAACCGAGCTGAGGGGGTCTTATTTCCCGAACACGTCATAGCCGCGGGGTTAATTGACGATCACTGAATATTCTTCACGCTGCACACACACCTTTCGCAACGCAACACTACCTCTCCCCCTCCATTCGACTCATACCATATTATCCCAGTCAATATCATCACTACATCGAAAATGCCCCCCTACCCACGCCCAGATTTTACCCGCCCCTCGCCAACCTGGCATTCCCTCAACGGCCCATGGACCTTCGCCTTCGACGACGCAGACACCGGCCTGAACGAGAACTGGCCGCAAACCGGCCTCCCTTCAGCCCAAGCACAAAGCATCCAAGTCCCCTACGCCTTTCAGGTCCCAGCTTCAGGTCTAGGCCAGCACGAAGCCCACGAGATCCTCTGGTACGAGCGCACCATCCCCGACATCCGGACGCCCGTCGAGCACGAGCGGGGCCATCGCCTCGTCCTCCGCTTCGGAGCGGTCGACTACGAGTGCTCGGTCTGGGTGGAGGGGCGGTTCGTCGGCGGGCATCGCGGGGGCCATGTGGCGTTTGATCTGGACATTACTGATGCCTTTGTTTCCCTGGGTAATGGTGGGGGTAATGCTGACGGTCCTAAAGAGAGGCGAGTAACGGTGCGGGTGCGGGATTCGCCGTTCGATTTGACGCAGCCGCGGGGCAAACAGTATTGGAAGCCTGTGTCGGAGAGTATCTTCTATACGCCGACGAGTGGGATCTGGCAGGATGTCTGGGTGGAAAGTGTGCCGCCCTTCCGGATTGGGGGGCCGAGTGAGGGGACGGTGTTGCGGGGGGATGATATACGGGGTGGGAGGTTGAGGGCACGGGTGGCGGTCGTAGGGAGGAGGGTCGGGATGAAGGGGGCTGTTGAGGTTGAGGCGAAGTTGGCGGGCGTGAGGGTTAGTTCTTGTCGGCAGGAGCTGAAGGGGGATTCGGATCGCGTGAGCTTGAATGTGGATATGCGTGTGCAGGATCTAGGGCTGTTGGCGGGGAAGGCGCCGTTTAATGTGCCGGGATGTTGGAGAGATGGGGTCGCGCTTTGGGCGCCCGAGCATCCGGTTCTGTACGATTTGACGCTGCGGCTGTTTGATGCAAAGGGGGAGCTGGTCGATGAGGTTATCACGACTACGGGGATGCGTCGTGTGTCGTGGCAGAATGCCGATGGCACTTTCCGGCTGAATGACAAGCCTTACTTCCAGGTGCTGGTGCTGGATCAGGGCTACTGGCCGGGCACGGGTCTGACGCCCCCGTCGCAGGAGGCGCTCAGGACGGATATCGAGCTGGCGATGAAGATGGGCATCACCGGCTGTCGCAAGCACCAGAAGGTTGAGGATCCGGTCTTCCTGTACTGGGCTGATCGATTAGGGTTCTTGGTGTGGGGGGAGATTGCCAATGCGTATGACTTCAGCGATGAGTATGTCTCGCGCTTCAATGGTGAGTGGATGGAGGCTGTCCAGAGGGATATCAATCATCCTTCCATTGTGGCCTGGACGCCGTTCAACGAGAGCTGGGGCTATCCGTCGTTGAAGGACGACATTGACCAGCGAAATCATATCCGAACCGTCTACCATATGACCAAGTGAGTGTCTCGATGACTGCTTGGACACTACCCGCTGATCATGTTAGAACCCTTGATCCAACCCGTCCCATCAACGACAACTGCGGCTGGGAGCATATCCTCACCGATCTGACCACCTATCACGACTATGCGGACTCGACCGAGCTGGCGACCACCTGTGCTGATTTCGCACAAGGCATTCTCGGTCCCAAGGCTAATCACGACATGTTTGTGCCAGCTGTGGAGGGCGATGCAGGCGCCAGACACACACCCGGGGCGCCGGTCATCTGCTCCGAGTTCGGCGGAGTCAATATCATTCCTGCCAAGGGCACTGCAGCAGGGGAGAGGGATTGGGGCTACACGACAGCGAGCGATCCAGAGGACTTTCTCAGTCGTTTGGAGCGATTGGTGATGGCTGTTGTCAAGGGTGGACACACGTGTGGAATGGTCTACACCCAGCTGTAAGTCTTTTTCTTTGGTAATCTATGGCATCACGCATGTCAACCAATAACCCACTGCGAACTGAACATTACTTGCAGATGCGACATCGAGCAAGAGGTGAACGGTCTGTACTCCTATGACCGGAAGGAAAAAGTGCCAGCAGAGAGGGTCAAGGCGATCATGGATGCAGCGCAGAGATACTACCACGACCATGTCGCGCCAAAATGAGGTGATAAGGGGTCGATGCTGAAGAATAATCCTCTATACAGAAACTTGTAACGCCGACGCAGTCATAATCCAGTATATCTATCCCCAGAGTCCCTCCTACAATTAGCCCTGTTGCACCTCCTTGCCCAGCAAATCCCTCCTCCACTTAAACCCCCAAAAATAGACCATCCAAATACACGGACTGGCGACCACCCACAGCGCGGCCATCAGCGTCGCCGTCCACCCAATACCGATCCTCCCAATCAGTGGCGCCGCGATCGCCGTCGCCCCGGCCCCCAGCAAGCACCGAAAGAGATTATTCGCCGCGACCGCCGTGGCGGGACTCCGCCGATTCACATCGACCATCAGGGTGTTCACCGCGGTGAACGCGCCCGTGAGGAGATGACTGCCCACGAACAGGGTGATCATCGGCCCCGCGAGCGAGACCCGGTACCGCAACACCCAGCCGTAAGCGACGAAGCCCACGGCGGCGGCGTAGACCAGCGGGATGGTGACTATCAGCCGGGCGCGCTCGATATCGAAGGCCGCGATGTCCTGTTGCTGGTTTTTGATGATCGGCAGGTTGCTGCGGTGAGCTGCGCGTCGGAAGGCCCGGTCCAGGAGTAGTCCCACGGTCCAGCGTGAAGTGAGGCTGCCCACTCCCATGGGCAGGTAGCAGAGGCCGACTTGTATGGCGTTGAAGTGGTAGCGCGTTGTCAGTTCGGTGGAGAGGGTGGTCAGCACGGCGGCGATGCCGGCGTATAGAAGGGCGCCATAGATGAGAATGAGGGCGTTTTCTTTGTCGGCGGCTAGACGGGCGGAGAGGAATGGATTGAGAGGGTGTTTGTTCTTCGGCTGCATTGGGGTCGAAGTAGCGGTAGTGGGAGCTGTGATGGTGGGCTCGAGGATATGTAGGAGGGGTCGATTCCAGCGGGCTGCAGGGATGGATCCATTCCCTACGACGGCGCGGCAGGTCTCGGGGAAGGCCAGGGCGATGAGAACGAGGAAGACGGCGGAGACAATGACTAGAAACCAGAAGATCCAGCGCCATCCCAGGAAATGGTCGATCAGACCCCCAATCACTGGCCCTAGAGCCGGGCCCAGGGTCACTCCCAGGCTAGCATAGCCGATATATTTGCCTCGCTCAGCGCGAGTGGACACATCGGCCACCACGGCACTTCCCAGGGCGATCGTTCCGCTACTACCACAGGCTTGTAGGCACCGCAGGATCATTAATGCTGTGTAGTTATTTTGTAAGGCCAGGCCGATGTTAGCCCCTAGGTAGAGCACAAAACAGATCAGGTAGGCGGGACGACGACCGTGGGTGTCGGAGAACGCGCCAGTGAACGAGGGAGCAATGCCTTGGAAAATCTGAGACTGTTAATGCTGCCTCGACACGATCAGGTACAGTACATACATACCAGATACATCGTGACGGTGAGGTTGATGCGAGTGGTGGAAACATGCATGGCGTCGGCCAAGGAGGTAAGGGCTGGGAAGTAGATCGAGCTCGATAGAGGAGATATCACGCCTGCGAATGAGGCGAAGATCATGAGACAGATCTTCTGTCGTTCAGAAAGGACGCTGTAGGGAGTGTCTGGTGGAGGGGCATCTTTTGTCTTAGGAGTGCTTTCGATATCAGGGATGTCTTGGGTGGTTTCCAATCTTTCCTGAGGAACAATATCCCCAACAGTGGAAGACGCCATGATAGCTATCACTGCAGAGCATTGTCCCCTCAACGCGATATCAAGTTAACCCTCACTCCTCCAACTTTTATACTACAGCTCTGTAAATGCCGGTTCCGGCCCGTTTCCGCATGAGAAGTGGATCGACAGGGCCGTGCAGCCAACCACATCACAGTCCGGCCGGTTGCCGGTTCAGGCCCATGACGGATTGTTTACTGTGACAGCCACGGATTTATAGCTGCCACAATTCCCTCTGAAGTTTGGGATGGTCTTATCTTCATCTCGAACATCTACCGTAACTGACACATCATTCTCATCATGACTTGTGAAGCCTGTCGCACCATTCCCCCCGTGATTGCCCAGGGATATACTCCCAAAGGCACCTACGAGGGCATTGCTGGACTGAACACCTGTTGGTACTGTCTAACCTGAATACTCGACTCTTGCAACTGACCGCGGCAGATGTCACCGGTGCCCAGGATGCCTCTATCGGCCTCATTGACATCTACGACATATTCGGCCTCGCGAGCCAGACCCTCCAAGGAGCCGACCTGTTGGCCACTCGCCTCAACGCCGTGGTTCTTATCCCAGATTTCTTCCACGGCGAGAAGGCTGATCACTCCTGGCTGCCTCCCGACACTCCTGAGAAGCAGGAGGCACTGACCAAGTTCGTCACGACTCGGGCATCCTACACGGAGGCAAGCAAGGTGCTGAGCGATGCACTCCCAGGCTACCGCAATCGGTTCCCGAGTGTGCAGGCGTGGGCTGTGACTGGACTGTGCTGGGGTGGAAAGGTAGGCTCGATCTCGAATGGTCCAGCTTGAGATGATCAATGCTAATAGTCGCAGGTCGCGGTTCTCTCGTCCGGACCAGACACGCCGTTCATTGCATCGGGCCAGGTGCACCCGGGGTATGTTTCTCTATCTTCCAAGTTGGAGGAGTGCTTGCTGACAGGAATAGACGCATGGAAGCTGAGGACGCTAAGCGATTGACTATTCCCCACATTGTGCTGGCGTCTAAGGATGAGCCTGTCGATGCAATGGACGCCTATACCAAGATAATAGCAGAGAATGGGGTCGGTGGCCATGTGGGAACCTACAATACCATGTGGCATGGCTGGATGGGGGCCCGGGCTAACTTGGAGGGGGAGGAGAGTCTGGCTGAGTACACGCGGGGGTAAGTAGTTTCTGCACTTTTGAGTGAAGAGAATGCTGACAGCCTTGACAGGTACAATCAATTGGCGGACTTCTTTGAGAAGCAGTTTCAGGCTGTGTTGGAGAAGGCGAAGTTTTAGTTGCTGAGGACCGCAAGGAGGTAGTAGAGGATATATAGATCTGCACAAATCTAAACACGCACATATCTCATGCGCATAGACCACGAAACTGTCACTTATATGCAATCAGTGCGCTTAGGTCCTGAACTCTCTTGTTTGTTGTCGCTGTTCTGCTGTTCTGCTGTTCTGCCTTTTGTCCATTATGAAGGGGTATGCGAAGTTATGCATTGTTATACGCGTATGAATCACGATACAAGCGTGTATCAATACGATTGGCCAGACCAGTCTTCAGTCCCACATCCTCCACCAGTCAAAAAACGGTCTAGATCACGGGACGGCAATCACCTGACATCCCTTCATTCCTCGCTTCCCCTTCATATTTTGCCCTACTTTGGTCCACCCCCCGTCTATAATCCCCCCCATTATTGCTTCTCGAACAGCTCGTCCCCAGCCCGTGTTTCTAGTCCAGTAAGATCTATAGATAGTTCACGATCCAGACAGCCATCCCCTCAGCCATCAGCCCCTAATCTCCTCCCCGACCTCGTCTAAACCCCGTGCCAAGCGAAGCGAAGCTTTGCGGTGGGGGCTCAACCGCCGTTGTTTCACTTGATTTCCAATAATGGCAGGCCAGGGGGTTTGGGATGATGGCTGCCAGTGTCCCGCGGTTCCATCCCATCATTTCCACCGTTTCCACTCTCACGTTTCCCCCGGAGTGAAGTTTTTCTCCTTTTCTTCGCGTCCTCCGCGTGGCCTTTGCGCCCTGGCTCGCTACGCTCAATTTTCATCTGTCCTAAAATAATGCTGCACGAAGGACACACCGCGGCCTCACCGTCGTGATCTCGACTACTACCAGTCTTGGCAATTTCCCCTCATCGCCACGAATCGCCGGTGGGTCGATCGAATGGGTGATGACTTCACTGGCTGCACGTTTGCTGGCTGTCTTCCCCAGCCGGACTGTCTCCACGTTTTCTCGTTTCTTCTTCTTCTTCTTTTTTTCCTTCCATCCTCTGTTTCCCCGCTGTGTTCTTCACAAACCTGCTGCCTAGCCAGCTCTTCCCGTCATCATATTACAGCATGTGAGTGGTGCTTGTCACCTGCGTACACATGGCTTGTGCATCCTTCCCCACAAACCCTCCTACTGACCGCTATGTCTTCGTTCTGCAGGATCCGTGCCTAACCGACTGTTGATTATGCCGACGCCCCTCCACCATGTCTAGTTCAACCGAGACCCTCGATCCCATCCACTCCAAGGCCAGCTCCGGCCCCGACTCGCACGCTGCCGACGATCGCACCGCCCATGACCATGACGCCGACGAGCGGCCGTTGACCGGCCACGATAACGCCGCCAACTCCGGCGGCGGCGGTTCCCATCAATGGGGCGTGCTCTTCAAAGCAATCAAAGAAGGAACCTCGCACCTGGCGGAGAAGCTGGGCCGCGACCCCGACGGCGGCGATGGACTGGATTCCGCCTGGCACCCGGAGGACTACGGATATCAGGAAGACATCGAGATGCGGGAGATGCTGGCGCCGGGGGAAAGTGGGGAGGACTCGTACGCCAGCCAGCTGCAGTCGCTGCTTGGGGCAGACGCCAGTTTGCTGGTCAGCAAGCTGGGCTTGGGCGAGCAGGTGCATCGCACGCCGACCGAGGAGGCGGCGGAGAAGGAGGCCAATCTGATGGGCGGCGTGCTGTGGCATCTGCTGGGCCATCAGATGGGGCACGACCCCGAGAAGCCGCCGCCCAACGGCACGATCCCCACGCAGTCCGAGGACGCTCTGGGCCCGCTGCCCAGCGAGGTGCGCAAGCGCCGCAAGAAGAAGTGGTACGACGACGACCCGCGCAGCGCCAAGGAGCGCAAGAAGGCCCGCGAGACCCGTCTGGCTGAGAAGATCGGCTCGCTGCTCACGCGCCAGCGCTACATGATGCAGCTGTGTCGCGTCATGATGAAGTGCGGTGCCCCCACCCATCGGCTGGAGGAGTATATGCAGATGTCCGCCTTCGCGCTCCGCGTCCACGGCCAGTTCATGTACATCCCTGGCTGCATGATTATCTCGTTTGATGATCCGCTCACGCGCACGGCGGAGGTCAAGCTGGTGCGCATCATCCAGGGGTGTAATCTGGGCCGGCTGGGTGAGATACATAACTGCTATAAGAATGTGCTGCACGGTAAGATGTCGGCGGAAGAGGCGCTGCCGGTGCTGGACGACATTCTGACGCGGCAGAGTAAGTGGCGCTCGCCGTGGATGATGGTGCTGATTGCTGGTGTGATCAGTGTGGCGATTGGGCCGTGGGCGTTCGGCGCGCGCCCCATCGACATGCCCATCATCTTCGTGCTGGGCCTGCTGATGGGCTTCATGCAGTACATCCTGGCGCCGCGGTCGGCGCTGTACTCGAACGTGATGGAGGTGACGGTGGCGATGCTGGTGTCGTTCCTGGCGCGGGCGTTCGGCAGCATCAGGCACAACGGCGAGTATCTGTTCTGCTTCCCAGCCATGACGCAGTCGGCCATTGCGCTGATCCTGCCGGGATACTCGGTGCTGTGCAGTAGTCTGGAACTGCAGTCGCACCAGATCACCGCCGGCTCGATCCGGCTGGTCTACACGATCATCTACTCGCTGTTCCTGGGTTACGGGGTGACCGTGGGCCTGACTATCTACGGGCTGATGGACGCCAACGCCAGCGAGGAGACCGTCTGCTCGGCGTCAAGCCAGCTGATCTACGGGAATACCTATATCCAGCACTTTGTGTTCGTGACCATCTACGTCGCTTTCGCCGGGATCGTGAGCCAGGCCCACCTGCGCCAGCTGCCGATCATGTGTACGCTGGGGGTCTCGGGCTACGTGGCCAATTACTTCGCGACGACGTACCTGAGCAACCAGATGGCGAGTATTATCGGCTCATTCACGATCGGGTTGTTGGCCAATCTGTACAGTCGCGTGTGGCACGGCCATGCGGCCGCGGCGATTGTACCGGGGACATGGACACTGGTATCGTCGGGTCTGGCGACGAGCGGTTCCATCGTCGCCGGTCTGCAGTATGCCAAAGCCGTGAAGGAGGGCACGGCCAACAACTCGGCCAACGAGATGGTCGCGTCGTTGTTGAGTCTAGGTATCAGTATGGTGCAGACAGCCTTGGGCATTACCGTTGGACTGTTCCTGTCGGCCTTGGTGGTGTATCCAGGGGGTAAACGCCAGGGAGGGTTATTCAATTTGTGATAGCGTTGGCATCTTCATTGCATCAAGTCATGTGCATTGTCGTGCTACCAGCATAACATTCTCTGTTTATAGTTTGACTGATGTTTTTGTATTGTTCGTGCATTTGGAGCATTGGAGCATGATCTGCGTCTGTTTATATATTGCATCTGTATTCTCGCATGGCCATGCATGCAATGAGGCATTGAACATGATTTGCTGTCCATGCCTTTAAGCTTTACATTATCGTTTCGGCTCATGTGCATAAGCACATACATGGAGCTCGAATGCTATAGAGCTGCTACAGCTTACTGTTATTCTTACATCAAGTCAAGGGTAATGTAATGCACTATCAACATCAAGAATTGCCCAACCTCTATAACATCTGCAGATGCCCAAGACCTCCCTCCACCAACGGATCATCCTCTCTCTCCCTTTTGCGATCTCCCAGCGTTGTCCCAATCTGACGAACAACCAACCAAGCCGGGACGAGCGAAACCGCCCAGAGACCGAAGTTGAGATACGTGCCACCGACAGAGGCCATGATACCGACACTACTCAGCCCGTACTGCTCCTGTTAGCATCTCTCTCCACAGTGATGAGCTCAACCCACCGAAACAGCCTGCACGGCCGACTCCGTCCCCCGCAGCAGGGCTGACAGGCGGACGACCTCCCCCTTATTGCGGGCCAGATTGCCCACCACGAAATATCTGTGAGCCGTTAGCACACTCCTCAAACCTCAACACGAGGGAGACTCACAAGAACATATAGTTCACCTGAAACAAGGCCACCCAAAACAAATACAAGACCCAGCCGCGGACGAAGCCCTCATCCGCCCAATCCAGCGCTGTCTGGTCCTTCGCCCTATAGAACGACGTGATAACAGTAGCCCACAGCCAAACGCCGCCCTGTAGGGCCATAATCACACCAAACACCCACCGGGCCTTACTCCTGAGCGATCCTCGCGCGCCATCAAGCACATACCCAAGCACATTCCCCGCAATAAGCGCCAAACACCCCGACAAGACACTACCCAACGCGCGAGCACGCACACTGAACCACAGATCAAGATACGTAAACATGACCGCCTCAGTATAGATAGCCTGGGCGATCAGCGGGAGAATCAGCAGGATATTCCTCGTACACAGCAGCGCGACCGTGCGCCGCAGCTCAAACCACACCCCATGCTGCGAAATCCGCAAATGCACGGTCTTCCCGTCGGAGCGCTGGACTTTCTCAGGCGGCGTGAGCAACATGCCCGCGAGCGCACCGCACGCCTGCAGCGCCACGAAGATCAGGAACACGGCGTAGCTGACGCTGCCGGCGGTAGCGCGGTCGACGTTCAGGCCTAGGTTAATCGCGCCGCCTAGGATCTGGCCCCCGACTCGGAACGATAGCCACAGGCCTAGAAAGAACCCCTGTCGCGAGGGCTCAGGGTACGCCAGTGCGATGCTGCTCTCTGCTAGCCAGAAGATCCCGGCGCTGAGGCCGCAGAGTGCCGCGCCCAGGAGGAGGAGCCAGCTGCTGTGGAACCGGTTGTTCGTGTCGAGCCCTGCTGCGTAGGGCGCGTAGCCGATTGTGCCCAGGATGAGAGTCGGCTTAATGCCGATGAGCCGCACGATTGCGCTACCGAAGAGGCAGGAGAGCACCATTAGGCAGAAGGTCAGCGCGTTGGCTGCGTCGACTAGGTAGGGTGATTCGGAGCCCCCGCCGCCGAGTGAGTTCATCGCTGTCCAGAGGCCCGGGGCAAGAAAGTTGCAGAGCCCGAGGACGAGCGCGTTGTAGGTTGTGGAGCGGTAGAAGACGGGCTTGGTGGTTGGGGACGGAGGAGCGCTCTCCTCGGGCTGGTGCTCCTCGTCCGAGGTTTGGAGGGTTTTCTCGGACATATTCGCATCTGTGTCTGGTTGGAACTGTGAAAGACAGTTCCGGGGTTCTGGAGAAAGGAACGAGTTTCGAGGCAAGATGTACTGTACAGCGACAAGTGTGGAGAATAAGCCCAGTAACCAGCTAAACAAGGGATGGTACCCGTGATACCACCATTATAAACATCCAAAAATCCTTGCATGATGCAGATACAGCATCAATCTAGACCCATGAGGAAGTGTCTGTCTTGGTCGGGGAAGCAATGTTGTGGTGTGGGGTGGCAATTACGTGCTCGCACGGCATTTTAGCTGCAGATGGATGCTTAAAGCTTAAGATTCATCTCCAGACTACAGAGATAATTAACACGCGAACAAAAATTGCAATCTGGCACTACCACTACCCCCATTGCAAACTAGACGCTCACTGAGCCCTAACAACCCCATATCAGTCTACCCAACCCGCTCCTCCCTTTGCCACCATTCCTCACCCACCGACTCCAATCCCACGATCCCTCTTCCAAGGAAACCAAACTGTCTACTCACGATCCTCCGGCGTAAACACTAAAGCCCGCACCTCAATACTCTCGCGCGCCTCCTCGCCCTCCGTGCCCGGCACCTCAAACGCACTGTGCGGGACACGGCGCGCGCGGCCGTCCGTCTTGCTATCAAAGCACTTGATGAGCGTCACCCACTCGGGCGTCTGCGCACACCGGTAGTACCACTTGGTCGCCGGGTTTGCGCGCACGGCGTAGGTCTCGCCCTCGCGGTCGGGGTAGATCAGCTTGATGGGGATCAGGTCGGCGTCGTCGACGGTGTGCGCGGCCGCCACGGCCAGCGGGTCCCGGCGGACAGTCTTCAGCGGTCGCCACACGTTAATGATCTGGTAGCGGCCCTTCAGGAGGGTGTCGGCTTCGTTCGGGAGGTGGTGTGATACCCGTGAGATGGCGGCTGGGTAGGACTGGTCGATATGGACTCTGTGGACTGGGGCACGTAGCTGGGTTTGGTCCGGTGACGGGCGGCGGATTGTGTGGTCGAAGATGAAGGTGCGTGTTGCGCCGGTTCTGAGTAGGGGTGTTTGTTAGTTGGGTGGTTGGGAAAGTTGGTTAGGATAGAGTTTTTGGGGTGGAGGTTGTGGTGGTTTGTAGGCTGGGGTGGTGGTGCGATGCACTTACACGTCTTTCAACAACTGGTCCACTTCCGGATAATACACTCGCTTGATCTTCTCGTCGTCGAGGAATTCCTTCTCCGCGCTGATGTGCGGATGGAACTGGAACCCGTGGCTGTCCAGCGTATGCTCGGCTTCATGACCGGACACGTCGTGGATCGTCGTCGACACGGTGTTCGAGGGCCGGTCGAAGGTGTTGGCCTGACCCACGTAGTTAGGCGTGAGATGTGACCCGTCCTCGACTTCCTTGATGTAGTTGAGAACCGTGTGCACGTCATGCGGCTGCTCCTGCTGGGGTTGATACTGCGACTGCGTCTGCGGGGCAGACGAAGAGGCGTTGGAGCCTGGGAAAGAGTGGATGTCTCCGGTGGGAATCTGGACTGCTGCGGCTGCCATTTTGATGCTTTGTCTGACTTTTAGATGCTGTATAGACACGAGGATATGTTCGTTGAGATTGGCCCATGGATACTGGACACTTATATACCCGGTGCTGCTTCATCCACGCCTGCTGTATCTGCATTTGTCAGACAGAGCACGTCATCCCACGCTGATAAATCCAGCTGCACTGAGGGTCTTTATTGGGTCACACAGACATGATGATGTAAATCGCACTGCAGGACGTTAGCATATTGCGTCCATGTGATAGTTGGATGCTACAGACAGGGATCGCGGGGATGGTGCCAATGACAAACAACGTGGGCAGCTGATTTCTAATCATCTACAACGGTGATCCGGCTTCTTCGTAACTCCAAAAATCAAAAAGAGGTTTTGATTATCAATCTACTCATATACGCGAACTAGCTTGTTATGCGCTACTCCATCCTCTGTGACTGCCTTCTCTTCCTCCAGGTGGTATCCTCCCCAACGCGGGAGGAGCACCGTCCATACGTACCAGTATACAACGCCAAAGACAACTCTGTTTCTATTAGCACAAGCCGGCAAGGTTGGAGCAGCAAACTTACACGCCCGTCCCAACAATCGCATACGTCGCGTAGAAGAAGCCTACATCACCCTTTCCGCCCTCTGGATGGAAGAAGGGCGACGACAACAGGACCAGGGAGATGAGCACCCGCAACCACACGGCTGGCAGCCACGCTTTGAACGGACGAGGCAAATCGGGCTCTTTATATCGCAGGAGCAGCAAGCCCAGAGTTACGGCCAGACTGAAGAACTGACCCGGGTACCCCTCGACATCGAGGATGAAATTGTAGACGTCGCCCTGCGGTGGCAGCGCAATCACCAAGACTGAGGGAACGTAGTGCACGAGCAGTCCACCCAAAGGGGCCCCGAACGGTCGAGACGACGACAAGACCTTGGACCAAGGGAGGAAGCCTTGGCGGGCAATTTCCTGGTTGACACGCGCCTGGTTTCATTAGCTCAGTGATATATTCAGAGACAAAAGGCTACGGACCAGTGCAAAAGTGACCACCATGACATTTCCTGCTGCAGAGATGGCAATTGCTAATGGAAGCAATGTCTGGCCGATCTGGTTGCCAAAAAGACGCTCAAACAACAGCGCGGCCACGAGTTCACCACTGTTCTTGATCTCGTCGATCGGAATCACCAGAAAGTAGGATATATTCGCCAGGAAGTACAGCGCACCGGCGGTCATAAGCGCCGCAGGACACACAGTTTTCAACGTACGTACTGGGTTTCGCACCTCGTTCATGACGTTGTTCAGGTTGCTTAGGCCGGCGTAGGAATAGATGACCTTAAAAAGCGACGTGGACAGTAGGTTCCAGCTCCAGTTGGAGCCTTCCCAGAGGGAGTCCCACGAGAAGACACCCCCTCGCGAACCGCCAAATGAAGCATCCGTTTCACTCGGGGGCCGGGCCAGAATAACCCAGATGCCGGTGAGTGAGATAGCTCCGACCAGAAAGATCTTCAGCCATCCCAGCACGTTTTGTACCCAGATTCCCGTTCGCAGAAAAAAGCCATGCATGCCCGTGACGAAGGTGATCAGGCCTAGCGCGAGGATTTTGTGCTGCAACTCGGTGGGCTGGATGTCGAAGGCGAAGAAAGTGTACTTGGCGAAGACGATGCAGTTGCTGGCTGTGAATCCCAGCACCACCGCCTGCACGGCGATCAACGTCGATGCGAGGAATCGCGGTCGTGGATAAGTGTATTCCAGGTACACCTAAACATGTCAATACCAGAGCGATCACCAGCGACCGAAAAATCTACCTTGTCGCCACCCGAGCGAGGCAACATGCATCCATATTCCAGCGAGACAGCCAGTCCGCAGGCGGCCAGTACGGTGCCCACGCCCCAGATCAACAGCGACAGCCCAACACTACCGGCGGATTTGACTATCGAGCCGGGGGTTGCGAAAATGCCACTGCCAATGACTCGCGACACGACCAGAATATAGGCGCTCGTCCAGGTGAGGGTTTTTGCCTCGTGGGCTGGCGGTCGGGTTGCTGCCTCGGCGTCGGGCACCTCATCTGGAAACACCGGGGTGGCGCTGGGGATGCCCAGAAGGGGCTGTTGTTCGTCTTGGGTCATGGTGAGTCAGTGGCCCAGTGACGGTGACTGCGTTGTGCTGTTCCCTCGCGAGGGAGAACGCCTTAGATACTCGCCAGAAGATGGAAAGGCATCCAGCGTAAGCACTTCGGTAAGGCTGCTTGGAAATCAAGCATCATACCCCAGGCACGTCATTCTGTGCGCATGTTGTGTGTTCCTCCCAGCTGATAACGACTTATCGCAAGGGATGAAGGGCAGTGCATGGACGAAGTGCGTAGGAATGACCTGTCAGGGGAGGACATGCCCGGAGTGTAGGGCTACCTACCACACTGACACACCAGGTCTTTCGAGCTCAGCTATCCTCGAATTATTCGTGCTGAGTATAATATAGAGTCCAGGAAAGCTCACCCAACATTAACGACACTAGACCATAATCTCTCGCAAACACTTTACTAGAAAACGAGCGCATCAGTCTCAATAGTAGGCAGTCGATGTCGTCAGCACCGGTCGTTCTTGCGTGCCATCATCCCCTCATCTGCCCTGAATCACATCATCAGACACGGAATGCATGCCATCTGCCGGGCGCGTAACGTGGTTGGTGCAGGCAAACCCAACACCAGGAAATAGTCGATATTAGGGCTCCCTGCCCTTATCCGTCTTCCCTCCCAATACCCTCTCTCGGTCTTCAATCCCGCCATGGGTAGTCACAGTGACGAAGCGACGATATCAGAGGGACGAGCATTGTTTGAAAATAGGCCTAATTTTGTGTCTCTGGGAATGTCCCTTGGATGCGACCGACAATCCTGGACGAAGAAAGGGCGGGATGATACCATCGATGAGTGCTCAGCACGCCATCCGACCCCCGCCCTGTACAATGCAGCATTTCCCCAAGCACGATTTGGCTATCTTTTGCAGTGATCGACCCTGTGGTCCGTGTGTTCCGAGAGATATGCGTCTTTGGTCTGGTCTCTCTGGGCATTGGCTTTGCATCCTCTCGGCCGGGTAATGAGGAGCATACATATTTAGATCTGGCGAAGGAGGAATTCTCTTCAAGTTCAACCATCTGGCATTCGATTGTACGATACATACAGTAGTGTAAATACTAGTATCTCGTGCCCGAGCTGCAGCGCAGAGGGCTCTTCCTTACCGACTATGAGGTGGCAGGTGGTACGATGCGTGAGAACTTCTATGGGAAGAAGGCCCAGACGAGACTGCCGGAGAGTCACCATGTAGCACACTATTTCTGGAAAGAGGGCGAGGAGGTCCCTCAGTATGCGTTGCAGAAAGAATAAGGGCTGAAGCAGGTCAGAGAGAATGTACTTCAAGATGCTGTATCATACTGAACAATGCCGGAGGGATTTCTTTTCCCGATTGGAAGAAGTTGTGCATCCAAGCCTCTGCGATATATAACAAAAGAATCTGGCTGTAACTTGACTCTTAACTTATCGAGCCTGCTCTTGCACATTGTATGGCCTTTGAGAAACATCTGCCTCGCCCTAAAGTGTTCCATCCACGATGATCCCGACATATTTGAGTTCGTACTCTGGGGCTGTCAGGAGCACGACGGGATAGCGCATTTTGAGGTCTCTACGACCACCCGCGACGAACAAGACTCGTAGCCCTCAAAACCAGTAAGTCTTTCCCGCGATCCCCGACGGGTTCTCGGTGCTTCCAAGTGCAACTCCAACTCCTCGTAACTTGGCCTTCAGCCGCGCAGTAACCGCCGCAGGGTATGCAGCGGAAGAGTGGAACTTCTTCCTCCGCAGCGGAGAGATTGTGACCGGCGTAGACAACTGCTGGTTGTTTAGTTTCGTCTTCAGCGGGGGCTGTAGAATCCGGTATCAGACCGTTGTATTCTGGCAGCATATTTGCTCGAACCAGGGCTGCGACTTCACGTTTGGCGCCACAGAGAATCACGGAAATAGAGGTTGTCATGTTGTCGGACCTGATGTAGTCTATTTACGCTCGAGCAAGATGTTAAGTGGGAGATTTCATGCTGTTAGGCTTTATATGAGTTCAACATGCAAGGGGTGGTTGGCCCGATAAAAATGAAGAGTTCGGAAATGAGATCAACCCCGAGCACCGCCACCAACTTGTATACTAGCAGCAGAGCGCTGGATATCCTTCAGAGTCGATTACGTCGCCTGTATGTCCACGGGACTGTTTCTTTTTCAAAAATGAAGAATCGTCCTTGGGACCGAGTCTCTTTCCGTTGAGACGGCAAGTCACGGAGTCATCAAGTCAGCCATGTCCCTCGGCATTGATCTCAACCCCGAACATGAATAAGCAGCAACAGAATACGTATTATAAATTCGAGCAACCATCCTTGAATGCAGCTGTATGACTTCATTTCTGTCTAACACCTTCACGGGCTGATACCAACAATGTCGAAGCCACCTAAGCCCCTTCATGACAATGTCTTGCGCACCAAGTCTCGCTCTCCGCTGGGGAGGGCTGTCTTCGTCGGCCTCCGCGCCGCCGACGTCTGGTGGCAATACAGCCTGCTGAGCCGATGATGGGCCTCCCAGTTAATTGCGGCACTTGGGGGCTCTGCTGTCGTCTCAGACAACATCTGGAACACCTCCAACGGCAGTTTCTATACCTACTACAGCCTCGTCGGCTTGCTTCTACCTCTGGGAAGCAGCATCAAGCAGATCGCCGCCATGCTATTTGTCTCCGACCAAGAGACCCCCGTGGGTTCCGCTGCACTGATCGCATTCTTCAACACGGTCTTTAACAGCATCAACACCGTTCTCAGTGTCTGGTCGTTGACCTGCTAAGCCCGTGGCTCTCCCAAGACGAACCTATTGGACTTCGCCCTGGCGAACCCGGCCGTGGCCCTTGGAGTCAGCGCCTATCTGGTCGGACTCACGACAGAAGCGATCTCCGAGTTCCAGCGCCGTGCGTTTAAGAAGGACCTGGCAAACAAGGGCAAGCCGTTCGGCGGCGGGCTGTTCTCGCTGGCGACGAATATCAATTACGGTGGGTATACTATCTGGCGGGCTGCGTATGCAATGGTGGCTGGCGGGTGGCCGTGGGCGGCGGCTACCTTTAGTTTCTTCTTCTATGACTTCGCGGTCAGGGGTGTTCCGGTTCTGGATCAGTATCTTGCTGGTCGGGTGAGTATGATCTCCTTTTAGCAGCGAGTGTTTGAATGAGGAGTGGCCGAGGCTAACATGCGTCTAGTACGGGAAGGAATATGAGGATATCCGGACACGAGTGAAATATCGGTTGATTCCTTGGGTGTATTAAATGGTAACACTATCACCTGCAGTCAGGAGTAGTATGGGATCAGTTATGGATGCAGGAGTTTCAGAATATGAACCTTGACTCAATGATAATGTATAAATGTACCTATTGAACAATTGTTGATTGATCATAAAATGCACTAACCCGATTTGGTCATGCCTGCAGCCAAGTTGGACTTTCCCGATACGGTAAGCTTGATGCCGCAGGCCGCAATAGACCTTGTCTTCCCCGAGTGGCTATAGCTTCCAATTGCTTCTCCATGTCGAGAGTGCACTCGCAATCATGATGCCAGGGTAGGTTGCCTCCTTCCAGCATTCTTTGCGGCAAATACTGCTCTGAAAACTGGGGCACTGCCTGTAAACAGGCCTGCGCGAACCTAAATGACTGGAAAGTGGCCTCCCTTCTGTGGCCCTGTGGGGAGCCGGAGAAGTACAGGAGTCTGTGACAGGAACAGCTCGCGTCTTTTTACAGGAAATGAGCCGACATCGTCGAGAAAACCAGCTTCTCCATTGAGTTCATGAAAGTGTATGATGTCATTGAGGGAGTTTATCTCGCCGGCTGTTGTTCCTGGTACAACCTGATAAAGAACAGTTAAAATAGAATTCCTCACCCCTGTTGATCGACTGGGTCATCGATCACTGCCAATACAGCTCAGGTCAAGGCTGAGAGATCCACCATGAAGGCCTGTGCGCGTTCTATCTTGGCTGCTGCGGCCGCATGGCTGCCTCAAGAAGACACTGCCCTCAAGCCATCTCTTGCACCGCGAGCCAGTGCTACCCCGGGAAACAGTTCCGCTGTCAACCTAACGGTTGTCACGTCCGGGGGAAATCAATCCAGTCCGTTGCTGTATGGGATCATGTTCGAGGTATGTCAGAGGCAGGTAATTCAGATGTGAGCTAGCTGACCCTATGTGTCTAGGAAATGGATCATTCCGGTACATCCCACATCCGCGTTGCAGTAACTATACTAACATGACCAGGTGATGGAGGACTACACGGGCAGCTGCTGCAGAACAACGGGTTTCAAGGGGCCAATCCCGGACTTACCGCGTACAAACCCATCGGACAGGCAGAGATAATGCAGGATTATCTATATCCGGTGAGCGGTGCCATCACCTCCTCCCTCCAGGTGTCCGTGGAGAACGGCGCAACCGGTCGGGTCGGGTTCGCGAACACAGGATACAAGGGCATTCCGGTGATCAATTCCACCTATTGGTGCGAGTTTTGGATGCTGGGCGATTACTCCGGCGAGATTATCCTCCAGCTGGCCGGGTCGTCCAACGGCAACATCTTCGCTTCGCATAATATCACGGTTGCCAGCTCCCAGAAAAACTTCACCCGATACACGACACAATTCAACTCGACAGCGGCACCGGATGGTAACAATGAGTGGCGACTCCTTTTCAATGCCTCCAAGGTCTCCGGGGGGACTCTGAATTTTGGGCTGCCGCAGTTATTTCCGCCAACGTACAAGTCGAGGTCTGGATTCTGTCTTGTGTGTCAGTGGAAGTAGCGATACTGACACCTGCAAGGCCCAACGGCCTCCGAGATGATATTGCCCAGGCCATTGCCGATATGAGACCGACATTCCTACGCTTCCCAGGAGGAAATAACTTGTACGACCCAACTCCCGGCGGTAGCCAATTCCTACTTATATGGTTTCGTTCATGACAGAGAAGGTCTGGAAGTCGACAGTCGGTGGCAGTGGAACTTGACTATCGGACCGGTGGTCGAGCGTCCGGGGAGACAAAGCGATTGGTTCTATCCCAACACTGACGCCTTGGGTAGGTAGAAAACTAAGTCATCCTGAATGTCACTAACTCTCGCTCAGGTCTTGATGAGTATCTCTGGTGGTGTGAGGACATGGGCATGGCTCCAGTGCTGGCTGTCTGGGATGGCAAATCCTACGGCGATATCCTCTCTGGCAATGAGCTCGAGCCCTACATCCAGGATATCCTCCACGAGCTTGAGGTAAGTCGCCACGGTCGCATTGATTCAGAAGCTGATTGAACAGTATCTACTTGGCGCTCCGAACACCACCTATGGGAGTCTTCGCGCCAAGAATGGACGACTTAAGCCCTGGCCCGTTCAGTATGTGGAAATTGGCAACGAGGACGACTTCACTGGGGGATGCGCGACGTATCCGCAACGCTTCATGCAGATCTACAACGCCGTCCACAAGAACTATCCCAACATCACTCTGATTACCTCTGTCAGCGATCCCAAGTGCCTTCCCTCGAACCCACCGCCGGGGATCATCTATGACTTCCATTACTATCGCAGTGCAGACCAGCTGGTAGCCATGTTCCACGAATGGGACCACCAGTCCCGGTCACGGCCGGTGATGATCGGCGAGTATGGCTGTCGAAACACCAGTGATCCCGACGGGTTCTACTGGACGTATATGCAATGCAGCTGTGGTGAGGCCGTCCATATGATCGGACTGGAGCGGAACAGTGATGTGATCAAGATGGCGTCCTATGCACCCTTGCTGCAGAACTTTCCGTACACCCAGTGGTGGGTATGTACTGTCTTCATCTCCTTGCTTCGTCCTACCCATGCTTATCAATGCACGACAGCCTACACTCATCGGGTTCGACTCCAGCCCGGGTTCCCTCACTCTGTCCACGTCGTATTACGTACAGAAGATGTTTTCGACCTACCAAGGGCAAATAATCCTTCCGGTAAACTCGACATCAAGTTTCGGGCCACTGTACTGGGTGGCGTCGCGAAGCAACAGCACGTATTTTGTGAAGATGGCCAACTATGGCAATGATAATCGGACCGTCAGAGTCACGGTCCCAAAAACGACCGGGGGTCTGTTGGAGATGTTGTCCGGTCCTCGCGACGGAGTCAATCGTCCGCGCAATTCGACCATTCAACCTGTGACGCAGAATATCACGGCTATCAGGGACAGCTATACGATACAGATGCCGGCGTGGAGTGTGGCGGTTTTGGTCGTTCGTTGAGTGTAGCTCTCTAGCAACGCCGGCGTATCTTTCAGAAATGCGATTTACGTTTTATGTTTATCGCAGTAGGTATGTACTGTACACTATGTCCTCTGAAACCTAATAGAAACACTTATTCCCAACCCATTCTAGAAACCCCACGCTTCACACCATCAAATATAATCCCCATCCAGTACACCCAAATCAATCATCAACCCCATAAACCCGCAAATCCCGCTCCATCCCCGGCAACGCATAAACCGCACTCCTTTGCCCACCAAACACCCTCAACTCCCTCGCCCCACGATCCTCCAAACCAATCTTCTCCAACACCCTTCGACTCCGCATATGCCCCACATCGCAGAACGCAAACACCCCGTCCAGTCCCAGCTCGCCGCACGCATACGCCACCAGCGCCTTCCCAGCCTCGGTGGCATACCCCCGCCCACTGTGCTCCGGCAGCACGCAGTACCCGATGTCCGGAAGCGTGTACCCGTCCGGCGGGGCGCCTTGCATCAGGGACATGGTACCGATGGGGACGCTCTCGGATAATGTGGCGGTGGGGTGCGGTTTCAGGGAGAGGAGGAAGAAGCCGCGTTTGTAGTCGGAGGATGTGTAAAGGGCCTGAATGCGGGTTTTTAGGAAGGTGGTGGCGTCTTCGGGGGTTTGTATCGCTGAGGGGCCGCAGGAGGTCGTGTAGTCTGGGGTTGTCCAGAGGTGGTGGAGGAAGTGGCTGTGTAAGGGATTGGTGGGGTTTAGGAGGGAGATGTGCAGTCTTGGGGTGGATGTTATGAGGGGGGAGGAGGGATATGGCATTTTGGAGGTTTGTGGTGGTGGATGTTGTTGGATGGGTTTATCTTGGTGTGGATTTAGGGGTCGGGGTTGATATCTGGTGTTGTCGCTATATGTTGTAGTTCTACCTGGAATTTTGGTCTGGAAATGGGTGATGGAGGAATAGGTAGGGGGCCGGTGCTGAATGAGTCATTTTTAAGTTTAGAAGTCAATCTGCGGACCTTTAAATTGATATAAGATATCACTATTAGTGGATGGTGGCTAAGAGTAAGACGGAAGCCCAGGTGTTAGTAACACCACGGAGGATCGCGGTTTCCGGGGATGACCGTCGGTAATCTGGCGGACTATCCAACAGACCTCGCAGCAATATCTCAGTCGAAATCATAGCCTCGTAGCGCTAAAGCATTCACTCCCCTGATATTCAGTAAAGAGGTGGCTAGGTTCGGATTTGTCGGACTATTCCTCGGAATCTCCAGCCTGATGGTCTTTGTTCCCCCTTCGCTGGGAGATGAAATCCAGGTAACCACCACGAGATACATGAGCATATGCAAATATAAATATTGGGACTATAGATCTCGAGACATCAATATACCTAAAATCACATGAAGAGACAATCATCAACTTCGTCAACATGTCTCGATTCATGCTAGATAGCGAGGCCATGGAGTTTACCGCTCGCACGCTGGATGAAGCTGGAATCGCGTATTGCCTGATAGGGGAGTCGGTGCTCGAGTTCTATGGGCTCCAAAATCGATTGGGTATCTTCACGGGGTTCCTCGTCCCGATGTCCAATTGGCGACCAACATGGGCGGCGCTCGCTGAGGCCGGGTATCGGCCGTGTCATGATGTTTACTGTGACGCTCACTTCTCGTATCCCCGCCACGTCAGTAACATCAGTGTCCCCCTCAGCAATTGCCACTTCCATTATATCCCGGCACAGGCTGAAGATGCAGAAGATATAGCGGCCCGAGGATTCACCATGACCCGGCAGCAGCGGCCCTGGGAGCGCGTGGTGAGCTTCTTTGTGAAGTCGGATCGCCATGGGTACTTCCCAAACCCCCCTGCAGGGAGGCCCAGGCCACCGTTTGTAGTGGGAGACATTCCGCCGCCGAGACGGTCGTGGGACTTCTACATGTTGTCCACCGATGCGAGGCTGCCGGAGCGTAGCCGGCACTTCCCCCATCATTACCCTATCAAAATGCCCACGCCCCACCGGTATTTGGAGGCCATCACCTACCAGCTGTGCTACGAGAAGCAGTATCCGCGGCAAGGGGTGAGAGAGTACTGCTGGCAAGTGATGTTTGACGAACTTGTCGCTCCCATCCGACTGAACCTGAGGGATCGATTGATTCGTTTAGAGGACCTGGGCTTGCCCGTTCGATTATACGTGGAAGACTACCTGAAAGCCCCGGATGACCCGACTAAGCGAACATGGCTAAGAGAATCAGCGGTGGTTCACTTCTTCAATCAGAATGATTCACTCTTTTTGGTAAACTGAGTCCGGATAAGGATCTTTTCTAATTAATATCTGAATCTGTAATTGCACTTGTTCCCACAAGACGTGATCAGCTAAAGTAAGAGTTTGCACGTAACTACCTAAGTATGAGTACCAGAAATATAATCATCAGTCAGCGGTTTCTCCAACGCACGCTCCTTGGAAACTTCTCGAAGCTCCTCCAGCTCCGCGAACCCTAAGCTCCGTAACGCCCTCACCAAGTATCTCTCCAACAATGACACGTCTGCTCCTGCCTGCGGACTAAACTCCATAATTAGCAACTCCTTGAATAATTGCGCACTATGTGAAGACCTACTCTCTCAAGCGTTTCGATCTACATGTCACCCACGCATTCAGCTGCGTGATGTACGCCATGACAAGAATAAACACTAATGATGCGCCGGGCACGCGGCTGTTATGAACACTCAGTGCGGCGGCGAGTGGAAGCGAAATCGCGTAAATGGTGCTGTACGTGACTGCTCCCCGCAGGTACGGCGTGTAGGTGAAGAAGAAGATTGCCAGGCGCGTGTAGATGAAACCGTCCAGCGCATGGACGGATGCGGTATGCAGGCTGGGGATGTTGAACAGGTAAGAGGCCAGGGTCGCAATGGGACGCAGACATGCTGCAGCTTGGTAGGGTGGGCGAGTTGTCCGTGGATCGCCTCGACGGAGTGTTCTCACAAGGACGAAACTGGTCCACGACCAGAGGAAGCAGAACAGCACGTCCATCGTGTTGGGGAGAACATTATTGTGGTCAGCCTGAGCTTGTAGAACCCAGTATTGGAGATTTTCAAAGAGTCCGGTGCCGATATGTATGAAGAGACAGGCTTTGCTCTTGGAGAATTTGGCGTGGTAAGTTGGCGCATGCCATACTGTATGATATAGAATCACAGTTGTGAACGCGATAATGCGGCTGATCAATGCTATCATATCGGGGTCCTGTAGCCTCTCAGGTATAGAGTCAGGTAAGTGGATCGTTGGGTAAGGCATTATCATTTTCTTTCGCCGCGGTTGTGTTGTAGGTAGAAAGCTTGGAACGACAAATTGCAGTCGTGCACAGCTGAGCTTAGCCTTTTATGTCGCTGCCTCTTTGGAATGATATGTCGGGATGTCTCTTACTTAGCCACGTACATGTTTTATTGCATAATTCTTAGGTATATTCCGACAAGACGGTGAAAGGATAAATGACGTGTTGACATCAGGCCCATTCTAGAATATGCCCATCATGTGAGCCGGATTGCCTCATCCGGTCGAGATTTGACTTGTCTGCAGTGATGCAGAAGTTGTACCTTCTGTCACGACCTCGCTGCCAATCAGATTGAGCCAGATCTGGTTCTCTGACGTTACCAAATGAGGACGATCCTGCATAGCTCACAGATCGGCATCTGTCTGGGCGCCGATCATTCTTTCCATCTTCACTCTGATGGACCTTCAACTCCTTCATAATTCCTGTAGATAAACCCTTGTACTTATAGGAGAGACTGAGCCCCTGACCGTGGGCATCATACTCATACTTCCAACATATCAAGGTTACCGCGAGATCTCTATCGGGATCAGGCTCCGGCTATCCCTTGCTTGACAGATGGAAGCAATATGAATTCCTGCCTAACTCTTCGAACACATGCTCCTATATATCCCACAACCTGTGTTCTGAAGATCATCCACTCGTGCAACAGCTGTATTGTAGGGTATTAATCAAGTGCTTCCTGTCTCTACCTATGGAAATTGGAATCGGAAGCCCTTGCGCTCCTTGTGCTTCATGACCAAGTCAAGAGAGTTTGAGCATGCTTGGCATATGCAGCCTGATATTCTCGGCGTGCACACACGCTGAGTCATGAATGCCGCTACCTTTCAGTGGCATGTGATTGCTATTCACCATCCCTGCTTGCGTGAAACTGCTTGAGAATATCACCTTACCGCTTTCCGCAGCGGTCACCCTGTAGTCTCATTATGCCAAAGTCAACTCACCCGCTGTACGGTAAATCACTCAGTCAGAATCAAACCACGATTGAAAATTGCGGCCATCATGCTCATTTCCGATCGCAGCAGATGGGAATAAAGCTTAGATCCCGGTGGTCCTCCATGGGACTGTTTGGGGAGCGAAGGAGGTAGTGGGCTCTTCTTGCATGCAATACAGCTTTTCATTACCCATGAACTATGTTTTGAACAAGAGATTAGCTAGATGAATCAGTCACTGACAAGGTGGCTTCGTCAAAACAGGGCACGACAAGGAAGGGATGGCAGCTACCCGATAAGGTTTCTAGCGCGTGGTGGGTGGTGCCGTGGTATTTATACCCCCGCAGTCCACAGAGCAGGACAAGTATGGAAGGATTCGCTCTCCTTGGCCGACGCCCCATCGCAATCATGCCTTCTGACCGTTCCGCTGACGAATATATTCTTGGTCGGGATGTTCCCGAAGCGGTCAGGTAATCTGCCCCGAAGAGGTCTTTCCTTTTTCTCAAGGTTCATCTGCTAATAGACGCTCATCAGAATGAATGAGCAGCAGCTTTTCTGGAGATTCCAGACGGGCCATGTCTTGAGCCCGCTCATCCCCAGGCAGCCTGGAATGCGCGTCGCGGATCTCGGATGCGGAACAGGGCGCGTTGACATTCTCACTTACCCTAAAATCTCGAACAGGACTGACTTGGAGTGAGATTGTAGCATCTGGTGTATAGATCTCGGTTACGAGCTGGACACGGCCGAGATCTGTGGCTACGACATCTCGGATGCCTTGTACCCGCCTCAATCCACATTACCAAAGAATGTCAAATTGGACACGCTGGACGTCATGTCTGATATACCGGACAAATTCCACGGGGCTTTTGATGTCGTGCACCTGCGTTTGTGGGTCTGCGTGGTGAGGGACAATCGACCCGATAAGTTGATCCAAGCGGTTAGCACCTTGCTGAGTACGAAAGTCCCCACGATTGTCATCGTCACGGCACTTGTGCTGACCGAGACGCTAGAGCCTGGAGGCTATGTCCAGTGGGAGGAGATTGGGCGAGATACCAGCCTGGTATCTTCGTGCCCTATGCAGCGCTTAGAGAGCCTTTATACACGACAGCTTGAGAGTGAGAGAATCGATTCACGGTGTGCCTTCAGAGCGCAAGCTTTGACCTGTCCATTAAGCTGACGGGGGGTTCTAGTTGGGTGGGCAATCTGCCAGATATTTTCAGAGAACAGGGCTTTAGCATAATGCAAGGTGAACTTGGCATGTGGGAGAAAACAGTCCGCGGATTGTATTATGCAAATTACCTGACTGTTGTGACGAGGGTCTTGCGGGCGTCTTGGGTGAATAGCAAGGAAGATTCAACTTACCTGGAGAATTTGACAAAGGAGCTGTTTGATCAGCGCGGCGTCGACCATGGGTTTGCCTGGAGGCCTATCGAACTGATTGCTCGGAAGGCTGAGTCGACTTAGAGTGAGAGTCCTTGTGTATCTTGCATTTAATATCAAATATCAAATATCAGATAAGCTGCGGGGAAGGAAAGCATGGACATGTGATGAGCATGTGACTGACCCCTCACCAGTCGCTTGTTTGTTTGTTTCTCTCCAGCTTCTCTTAACTTCCCACACTCTCTCACCAACCTCTCTCACTCAATCCTCAATTCAAACCCCCTTGGCTGCTTTTCGATCTTCTAGATCCATGGCTCCGCGCCCCATCATCGCCATCGCCGGCCTAGCCTGCGAAACCTCAGCCTTCACCCCCGCTCGGACCCTTGCGCCCGCCTTCCACCCACGCCGCAGCCACGAAATCATCGACGAATACCCTTTCCTTCGCTCCGGAACCCCCCTCGGCGATGCAGCAGACTGGCGAGGCGCATTGGTCGGTCACGCACTGCCCGGCGGGATCGTCGTGCGCGCCGCGTTCGAAGAGCTCGCCGCCGAAATCGTGTCGCGCGTGGCGGAAATCGCTACCTCAGCGCCAGTAGACGGGCTATGGTTCGATATTCACGGCGCGATGGTGGTGGAAGGGCTGGATGAGGCGGAATTCGAGTTGCTCAGCCGGATCCGCAGGGTGGTTGGGCCCGAGTGCGTGGTGTCCGCCTCCATGGATCTCCACGGGAACGTGTCGCGCGCGTTGGTCCACCAGACCGATCTGATCACCTGCTTCCGTATGGCGCCGCACGAGGACGAGACGGAGACGAAGGAGCGCGCGTGTCGGAATCTGGTTGATTTGCTCCTTCGTTGTCGGCCACCCGCCCGTCCGCTCAAGGCATGGATCCCTCTGCCTATTTTGCTGCCGGGTGAGCAAACCTCCACCCGCGTGGAACCCGCTAAGGGGCTGTATGCGCTTGTGCCCCAGGTCGAGGCGAGAGAGGGGGTGGTCGACGCTGCTGTGTGGGTAGGTTACGCATGGGCGGACGAGCCGCGGAATCGGGCAGCGGTGGTGGTGACGGGGTGGGACGAGGATGCCGTGGCCGCTGGGTCGCAATTACTGGCCCAGGCGCTCTGGGACGCACATGCAGACTTCCACTTTGTTGGGCCCACTGGATCATTTGCCGAGTGCATCGATGCCGGGTTGGCGTCCAAGGCTCGGCCCTTCTTTATCTCGGATTCGGGCGATAATCCCACCGCTGGGGGCTCGGGAGATGTTACTTGGGGCCTGAGTCGGCTGTTGACGCGTCCGGAGTTTCAGGATCTGGATGGGCCGGTCGTAGTGTATGCCAGCCTGCCAGGACCACGGGCCGTCCAGACCATGGTGGAGGCCGGGGTTGGTGCCACGGTGACGGTCACGGCGGGGGCCGAGGTGGATGCTATTCATGCAGGGCCGATCACAATGACAGGGCGTGTGCATGCGATCAAGCATGGCGACAAGGATGCTGTTGTGGAGGCTGTCCTGCAGGTGGGTTCGGTGTTTGCTATTCTGACGCAGCTCCGCAAGCCCTATCACCATGAACGTGATTTTACTGAACTACAGTTGGATCCCCGAAAAGCCGACCTGGTGATCGTCAAGATCGGATACCTGGAACCAGAGTTGTTCGACATGGCTGCTGATTGGAGGCTGGCATTGACCCCCGGTGGTGTCGACCAAGATCTCGTTCGTTTAGGACATCACCGGATTCGTCGTCCTATGTGGCCGTTTGACACCGTCTTTCCCTCTCCTCCTGATCTCAGGGCCCGGATGATTCCCGCTTCCGATGAGGAGCTGTCGGGGTCGGATGAGTGACTGATCCATATGAGTGACGAGCACATTGACAGTTTGCAGTAGGTGTTGCAGAGCGTAGCTCATTATTCACCTACCATTATTCGTAAGATTTTTTCAGTTCACTACACGAGCCAACCTTAATTGCCACTGAACAAAATTAATCATTACATCATATTGGCATGGAACAAGGTATCTAGTAAGTACACAACACGAAGGTCATTTGTCAACTCTACTCCTTTGCGGCGGCGCCACCGGTGAAGGGGCAGCCAGAGGGCACCTCAGCATCATCCACCTTGATCTGCTCACGGCCGCGCGCAATCTGCCGGAACATGTCGAGTGGGTCAAACCAGACGTTGATCTGCTCCAACTGGAGGGCTTTGTTCACCTTTGCGACAATGATACCCTGGATATCGATCGGGCCGCCGTGCGCCTCGATCCGGACCTTTTCTCCCTTGCTGCAATTCATTCCCTGTCAGCTACTATCCAGGAATCCTTGCATGGAAACTACTCACTCATTGTGTCCGACATAATCTCTCGCCATCTCTCCCCAGTGTCTCCATTTGAAGACCACAACAGGGGGGCCACTGTATACCTCGGTCACCTCCCAGGCGAAGGTAGGCATCATCCGCTTGAAGCTCTTGTGGCTCATCTCGAAGTCGTTGTGGGCCGGATCGTAGTACGCGCTCGGGGTGAGGAGGGCGTTGTAGGTGCCCACCTTGAGCATGTACTCGCCGGACAATGGGGGTCCGCCGTTGAGCGTGACGTGGTACTTCTCGTGGTCGATTGTGCGCCAGTCCGCCAGGGACGTCTTGAAGGAGGCCTCGATCTCCCAGTTCTTGACGAGGTTCTCGACCAGGTTGGGCAGGCTGCCCGGTTCGTGGGATTGCTTCTTCGCTGCAGAAGACAAAGAAACAGTTAATCAACATCACGGTTATTGGTAGCGAGATGACAGGGCAACATACTGCGCTCGTACACGGCACGAGTGTTGGAATAGTCCGGGGGCGCGCCATATCTCCAGGCGGCATCCTTGTCCTTCAGGACCGCGTTGGGGTCGAGAACGTAATCGGGAAGTGCCTCTGCGTCGCCCATTGTGAATGAGTGTGGTGTGTTGTTTCTTGACCTGTTGCGAAACTCGTTTTCAACGGCGTTGCAGGGGCAGGTGCGCCGTTATTTATGATTCTCTACCGGCCGAACAATTTTGCATTGGCTAGCCAGAGCTATCCAATAACGGTGAGAACGTGGCCTCTTTCGAGCCGGGTCCATGTGATAGACCACACAGCATGGTCGAGAGTAAGCACTTGAGGCAGTAGGAGAGGGTTAGTCGTATGAACCTTGTCGCTCAGAGTGGGGTGGATGGTGGGTTGGGCAGATTATGGATTGCCTCCCACGGGCTCTTGGCGTGAGATTAGACACGTTGATTGTGCTGCGCGGGGGATATTCGGATTTGCCACGCCAAGTTACGGGATGTTAGACATCTATCACACGAGTCAGTGTCCAAGCTCGGTTCTGTTATATACTCGAACCACGGCTTCATGCAGCCGTGAAGATGAGCGTTTGGATCCGCATATCAGATTTGACAGCTCCTACTCACACGAATCTCCCAGTTCAAGGGCATTGCCAGTCCTCCGACAAGAGACGGAGAGAAAGAAAAGTTACATCTCCGAAAGGAGGGCTACCCCTGCATGCTCAATCTCGTCTAGCCTTGGCTGGACCAGTCATATTTGGGCCGATTGCAATTCAACCAGGAACCGTCTCTTGCGCCGCTTCGTTCTCGATCCCTGCTCGATAGAGTGGTGTCCAATGAACATTATTGCTTACACAGGACCCGGCTGAGACGTTGCCTTCGGCACGCAGAGCCAGGCTCGCTAGTCTACGAATTTATATTAACGGGAGCAACGAACCGAGGGCCACGAAAGAGCGAGATGACCAGAAGTTGGTGGCTGCTGACAGTCAAACATCGAACATCGCCGGTTCTCCCGCCGGGACGATCCCCGGCCTCAGTGATTGGTGCATTGACCCTGATCGTGATCGCGGTGGAGTTACTTGGTGTCCGATTGGCTATGGCCTTAATCAGATCGATATTGGGGTTAGATTACCCGGAAATAATCCCTTTGTCGTCCGCGGTTGAATTGCGTGCTGCTGGAATTGAGTTTGCGGCTTCAGAAGGGAATTTCGGAGACCAGCAACATGAACAGCACCTCTTGGGTCAATAATGGATTTGATCAGTAGGATCGTTAATTTCCGGCAGGGGAACCGTGATTACTCATGTCTATCGTCTCGGCCGCGGTGTCCGAGTGTCCCCCGGATGTTGGCGGATTAACGAGTCAGTTGTGACAATGCGACCAGTCAATCGACATTTACTTTTGCTCGTATCACAAACATTTATGCTTATTGTGATGTGTGTCTTCTCTGCCAGTCTCCAAGCTATATCAGCATGTCATAACGCCCGCTATAGCCACACATCGACAGTTCGCCAGAGTCCTGAGGTCGAAGAGCCTTCAATCAGGTTGTTGCTTGTCTGACAATGGTAGCTATGAGATTAAGTTGACCTGTACCTGTCCCTTAATCCAGCGTGGCGGGTTTATACGCGAGAGCTGTTATGGGCTTGCTATTCTTATACTCTTAAATTGAGATTCACACTTTCCAGGAGGACTGTACTCTTTCTGGTGTCTTCCAGAGATAATCGGATTATGCTTTGACGGTGGTTTTCTGTTTACTATGTTGGAGAAAGTCGGGGTGTCTGCCACATCACGAGGATAGATGGTACATATGGACAATGAGTTTTCTGGCTGAGGTTGTGACATTCAGGATGCCGCAGCACTTGGAATCTCAGTAAAGTCAACGAGCCTGAGGCATCCGGAGCCAAGTCAAGGCTATCGTCCTTAAAGATGTCGAGATAATGTTAGCAGCGCGGTTTGTAGCTCGTGTGTTCGACAACCGAGAAAATTGATTAGGGGACTTGCAATACGACATAGTATGGGCCAATTCGTGAAAAAGCGAGCCACCGCTCGAGTAATGTATGTAGTAGGCACGGTTGTGATTTGAATGAGTGGGTGTGAAGAAAGGGACGGTCGGAATGGGCAAAAAGTGAACGAAAAAAGAAGCGTCCAGGGAGAGGCTCGAACTCTCAACCTCACGATTAACAGTCGTACGCGCTAACCAATTGCGCCACCCAGACCACTTGTTGAGAAAACTAGTAAGCCTGCCAAACATATCGTCATGATGAGTAGAGGGCACGGAATGGACTGCTACCATCTATCACTCTCGTGATGGACACAGCAGGCACGCAATGAGGTTTGCACCGCGGCCGACCGGGGTTTTATGCTTGGAATAGGTGAGTGAGACTGTGCTGGTTAGATTTCTGTGTGTTTGGCGGTGGGTAGACCCCACGTTTGTCAGAGAACTACAGTGGACTAAACCTGGTCTTCACTATATATCTTGCATCGGATATGCTGGGGAGGCAGTGTCATCACCAAGTAGGAATGAATGTCCGGACATGCATTGAGTACATACCAGCCCATGACATTTCTGGAACGCTCGATAGTTAGTACCAGAATATACTTGTTTGTGAGACATATAATGTCATTAGACTCAACCAAGATAAGAGCCAGGTGCGTCCGCCTCAGCCTGAAGTGTGGCAGTTATCTATACGTTGCGAGTCCTATTGTTCTATGACCAGATCGACTGGGAGTTGATGGAGCACTGTGCGCTCAGCAGGCAAGTCTACCAAACCATCAAAACGATGATGATAGCACAATGCGACAATTGCAGTGGTCTCTCGCGGCTGCCAACTGGTCGCGCTCCAAAGTGATTGCGGATCGCATGGCAAGGGAAAAGTCCCTCTGGAAATGCGACTTTGGAGCAGATACTAGACTCCGCCAGGGGAAGCTAATAGACAACTCGAGCACGGTGACAGACAACTCGATCCTAGAGAGTATGTATGCCCTACAATTCTGCAACGCCATCAATCGCGGGTCTCGCATTGGAGCTCTCCGAGCTTGTTGCGGGAAGCCTCTGAGCTCGGAACCCATGAAGCTCTTCTCTAGGTTTGCCAAAGGCATCGTGCATATTGTGCATCTGCTTATGCAGTCATTCGAAAAGTGAAAATTACCACAGTAAAGGAAGCCCGATGAGTTTCCAATTGATCATACCACATTTCCCGTTGCCTATTTGCAGGTGCATCGCGGACTGCAGTCTGCACACGGGACGATCACTGCGAGGTGTCAGGATACGCTAATCCACCGCAGTGGACCGCATGCTATATGCGAGGTTAATGTTTCGATTTCGACCAAGTGAGGCAGTCCGGAGAGTATTGTACCCGAGGGTCCTCAGTCCTTACAGCGCAGCTCAGCCTAGCTTCACTTCCCCTCATCGCACTGATGAGCGATTTCCGCATGGTCACTGTAGTAACAGCTAGTGAGGGGCAGCGAAGCGGGGCAGTCAGACCAGACCCTCTGTGGCTCGAGCCGATAGTCGATAGATAGTCGCTCGAATTCGATGGGAATGGGGAGGGATCCATTTTTGGGGCTTGACCGCTTCGAAGTGGCCACGTTGAAGCTGAAGCTGAAGTTGAAGTTGCCGTGTCTGAACTCTGGCCAGTGATGCCCCTCATCTTGATGGCCTGATAGGGCGATACACCGCTATCTGAGTGGTCTTAGACCGTCGTCACGGAAGGAGGGGTCAAGGTCGTAAGAACGAGATTGACAAGTACTGTATGTCCTGTACAAGTCAGTGTGCCTGGAGTTCTGGACTCGACGAGGCCAAGCCACAGTCTCCATGGGGCGGATGCAGCTCGTCGCTTGCAGTAGTCTTCCATGCCTTCCAGTGCTTCCACACCGCTTCGCTGGCCCCATTGCAAGAGGGGTTGTCGGGAAAATGGCTGATCTGGCGTATGTCGATCCCCCTCCCTAGAGTCCCTACCGGTCGATAATCGGAGAATTGCTCGTATCTACGGAGTACGGAGTCCGGGAGTATACGGTGAAGTCGATGATCGAGTCGCGGGCTCGTTGCCGATCTTCTGAGCAAATGACGGCAATGACAACAAATGTGCTCAATGGAGAGAGAAGATGTGGCGGTGCTACAGATGTGGCTGCAATTGCATCATCATTAGTGAATAGTGAGTGTTTCAGGGGAGATTGCAGCCAGTGCTGTTGGTGGTGACCGACTCGTAGGTTACCGATTGAGGGTTGCTGATGGGGACTGACCCACGCGCTCAGCCACGGCTTTGCCCAGGACCCAATGATAACCGCCAAGATGGAATTGGGAGCTTGTCTTGTCTTAGCTTGCTTTGCCAATTCCCAATCAATTGGCGGCCGGTGGAGGGCTGGAGGGGGTCTCTGCCACGCGCAATGGCTATTCTGAGCGTTTCTTTGACCGTTCAGCCACTTTCACCGTCTCCGATGGCGCTCAGAATAGCAGTTGAGCTGCTGCTGAAGGTCTGAAACCCAACTCGATCAGCGCCCCTCCATGATATCACCGCCTCACCTTTCCCCCCCCCCTCCCCCTCCCCCTCCTTCAGGGGGGGTTTGAGGCGGTGCCAAAAAAAACATATATCTACCCTCTCTCGCACCCCTCCTGCCCTTCTTTCTCCCTCATCCATCAACAATCTCTCTATCTCTCTACCTCACTTTCCACACAAACTATCATCATGGGTTGGTTCGGTAAGTTAATTTTGAGCTGCTGAGACACCTGTCGCCCCCAATCAACCATCACCCGCTAACACCTCTCTCTTCCTCCAGACTTCGGCAGTGACGAGCACCAGGCTCACGAGCAGCTCGCCAACTACGACGGCTCCGAGGAGCACCAGGCCAAGCTCAGCCACGAGCTCATCGCCGGTGCCGCTTCCTTCGAGGCCATGAAGGCCTACGAGGAGCACCAGGAGCGTAACGGTACGTCCTCCCCACGATTCCCTCCCATCCTACCTGTCCAACAAACAGTATTCTAATCATCGTCATCACATACAGGCAAGCCCGAGAACCACGAGATGGCCAAGGAGCTCCTTGCTGGTTTCGCCGGTGCCTTCATCGACCGTGAGATCGAGACCAAGGGCCTGGACTTCATCGACCGCGAGAAGGCCAAGCGCCAGGCTGAGCGCCAGCTGGAGGAGGCTTCCCGCCGCGACTACGACTACTAAGCTGGTTGCTGTCGATTGTTTTGTGAATTGAGATATCCAATCCGAATGAATATATGTTCTTAAACTTCAGTGCTTCGCTCTTGTGAAAGGGAGGTGGGCCAGGTGATGGTGATGGCTTTTACTGTATCTCTGTCGTAGAAGTTTTGTTTATGTATGATTGATTGCGATCGGATGCTAGGACGTGTATCAATGATGCCGATGCAGCTCCGACACCGGCGGGAAGGAATTTACCCGCGTCGATTGCCGCAGGGATTCCAGATCTAACGCACAGTATTCAATTGCGCACACAAACGGCTTGCTACTAATTTAAGAAACTACTAATACACATAGCGAAAATTAGGATTCTCCCGATCCGTCAGATCCTCAAACGCCAACTCATGATTCACCGCTGCCCCTGGCTGCATCTTGGCGCGATTCCTCGCCATCAGCACCACCCGCGTTAGAACCACCAGACACAGATACACGCCGTAAATCACAATGTGCACCAGGAATCCGCGCAGATACCGCGGGGCGTCCGACTCCTGGAAGATCTGCGGTGCGATGAGATTCCCCACCGCCCAGCCGATGAAGACCATTGTCATCGTGATGCCCTTCTTCGTCTGCCCCGCGATGTTGCAGGTCACCAGGGAGATGATGAGGTTACCCTCGGCGAGGAAGAACTGCGTGCAGTAGAAGGCGATGAGCATGCCGCCTGCATTGGAGGGGGAAGGGGTCACGACGAGGATGATGATTGTGCCGACGATGGCGGGGATGGTCCATAGCTATTGCGTGGTATGAGTGTTAGCGTTGACGTTGGCTTGTAATCCTCGGGCAAGGTGAGTGCTCACGATCATCACGACGCAGGTTTGCTTGCTTCGCTGGGATGTCCAGGCTGATCCGACCATGATTCCGATCGTCCACGCCCCCTGCGCGATGTTCAGAAGCTGCGTCTGGAGGAGGGTGAATCCGAATTGCTCGATTATCAGGTTCGAGAAGACGCCCAGGCCGCCGATGACCAGGTTGGCCACCGTGATGAGGAGGACGCAGCACCACACGAATGGATCCGTGAGCGCCTCGACCACTTGGTACCTCTTATACTCCCGATTGGCGATCCCCGTTTCGTTCTCCCGCACGCGCTCGATCATGAGGATCTTCTCTGTCTCCGTGAAGCATTTGGCTGAATATGGGGTGTCGGGCAGGAGGATGCCGATGAACACCGACCACACACATGTGGCACAGCCCAGAACGACAAACAAGAGCTGCCAGTTCCGGATGACCCCGTCGGTGAAGTGGGAGACTCCAAAGGCAAGCAGTCCTCCTATCTTGGGGCTTCTTAGTTCGAGATATGATGTCTACAGTGAACATGACATACCATCAGTTGCACTCCACTCATACAATACCAAATGGAATTCAGCATGTACTGCTCTTCCCGTCGATACCACATGGATGTTCTGTCAAAGTTAGCCCGGGACAGAGGCAAGGGTCGGAGCAAAGGCGAGACTCACAACAACATCATCGCCGGCTGGATACAGCTTTCGAAGAATCCCAGCAGGAATCGCACCACCATCAAAGGGACAAATCGGGTGGCGGCCGCCGAGCAGGACACTATAGCACCCCAGATGAACACATTGACGGCGAGGGTCTTTGCTAAGGGAAGCTTCTGCAACAGGATATTCTGTGGATACTCGCCGATGAGAATGCCTATGTAAAGGATTGACCCCAGCCATGAGTACTGGAGGACCGGTCAGCGGTTACAGTCGGAATCACGACAAGAAAGACCTACTTGTTGTCCAACTAAATGTGCATCGGCCTTGATTCCCATGATCGAAGCATAGTTGAGGATGCCCTTGTCGAGAGACTGGCAGAAATAGGTGATGACTTGAATGACCAGGATCCGGCGAGTGATTTTCCAGAAGAGGCGTTTGTTCGTGGCTTCGTCAAGCACAGTGCTCGAGTCGGTCGCGTGAGGGTCCGGCTTCTCCAGGGCTGTAGCATGGGCTGTTTGTTCATTGGAGCCGTCTAGCTCCTCGTGATGAGTAGACGCTCCCATTTCCGCCTTCATTGCTGTCATTTCCCGAGTAGAATGTGATGGCCGGTTGAAGATAGATCCATAGCAACCATCTGACAAGCTTTAGACTAAGGTATTTGTAGTGACTGTGATATCAGACCATACCATCATCTACCCCAGACAATTGCGGGGAATGAACGGGGAAAGCTCCGGACGATAACAGGGACAAGCACCAGCCACCGGAGAGAGTCCGGTACTTGCACCGGGCCCCGACACTGCCAAGCTGCCCTTCAACTGCATTAATTGTAGAACTACGGGGATGAACAGAGCATTGACTGCCAAGACTGTCAATCATCCAAGGGGTAGAGTCAATGGCGTCGCTTCCACCCATTCAAGTGTATGAACGTCCCTCATCCATCGCGATCAACTCAGACTTCTCTATCAAAGTCCAGCCAGCAGCCGACCATCCTGAGCAACTATGGCAAGACATTGCTGTATACGCGGTCGAAGTAGCAAACGTTGATACATCTAGTAACTCGTTCCAGCGCCACACGGTGGGAGTGGCATCCTTCGATATGAGTGTCCCTGTTCGAGTCCAGGTCTCATACACTGCCAGCACCGTACACTCAGCCGTTATGCGACCTCGGTCATTCAACATCCAGCCTCGGGTAGAGAACGCCACCACCATAATATTCCGTCTCGACCAACCCCGAGACGTAATGCTCGAGCTAAACGGCAGCAAATGGCAAGCACTGCACCTCCTCACGAACAAGATCGACACAGACGCACCGTCCAGCGACACCGACGATATCTGGTACTTCGGGCCGGGCCTCAACAACGGCAGCGCCTACTCAAAGCTGACAGACGGGGTCAACCTGCTTGTCCCCGGGGGCAAAACCATCTACCTCGCGGGCGGTGCCTTCATCGACTTCCGGATCAACTTCATCGGAGTCTCGCACGCCGCGATCCGCGGGCATGGCTTCATCCTCGGGCCCGTAGGCGGCTACGTGCATCGCGAACACGGAGGCGCAATCCACATGAGCGGCGCAGACCACATCCTCGTCGAAGGCGTGACTTCCCTCGGAGCAAACGGGTTCAGCTTGTCTGCCGGCGAATGCAGCCATGTGCGCGTCGCGGGCTACCGGTGCTTCTCGTCGGCCGGGAATGGGGACGGGATCGACTTCTTTTGCTCGTCGGATGTTGTCATTGAGAACTGTTTCCTGCGCACCTCGGATGACTGTATCGCGCTGTATTCGCATCGTTGGGATTGGTATGGGGATTCCGAGAATATTACCATTCAAGATTGTGTGCTGCTGCCGGATATTGCCCATGCGATTAACATGGGCACGCACGGCTGTCCGTCTAGGCCCGAGACCACGAGGAACGTGCTGGTGCGGAACGTGGATATCCTTGACCATGAGGAGCATCAGCTTTGGTATCAGGGGTGTATCGCGATTAATGTTGCGGATGAGAATCTTTTTCATGATATTCTGGTTGAAGACGTGCGGGTCGAGAGGATCACCCACGGGCAGTTGTTGAATATCCGAATCATGCAGAATGCGATGTGGACGACAGCGCCGGGTCGAGCAATACGGAATCTCGTCTTCAGAGATGTCTGCTTGGATATGCAGGAGTCAAAGATTGTTAATCCTTCTGTTATCTTGGGGTATGATCGGACCAGAGGCGTTGAGAATGTCACGTTTGAAGATCTGAGAATCGGGAATACTGTTATTCATGACGAGATGGACAAGCCCCGGTGGTATATGGTCTCGGACTTTGTGCCACTCTTTGTCAACGAGCATGTCAGAGGTTTGAGGTTTATCAGGTCTAATTGAAGAAGAGTCTACTGCATGGTGAACCTGTTGTCGGACTATTTAGACATGTGGTTAGTGAGTCTGAGAACCAAGTGAAGAAATAGTCAAAGTCGTTAGCTGTCTTGGATGCCTGCAAATAGTCCGGATATGCGGACAAGCTCTTAGGCCAGCAGGAACAGTTTGCCTCACTGCAAACTAGTGATCGAGTCCATTAGCTTTGTGTGAAGCTCCTCAGTCGCTGGAATTTGCCTGCAGTGATACCGGTGTTCTGCTCTCAACATACAGAAATATTCCTCCAAAGCATAGGAATAAATAGACACCTTCTCCAAGACATGTGTTCCAAATACACAGTTAGCTGCGTACATTTGTCAGCGTTACTCTTCACACCCACCAAACCTATTCATTCCGCTTCTTTCCGCACACTGAAGCAATGGCAACGGAACACCAACATGGCATACCTGCCGTTCCTGCCATGGAGTCCGAGACTATCCTATTCGACGGACTCTCAGTGAGCATCACGCGACTGAAATCCCCCGTATGGCCGCTTGATGGCGGTCCACTTGCCTGCCGATCTTCCCTACACGACTACCTGGGGCGAGGTCGCGGCGCGCATATGCCAAACGGTCTGGCGACGTGATCGCAAGAGACGCAACTGCCCCTTTCCCGCCAGCAGCCCTTTCGGCGCCGTGGCGAACTATGGCATCCACGTTCGGTTCTTCATTGAGACAGGTTATGCTCACGCGGCGCGGCCCTATGTGCACAACAATCATTATCAATTCCTATCGGGGAGCCCGGAACTCCTTCGGGCTAGTATCGCTTTCGCGACACCGTTCGTTTGATTTGTGACCTCTTACTGAGATAACCTGTTTCTCAAGACACAAATATGGCAAGTGGAATTTGTGGCGGACTGATTGCAGGTAATGGTGGTTCTGCCCCGGGCACGATGTCGTCGTCACTCTAGAGAGAAGAACAAGCAAACAAAAGGAATAAAAGAATAAAATCACAAAGACAGGCGCGGCTAATGAGGCGGCCGGGGAATCAAAGATACTCTTCTTTTATTCCTTATATCTAATGTCGTATTGTAAAGACTGAGCTGGTTGAATCTGGACTTCTCTATTATTTTATGTCTACATACCTCGAACAAATATATACAGCGTTAAGTCACACCTTTCCAGCCATTTTTGAAGCCCTACCGAGCCACCGCAGGATACGAGGCCTCCACGTCCAGCGTGGTCCGCACCGAGATAGCTGTTAGGGTCAGGGCCGTTTCGTCCTCATCCCCGAGTCGCTTGCCTCGCTTCCCGCTCGAATGCAGACTCCCGTATCGCTTGTAGCTCTCCTGCAGACTCTCGTCTCGGGACCCTTTTGTGCTGGACACCTTCTGCTTCATGAACGTGAGGACTGGTCGAAGCGAGGGCAGACATGCTTTCCAACGTGGTTAGCCTAGAAGTAGAAAATGGAGAGTAGTGCAATTGAACCACATACCAGACACAATACCGATGTTCGTCTCCACCGCCGTCCATTTTGAGGGACCGACAAAGACCCATGTTTCGTCCAGCGAGGGCACCTTGTACGCGTTCAGCATGATGACTAGGCGCACAATCGATATGATGCAAATGCTGTTTCCCGGTCAGTGATGAGTTCATTGAAGCTTCAATAGGGCCGACGGTGGTGGTAATGTCTGGGGGAGGATGAACGTACAATCCACCCATAACAAACACGCCGGTAAGGGCCAGTTTCTGCGAAGCACTTCGCTGCAGCTTCCAGATATAAGGCAACGGGAGCGTCAACAGCGCCCAGTCGGTCAGAATGTTGGGCACTGCGTTGCCGATGAAGAAGTTGTTGACATTGACGCCGCAGTGCGAGGGAATGGTCTTGTCCCAGAAGCCATGGACGGGGAGGCACTGGAAGATGGTCGTGAAGATCACCCCCAGTCCCCAACCGGTCACGACAAAGCCAATGAGGTAGATCGGGTAGCGGATGTTGCTCATGCCGAAGATACGCCAGTAGAACATCAGGATGGAGTACTTGGTGAAGCAGATCGACAGCGTGTATAGGATCTCGACGACGAAGAGGTTCAGGAGGAAGTGATGCAGCCCCGGCATTCCGTATAGGTAGATGTGCTGGCCCACACCATGATTGACCCAGTCGATCATGATCGCAAAGTTCGCCGTTGCGGTGAGCTGGTCTGGTCAGTGCATGCTTGGTGGGGGCGGGGAGGGATGCATGTAAGCAGGAGGAAGCAGAGGATTTACCATTGCGATACACATCAGATAATCATCCCACCAGAGCCCCACTTTGGAGATCAGCGTGCGAGATAACATACGAAGGCCAAATGCCACTAGGGCGAGGGCATAGGTGGCTGAGTATGCTCCATACAGCTCAGGACGCTTGGACTCGGACAGATCCAAGCCTGCTGGAGGGGTGAGATCCATGATACTGTAGTAGTACTACTACTCTCGATCAGCAGAAGGACAGGCAGGCAGTGCTCGAGCGGGATCTCCGGGTCTTATAAAAAGACGGCTTATTTTGTCCCCCACGTAAGACCGATGCCAAAAAGGGACAATGAGCAGGGGTCATCCGGACTGAACAAGGCTCAGTTAGGGCCGGGTTAGGCCCCCCGTGGGACCACAACATACTACGGTCCAAGATTCAAATACAGAACCCATTCCTGCTCACGGTCAGTTTTCTCATTTCCACCATCTCCGTGTCTACTGCATAGCCATTGCCACCTAGAACCCTCAGAATGACGACCGTTGTCCTTATCCCCGGGGCCTGGCTCAAGCCCGAGTTCTACCAGCCCTTCTTGATTGCCCTCAATCAAGCCGGCTATCGCACCCACTTGGCAGGCTATCCATCGCTGGATCCTTCCAATCCTGCCACGGCCGACTGCCAAGCCGACAGCGACGCCATTCACCAGGAGTTGCGGACCTTGGTTGAAGATGAAGGCCAGGACCTGGTGCTGTTCATGCACTCGTACGCCGGCATGCCTGGTGCATCGGCCGCTCGAGGATTATCCAAGGTGGAACGACAGCAGCAGGGCAAAGCTGGCGGTATTCTAGGGTTGATTTTCCTTGCTGCCTTCTTGGTCCCGGAGGGTGTCAGTTGCGCCGGCTTCCAGGGTGGAGATCTCCCTCCTTGGATCCTTCTTGATAACGTATGTTGGCGATGCTTCATCCTTTCCACCCTCCATGCCCATTTACTCCCTGTCTCCCGCCTTTTGGTTTCGCTCACTGACAGTCATGGTTTCTTTCACATTAGCCCTCCTCACAACTCAACTTTGTCGACGACCCGGTCGGCAACTTCGCTCCAGAGGTCGACCAGACTCTGCTCGGCGATTTCAACTCCCACTTGAAACCCCATTCGACCTTGGCCTTCTTCTCGCCTCAGCCTGCTCCGGGCTGGGCCGACGCCAACTACGCCGGACGACTAGCCTTCATCGTCACGGCGGCGGACAAGGCAGTGCCCAAGGAAGCCCAATACTGGATGATCGCGGAAACCCAGCAGGAATTCACTGTCAAGGAGATGCAGTGCAGCCACTGCGCACCGTTTGTGGATCGCATCCCCGAGACAGTCGGACTGATTCAGGAGTTGCTCCCCGCGTTCCAATCCAAGTGATTTCGTTGTTTCTCGCCCCTCTTGTTCTTCTTAGTTGCTACGTACAAATACAAACTCCAACCCGCGTTGATCCGCGGGCATCCAAGCCACGTCTTCCTTTTGCAAGCCCCAATTCTGTAGTAAATCCACCTCGCGCACGTGCATGGTCCACTCCGTGGCAGTTTCGCGCTGGATCGACTCCCACAGCGCGACAAATGAGTCGCGGTTGTGAAAGAACATCGTGCCCCAGGGTCGCGCATCCTCGCGGGGCTGTCGCCGGCCCTGTTGAAATCCCACCACCATCGTGCCTGGTTTCGAGAGCGCGATAATGCGCTTGATCACCTCGCGCTGATCGGCCCGGTCGAACAGGTGGATGAACTGATTCGCAATGACCACGTCCACGCAGCCGCAAAGGGGGCCCAGGGGCGATCCAGCGGTGGCGGCCATGGTCCGAAAGTCGCCGGCCACAAACTGCGCCGCCATGCGATCACGGTCGCGAAACAGCTCGTAGCCCAATTCCCATAGGCGGGGTTCGAGGTCAATCGCCCACCAGCGCTCCGTTGGGGCGCCGTCGGCGTGAGCTGCCAGGAGGCGGAGGTCTTGGCCGAGTCCACAGGCCAGGTCGAGCACGGTGGCCTGTGGTTGTCGCACGAGGTGCAGAATCGAGGGGAATTCGGGAAAGGCTGCCAGTCCCGGCAGCAGAAACATCCATTGGCCGATGCAGGGGTATTTTCCCACGGGCCAGGCTCGATCACGCTGCAGATTAGTCGAGGAGTGGGGTGATTAGCTCTGATGTCAGCCGGTGTGCAGAGTGGAACGTGGATGCAGAAACCAACTTACGATACGGTGCAAGTGCGCAGGAAGGTCAGTGTCAGCGATACCACTCCACCGATTGAAGACAAACTGAGACGCAGGCGTCAATCGGGGGCCAAAGTCGCTTCGGTACCAGACGGAAGGATCCATGGTGGTCAAAGACTCAAGACTCCTCCTTCCTTTCGCTCGTCGATGGGTGGCAATGGCTTGAACGAATGGCTGGCATTGATGGATATATTAAGGAGGAGATTACATTTTAATTACATTCCAGTTCCTTCAGTTCCTTCAGTTCCTTCAACTCCTTCAACTCCTTCAACTCCTTCGTCTCCACTTAGGGCCGATGCTACTGCAACGCTAAGCTTTTAGACCCTGCAGTGCCCTCGTATTCATTTAGGCTTCAGCCTTAGTCTCTCTTGGCTCCAAGACCCCCTCCAACTCGGTGACTTCGGTGACTTTGGTGCCGTATACCCGCTGCATGTATGCTAGCCATTGATCCTCGGTAAAATGGTGGCCTGCAGTACAGCCTTTCACCACCGTGGTCAACCAACCACGCTGGAAGGCTCCTCGCACCGTGGCATCAACACAAACATCTGTAAACAGTCCCACCACCACCAGGTGCTCTAACCGACGTTCAAGCAGATAGTGTTCAAAGCCAGGAGCGAGAAAGGGGTCGTAGCAGGCTCGCTTCTCAAACTGGCGCTCTTGCGCACGAGGTTGCACCGCTCCAAACAACTCAGCCCCCCACGTTCCGCGCAAACACCAAGGCTTGCGCTGTTGCTCTTGATTCCGTTGGCGCCAGCCCCGCGGCTGATACTCCGTATCTCCGAGGAATCGGACCCAGATGACTTCAAGGTGGGCCTGGCGGGCTCGATCCACCAGCTGCGCGATGTTGGCACTGACCCGCATCATCTCGCGTGGCTGAGGATATTGCGTGACGAAGTCGTTTTGGAAGTCCACGACAACCAGCGCGGTGTCGGATTCTGCTGCTGAAAGGATTGCCGGAGGCGTAGCGGATGTAACAGCAGCAGCAGCCCCCAAGAATCCTTCGACAAATGCCAAGGTGGTGGCGGAGCCGCCTTGGTCCGGGGTCTGCACGCCCTGGAGGGCCAGCTGGTGGAGGGCCAGATCCGTAATGCGTTTGACTCCAACACACTGCGCCTTGTCTTCCAAGATTGCGGCGACGGCCCGGATCGTTGCAGTGGGATTGACAATGCCCTGCCCGGTCAGATCATCGGCTGAACCATGCGCTGTCTGCCATTCGCTCAGCCCCTGCACTGTCGGATGCAGATAGATGTTTTCCGCACACGCCCCTTCCTGGGCCCCAAGTCCAAACCGGTCCAGAAGGATGGTCTGCATGAGGTCCGCATACTCATTGGCGGCGATAAGCACCTGGTGGCCCTCAATGCCTCCGGCTGCCAACAGGTTCCGGTTCATTGTGTCACCCTGCACGCAGCGGACGGTGACCCCGTGGGTCTGCTCCCAGTCGCGCGCCCACTGCAGGAAGAGCCCATCAAACAGGTGGAATTTGTAGACGAGAGTGATCGTGTCGATAACCGCCCCCTTCGTCTTTTCCCCCAGGAACTGTCGCGCGCGAGCTAGGCCGAAAGCGATGATGCGGTCAAAGATAGCCTTGCGAAAGTGGACAGTGCGAGACACAGCCCTCCCATCTTCGTGGACCTCGTTCTCACCGGAGTAGAATCCCTGCGCCTGGTCGCGAACCAGCACGAGTGACGCGGTCGGACTTTGCCAGTAATGCTCGCATTTGACAGCCTCGAGCTGCTCGCGCACCAGGTACAGCGCCTGCGCCGAGATCGATGTGCGGAAGATGGCACGCACGCCTCGCGCTGCTGCCTCTTCGCAGAATTGCCGGTAGTGGATGGTATCCTGTCGCGTTTCCTCGGTCACCGCGTCGGTCTCGTTCACTGCCAGCAGAGAAGAGTAAGAATTGTAGATCCGAGTGGAGCGGAAGAAGTCGACTTTCGTCCCATATGGCGCAGCCAGGGCATGGATGACTTGCTCGAACACCTCGGCCAGTTCCGGGCCTGTGCCGGCTCCGACTGCAAGTCCCACCAGAATGGATGACATGGGTGACATGATTCCCAAGGCTGTAAGACGGGGCTTCGTTTTGTTGCTTTGACTCTGACCAGGTTGAGTCCATCCATCCATCTTTGCTTTGGAAAGGGGGCCGAATTTATGGTCGTCAAGGCTGTTTGTCAGGCTTACTCAATGGCTCTTCTATTTACCCTACTAGTGTAGCCTCCGCTAAGCTTAAATCGAGCGGTCTTATATCCCTGTCGTGCCACCCACTCACTTGCACCCAAGCAAGTCAGATACCCAGACCAGATAGCCAAGCAATGACCGTCTCTACTCAAGCAACCGGCTTTCACTTAGCCAACGGCAAAGGGTACACTCTGGGCCACGATTCTCCGGCCGTATGCCGTCTGAACCTGCAGATCTACCTGTGGCATGCCTCGCTGGGATTCACCCTGCATCCCTCGATTCCCTTCCCCACTGCCGGGCGAATTGCCGACCTGGCCACGGGCACCGCCCTCTGGTTGACGGAGCTGGCGCAGACCCTGCCCGCCGACGCCGACGTGGAGCTGGACGGGCTTGATCTGGATCTCAGCAAAGCGCCGCCCCGCCCCTGGCTTCCGGACAACGTCCACCTGCACCACGCCGACATTCTGGCCCCATTGCCAGACCCTCTGGTCGGACAATACGAGGTCGTGCATCTCCGCCTGCTCATCCTGGTGGTGGAGAACAGCGACCCCACCCCGATCATCCGGTATGCCCACCGCATGCTCAAACCGGGCGGCTACATCCAATGGGACGATCTGAACTACCCAGACACGCACGTCACTCGCATCGATCCCACGTGTCCGACCCCGGCCTTCGACCGGCTTCGCGAGTTTGTCTACTCCAAGGGCCGTCACGACTGGGTGATGCGGCTGGACGAGATCCTCACCCGCGAGGGATTCGTCGACGCCCGCATGCACCACTTCACCGATCGGAGGGACTTGATCATGGCCAACGGCCACCAACATCTGATGACCATGCTGGAATTCGCTGGCACCTTGAAGGCCAAAGGGATGGAGTTGGAGGCCCGCAATCTGGAGGCGCTGCTGGCCGATGTCAGCGCTGAAGCTGCCCAGGGGGCTGCTTTATCGATGCCCCGTGTGGTTTGCGTCGCGCGAAAGACATGATTTCATCTTGCTTTTTTTGCTGTTTCTCCGTGTTTATGATCAAAAGATGTTTACTTTGTGTCTGGATTATAAGAGCTAGGTCAAGTTTATTGTAGCGTCACCAATATAAGCCATCTTCTCCCTCGTGTCGTAGCTCACGCGCTTGCCAGTCGGCTTAAGGTGCCTTTTCACTTCCAGGACCACACTCTACCTGTTCTAGTATCGCCTTCACTTAAAGGATCTTACTATCGAGTATGTCTGAAACTCAATCTTAGGATAAAATAAAATGATATGCCTCTGAATTTTATTCTCCACGCGACCGTTGACACTCCTTCCTATCCACCCCTCCGATCAAGCAGGAATATTTCTTCATCCGTACCAAACTTCCAGCAACTTCACATTGGCAACGCTATTTCACACAGGCTAGACACTATTCTAGTGCACAGAAACCATTTCTCTGCACCTTCTCTCTCTATTCCACCATGCGCCGTGCATACATAATAATCTCAATCGCATACTATGACTTCGCCGACCCCACACCCCCATCCTTCTCCGGCTCAACAACCAACCAGAGCATATCCACCCCCAAATGCAAGGTACTCCCCGTAAACACTTCCAAGGGACAAAGACAGTCCTCCAGTGCCGCCAACTGAGCAGCCGCACTCCCCTCCCCGTTCGCCACCGCATGCGCCCGTTCCAGTAATCTCACGGCATCATCACCCCAACCCAGCCGACGAGCAAGAGAAGCCGTATCAGCCAGACACGCCCGCAGCCGGCGTTCCCGCAGCCACTTGACATTAGCAGCAGCAACATAGGCAGCAGCTCGCTCACCCGGGGACTGAGGCTTCTGAGCGACGGCGCGGACAGCCGCACCGGGGAGACTGACGGTGGCGCCGACGGCGCGCAATGCCGTGCCGACGGGCAGCGTGATGGCGCCGCCGACAGCCCCGAGCGCGGCGCTCACGAACCTCCCGTCGCGCGCGGCATCCCGGACGTTGTTCTTGACGGCCCGCGCGTGGTCCAGCGTGCCTTGGCCGAAGCGCTTCGGCACGTCGCCGACCTGTCGGCCTATGTCTGCGGCGTGCGCTAGCGCTTGGTCTGACACCTTTGCGGCGAGGAAGGCGGAGAGCGTGTGCAGGAAGGCGCGCCACGTCTCTGGGGTGATCCCATACTGAAGGAGAGGTGGCGCGTAGGCGTCTAGGAAAGGGGCTGTTGGGGTGGGTGCTGTCTGCGGGATGGCGATGGGTTGTTGCAGGCGAGGCTGGTGAGATGACGCGGACGTGCATGGAAAGTCGAACGGCGACTCCGCGGTCGGGTGGGGTGTGTATGCTGGCAGCTGGTCCTCGGCTGGGCCATTGGCTACAGCTCGGTCGGCTGCTTGGTTTTTCTTGTCTGCCATGGCTTTTGGGGTGGAAAGAGGTCTGGAAAGGGGTGGTTGGAATTGGAACTTGTGAGTTGGTGAGTGGAAGGTTGGAGGATGTGGGGGTGGCTGGGAGAATACGAGGCGTTGTGAAGATGAGTAGGGCTCGCACAGACCAGCTGATTCTGATCAGTGGGTTAAGGTTTATGATGACTATTATTATATGTGAGATTCTATTTAAGTTTGCATAATTGTTGACTGGCATGCTAATGTGTTTTGTGCACAGAATAAAGCATGTTGATATCAGTTCAATATAAAATCTCTATCTTATATCCCAGGTTCTCTGACTTCAATGCTTCTTCCCAAATAGACTGCGGAAGAATTCATTATCCCGCTCATATGGATGGACCCATTTCCGCATTTCGGGGGTGATATCAGGCAAATCCTTCTCGAAAGTCCTGATGAGCCAGCGGTTCCAGTTCCAGTCTATCCAACGGGACAGCGTCCAATCGTCCCGCTGGCCCAGAGGATGCCACCAGCGCAGAATAGGGCTGATATATCGCCCTTCCAACAGCTGGGAGTCGTGTCCGCGGTAGACGTCCTCCGGCGAGCGGAAAAGACACGCCAGCCCGAAGTCAATAATGACGATGTGCAGCGCCCCGCCCGCACGGACAGACTCCTCTGTAATCATCACATTGCGCGGAAACAGGTCCATGTGACGCAGATTGCAGGCGTAGAACCGTGACTCGGCTTTCAGGACTTGTCGCATGATCTCCATGCGCCGGTGCTGGGAGAAGGCTTCCGGTCTGAGATGCACCATGTCCGTGCCGACCACGTACTCGGTCAGAATCATCCGCACCGACCGCCGCTGACCGCCTGCATTGTCGAGAATGCTCGCCGACCAAGACCCGTAGAACTTGGGGATATACTGCTGCAGCCGGTTGTGGATTAGGTGGCGGTATGCCGCCGTTTCCCGCACATACTGCTTGTCTGCGTAGACGAATCGCTTGATCTCGCGTATGCTGTACTTCGCGTCGTACAGCTTGGCTATCATCTTCCGGCCTAGTTTAAGGTTAGAATCGGGCCTGGCTGGAGGATTAGGGCGATGCTCACAGCAAGGGCCAGGGAAGTGACTTGGGGGGAACGCATCCGGGCAGCAAACAGGGAAGTTACTGGGGAGGTGATGCGGAAAGGGTTCGGGCGAGGGCACAGGCGGAGCATGGGGACGATGATGAGGACGGTCTATGACCTTCTGGACAACTAGAACCTGGGCACACGTTTCAGGAGCCACGCGCAGCGCCTTCGACACCCGTAACCACATCTTCTTCCTCCCGTATTGTCCCGGCAGCAGGCGGCCAGGATCTTCCCCGGCCTCGTACCCTCTTGGGAGGTCTGCAGGCGGGTGGTGTTCTTGCACCTCGAACTCATATCCAAATTGATATGGTAGTCTCATGATGATAGATTGTACCGATAAGAACCCTGCTACCTTGGCGTGCCTGTGCCGAGTAGACTAGCTTGCTTCTGTATTTATAATACTCAGAGGCAGTGGCCTACTGTCGGGACTTGACCCTTTAGTGCATAGCGACAAAGGGAAGAGAGCTTTGTCTAGCCTCTGTATCGGTCACTCTATTGTGGTGAAATATGCATACAAAGAGAAGAGAATTTGAAGAGACATAAAATGAAAGAATTATACCATAAATTCCTGATTTACTTTGGAAGAAGAAACAAGATCAGACTAAGTCTAAGAGCCGAGAGATGTATTCCATTATTTCAACAACTGAATAAGTTTAGATACCTAGAAATAATGTTGACTTCTCTACCGCCGCCTCACCATGATGTGCTACAGAAACAAAATAGCGGATTCTTGAAGAGTGAAAACGAGGCCCGATGAGGATGTGGTGGTTGGGTTGATGAGATTCTAAAATTGGACATACTCTTGCGCAACGAGGCCTCTCAAAAACAGCCGGAAGCTGCGTGAGAGGAACTCCTGGTGATTAAAGTGTTAAGCTATCCTTTCGTGGAGGAATATATCTCTAGCTCACCACCATCCGGCTTCTCATAACCTCGTATTACCCTCAGCTGGACAAGACTAAGATGCTCGAGAGACAATCTTCGATGTTATAGACAGCAGCAGTATCGAACCACCTAAAGCTTCAGGCTTCGCACAGACGGTTCAAACAACAGGTAAGTACGATACAGTAGCCTACATGCACTGCATATATATACTAGCAATATACGGGAACATGGAACATAATTGTTATTTGAAAGGAGCTTCAAGCTCACATATTCTGATCTCTCTTTCGGTCTTTAGAACGTTTTATGATCGTTAAGAGAATTAAGGCAAGAGTAAAAGGTTTTCCTCGGGCGTTCTCTCAATCCACAAATATTACGTATATCTACCATAACCAATTCGGACGCTCCTGCTCGAAATGGAGTACATAGTGGCGCCAATCGCCGAGATGCGCTTCGCAAGTATTGCAAATCGGTGGATAATTAGGGTGATCGTATGTGTAATGAAGAAACAATTCATTCTGACTGTCCCATTCGTCCAGACAGATGTGGCAGAAGAATGCTGGCGGAGAAGGGCCCCGGCGATGCCTTGCGTCTCGGCCGTCCTGCCGGCCTCGACTACTACGATCTCCAATGGAACAGCTCATGGCGCCGGGATGAACGCTAGCGCGATGGGCACCTTGTTCTCTCAGCGTGGAGCAGCTGTAACCGCAGTTAACACAGATGTGCTCGACCCTGCTTCGGTGATCTCGACACCAGTGATCGTAGAAATGGTGAAGTTGGTCAAACGCCCAGGAGCAGGGCATCCCGTCGCCAATGGCAAATTGGCAGATGATGCGACCTCTGACATCCCGATAACCGTGGCGTCCACTGAGACTCACCGGCGCCGAGGCAAATCTGTTGGCTTCTTCAGAGTGAAGCCTCCATGGCGTGCCGCAGCCCGGGCAGCCGAATGCAACCCGGTACCCACGGTACATCTCACTGCCTCGGAGATCGTCGATGCACCCTCGGTGGTAACAGCGAAAACACTGACCACAGCGATATAGGGCACCGAGGATCTCTCTGGTAGCACTGATGTCACACAGGCTACAGCGCCCGGGGCCTTCAATCACCTGAACCACTACGGCGACCTCGGCGAGGTCAATCGCCCCGTAGGTCGAGTACATCCGAAGGTAATTGTGATATCGATAAGGTGGCATTGCGGAGACAATCAATGTGTGGATGACTATAGGTTGAGTAGATGAAGAAATTATAACAGCGGCTTAAATATTTCACATGAAAATGTCCTCATATGTACCAGCGCGGAGGATAACATTTTATCATGCTTCATATCCACTATCTCCGAACAATGAGATGATCATAACGAAAGGAGAGTGCCGCGAGGGCTTTGTTTCCAGTAAACCATGTTCAGACAAAGTGTCTCAAGCACGTTGTTACTAGGATACTATCCCCAAGGCAAGTCCCATCAAAAATTCTGCCTTGTCGAAGAATTCATTCGGGAAGCATTGGGGAAAGAGCATTGGCAGCGTGACGTAGGAGAATGTTTAAAAGATTCAGATAGTCTCCATTAAATTCTGAAGACTGTCTAAGCTACCCGATCATCCTGGTGGGCAGTTTGAAAGCGATACAAAACTGTCCAAATTTAATAATGGTCCGATCGAGATATCAGGTATAATGGGGAGACACAGAAAGACGTTTGAATAATCATACATAACAGTGTATATAGATGGTCGAAATAATGTTTCATTCTTAACCCATCAACCAAGCACTGGTATAAGCCTTTTCTATTCTAGTAGGTTACTCAGAATTTCAGACTAAAATTGGAGGATTTATGTTCCTAGACAGTACTAACCTATGTTATCCGCTCATTCTAAGTCAGTCTCCCTATCCGAATCGTTTCTGCTAGACGGCTGAACAGGTTAAATGTCTTGTTTTCCCACCTTGTGACTATGTGTGCTAGGGTTTCCTATCATTTCTGAATAGTAGAAAACACTACATATAAACTCCCCATGCAAACAACATAGCAACTACATAGTCTGTTGCCCGTGGATGTATTGCGGTATGCTTTCTTTGAACATATTGCATAGATAGCCTTCATTGTCAGTAGCGTTGCAGAGCTGCCATGGTCACGACGCGGAATGTAACAGTATATGTTCAATGATATTGCAAACCTGTCTTGGATGCTCAGGTATAACAACGGCCAAGCATGCTTATCTGGTGTAACACAGATGTCGTGGCTCGAATCTGACACCTAGCGCTTGTTGTGCATCATATATGGCCGTAGGCTCCCCAGATTTATCGCATCTCAATTGGCAAACCTCATTAGTTGTCAAGTAAATCTGAGCCAGAACAGATTTTCTTGGATTAAATGAAGGGTGTTTTGGCGCAACAGTTGAAATAGCCAATGGCCATGGACCAGCGAGCGACATGCAGCGCATGGATGCTCCAATGGGTCAAGCAAGACTGGCTACATCGATCGTCTTTTCAGATTCTGAATGCGGAAGCTATTTATCAGGATATTGTTCTCATCCGTGAAGACCGAAGGTTTCCTACGCTTGCTTGGCAGCCGGCCTCTTGAATAATTTAGCGAAAGCACAAATTCGGTTGGAGATGAGATATTGATCTTTTTAGCTCTCTGCAGATACCGATGGCATTGAATTTCAAAGAATAGCATTTGAAACTCAATTTAGACACACTTGGTCGGTCACAAGAGCTACGTAGCATTTCTCGGTTTACCAGGATACCCCGGTAGTGGGTATCGGCAATTGGGATGGAAATGTGAGGGAGGAGTAAACTCTTGACACAGCTGAACGAGGAATTCAGTGCAGGGTAGCCTAGCCCATACACAGAAGCAGAATACTTGTTCAATATACTTTTCAACTCTCCAGCCAACAATTAAGCTTTTATCGCAGGAACGATAAAACCTTGTGAAACACGCATTAGCCAGGTGCCTGAACCGGTGACAGCCTCGAATTGGTGGGTCTCACAAAGCCAAGATCCAGACGGCAAAGAGATTGGAGCAGCGACAGACTTGGCGAGTTATATATTTTCCGATCTGTGGACGTCCTAATCTAGCCAAATTGAAGCACAGCCAAACCTTCATCAGACCCACATGGGCATAAGGGCCCGGGTGATCCAAGCGCCGATATGGCCGTCCGCAGTGTTGAGCACGGAGAAGACCTCGCTGCTGGAATTCTGCGAAAAGATTAGAGTCTCTAGGCGACTTTCATGATAAAAACTTCTTCATTCGTATAAGCAAGATGAGGGGCGAGAGGGAAAATCTATGACAAGACTTCCCCTTTCTACCCTGTATTGCCTCTTCTCAACATGTTGAGTCTGTTGTGCTTGCTTATCCTTGGATTTGCGGTTTCCTCCGCTGCTCTCACTCGTTCATCTCTTCGCACCGGTGGCGTGATCCATGACTTGACTCGGTTTCGCTTGAGATCGCGAGCCTACTATGTGCACTCGGTTGACGCCATGACTGGAAAAACTGGTCTATTCATTCGTGCTAGGCATGAAAGCTACCTTGCTACCGCAGCAAAGCTTGTTCAGACTGTCGTTCCAGGCGCAGACTTTTGCATTGTGGCTGATCATTATATTGGCGATAATGGCGTAGTCCACGTCAATCTCCGGCAGACTGTTCACAAAATCGATGTAGATAATGCGGACTTTAATGTCAATGTGAGTTTTGACTGACATGCCCTCCACTGTATACCAATGCCTGATAAATGTAGGTAGATAGGGCAAGACGGAAAAGTTATCTCGTACGGCAACTCATTTTATGTCGGTGACGTTCCCGAGGCCCGTCCTCTGATAGAAAAGAAGTTCCCGATCCAGTGTGAGCTCTCAAATATGCCTCGAGTTTCTTGGGACTTTCGATTTCCCTGGAGAATGCGTCGTTGGAGTCGACAAAGGAGCAGAACTCTTACGTGTTCAAGGGCACCTCTAGGGCCATGACTAACCCGAGGGCGATATTGGTCTACTTTGTCAAGCCTGACGAAAGTCTTGCTCTTAGCTGGAGAATTGAAACGAATCTGGATGAGAACTGGTTCTTGACTTATGTCGACGCAGGTGGCAACGCGATAATTCACGGTATTGTGGACTACGCCGCCGCCGCCGCAGATTACAAAGTCTAGTAAGCGAATAACAACAAAGCTCTCACATCTAACGAGGGTAGCAGTTGACGCGCAGTTTGAAACAGCGAATGGGGGCTGAACGATCCAACCGAGGGGTCGCGCACGATTGTCACCGACCCCTGGGACACGACTGTGTCTCCGTTCACCTGGATCGGTGATGGTAACACCAACTACACCACCACGTGAGGGAACAATGGAATTGCACAGTCAAACCCTACTGGTTTCCAGACCTATCTCGACAATTATCGACTAAACAGCCTGGGTTGCAAGTTCGTATACCCATACTCACCGACCATGTCTCCACCCGACTCGTATGTGAATGCGTCAATTGTGCAGCTGTTTTACACAGCCAACACCTACCACGACCTGCTCTATGATTTTGGGTTTACCGAGAAGGCCGGCAACTTCCAGTGGAGCAACAATGGTGAAGGCGGCCTGGAGAACGACTACGTGATCCTTAACGCGCAGGAACAGGGGCAACCAACAATGGGTACTTCAAAACTCCCCCGGACGGCCAGCCCGGGTACATGCGCATCACGCTCTTTACACACTCGACTCCCTACCGCGATTCAGCCTTCGATGCGGGCATGGTGATCCACGAATACACCCACGGCCTCTCAAATCGACTGACCGGCGGTCCGGCCAACTCCGGATGCTTGTCCAGCTTCGAAGCGAGCGGCATGGGGGAGGGTTGGAGTGACTTTATGGCCACCGCGGTGCGTCTCAAGGCCAACGACAGCCGTGCCACCGACTACCCCATCTGCGCCTGGGTTGCCAATGCGCCAGGGCGAAGCGCGCGCGCCTACCCCTACTCTACCTCCCTCACCACCAACCCGCTCACCTACGCCAGCCTGAACCGCATGAACGAGATGCACGAGGTCGGCACCGTGTGGGCCACGATGTTGTACGAGATCTTGTGGAATCTCATTGACCACCACGGCAAGAACAACAGCCCCAAGCCAGTATTCCGCAACGCCGTGACTACGGATGGTAGGTTCCTAGCCATGAAGTTGATTATGGATGGGATGGCTTTGTGAGTATTCATTGGCTCCCACCCCCTTTTCCTAGTATAATGCTAGATGAAGTGACACGATTGGGCGACTTTGTAGGCAACCTTGCAACCCCACATTCTTTCAGGCCCGGGTTGCTATCTTGGGAGCTGATACGGTGCTCACTCAAGGCGCCAATCAATGTGCAATCTGGAAAGGCTTTGCCAAGCGTGGTCTAGGTCAAGGGGCTGAGTATAAGGGGTCTTTGTGGTTGGACAGCAACGCTGTTCCATCTGGAGTCTGCTGATACTTCATAGGGGCGTAAAGACCAGTTGCAGTTTAGATTAGTAATAGTGCGAGCTGAACCACGAATTGGTAGATTATGAAGAAGTTTGGATAGCTTTGAATTACTTGTCCTACAACGTAGGGGAACTTGAATCTTTCGCATAAAGAGACTCGAGATCCGCTTGACTGCTACAGCTGCCAATACGGAGCAAAACTATCCCGCTCACATTTTGTCAGCCTTTCAAGACACAAGAGCATCTGAACATACAGCAGGAACCCAGAGAGCTATAAGCCCCATCATCTCTCAGACGGTTCCAACATCTTGAGCCACCTCACAGACAATGAATCACAACACAAGCCAAAGAGCATTCTGTTCAAGCAAGATCCTTCTGCAAGGTTCCATACGCGGTAGTGAACTGTAACCATCTCCAAGATGGGAGAGTTCTGGGCGCAATTTGAATGGGGTCAAAGGAGAACCCAAAATTCTCCTTCCCCCCGACTACCCCGACCACCCCAACCTCCCATTTCCGTACAGTCCATCGAACCGTGCACGAGATTACTGCGGAGTGTACTGCTGGACAGTAATCGGTTGCTCTCGGAGATGAACGCGGCATTAGGGCGGCAGTCGCGGGCGTAGTGCTGGCGCAGGCGGTATCCGTTGCTACAGGCAGTCCGTATTGTCAGAAATAGAGTGAATTTGATGTAGCAGAAGGAATGCATGTACGTACCCGCCTCGGACAGTCTCAGCCACAGTGTGCGGTGGGATGGTGTAGCTCCCGTCCCTGGTGTGCAGCCCCTCGGCAATCAAGATACATTCCTGAGGCTCACCGTTGTAGTGAGTGAGATAAAGGTTGAAGACTTCATCTTGGTTCAAGTCTCAACAATTATTGGCTTACACGTCACGCGACACGCGAACTACTTAAATCGTTGCTCAGCAAGGTCATAGTGCGGAGAAAAACATTAGACCAATTCAGAATTGACCGACCATTAACGGTCATTGAATTGCCTGGTCTATACTTTGTCACAAAGTCTCATAGAGCTGCGCGTAGAGATCCCGCCTCTGTGTCCGTGATCAATATTACAAATCAAGTGTAACGACGAATCGATCGCAGTCACACGACCATGAAAATAGGTTGAGACCCAAGAACCAGCTACAACCGTTCAGATTGTGGAAGAGAACACACGTGTATCTCTAAATTCTGCTTGGCGGGCTTTGTGGTATACATTCCAAACATAGAATGCGTATGCCGATCCTTTGAGCGATGAATACAGGCCTCCAGAAATCGTGTCTCAATCTTGTTTGCTGGTGCTACCACGCCCGCTCCAACAATAATGTTGACCATCATGATAAGAGGAAATCTGCGTTGTCACGGGAAAGGGCCACTCGAGGCACATGATGAGGAGCATCCACATTAGAGCATGGAGTATTAGAAATATAAAGGTCAAAGACCGGGTGATGGGTGAATATATTTCTCTTCACACTGATCCGACCTTTGACTACTGTAATAGCTCGGTAAAATTCTTTATTGAACACAGAGTGTCACGTTCAGTACTGGTTGATTGTGTAGAGTGAATCAGTGTCCGGATCTCGAATATCGACATGTTCGATTCAATCCCTGAGTGTAGTTCCAACCTTGTGGTACATCTTGTTACATACCTTCGTGATGAAAGAATCTTTCTGCTCAGAATATATTTTGTTTGTTATAAGATTTTCCAAGAAAATACTTAGCACATACGACCACAGGGTGTGGAAAACAGGGCTTCCCGTCCGCTCAGCCGTACTTAAGCCACACGCCGGGAGGTTAGTAGTTGGGTGGGTGACCACCAGCGAATCCCTTCTGTTGTATGTTTTTCTTTGATCATGTCTTTTTGTTCTTACGTCACCAATCCTTTAGTACTGAATATACGCTCCGTGCCTCATTAAGAGGTGCGTCGGCTGGCGTTCTCGGGATCCGTGACAAGCTCCTTCCCACTTGCATTGTAGCTAATGCGAGCAGAAGAGATCCATGATCGCTCCACTTTGCGCAACTAGCGAGTCATGCAGCGCTGATGAGCCATTTTGTCGCTTGACTAGCCAACCCCAGAGAGCCGTGCTCTCCTAATCCACGGGAAAGAAGAACTTTTTTGTGTTTGTGATACGGATATCCTCTCAAATGCTGGATGGAAAAGACTTCCAGGACCTGACTGCTTTTTAGATAGAACCTATATAATGTCGGCCATTTTCATATTCACCCCAGCAACCTCTTGTGTAGCTACTATCAGTGACTCAATTCATCAGGCCGATCACCTCCTTTGAGGCCCACCGCGAATGCCCCAGCATCCCCAATACACGGCTTTCCAGAATTCAACTGCAAGCTCGCCATTAGGATTGTTACTCTCCACCTGAGATCTACTTCTACTTTCAAGCTCGACACAACACCATGGACTATTTGAAGTCCGACAATCAGTTGAAAATGGACCGTGGAAACAAAATCGAACTCCGTCCTAGCGTCAAGGTACTCCGTCGGCGTTCTCGCCGCGTTTCCTGCCTTGATCCTTAACCCTTCTCCGATTCCTTCCGTTGCACAAGTGGGAAGAGAGCCCTATAATGAGGACTCCATTCTATATCTATCAGGAAGCGCGATTGTGATGAAAGTGCGAGTGAAAGATCATTCGAAATTCCCTCGACCTAGATAGCGTATCCTATCTTATGGCTTAATTAAACACCAGTCTACCATCAACATTACCAATTCGATCACCGAGATTAATACCCTGTCTTTCCCTATAGCCTCCATCTCTCTTCGGGAGGTCGGCTGTAAGATGAGTTCCTTCCAGTGTAATATTGTTCGCCGACTGCGCGAAGTTCACGCCATCCCACATGAACCAGCCTAAACAGTTTCTCGGTTGATTAATGGAACTGCCCCTCGAATTCTGTTCAAAAAATGTCATCGAGAGATATCGTACCATCTGAATTCCCAATGCAGTGGTCAAGGTCCAGCCTGGCGTCGACCCAGTTCCCTTCTCGGTTCTGTGCATGGCAGACCAGGACGTGTCCGTCCTCAAGTCGAATATTGGTGCAAGACTCGGCGAATGACATTTTCGTTTCCAAATATGATTCGGAGGTCAAATAGGTTGCGTTTCTGGGAGAGACGCCTTGAAAGGAAGTAAAAAGATGTGGAAACGTGATGAGTGGTAAAGATTGCTCAAAGACTTAACCCAGCAGAAAAGGGTTCTTGCTTTATATACCCCATCGCTTAATGCTTTAGCCACCTAGTTGGATTTTGAGTAGAATGATGTCAATGTCGTCAGCTGGGTTTTCATACACAGATAGCCATGTGGGTCATCAGGGTCAGAAGCGAATCATCACATAAGTACAAGATCTTCAGCCAGCCACATCATAAGAGGAAGATCTCGCGGATGTGGAACTCGTTATCTTCTCCTCCAATGCAGCTGTCTGAGTGGCTATTCAAGCGTCCGCTTGGAGGTGAAACAAGTTACAGACGTGCAATATCTGTATTCTGTAAACAGATTGATCTGCCGATCTTCTCGGGCCCACAGATGATGACCCACATTGCTGCAGATCTCACCTCACTTGGATACTGGGCTAGTGCAAGGCGACCTGGGGCATACTGCGCATAGTCATGATCGTATATATGATCGGAGCTGAGCTGACTTGTGGCTTTTGAAGTTAGTGGATCTACCTACTATACTAAGTTTACGACCCCTCTCCTAATCAAAATACGTCACCGGGCTCGCTTCGATCGATGTTGCGATTGACCCGAAATATTGACTTCTGTTCAATACAGACACAAAGAATACAAAGGTGAAATTAATTTTCCCTTTCCGTTTAATCAGTAATTGCAGTTTTTGTCAGCTCAGGACGCCACTAGTGCTGCCGAGATCAATGTATAACGACTCTTACAAAAGTACACAAGTAATAACAGCCATTGGCCTTGGGTGATTGTACGTGATCATGCATGCAGCCTTAAATAATCCGCAGGCCTGCTACGCCAATGAAGACACTAGTAGAATGCTATTCTTTAGCTTACTTTCTGTAACCCCCCGTACTAGCTGTCGCAATCCGAGCTGGACAGTATGCCCAATTACTATTAGCGTTGATATACAAATCTCTTTCACTGGCTAGATGAAGCAAAAATCGCGGGTCAGCTAGCGAAAAGTCGTCTGAATTCCGCGCGAAGTGGAAAAATCAAGCCCGATTGATCTCAAGGAATAACGGACGATCAAGCATCAAGAAAAGCCGAAAATCAAGCCCATTAAGCGCGTCTTTAGCAAGCTCTGCACTCCTCAAGACGCTGCGTACTTGGTTATAGCTGATATAGTGTCGCGTCCGCTCATTCCTCTGCGCGTCCCATAACATAGACACGCAAGTCAGCTGATTACAACGATCTCGATTCCACCTAACTGCTATTTCAGTACTTCATCCATCCTTCTCTTACTTATACTCGAGCAAGCCTAGCATGCTTCTGTCAAGTAGTATCACTCTCGGTTTCATCCGAAGACAATGCCGAATCATCTCTGGGATCCTCTTTATCTTTCACGGGCCTCACACACAGTTCTGGGGCAACCCACCATTCATTCACCGCCTCGATCTCAGAGAACACCGATGCAAAGTACTCGTCGACCTTTGATCCTTGCTTGGAGGGAATAGAACTGGTCAGCCGAAGTTCCATCCGACGTATAGATCCCGTCCCCAGCATTTTCTTGAGTTGTTCAGAGAATACTGTGGAGAATCCCACTGTCCCACCAAACCCCGGGGAAGCGATCACCACAACCTCCGCGAGCATCCTGACATCATCATCCTCCATGCGCAGTAGGGGCACCACGGGCCGTTCGATCGTAAGAATACTCGGATAGCTGGCGAGGACGCCGCCGCCGCCGTCCACGCCCCGAAAGGCACGCCGGTAGTGCCTTGATGCCAGGGCGTGCGTCTCGCGATTGACCAGCATTAACGGCGGCATGAACGCCGTGGCAGCATAGATCCTCGGACGGCCGGGGGATATCGTCCCACACCTCCCTCCCTGCGGCCGTCGAGCAGGCGTATACCCTGTACAGGTGATCGTGATCCGGGTCGGCTCGGCCATCGCCAGCGTCCAGATATTATATCGCAACTCGCACGGCAGGCGCGGGAACGGATGGAAGGTCGGCTGGTCGGCCACTGCGCGTGCTCGTGCGGCGTCAATCTCCCGCCTCTTCGCCTCGTACTCCTCCACGCTGTCGCAGCTCGCCCACAGTGCTTTGTCCGCTTCTTCTGCTTTCTCGGCTGCCGTTCTCGGCCCGATAGTCGGATTGCCCATCATAACGCAGGGCGCGGGGCGAGTTGGGCGCAATGTGCCATCTTGTTTACTGCGGGAAAAGTAGCGCGGTGGATGGACGGTGTGGACTTTCCATTGTTCGTCGGTGTATGTGTAGGGGCTTGGTGGGGTGTAGGCCTTTGGAGTTGGTGGTGGTGGTGAGGCCATCTTGATATGCTGATTCTCGGTAGGAGGGGGGGAGAAGGACAAAGGGAGGACGGGGGAAGGGGAGAAGCCTGGAGAGGTACTTATATGCCCGTCAACGGAGTTAGGGCTGGTAATAAGCTTTGGGTGCCAGCCTGGAGTGAGTCACTAATCACCTATTTCAGGTATGTATTATTATTGATGAAGGTTGAGAGCCAATGGGAGTGTTGGGTATAAGACATGCTTAGTACTAATCGAGTTTAATGTAACACTAGCCTGGAGTGTTGTAGCTCGAAGAAGAGACTGCCTTGGATTGTATTGTATAATATCGATCTCACAGAGCGCTTGCTGCGTGCTACTTGAGCGTCTGTCTTTTTCTAGCCGCAGCTGCTGCGATGGCCATATGTAATATAGTGGTTAGGGGTTTGCATAGGGACAGTCTCGATGCCCGCCGCACCCAGAGCTTATGAATCTTTTGCATGACATCTTGTCTGTCCACCACTCTTAGTTCTGGTCCTGGATCTTAGATATGGATGAAAGATTATTTAATCTTTTCAGAGCGGGCATACAGAGCATGGTTTGACGACAACGGAGCTTGCTTGGTCATCAGCCTACGTACTCAAAAAGTGTAGTATTCGAGTCCGGTACAGTGGAAGCTGCAACTAGTTGTGACCGAGATTTTCCTCGTCGGGTGCTGATAATTTGGACCCACGGTCACCCAGCTTGTATTTGTTCTTGTAACATGATGCATATCCGGCATTCCTATTAAGATACTGTTTCTCATGGGGCTAAATACTAAAATAGTCGAGCTAAGCTAGCTCGCGTAACATCAACAAAGCATAGAAGGTAGTCCGAAGCTGCTATCAAATCCAGACGTGCCTGTCATTCTCACTTCCCCACAATACGGGCGAAGTGAATCTGGAATTCTTCGGGATCCCGAGAATCCCAGTGCCTATGCTCAATATATGTAAACTCGCAACTTGTAATATGCCGGAGCAGTTTGTCTGCATTCTCGTAGGCATTTCCCCGCGAAGAACCCTCGGTAAATCTGCCACCTGTACGGCTCCCAGGAAGCGTGGGGCAGATCTTTCAGAATCTCCAATCTCCACTTCTGCTGGACGATGAGGGCCTGGGGTTGTCCGTGTTGGCTCCACGGGTCCGTCGACGACAATGAATAGCTCCCAGCACCAGGCAGCGAAACAGTGGCGGAATAGATCGTGCAGCCATTCGGGATGGTCTTCGAGCACCCGTCGGGGGAGCGCCACGCGTCGTGACAAGTCGCGCAACTTAGTCAAGTTATACATACCATCCACTATCGACAGGAACGGCGAGGACTGTTCCTCGGGGCAGCAGAGGTTGTGATGTCCATGATGAAATCGACGGATGAAAGTGTTGTTGTCTGTGTTTCCACCAGGCTGTCGTTGTATCCATCTTTTGGTGACCTCTCGTGCCTCTTTGCTCACCTGTAGGAGCGGAGAGTCGACCTTGGGATAGCATACGTCACCCGACTGGATGTAGTTATCGCCCAAGGCAGTCATGCCTCCCCCTGGAGTCCACATGGTTGTTTCTATCCAGAATAACAGAGGGTCGCCGATCGGGTCGGGAAGAGCAGCTTTCCAGATCATGAGGCGGATCTCGTAGGAAGGCGCGAGAAAGAAGGAAACTCCGGTGTCGCCATAGCTCGTAAAAAGACGATGATGGGGGAGAAGGCAAGGCGAGAATGCGATTGCTTTGGTACCGAAGACAGGGAGACGAAAGAGGATGGAGCGGGTTGCGACCGATGAGCTGAATGCGATCGATCGATGACTGCGGCTGCGATGAATGAGGGCGATTAAGTTGAGATGGAACGGTTGCGGTGAATGAGGATAGCTATGGTGATTGATGGAAGTTCTAATTAGTTGAACTGGGGAAGTTAGAAGAAAAAAGAAGATTTATGGACAACCCAATCATTCTATGGTGTAGCAACACTATGTGAAGCAGAGGTGGTGAATATGTGGGTTTCGGTGTTATGTAATTCTCGTGCCTGTCTAACTTACAGCCGTTTAATTCCGCAATGGCAGTGGATGATATATGTGTAATGTACAAGATACGGTCTCAATAGACACTATGATGAGGAGCAGACAGAATAAGGCTGTGTGGAGCGATGGAAACAGCCCCTGCAAAGGGATTGAATAGGATAACTGGCTGATTCTCGCGTAGGGTCTTGCCTCCATCCTTTGGTGGTGCATTGGCTTTGGCCGGTTTGCGGTGACCCCGACACGGTATCCCATGCCCTCCATTCTCGCCTGGATCACAGTCTGGAAGTATTGCTACACAATTCGATACCACCCCTACGACTGTGCTCTCCGCCGAGTACCTCGAGCGAAACAGTTCGTGAAGTGGACACTCAACACCTTTGTAGTCCTACAGTGGGCAGTCTCGACATACCTCATGGTACGCAGCCTGCAATCTGGGCGTGGTCATGTCTCAGTATACCCTGTCTATGAGTGTTTCGATACTCGCATTGCCGATGCACCTGGAACCTCGACGTGCCCGTCCGCGCAACTCTGCTCCAACCAGGCGCTGCTCTCTTCTTACAGCTTTGGGTTTCCCAAGCAAATCCTTTCTGGCTTCGAATCTGCTACTGGTTTCTTCTGTGCTCTTTCCTTTCTTGCCATACTGTACCTTCGGTATCTTTCCTCGACTTGCCTGGATTATCCGCGGGGGTGGTCTGGAGAAATGGAAGAAAAAGGCTACTCGAGCAGATTATGGGTCTGCCGGGAGTGTATACCTGGGGATCAGTGGGTGTCTCATACTTGGACCGATGACGATCGCTGATCCGATTCGGGCCTTTCAACATGGGCGTGAGAGCTCCGTCGCTATTGACTGGAATTGCACCGCCTTGCATGTCATTGTAAGCCCGTGGAGGTATTACTTGGATGTTGAATTTGGATTACTTGTGCGGATAGCTAAGATGTGGTTCAATGCATAATCAATGGCTAATGTATATACAACAGTTAGTTATACTTGTATGTTTGAATGTCAGTAAGGACGGACTGACTCGACCTCGGCTAAGCACGGGCCGGCCCTATCCGCCCAAGGGTATGACTTGCGATGGAAATCGCCTGCAGCTGCAACTGCCCTACCTCATAGTTACCCACCACGATTAACTGTCTTGTCTGTACATAATGATTTCAATTACATCTTTGCTCTTTGCGCAGGCAATGCATAGTCGATGTTCAGAAAATACCGCCATGGACTCACTTCACGTAGCCTGGGGAGTTGGCTATCAACTGGCAAGTGGCGAGTGGAAGGAGGGGATGATGAAATAAACCATTCGGTTAGAAGGTCAGTTGAATAAGAACTGGTCTTATTCTTGCTTTTTATGGGGTCAAACCACGACGGTTCTTAAGGTTGCCTATCTGAATTAAGGTGAGAGGGCGAAGAGTTTATGCTTTTCATTGCAAGACAGGGGAAATCGACGACCTAAACGACAGTTGACTACGAACGCTCGGAAAGAAATCAGATATTGACCCCATCTCTACGCCAGGCCAACTTACCGACATCCCCAAGGTACTGTGGCGTCAATCCAGGTGCAGTTCACGGCGTCGACGAAGAAGAAACCGCAGGTCAAACGGCACCATGTTATAGAAACAAGTCATCTCTTCCGATTTCTCATGAAAGGTGACCACGCCATTGGCGCCATAGAGCTGAAAGAGACCGGGAAAGCGGTGGCCATACATCTGGGAGTCCGAACGAAATGCCTCCTTGTAAATTTGACAGTACCTGCCGCAATGAATGACTCCATGCTGGGGCTTCGCATGAGGGTTCTTCTTGCGCTCCATCTCAAAGGTACTCATCAGATGGCCTTCGTAATAGACCCACGGACAGCGGTCGATGTCTCTTTCCTGCGCTTGGATTCTGACGATGTAATGTCCCAGTTTATGATGTCCCCTGGGAATCCGCTCGATTGTGATACGCTCCGACCCAGTCGGAGGTTTATCGATATCGATAGGTTTTTGAACGAAAGGGATGAGCTTTGCGATCGCCATTTTGCGTTCAAATTTGGAACATGTGACACAGAAATAGAGCTATGGTGGGGAACAATGCATGAGTCACCTCTCTATATAGGTCAAGGGGTTCACAGAATCACAATTGGATCACCTTTATGACCCAAGCTTCTTGAGCATTGTAGAATTGCTTGTGTCATTGAAATCTCCGCTCCACAAACAAACGATTTCACCCGGCCTCCATTATGTTTTCTTTGTGGTACATGGCGGAGGCCAGGAATTTGTCGCTATACTCTTTCAAAGACGAAAAGGGGAAATTAAACCTGCACAAATATACGCTGAAACTGGCATCAGTCTTTAAACTCTACATTGCAGAAATCCGGACTGCAGTCCCCCAATATCTGCCTAGCTACTCAGTAGCTGAATAGTCGCGTCGTCAAGGAGTTTTTGTCATAGTTGGTATACATGGGATAGGAAGACGCGAGCTATCTTGGTAGAGTGTTAAATGATACTAGGATAACAGGATCACATTGTAACTTTCTTTCCATCTTCATCTCGTCAAACTATTTCCTGATCACATGCAGATCTTTGTTGGAGCCTACACTATTTCGAGATAAAATGTGTCTCAGCACATGGACATCAAGCTTCTTGCCACAGTATCACTTGGTGAAAGGAGCTCTCTTCAGCGCCTTCGCCTGTATCGACCAAACCTCTGTTCCGAGCTTGATGAGTTCACGACCGAACGCCTCGATGATTGCTTCCGCGCCAATACCGTCTGTGAGTGCCTTCACATACATTTCCTCCGTCTCAAACGTGGCAGTATACCAGAAGTCCTTCCATTCCTTGATCGCACGGGTGGCCTGTGAATTGGTGTTCTGTACGTCGCTTGCCAACAGATAGAATGAAGAGCGCGTGGTGTGTCCCTTAGTTGGTTTGTAGAGCCGGATGGAAGAAAAGCGACTGAAAGCATACACCAATTTCACGACATCATAACCTTCGAGATGGTGAAGAAGAATGACCATGGTTCCACCAGGGCGAAGATGTTCCAGTCCAAGTACTAGCTGGGAAATAACCAATCTGCGTCGCTCTCGCGTCTGCTCGCGATAGGCGGCTCTGTCCTGCGTTCTGAGCACTTGACCATCACACAGAATAAGATCGAACACTTGATCTGGCCCAAATTGCTTCGGCAGGAAGTTCGCAGCGTCGGGATGGCTTTTTGAGATCTCTACCACACCCATATCGGCAGCGAGCATGGTGAGATCCAGATACTTGGTTTCGATGCGCCGGTCGATGGACATGCGGAACGGATGCCCGCCTTTCGTACTCGGCAGACTGATAGCTAGAGCCCGTGCATCGGGATTCAACTGCAGTGTGATCTCAAGAAAACCCCCCGGTGCAGCGCACATATCGAGAATATTGCCTGGCTGTGCCCCTTTTATCCGCAATGCACCCGTGGCGTCATGAATCTCCTGGCCTATGTCCTTCATCAGACGAAAGAAATGCTCACGGCTTGAGAGACTTGGCTTGTCTGCTATGCTGCGCTGCTTCGTGAAGTAACGGTCGCCTTTTGAGTTTTCCCATCCCTTTTGCCAGACAAAGTTAGACGCCATCATACTAAGAAATCGTTGGTTGATGATACTCTACCTTCTGTCGGAGTTCACAAAGCTCTCGAAACACCGGGACGTTCTCTTTTAAGTACGAGATCATGATTCTTGACTGAGGATCATCGGGTTCAGTGCGTGGCGGCGATGCAGTGTTAGCTTTTGCAGGCTCTGCTTTTTTCATCGGATGAATCTCCTCCATGATTCTCGCTGCTTGGGCTCTTGGTGGTGATCGCGAGGGGTCTTCGGTTACAGGTTTCGCGGATGGAGTATAAGTGTGGGCAGGTTGAGGAGTGGTGCGTTGCTAGAGGAAAGCAACTCAATGTCAGCTGAAGATCAGAACTCAGTGTCAATAAGTCTTAGAAGAGAGATGGGGGACTCATAATAAACCAACTGACAGCATAGAAGACAGTCCGAGCCAGTGGAAGGCACCCACGTAAATTTGCAAGTGGTCGTTGGGAGAACGCGAGATATGTGTTTGAGTTGAGATGTTCGAGGAAGAGGCAGAAGCCAAAAGGAAGTAGCAATGCAGGCTTGATGAATGTTTACTGGTGGAAGGCATTGAGATTCCCAGTGAACACACATTGGGAGAAAGTGCTTGGTCACCTGATCCCTTAAGTATTCACTTAACAACTGTAGTAAAGATGCTATATGAATGAACTAACACTTCTAGGTGACTTTGTTACTCACTCCAATAACTTTCTTTGCCTGTCTGTATGTGTCGAATGAAAATCGATTAAAGCTTCGATTACACCCACTTGGGTCGCTTCTTACGAGCAAACGCCTCCACGCCAATCCGAAAGTTCTCTCCTTCCATTCAGCGCCTGCCATATTGCTGCGTCGTGCGCTCCGTAAGGTTTCTGATACCATTGCGTTCTGATAACTCTCGCAGGCCCAGATGGGTAGCAATAACAGCATCCGGCGAGTAGCTCGCAATCATTCTGGCCATTTCAATCGCCTCGGGCACTACGGTCTTGGGGGACATTGCAATAACATTGATCCATCCCAGCCTCTTCCTTTCTTCAGCTGAAGCCCGTCGCCCGGTCAAAGCCAGTTCACTACCGATTTGCATGCCGCACGTCCACACGATGGCGGCCAGACCCCCACCGCCAGCGTACAGTCCGCGCTGTACCTCTGGGAGACTGAATTCCGCTTCGGGCGACGAGACCACAAGATCGCTGCATCGAAGGCTGCCAGGAGGGTGAGAGCAGTGAGGTGGAGAGGGTCAGTCCCTACCAATTAAGAACAGCTTCGAACCCTCCGCCCATGGCGATTCCATTCACCGCCGCTATCACAGGATTCTTCCCCCGCCGCAGACTGAGCCCCATAACTCCATCCAGAAGGTATGGATTCCTTATCATCTCCTGCTGTCTGGCGCCAGCTGCTGCTCCTTCAAATCAGCCCCGGAGCAGAAAGCCTTCGTGCCTTTCGCCGTCACAATTCCAACCCGTGGGCATGGCTCGTCGTCCATCCATTGCCACAGCCGTGCGCCCTCAGGATGTCCCTTAACGGGAAGGGAGTTCATTTCCTTCTCGCGATTGATGGTGGCGGGGAGAATTCCGGTGTCTGGGAATGCCATATGAGATAGGGACGATGTCGGGGGAGGGTTCTTGAACTAGTGAGGATTATCCATGGCTGGAGGTTGCTTTTCGATCTAGAGAGTCTTGTCGGTGCACCGGTCACAGACAGAACATCAACAGACTGTACAATTTATTTATTTTCCGGTAAGTCTCATCGAGCCAAGTGACGTGTGTCCATCGCAACTGAGGACCTAAGGTCGCATTTGACTGGAAACGACACGCTGATTATCAGGTTATCTTCAAAGTATAATCAAGACTGCCCCCACCGAATGACTAGCAATAACTACCCGACCTAATTCCGTTGCGAAACCCACATGGGGAAGTCGATATTAACATGACCCATGTCTCGACCCCAGTCTCTATTTGAAAAAAGCAATGCTTCCCACATCACAGCAAGTGGCCAACTATCAGTGCTGTATTGAAGTATTTTAGATGATAGGAAGCTTAAACCCGCCGGGAACTTGTTGCTGGAAGACTCCCTCCGGATCGACCGCCCGAGAAGTTCGCCACAATTGCTCAACACTGTCATCCCCATAACTTGCGATCGGATTCTGCCATTGAGCTGCGTAGTTCAGGTATCTGAAGGGATGAGACGCGTTTTGCTGCTGGGCAATGTCCTCGATCGCTTCAAAAAGACCCCGGCCGACTTTGGTCACTTCGGCTTCATCCGCTTCATCGGACCAACTTGCACTCAACAACACCACTACGAGACAACCGGATGTATCCGACAGTCCAAGCGAGTTGGAATCGCTACGGCGGGCATATATTGATGGCGGGATTGGCTCGAGCGACAGAGACCAAGTTATCCCATTCACATCTTTGATGGCCGCTAGACTGTTGTTCCAGCAACGGTAGGTTGCGTTGAGCATGGGGACACTGGGGTAGAACGTCGTGGTTAACCACAACTGTCTATACAAATCATTCGTTTGGTCAGCTGACGATTGTGGTATAAATAGAGAGGAGCATACCGGTCGCCATTCGGCTGGAACGAGCCTTGTTCGGTCGCTATATCGGACATGTTTGCAACTCGCAGCGTACTCAACACGGAGGGTATAGACGTAAAAGACTGAAAGACCGATGGGTATGCTTCAGGCTTGGTGTACTCCAGAGCAGTAAGAAGGGCAGGCCCTTGAGTACCGGAGAAGCCGAAGCTAAGAATCAACGATGCATAATCGTCGTAGGTATCCGCATTGCTGAAATCGGCTGTGGCCTGGAGCTGCTGGTCAACGTTGTCGAATGAGTGGAAGGTCAAGCCACCCCATATTGGACCCTGCTCAAAGGCTTTCAGCTGGACTCGCGTAACGACCCCGAAGTTGTTGGACCCTCCCCGCAGGGCAATCTGAAGCTCGGGATTGTTCTGTGCATTTGCATGAACCACGGACCCATTCGCTAGCACTACTTCGAAGTCGACTACAGTGTCGCAGGTCCAGCCAAAGCGTGGCGAGAAATAAGAGATGCCTCCTCCAGTCGTCAAGCCGCCGACGCCAACCTGGCCAACGCGACCTCCGGCTACCATGAGGTTCATCGGTTCGAGAGCCTTATAGACATCACCCCAGGTGGCTCCAGCTCCGACCGTCACGGTAGAATGATCGTCATTGACTTCAATTGTGTCGAGGCCGCGCAGATCGATGGTCACCCCATCGTTAATGTTCGCTGCCCCAGCAAAGACAATATGTCCGCCCGACCGGATTGCGAAATCGCACCTGGAGTTGGAGGTCAGATAATGGACAGCAGTAGAGACATCGTCCACAGTGGTGGGAGCCACAATGCAATTGGGATAGAGTTGGGCCTCCTGCTGGGAGAAATAAGATGCCAGAGAGGAGTTGTATGCCAGACTCCCCGCAAAGAATGTCTGGTTCGTGCCGACAAGTTGATTCAGACCCAAGCACTGTCCCTCGCCCCTGGTCAGCGATTGCAGATATTACAGCCATTGATGTCAACTCACGCATGCACTGGCCAACTTGGCGTTGCTGACTGGCCCCAGCTTCATTTTCCTTGCTAGACCGTCGGGCTATCGAGGGGCTGAGAGATGGTGAACCAGCCCAGTCGTCACAATTAAATGGCAACGCGACGTGGCTGGAATGTGGCTTCAAAGAGAGAGAGCAGCAGGTCATCTGATCCGGCCGGGCGCACTGATCGGCATGCGTGAAAGGGATCTATCATCTGTTATTATTTCAGATAGAGATCTGCATCTGGTCTCTACAGCAATCCGTCCCCATTCAGAAAAGAAGTGTCATATCAATTCTCCAGCGGACCATTCCGTGGTTCCCTCAACCGCCATCCGGTCCAGACCCCCCCTGCACAGGGCTACAGTGGGAGGAAATTAATATGCACCCCCCCCTCAGAAAGAGTTCAGCACTTCCCCTAATCAAGTCTAGCCTATGGCTATTCTGCCAGCTTCTTCCCATATATTTTAGGCGGTGTGTGAGCGCTTCAAGAAGGCGGTATCTCTAGAACCAAACATTGGGGGAGAGGGGGGGGGTGCAAATTAATTTCCTGCGACTGTAATGATGTCAGTCTCCAAGCTTCGTACAAAGACACCCCTCAAATGTGGGGGTAATCAAGGTTCGTGTCCTGGTAATCCACTGTGGCGAGTGTCAACCGCGTGATCTCTTTTGAATACGATCCCAGTTGATTATATTTATGTGCGCTCAACCCCGCCCCCTGTGCAACACTGCACGAGATATCACGCCCGTGATTTTCTCACAACATCTGTCAACATTCACCACATTACCAGATTCCTATCAGATCCCCAAACTTGAAATATGGCAGCATTTACAGCTGGCGGAACTCCCCCGGTGTTCCGGTAAGTCATGCTGTGAGGTGGAAAGGAACAAGAAAACAAGTCTATGGCACCTCGACGTCTCCCACTGATCTCAGACTTCAGCGGCGGTCGGAACAATCGAACCATCTACACCGTCTGCGCCGTCATTGCTGGGGGCTTGCTCCTCCACCGTTACTACTACGGCTCTTCCGCGGAGAAAGATGCCCTTCCTTTCCCTTACTCGTCCGAACAACGCTCGGATAATAAGAAGAGTGGTGTTGGCTCGTCCGGCGCTTCCGCTAAGATCGTCAAGTCGCCCTAGCTCGTCGCGATCTTGGTTGATATGGGCAAAAAGTTGAAGCAGTGCTCTGACGGGATTGGGACACGCGTTGCAACGATGATTGAAGTTTGACATATCTTGTAATATTCACAGTTGATACCTTGTTTGCTTCGGTACAATCAACACTGTGCTTGCGTCTAGCCCCATCGCTCGATATGTAGACGAGTGTATTATCAGAGGAATTGGGGGGAAAATGTTCTCATAAGTATGTCGTTTCCTTTATGGCAATTCTATCAAAGAACATATGCAATTTGCAAGCTGTCCCTGCAGGTGGAGGAAATGCTATACTGATTACATTTTAGTCACGTGATAAGCGACTGGTCCGCCATCCACCCAATTGTTGAACCACCGGCTTAGATCAGGAACGCATGCGCACTACATGTGATAAAATATAGGAACCAGTTCAGTTGTGATGACAAAGGCATCTCATTGATCGGCCTTGGGTGTGGCAGCTTTCTCCTGTGGAAGTTTCTCCATCCATTTCTCCACAGCATCACTCATCTCGGTGGCCAGACGTGCAGCCAGATTTGCCGTGACGTCTCGCTTATCCTCCTCAGCTTCCTTGATCGCCTCTGTTTGGTAATCTTGGTAACATGTTTTCATATCCGCTCGCAGCACCGCAATCTCCGCCGCACTGCAGGGAGTGAGCCGGGACTCCTCCTCGCGTTGACGCTTGTTGATCCTCGCCAGCGTGACCTGCATCTGACGGAAAGCGGGCATGCTGGGGAGCAGGCCCATCTGGATCCAATCAAACCCCTCTAAGCGACATTCCGGCTGGATCGCGATGGTCGCAGAGATGATCCCCTGCGATCGAGTTTCGTTGCTTTTAACCAAATCCGACGGGATGTAGCCCTTAGCCTTGATCTGCAGTCGGCGGGAGACCTTGGTGGCAATGATTTCCGCTAAGGTCGCGTAGACGAGCACGGCGAGGAAGGCGAGCTGGAGGTAGCCGTGCATGTTGACCATGCATGCGACCGAGGCGAAGGCGGCCAGCGCGCCGGTGATCATCCACGTCCAGTGCAGGGCTGCCTTCAAGGGCGTAGGCTTGTATTCCCACGTCGATCGCGCCCACCCTTCCAGTGTATCCTGGCGCCCTTTAAAGATGACGGTACCACCCTCGGGCCGTTGGTAGGCCGCATACCGCGGGCTTTCGCTCTTCACGATCGGCGGCACATGGACCTGCACCATGGGCACAAACGTGATGAGGGCGGATGCGATCCAGTGACTGCCGTACAGGAAGAATAAGGAGAACGCCCAGATGTCTGCCGCGAGGATGCCGATGAGCATGGCCGCCAGGATCATAGCTCCGTTGATAAGAATGAGGAGATAGAGGGACAGTCGCCCGACCATCCACCAGCCGTGGCCTGGATCTTTCCTCATACGGCGCCGCTTGTCCGCTGCTGACTCGTGAACGGCATCGATGTGAATCACCATGAAGTCATTTCCCGGATATTCGTCGCTCGGCTTGAACGCGATCAGGTCGTTGAGCCAGAGATTGCTGAGTGTCAACGGGAGCTCCCGAAAGACCTGGTTTGAGACATTGGACCGAATCGGGATCATTGTGGTGTCCTGGGCGCACAGCTTGATGGCTGGATGGATGGAGAGAAGGCCGGAGGTGAGGTGCTCGACCAACATCTGCATGGCTGGGAGTGTGCCCCCGACCATGGTCATGTGTGGCCAGTGAAACACATCTCGATCATACTGAACATACAGCTTGGCAGCACTCGCCCCGGCCCGTGGATTGCCCAAGACGGCTGCCACGCCGAGCGGATCGAACGAAACCGAGGTGTCATTGGTGAGGGTGGCCTTGGGTGCGGATGATGAGAAGGGATATTTGGCCTCGGCCACGGTCGCGCATAATGCAAAGGCGAGGCCTCGGAGCCACGATTCCACCGGAGAAGTCGGCATCAAATGCAAGGCAAGTCATACATCAATATCATTGTGCGTGCGGTTGACGAAGGAATTCGGAGGTGGGATTGTTGAGCCCTTAAGTGGTGGCAGCGCCGCAGCCTCGCGGGTTGGATGGTCAGTGCGCTCGACAGCTGTAAAAGTTCCAGTTTTCCGACTTGAGTTGCTCTGTGTATCGACAATCTCAGAAGTACTGACAGGGATGATTGGCTGCAGAGCAATCAGCCTCCATCCTGCAGACTATCCTGCACTTTCCATTCGCTGGATTGCTACAGCAGGAGCTACGCTAGTAACCAAATGTGCCGCGCATGGACGAGACTAAGCCCACACTAGGTTGGTCAGTACACTGTAACATGAATGTGCATCACTGCTCTAAGATTGTCTGTTACTACCAAGAATTAGAGGGCTATAATTGGTGATAAGACGAGAATCTCGTGCCGCAAATACGACCGATGCCCGACCAGCCACCTGGCGGCCGCACTCGTATATACGCAGGTCACATGACGCAATCGCCGATCCGTCTGAGCAACATGCTATAGAGGGAGGTCCAAGAAATTAAAGCGGCGCCCGCAGTTCCCCCAGCGCACAGATCGTCTCGGATCCGTCGGACTACCTCGGAAAAAGATACCTCTAGGTAGACGGCGCAACTGCAGATCAACGATAGCCAAAATCGATTGTATGAGGTCACGGCCGTGAGAGTGGACGCGACGTAGATTGTTCGCACGGTCGCCAGGGAAGCACGGGACACGCAGGAAACAGCTGGACGAGGAATACCATCGGTAGTTGATGAGCCTCTGACCCAGATCTCGTGCGAGAACAGTCGCACTGCTGCGTCGTACCTGCTCGGGTCCACCTGAGCAGCTAATTGCGCGAAACCTCGCAAGGCTGCGATCGTCTCGCTGTTGCAGCAGCAGGCCTCCAGAACACACCAAGGCCGTTGCAGAACTACGAGTAGTGACTCGACGGCAGACTGCGAACCGATTACACAGTGCCTTTCAAACATCGAGGCGCGCAGCAAGAACCAGGGGACAGTTGGAATGGCACCAACGGGCGGGGAGGAAGGGACCGGGAGCGAGGCCAGCTGGGCCAGTGCGCTCGGCTCCAGATTCACCAACACCGGCAGTGTTTCGCACACCCTTCCAGCGCTAGCGGTCAAACGGGCATATGTAGCGACATCGTTCTGGAGCCGTTGACAGCTCGATGGGAGCGGAGCGCAAGAGTAGATAGCAAAAGTTTGGGAACCGAAGCGCACGCCACCACCTTGGTCCAGTTGGGCGCAGACAGACGCGGGGCTGGCGGGGAGTTTATGCTCACTCGAAGTGAGAAGACTTGAGTTCATCAACGATTTGACGGTCGGTAACAAGCAAACATAGTGGTAGATGTGAGCAGGGAGTCGAATATAAAAAAGGACAGATGAAGTAGATACCGTAGTAAGAAGCGTGAGTGGGTGAAATGAAGAAGAGAAGAAGAAGAAGAAGAAGAAGTAGGAGAGGAAAATGAGCGGGGATAAGGTAAGGAAGGAAGGCCAAGGCATTCAGGCTGCCACTTAACCAGTCAGCTGACAGCACACTCGTGACTTGCAAAGGAAGAAGAAACTGCTGACCTGCCTCTCAATTGCAGATGATGAAGACAGAATCCAGCTAAATGACTATGGGCACAAGATCAAAAAGTGTAACACAGCCACCAAGTCGCACATTGTGCAGTAGTATAGTGCCTGAGCTAAGCTCGAATGGGAAGTTGATGAGAGAGGTAAGTGTGTATATAGTGCATTGGTGAGTCATCAGGTTATGCACAGATTATCAACTATGTTCACCCACTCCAGACAAGCATTCCAAACTACGTGCAACACTTACCACCTTTGTCAGGTTTTGAAAGAGCATAATGGGTCTACCACTCTGAACGTAGACCTATGAGATAGTATATTCCCAATATGGTGGAGCATCACTGCAGACCTCGTACTCGAAACATTTGATTTTCGGAGACCACTCCGGCCATTCCCCGGCCCAGCGGAGTATTGATCGGATGCCCTAGCCCGGCACTTGGAATAAAGGAATGCCACCATGCATAATGTCTCTTATCCTGATGCATAGCATTAGTGCCACAAGATGCATCTCCTGACGAAGTATATCCACCTCATCCTTATCACCATTACCAGTATCCATGCCCAGGTAATCTTTGCAACACAAAGCTCTCTGGGCCAAACACCACAAATGGGCTGGAACTCATGGAACAGCTTCAAAGCCAACGTTAATGAAACCGTGGTGAACGACACCATCCGACTTTTCACCAGTCTCGGGCTGAAAGACGCAGGCTACGATTACATCCTCCTCGACGATGGATGGGCCGACTATAATCGTACGGCGGACGGATACCTCCAGCCGAATGCCACTTCCTTTCCGCGCGGTATCGCACCGTTGACTAACGAGGTGCATGCGCAAGGTTTGAAGCTCGGACTATATGGCGACAGTGGAATCCTGACTTGCGCATTCCGCCCAGGCAGTTGGGGCTACGAGGAGCGCGACGCGCAGACAGTGGCCAGCTGGGGCGTGGATTACCTGAAGTATGACAATTGTGGCGGCTATCAAGCAACGACAGAGGCGCCTCAGGTGCGGTTCGGGGCGATGCAACGGGCGCTTCAGCTGGTCGGCCGGGACATATTTTACTCGGTTTGCGAATGGGGATATCAGTTCCCCTGGCATTGGGGTGGAGGTATGTTCAATGTTTCTCCTAACCTCCCAGTGTCATGTACTGAGTCGTTTTAAAAGGAATTGGTCACTCCTATCGTATGTCTGGCGATATCACGGCAGTCTTCGCGAACGAAACGGGCTGTCCCTGCAAGACCGCATACTGCTTGAATACCGGTTACGCGAGTTGTTCCGTGTTGAGCATCATCCGGAAGATGCGTGAGATTAGCCAATACCAACTCAAGGGTCACTGGCTAGATATGGATATGTTGGAAGTCGGGAATGGGAACATGACACTGTATCAGCAGCAGACTCACTTCGCCTTCTGGGCTGCGCTGAAGTCTCCCTTGATAATTGGAGCAGATCTGACTAAGTTGTCCAACGAGAGCCTCCAGATACTCACGAACAAAGCTATCATTGACGTTAATAAAGATCCTTTGGGACAAGCGGTACACTACGTTGAGAATGCAAGTAGGGAGGGCGCCTCTCAAGTCTGGGCCGGGAGGGTTGAGAGCGGATTGATTGTGCTTCTCTTCAACGAGAAGAATTACGCCCAGAATCTAAGCATTGACTTCGCTAGTCTAGGCGTGAATATCTCGAGACCGGGAGAGGTGAAGGAGCTATGGTCGCAGAGAAGCCTGGGCAAGATTGAGCGCTTCTCTGGGATACTGTCGCCGTATCAGACGCTGGTGTTCAAAATAGACAACTAGGCTTGAAGGATAGGCTAGTGTAACAGAATACGCTTCTGTAAGCATACCTTTCACTGCCAAGAAGTCTCATGGTTTACCTGACTAGTAATCGCCGGTTGACGTGCTAGGGCTCATTTGTCCCAAGGCCTCGACTCTCGCGGGCAACGTAATGGCAAGAGAAGATTCCGAATAATTATCATACCCATCTACGACATACTAGGAACCTCAGAAATTAAGTCTTATAGAACTTTTTTCCATTGAGAAAGCCGATTCCATTGCGTAATACCCGACAGTATGACTCCAGCTCATTAACAATATGCAAGTTTCGTATTAGAGCAACTCCCAGGGATAAAGACTTGGGAAACCTTGGGTAGATCGCTTCCGAACACCTGCGCTGAGGGATCGAGGATTCGATCAATGATATGAACAACCCCCTGGACAAATCAATTAGCTCTCCTGTATGCCTTTGCCATTGAAGTTGAGGCGACTTACATTGGTGATGGGAATGTTTGCCTCCACAACCGTGGCCACGTTATTGAGAATGATATTACCATCGTGTACCTGGGAGCCTATATAGAGGTACGTTGCCGCCTATGAGAGCAAACCGCACGTCAGGTTTTGGTCGCGATGTGTCACGCTTTATGAATGGGATCTCACCTGGAAGCGCTGATACGATGCATTGAAGCTAGTCGACTCTAGCTTGGAATTCGGCACATAGTGATGGAGAAGTATGTTGCCAAGCCACCAGTTCCCTTTGCTAGGAGAAGTTAGAGTGTTAGCTTTCGCGGATCGACGTTCGCAAGACGGTTGACAAACGGCGTAGACCTAAAGGCGTTGAAGTATGAACCTGTATGATTCTGGAATGCCTCGTTGTTCGGCGCAAAGAAGGTGAAGTTCCATGTTGGCTCGGTGTCAAAAGCCTCCACAAAGCCGCCAATGCCCTGCAATGCTTCTGCTAAGACACTCAAATCGGAACGGGAAGAGACATAATCAAAGAGTGTTGTGGTGCTGGTCGATCTCGGAGTGACATAATTTCCTGCGATAGTTCTAACTCAGATAATCCTCGAATGCCATCGTGAAGGCGCCATTGGTTACTATCGCGAGACAGATAGCTATTCTGAGGTTCTTCATAATCAATAGAAATTTCGATGGCTGGAATTATAGTATGAGGTGTTCAAGGAGAGGTAAAGCATCAATGTGCTATCAAATCAGAAGACAGGTAGTCTCAAGGTCCGGCAAATCATTCACTAACGTCACTGCCTAGTGGATACTAAATAAGAAATCAGTCACTTGCGTTGTGCTCACGCTGGTATATGCGGTCTTGGCCTGTGATGAACCAAGCCAAGTCGGCACAAGCACCGGGAGACGCTCCGACATTTGATTGAGCGAGCACGTCAATGAAACAGAGGAGAATCGGTCACTACGGAACTCATCCGGTAGAAGGACCGATTGAACTCAGTGAAGAGAGCGTAAAGTAGATATTATGCCCGCAATAGTACTTTGTCCTTACTGAGCATAATAGCAGTAACCATGTTAAATGTAAGCTTTTCCACTCTAAGCCCCATTACTCGCTTACACATCATGTTGTTGTCAGATACTACTTTCCAGCGCGTTAGCAACGATAATCTTCCCAAGAACCAGCCAATGCATAGTTCAAGATGTGCCGAGTATTTTCGGACCCGTCCCAAACATCGGGGATTTTTCTGGCGTTAACTCGACTCGCTACCTCAAAAAGCGACCAGGCGACTTCGTTCACCCTGGAATATGGCATACCCACGAAGACCTTGAGCGGATTCGAACGAATGTCATAAATGGCAAAGAACCATGGGCCTCCGCGTACGAGCAATTCAGCGCAGATACCTATTCCCAAGCTACCTACAAGATCCAGGGCCCAAAGCCGGTGATCTCGCGCGGTTTGACCAGCAACTACACCACCTTTGCCCATGACGCGCGCGCGGCCTGGCAGAATGCACTCATGTGGTATATCACTAAGAACGAATCACATTGGGACCGGAGCACCACTATCCTCGATGCATGGGGAACGAACCTCACCAACATCATTGGCATCGATCGGTCTTTACTTGTTGGCCTTGACGGCGACCTGTTTGTCAACGCAGCGGAGATCATGCGCTGGGAGGGCAATTGGACTGAGTCTGGCGCCCGCTGGCAGGGTGGCTCTGGCTTCAGTAATCAGCTGTACTGGCTATTTGCACGCCAGTCTGCGGTGGTGGGTCAGGCAAACTACGGCATGGTCAGCATCAAAGCGATGCTTAGCTTTGCGGTCTATTTGAACGATGTGCAGCTTTACAACTACGCCATGAATGCGTACATCCAAGATAATTGCGCCGGGTTGTTCGCGCAATACAAGCCAGAGACCGGCCAGTCCGTGGAGGCAGGTCGAGACCAGGGTTAGTATCTCGACTCCTCCATCAACGCTCGAACATCGTTCCTCACTCATAGTACTACATAGGCCATACGATGTCTGCCATCGGGTGGGCAGCATACGGAGCCAGAGTCGGACAAAGCCAAGGGGTCGATCTGTATGGGCTGGGCCACAATCTCCTCCTGAAGGCTTCTGAGTATGCTGCTCAATACAACCTCAACTCCACGGTCGAGTATGACTCGGCGTGGTCCCGCTGCGAAGCTGTTCTTGTGAACGGACCGTGGGATACTATTTCCGACGCAAACCGTGGAGTAAGCAGTAAGATTCCGATCTGGGACTTAGTATATTATCAGTATGTGGTAAGAAGAGGCGAAAAGGCTCCTTGGACGACAAAGGCCGCAGAACACGAAGGCTTTGAAGGGGCTGTTTCCAGCAACGACCATCCAAGCTGGGGGAGTCTGATCTGGGCCCACTAAACGGAATCATGGATATGTGCATCGATCGAACATGCGTCAATTTGATTTGTGGAATCAACCTGAATAGTGGACCGCTTGGCGATTTACTAATATACGATTTTTATGAGCGTGGCCGGGCAGTGCTCCGGTACTTCGCCCGCGTTCTCTTCGTTTTACCCGCCAGCTAGCCTAAATTCACCTAGCAATGATCAAATAGTTGTTCGCACTTTTCTTGCTCCGCCGCACTAAATTCTTACTTGTTGTACCTTCAAGCAGACAATGCGGGGAACGTTCGTTATGTCATTCTTGGCAAGGATGCAAGCTTACGTGGAAGGGCCAAGGGATCGCCTGATTCCAAGCAAAATCCTGCACGTGTGAGGGAGTCCTATACTGGCCGTTGGATAATAAGAGTTCTCCTCTGCTCCGATTTTGTCGTGGTGCAAGGACACCGCAATGCCACCGACCACGAATACCGATTCAGATCAGCTAGACAACGGGAAGGATAAAGGTCTGGCATGTCAGTCTTGTCGGCGCAAAAAGACCAAATGCGATCGAGAACAGCCATGTGCACAGTGTGTTCGCTTCGATGTGATTTGTACATACGACGATTACCGTTTGAAACCTGGTCTCCGAGCTGGAGCAGTCGAGCGACTGCAGCGTCGCGTGGAGACGCTGGAAAACATGTTCATCGGACAAGGCATGCTCTGGCAAAAGATCTGGGATGCTGTCAATCCATCCTTGCATGAAGGTCGGTCTGAAAGTACCAAGCCTGCAGACAAGAGCCTTGGCCGGTTATGTGACGAAGTAAAACAGTCATTGTTGCGTGAAGTGACGGAAGCAGCAGCAAGTCGAAGGTCGCTGGGTTTGGATCGGAGCATTGACGAAATCGACGAGATTGAAAATGAACCAGAAACACGGCCAGAGCAAAGTCCCGCCAAACGAAGGAGGTTGGATTCTCAGGCGATGTCCAAAGAGCAACCTCTTGACCCAATGCTGGAAGTAGTCTCTCCTGCCTCCAATGGTCTGCCTTCTCGGAGCGTAATGCTGGAGCTAGTCGAGTTCCATTTCGCGAATGTTCACCCCTGGATTCCGATCCTCCATGTGAGAAGATTTCGCGAACAACTGCAAATATTCGAAGGCTGGGAAAAGGCCATCCACATTCTGCATGCTATCGTGGCGACTTGTATCCGCTTCACAAATCATCCTGACGCAGGTAGCATTGAGTCAAGAACACAGATGGCCGCTGCTAGTCGGCAACGAGTGATACTCAAGAGCATGGAATCATTCTCAGTTGAGAATTTGCAAGCATTGGTCATAATTGCCTTCGATACGGTATGTTCCAAAGTCATTGGAGTTGACTCGTCCTCACACCTGGACAGATTGGTAGCGGTCGCGGACCCTCAGCGTGGTCAATTGTTGGAAGCATGACTCGAACCGTTGAGCAGCTGCAGTTGAGTGTTGAGGACTGTCGAGATGACGAGGCAGGAAACGGTGGAGGAGAGTACCTGATCAGACGCATGGTGTTCCTGAAGCCCACGCAGCACTGGTGGCAAGCTGAGGAGCGAAGACGCGTATTCTGGACTGTCTTTCTAATGGACCGTTTCTGCAGTGTATCGACCGGATGGAACCTCGGCCTTACTACTGCAGACGTCCGACGGCGTCTGCCTTGTGAAGGAGCCTTGTGGGAGAGAGAGCAAGAAGTACGCACGCCACTATTTGGGATAGCAGATAAGGCTGGTCTCGTCCCCAGTGGAGCAAATCCACAAGACCCCGAGCCCGAGCAAGACGCCATCGGTGGGTTTGCGTATGCCATCGAGGCCACTGAATCGCTTACTCTAGTCATCAACTTCTTCCTACGTCATGCGCTTGACCTGCAAGACACGCAAAAGACACAGCTCTGGCTGATGAAATTCAAAGAGCTCGACCTGCGTCTCGTACAGTGGAAACTGTTCCTGCCGTCCAAATGGCGATCAGCCTCCGTCCTTAACGCAGATGGCATCATGGATCCCAATCTCACTCTGGCACATTTCACCCACAACACAGCGGTAATACTACTCCACCAGAGTATTGCTTATCCGCCAACGCACTGGAAAAGTTGTTCCGTGCGGTTCCCGTCTGTCAGCTCAGCAGAAACGTGTCTTGAAGCTGCCTCGGAAATTGTTACTGTGGGTAGCCAGTTTCTCGAGCACTCGTCGATTCTCGCCAATCCTCAATTTTCATTTTGTCTCTTCATTGCGGGACGAATGCTCTTTACGCACTCCAGATACGTCAGGATCCCTCTGTCTGACCAGCTAGAAAGCATCATATCGAGCTTACTCGAAATATCGCGACGCTGGGCGGGCTCCAGTACTTCAAACAATGAGAACCTCGCCTCTGTCTTTGCCAAGAGACTCATGAATGCCAAGCAACAATCACACTCCGCCACTTCACCCCATACAAGCCTCGATATTCGACAGACAGTATATTCAGACAACCCTGATCAAAGCGATTCAATCCCGACAGGGGGTTCAAGAAGGGCTAGTCGCGCACAAAAAGACATAACCGAGAACTCTCTTGGAGGACAGCCTGCCACCGGTAACCAAGGCTCACGGGACGCCATCTTGAATGGAGTCTCGCCCTCTGGCTCGCTATACGATGCCCTCAGTCTCGCCTATCCGCCCCTTCCTCTATCACTGCAGGCGCAATACGCCCCTTTGACGGAAGGACACATTATTGACCCTGCTTTGCTAGGCACGGAGCCTCACGACTCGTCTTATGACATTGAGTCGATGTCAGCGTTACATAATTCTCAATTCTGGGATCAAATCCCACAGTAGACTATGTAGCCTTTTACGTAATTTGGCCGTTGAAATGATCTTCGGACCATCTACGCTTCTCATTGGCCAAAATCCTACTACTTCAAATCCTCTCTGTGTCACCTCCTTCGTACTCGAACTCAGATGTACTGTTTCTACTCTATAATTCTCTTCAATATTCAATAATGGACCCTCTAACTTCAACTTCCGGAATCAACAACAATGTACGTGGTCCTTCACTGCGATCTATACTCTACTAGACCTAGGTTCAGAAGCATGTTCCCAAAAAGCATGAAATAATAGTCCGCATAGACTAGCCCATGATTCGCCCATCGTCTCGGGGCGTACTCATAATTGTTGATTGTCGCACCATTCAATATCGTCTCTGCCAGAACTCGCTGTCTCTTGTCCACCACACCATTTGTGCCGTTCGAGGGATGGTCAAAGAAATCAAGACCAGAGCTCACAGCAAGATAACCAGGCTCAGGCCTTTCCTCGTGATCAGATGGAAGTCCATCTTCATACGTCTGGATCCCACGCTCAGAGGGTAGGGCAACAAATCTGAATGTGGGAGGATTTAGGAATTTTGCAATTGTTCCCTCGACAATGCGCATTGCGGCACCGAGATAAAAATCGGCTTCTGCGCACTGTCCTCGCGCTCTTAGAGCTTTGTAGATTAGAAGCATGCCGCAAGATGCGATCATAGCGGCGGACGTGTCTCGTGGGGCTTCGTTTGCTCTTGGCGCATCGAAATCCCAATACGGAACCTGGTCCGCAGGCAAATGGTCGATGAAATAATCCGCAAGATCTTGAGAAGTCTGCAGCAAAGAGAGATCCCCCGTCCAATGAAACGTCTGCGCAAATCCGAGGATACCCCAGGCTTGCCCTCGCGCCCAGCAACTTTCGTCGCTCAACCCTTGGTTTGTAAGCTTTTGCTTCGGCTGGGTACTTTCGGGGTCGAAGTTCACTACATGGAAGGTGGTGTTGTCAGAACGGATGTGATGTTTTTGTGTCGTTTGTGCATGCGCAAGGGCGATATCATAGAGACGCTCGTCATCCGTCTCCTTAGCAACCCAGAATAACATGTCCAGGTTAATCATGTTGTCAATGATGACGAGGAAGTCTTTCGCTGGATCGACGAATGAATACCGCTTGGTGATACACGTATCCCAGCTACGGATCGCCTGGACTCTGGGACAAAATCGACTTGCTAGGGTGTGCGCAGCAAGCACCATGCTGCTGAACGCCCGCGCATCTCTGTGCAGATCCCAGGCCTTCGTAGCCCAGGGTGCGATCATGAATCCCAGGTCGTGTGTAGTGTTTAGAGTCGCGTTCTGATGCAGGCTTGCGGTCCACCACTGGCAGAGATGCTGGATTTGGAGTGCATGTGGACTGGGGACTTGGGCGTTGCGACCGTACTTCTCTTGCCTTTCAAGAAGAAGATACAAGGAACCTGGGAAGAAGCCTGAGGTCCAAAAACTCAAATGTCGATAGACATACGTTACTCCGTCCTTGCCGGTGTATTCGGGATAGAACGTTGGTGGCTCTGCCTGTGTATTATGTTAGCGGTTGGAGTCTACACTGTGTAATACTGAATACCTTGCCAAGGGCTCTGCTGGCCACATTCCACAACTTTGCTGCCACTGACTCTGAGTAGAGGTTGTCCGTTATCACTTTGGGGATGCTGTCGGCCGAATGCATTATGTCAACATTCCTGTGCTGCAGCTTGACCTCGGGTCTGCTTCGGAGTAAAATCTCGGGGGGTAATCAATTAATCGTCGATATGCGAATCTGGTCACCAGCCATGCTATTCTAGTCTGGAAGTGGTCCTTAAGCATCCTCATTCCGAATCGGAAGTGTGCCGAGCGATTGTCCGTAGACTTCTCAGTCTGAATGTCCCGTCTCCGTCCAGACAAATCCGGGTGGAATGCCGGACCCGTCTCCGGAGCATAATATGTCCAAGCGATAAGATCTCTTATCTCCGAGATCAGGGACCAGAAACAACTTGCAATCTCGGCAACGGATTTGATCGAACCGCTTTTCCCTACGGCAGTCCATTGCGGCTATGAGGCAAATATGTGATTCTAATCAAGTGCCTTTACCGAGTAATAGAAATAATATTAATTGAATGATACTACTTGAAGTATTCAATCAAAATAAGCTAATTATTCTTAATTAAGGTATATATAATCTAGATATCTCTTTTCAATATTTTGAATATATAGAATACTTATATATAATATTCTAGATAAGCTTTATACTTTTTTATGATATTTAAAACTAGTAGTTAGAAATTAAAATTGATTAATCTTATATAGTTTTATATATATCTATTAAATTAATTAATAAAAAAAAGGAATTGAGTCTGCCGGCAGATCCTAAGCAAGAAATCTAAGAATAATAATAAATCATATGTTTGCCTCATGGCTGCAAATGGACTGCCGTATTTCCCCACAATCGTTTGACTCCTGCCCCTGAATGGTGTCCTGTTTAAAGGTGAAACGCGTACGCGTTTGCAGATCCTGTAGATCCTTCCCAGAACTGAGTCTTCCTCGTCCATATGGCCCGGAACAGGAGAGTACTTCGTAGGATCGGTTCGTGAGGCGTTCTGTCATACGGCGTCCCTATATCGGTCTAAATACCGGGCCGTTTCAAGTGAAGATGTCATGTCTGATCCTATTGTCTTTCCCATCCCCCTTTACAGACCCACGATGGAGAGTGTAGAAGAAGCCTGGAGGAGAGGGGATTCGCGCAGCGTATATAAAGCAGATGGCAAGCCATGGATCAAAGAAGCGTTTTCAAGATGCTTATACAGCCAGCGAAACGGTTCTAGAGCTGCACAAATATCTTATCTCTATCTAAGAAATCGCAAATATGAAGTCCACCACGCTCGCAACATTATGCTCGCTCATAGCCATATCGACGGCTGACGCAGCATCGCATCTGTCCAAGCACGAAAGCAGCCGCAGCAGCTTCATCCATCCGGGCCTCCTCCACACTTCGTCGGACTTCTCGCGAATCATCGACAAAGTCTCTAGCAAGGCCGAACCATGGCTAACAGGCTGGTACAAGCTCACGAACAGCTCCTATATCAACCTGGACTACACTCCATCCCCGAAGACCATCGTCTACCGTGGTTCAGACGGTACACACTCCCAGAATTACCCTTCATTGTATAGGGACATCGCCGCCGGCTATACCATGGCCATATACTGGAAAGTCACTGGAAACACAAGCTACGCAGACAAGGTCGTCACAATCCTGGACGACTGGGCCTCAACGCTGACCGGCATAACCGGCTCGACGGATGCGGACCTCGCCGCCGGGATCTATGGCTACGAATTCGCCAACGTGGCGGAGTTGATGCGCGACTACTCCGGCTGGCCTGCCGCGAACCTGACCCGGTTCACTGACATGATGGTCGACGTCTTCTACCCCATCAACCACGACTTCCTCGTCCGCCACAATGACGCCGCCGTTGATCACTACTGGGCCAACTGGGATCTGTGCAACATTGCCTCGGTGCTCTCCATCGGGGTTCTGTCCGATAATGCTACGATGTACGATGAAGGAATCACATACTTCAAGAGCGGCGCGGGGAACGGACAGATCGAAAAAACGATCTGGAAGCTGTATGATGTGGACGGGGAGACCTTGGGTCAGGGCCAGGAAGCAGGCCGTGATCAGGGTCATTCCATGCTGGACTTCGCCCTGCTCGGCGCCATCGCGCAGACGGCGTACAATCAGGGCGATGACTTGTTTGGGTATCTAGATAATCGCATTTTGGCTGGGTGAGTGGTTTACATTTCAATGGTGTTCAAGTTGGGGTTAGAACTATGCTAATCTTCATTGCAGCGCTGAATATGTGGCGAAATACAACCTTGGCTACGACGTGCCCTACACAAATTACACCAATAGCGATGTGACGCAGACAGTCATCAGTGACAACAGTCGTGGGGATATTCGACCCATTTGGGAGCTATTGTACAACCACTATGGGCTGCTGAAGGGGTTGAACGTGACCTACACGAAGGAGTATCGGGACTTGGTCGTCAAAGACGGTTCTGGCGCTGAGGGTGGTGGCGGCGATTATGGCAGTACAAGCGGTGGCTATGATCAGCTGGGCTACGGGACATTGTTGTACACACTTCAGTAGATCTGCTGCTCTTAGGCCCATCATTTGGAAGATATCCTTCACCGCAAAAGGGTTGTCCCATTGCCGCATAGTATGCTTTGCCCTTTGCCAAATATATAAACCCGTAAGCCACCAGGCGTTCTTCTGTGTACTGAAAGACACTCCGTGGCTTCCAAGTACTTCATGGCTCTCTTGATGAAAGCATTTACATATCTGTTCAAGAAATCCTCCCTGTAAAAAATCTCTCTGTGCTGTAAATGCTGCATTTTCTTCGCTTGTGAAGCGCAGCATGAAGCTGACGGCTCGATACATAATAGAACACATGGAGCGAAGAGATGCAACACATATAGATCATGGAATGCCTTAAGAAAAACACCGCAAGCCTCTCAAATGAAGGTGGCTCATATTCTGTACATTGTCTAGGCAGGAACTTCAAAAGGTTGCGGCGACCGATGCTACTCGGGAGTGGCATTGCCTTATTGATGGAGACTGTATAGGATACGGTAAGATACGGTACTAAAACCTTGGCGTCAAACTCGGCTCGCTTAGCACTAGCGCCGTCGCGCAAAAGAAGGAAAATATAAAAGGCGGCCACACCCCGATCCTCTTTTGAAAATCAAGCGACTCTACGTGAGTTTTACCCCCCCTACTATTGGCATCACCATGAGCACTCCTGCTGACCACTTTCTCTGCCACAGTTCAAAGAATCACTTTAGAGTAGACGTCCCACCTCTGAGCTCTTCTAAAGAGCCACAGAATCCTCACCCTTGCTGATGACTGCTATGTCCTCGATGCCCTAAAGTGAAGCCGTGATACTTCCGACTCGACCTTGCCTGCGACGCGCTCTGTTACGATCTCTCTTCGGAGGGGCTTGTTTCGGGCGATTGGCCTTGCAACCGGTCCAGGGAGTGGTGATGATCTTTACCTTGTCGTGACGTCTTGACTTCGGTCGGTCTGACTTGGTGGGTGTCGAGGAGGTCTGAAAGGTGCCCCTTTTTCACTTTTTTTTTTTATCTATCTTATTACAATCAAATGAAATCTTTGCATGACAACTTTGGATATAATGGTAGACCACTAAGCCTCCGATTACTCTCACGCGCTTCGATCGTCGCATCCATGTCTAGAATTCCAGGATCATCGCTAGTAAAGCGGCGCAACAGACTTTCACTCAGAGGGACCCAACCCAACGCACTCCCGCTAATATCCCACGAACTACCGCTAAAATCTCTGTCGGTTGTATAAATGGTCGGGCGTAGGCCCGTACCCGAAACAGTCCGTGATAAAATTCATGTACACCCAGATCCCCTCGTAGTGCTCGGGCGACAGATCCTTCTTGTCCTGCGCGCGACGATCACGGTGCCGATGCCCGACTGCCACTGCGGCAGCGCCAGACACGATACCGGTTCGGCGTGGATGTAAGTGATGGGTTGGTAGTCGAGGCAGCCAAATGTCCCGTTAGCTTGCGTGCCCACGCGGTGGATGACTACGGGGAACTCGAGCAGCGCCGGCACAGGGTGGTACAGTATTGTTGAAGACGGCGTGGTCTGAGGGGATGTTCGTGGCTTCCCATGGGAGACCTTTGTCGCCACTACAGCGGACGATAGCCGCTTTGACGGTGCCGCTCGAGGACGAGGGGAGATTGTGGTGGTAGCGGTTGTAGATGAAGCTTTCGGAGTCATTGCCGGCGCCGCGGTTGGCTTTGACGCGGGCTTCGAGGGAGCGCAGGGCGCAACATTTTCGGACTCGGAATCCGTGTCGATGTTGTCCCATTTCGAGTAGTCGATTAGAGGCATTTTGCACCCCCTCCCCCCCCTCGTTTATTTGTCGATTCCGGTGATTTCAGTGAGGGGTAAGGGTGGCATGAAACTCTGGTCGTGCGGGAAACGGATAAAAGCCAAACGACTGATAATGCGAAAAATTCTTGTGGCTGCGGTCCCATTTCATACAAGTAAAAGGCGACTGACAAAAGCAAAAACATACAACAGAAGGGATTCGCTGGTGGTCACCCACCCAACTACTAACCTCCCGGCGTGTGGCTTAAGTACGGCTGAGCGGACGGGAAGCCCTGTTTTCCACACCCTATGGTCGTATGTGCTTGGAGATTCTGGCATTGCAGATTTTTGGAACAAGCAACAGGCTGGTAGATGGAGAGATCCTCTGTCCAAGACGCAGTGGAGGCTGCCATGAAACAGAATGGTGGTTCTGACAGCTGTCCGACTGCAGTGCCATTGGCAATTCCAGATATTTGGTGTCTAACATGTGGCCTAACTCAACGAGAAGCCACTGTGCTCTGGACCCTCGGTTAGGAGCTAAGCCTGCGTGAAGAAGAATACTCACTGATGGTCAACGTACAGTACAATGTGCGCTGGAGGAAAGGAAGATGCCAAGGCACCAGTAGTATTGATGGTGATGGTGATGAGCGAGAGCGCGGCTGATGATTCGAAGGGCGGAGACAAGCTTGTCTTTCATATTTCCTCCCCCCCCCCCCCCCCCCCCGGGCCTGGGACACAGTCCTTGCACAAAAGAAAAGACTGTTCGATGCCATAGCTCTTGTCACGCGGCCGCCGAAACGAGCTCCGGGAGATCTTGTTCTGTATCACAATCTCTAGTAGATGGAATGGTTGAGGTCCGCTTACTCAAACTATCTCCCTCTTGCTTACTGTTGATGTTAGCAGGTGGCCTCAGTTCCCGTCCAAGGTGACTGACAGCCAAACTTTTACATGACCATGGATCATCATTTGGAAAAAGATTTCCTGATTTAGCAACAACTGGTCACTTCAGTGGAGTTTGACGGGAATTTGTTTTAGAATCAGGAAATGTTTCAGCCCGAAAGATGAATTATAAACCCAGATCTACCCACGGCCGCAGTTGGCTCGGCGCGACGATTCTGTTCGGGGCAGCATCTGGTTTAAAACTCCCTGTGTATGGTTATTCCTTGCTTACTCTGAGCCTTTCACATTGAGCCTGTTGAGGATTACTTACCTGAACCCTGTGCCATAACGCAGGGAATCAGTTCACGACCAAGGCTTTTCAAAGCCAAGTTCCGTCTTCGAAGTCAACTCCATCAAAACATCATCGGATTCGAGTGTAAAAATGTGGCGGAAGCTCTTTCGAAACATTGGGATACCAGCTCAGATGCACCATATATTCACATCGTATCATAGCACCTACATTGTGCTGCAAGTTGCAGGGGGAAAGAAGACTGTTCAGTCCTGATAGAGATTGATTCGAAGCAGTATTAGATGATAGTCATTGATACAACCGTCATCCCTAAGGGAACTGAAAGTCGCAGTTCCCACTTAGTGTATTTATATGTACTCAATGCAAAGGGGAAAAGAGCTAGAAGAGGTATATCTGACAAGGAGAAGGCTGAACGCGATAAGTCAGTCCCATTGACGCCAGAGTAAGCACTTGCCCCGAAATGGTTCGACATGGTTCTCTTATCATACCTGCGCTTATCCCGCTGGTCAACGACAATGACTATTTAGGCAGAAGGAAATCCCACATCAGTCATTGTCGCGTTCATCTAAGAAACCTCACCGTCTCTTCTTCACGTATACACTCATTCTTAGAGGTAAAATTCTAGTCGGAACGATGAGCGAACCGAACGTGTTGACAGCGACGGCTACGCAACTCAGTCATCTCCTACAGTCGGGCCAAACGACTAGTGTTTATATTGTCAAAGCATGTCTCGCGCAGATAGAGAAACATAACAGGGCTGGACTGAAGCTGCATGCATTGATATCTGTGAATGCCGATAATGCTCTCGCCCAGGCAGCCGATCGCGACCGTGAAAGGTCCCAGGGCAAGATACGCAGTCCGCTTCACGGTGTCCCAATTATCTTGAAAGACGCTATCATCACGTCCAAATGCCTTGAATTGCCGACCTCAGCCGGGGCTTACGTTTTCAAAGATACCTACGGACGACAGAATGCAGCGGTGGTGGATCTCCTGCTGGGCAAGGGCCTGATCGTCATCGGCAAGGCGAGCATGACTGAATTTTGTGGACTCAAGGCTACATGCATGACGGCTGGCTGGTCGGCCGTGAATGGGCTCACTCAATCTGCCTATATAGCAGGCGGAATTCGCCCTGATGACCTGTTCGTCGGTCGCTCTGGGCCAGGTGGTTCCTCCTCGGGGTCTGCGGTTGGTGTATCTGCGGGCTTCGCGCCGTTATCTCTGGGTACGGAGACCTCAGGGTCAGTCTGTATGCCTGCCAACCGAGCGGGCCTGTACTCCATCACTGCTAGTCGGGGAACACTTCCGTTGGATGGTATATTCAATTTAAGCAGGCATTTCGACAAGTTGGGCGCAATGGCCAAGGCACCAGAGGACTTGGCTTTGCTGATGGAATTGCTGAATGGCACCCGCCAGGAGCCTTCACGGTGGAGCGATATCTCAGTGGGATTCGTTGATCCCCTCATCTGGGACGCTTTTGACTTCCAGAAAGAACAAGATCAAGATGTGGAAAGACAGATTGTAAGTGCTGGTCGCGCAAGATTGCCATTTTTGCTCACTTTGTCGCAGCTCGATGAGTACGAATGGGCAAAAACGCAGATCACTCAACGGGGTGGTCGAGTCGTGAATCCAGTTGAATTGCCGACCATGGAAAATCTTCGCTTCGAAGGCAAAAGCGTGAATTACATGGTGGCTTGTAAGATTCATCATAAATGGCCACGAAGGTTGCATCTAATGGCCAACCACAGACCATGAATTCCCCAAACTGTTTCAACGCTTCTGCGCTCTTCTGGACAATCCCAAAGTCACGTCGGTCTCAGAGCTCATTGATTACAATCAACAACACGCCTCTTCTGCCCTGCCCGAACGTGAGCACATGCTTGTGAAATAACAATGTAGTTCCTGCTGACATCTTCCAGCACATACAGATCAAACCGATCTTATCGCGACACTCAACTCTTCCTTGGATGACGAAACTGCAGCCACAGCCACGGCTCTCGCGCAACGGTTAGCTGGTCTTGACGGTATCGATGCAGCCCTACAGGCTAATAGAATTGACTTGATCATTAGTCCCGGGGACTGCGCAATTTGCGCGGTCGCAGCTCTGGCTGGATACCCTACTGCCATGGTGCCTCTTGGCCGCTTGGGAGGTCCAGGTGGAATGGGACAGCCTCAGGGTTTGATGTTGATTAGTGGGAATGGTGGTGAGGCGAAACTGCTCCAGTTCATGCATCTGTGGAAAGAGGTTATCGGTGGTTGGAAGATCCCTCCTTTGCTGACTTGACCGTCATACTGTCCTGGCATTAATGCTCTCTGCCAAACTCTTCCAGTCTACAACTAGTTGGTCTATCGGGATGATTACCTCGGTAGTTTGGAAATTTAAGATTTGCTTATTCCCCCGAAGAGCCCAGTAAGGAGAATGTGTCCTGAATTGTCTCATTTTACAGCTGGATTGGGAACTTAAGACGCATCATAGGTACAAGAGAAATGTTAAAAGACCAAGCACCCCATACCCAAGAAGAAATAGAAAGAAGAAAGCTTTTAAAGGGTGCTCTGCTCTGTTCAAGAATGCTTTTCCATCACACAATACTCTTTTTTCGCTCTCCTGGATATCCACAGAAACGCGCATGCTTGCGACAGAGTCTTCTGAGTTATTCACTTAAGCTAGTTGCCTGGATCACCCTTCATCAGGCACTTTGGCAGGACAGGTTTCTGTAGCTGGAATCTGCTGCCGTACAGCTGCATGCGCGATGATGTAGACTTTATCACCCGCAGTACAGCCGGTGGCGGAGATCTCGGGAGATGTCCAGCTTGTTCCCGACAAACCCTCTGCGACCACGGTGTATGATCCAGGTCCACAATTGGTTGGCTTCTTGCAAGAGGCATACACGTGTGCTTGAGTAATTTCCCAAACTTTGCTCGGTGGATTGTTGGTCAGCGTGTATGTGACTGTGACTTTCGTCCCGGTTATGGTGGCTGTCCACTGGCCGACGTCAACGCCCTTGGAGATATCGTTCTGGCCTGCGCCAGCCCAGAGCGTCCCGCTGACTGACGAGGATGTCCAACTGTACCACCCCCAGCGATTGCTACATTGTGGCACCTGCAAATTGTCGAACGTGATTGAGCGGGGCTCCTTTCCAAATGCGGTCTCAGCGTCACACCACTTGGTTTGGGGCGGAGGCTCTTCTGTACATCCACAGGCAAAGTTGAACTTCCAGTATGTGAACCAAGGTTTACAAGTGGACTTAATGCAAGCGCCTGGGTTCCCCCCTGTTCCAGTCTCGGATTTGGTGGGGTTGCTGATACTTGCGTGAGTGACGATGTAATATGGTGCCCCGCACTTAGTATCCGGTGGAATTAGCGGAGGAAGATCAGCCAACGGGATAGTGCAGGTTGCTGTCTGCCCCGTGATCTTGCAAATCGACGGGGTCTTGTCCGAGGAATATGGATACTGTCCAGGAGCCGTGCCTGGATTGTCATCTGTTGGCTGTGATGTGCCAATCCACACATGGACTGTGTTATAAGTGAAATCTTCATACGCGGGGTATGAAACGATAATCGCATCCTTTGCCTCGTTCAGGGAAACACAAACTGCTTTTCCGGTTACCTTCTGGCCAACCAGCCAGTCAGTGCAACTCGGGTCGGTGATAGCAGTGACGCTTGGAGTGCATACGCGTTTAACACTGGTTCGTACAACATGAGTCTTTGTCGGTCCTGCAACGCAGATGTTGCTAAACAGGCCCAGGAAAAGAGCAACTAGGATCATCAAGCGAGACATTTTGAAGTGGCGACATCAAGTAAGACTGGTAGGTGGAAATATCCCTAGTCAAAGAACAGAGCAGAGATACGGCTTGAATTAATAGTGGAGACCGAAGTGCACAGGATGCGTGAGGGATATCTGGTGAAATCTGGTATAGGCACTTTTGCACTAACTGAAGAGCTTCCACGGTACAGCTTCTGCTATACGACAGAGTAAGAGGAACAGCATTGTTTTCAGGCTTGGCACTCTTCGTGCTACTCAAGTGCTGAATCATACGGTCAACTGATCGCATCTCAATTGCGATATAATTGCCTGGCCTCAGGAGAAGGAAGGCCAAGCCCTTCGTAAATAGTGATCGTAAACAGCCTTCAAATGTTGGAATTGACATTGATTGGAAGAGAAGATAGGTCCACCTAGCTGCGGTGAGTCTGAACGAACCGTCAGAGATGAGTACCACAAGTTGCATTGGACTGTGAGGCGAGATACCTGGATCCAGTGGCTCGGCCAGGCTGTCTTCGACTGATGGCTCACCTCTCAGGTAGCCTGTATTAAACTTAGTATGAACCAAGACGATCAAGTCCCAGGGTACGTATTTTGTATACGAGAGCAAGAGATTCCACTCTAATTTTAGGTCTTTAAGGCTGGTTCATCTCGGCGCCGATTAACTTTCCGTTTAAGCTCAGCATCCTTGACCTGCACAATGTATCCATGGATTACTGATCGACAGTTTTAGCCGGGTCTCAATGACCTGATGTCATAGACTACTAGCCAACTATTATTACTACGTAATAATAGAATAAGATTTAACAGCTGCACGTGCCACTTATCAATAAGGACCCCTGGTACAAATCTGCATAAACCAGGATCCCCTACCGGCCGAGACTGTTGACGATTACACTGAGAGATCGACTGTCCTTGCCGAGTATGACAAGTGGACCAGTAATACGGCATGTAATTCTCGCAGAGAATGGTCCCTAAGCCCCTGAGATATGCTTCGAAGAGAGGCAGGAGAAGGGGCCTTGTGGTTGACTGAGTCAACCAGGTGTTCAGGGTGTTCAAGTATACATTATAATTGCTTTCTCTCTCAGCAAGCAGACAAACCTATCCACGTCGGAAATGAGTCCCACAAATACTAGTATCCAACATCCTCTTAGTACAGGTTTGGGATGCGTCACACCACCGCCCGGCCGACCGAGCCAAAGCATGTGGAGAGCTTGACTAGTCTGACCTAGAGCTTTACATACGAACACGAGGACTTGGCAATTTCGCAAAGCCATGGGTACTTCTTATGCTGGAGGTCATTTTCTAATGGCGGTCTCGGACTGAGCTCAAGACCTGAACCTTCAATACATGATTGTTTCGACCCACTAATCATAACTATTGGAATTGACGACACTGTAATCATGCACGCGAGCATCACGCTTCCTAGAGATTCTCTTGTTTTATACTCTCCGCTTTCATTCATATTGTATCCTACGTCTGAAAATTCAAGCCCAGTTATTCTGGGCAAACAATGACACCTTGCCGGGTTGTGATTCGAACGGGTGCAGTAGAATGACGCCGAGAAGAAGATGCAGCTCAAAGCCATATGTATGAACGATAACAGAGCGCTCTGATAAAGAACAAAACAAACACGAGGAAGGTCTTCGCCCCTCCCCATGAGACGAGTAGAGTGTACAGAAATCTCGTATTACGTGGGGTGCAAAAAACGGACTCGGATGCTCTATTTTGCATTCAGTTAATCTTCAATGGGAGAGTCCAGTGGAGGGCTCGGGTCATTCTTCTCCACGAATCATATACTAACCATCACACTGCTGATTCGAAAGGAAGTGGGTAGCGGTGCGAACAACTTCCGTCGGAACGATGAGTACTGAGACCCATAGTGTGATCGGCTCGTCATCAAGAATGTTTGGTCTCGTCGTTTATAAGGAGAGTCTATGAGTTATACTGTTTATCATATATACAAACGGGACATGGAAGGAGCAACCACCGCTTGGGAGGTAAAAGTACAATGGCAATAGTATGGGTCCTCCGTCTGAGAGCCGGTCTCAGTAGTGGTTCGGGTTGGCCTCTCCTGGAACACACGCGAAGCCCCTGTGTCAACGACTCCACCCCACATGAGTGGGTGGAGAGCAGCATCTTTGTCACCATCCGGGGGATGACACGCAGCGCTGATTGCAGCGCTGCAGTGCGCGGCGATCGGCATGGGAGACTTGAACCGGCGCGCGCCCAGGATGAGCAGCGTGGACAATGCCATCCCTAAGAGAATTAGAGTCAACAGGATAGCCATGGGGGAAAATCCACATCCGTCGGGCGAGTCATTCGGATCGAATTTGCCAAATACACTGTACACGTTCCAGTCGACCGAGTAGAAGCTTTCCGAGAGCAGCCAATGCATGGCCGCAGACATAATGAATAACGGTACACTGTATCGCGCCGGTAAAGTGAGGTAGTAGGTAGACCGTTGACTGCCCTTTGGCCAGGAAACGCGGAGAGGCTTTCGCTGGGTTGCGTAATCGTTGTACTCGGCCGTGACCAGCATGCACGATAACAAGTTTTTGCTGAGGAAATACAAAATCGAAAAAAATAGCTGCGGTGAATTGGTCAGGAGCACCAGGGCCAGAATATTGCTGGTGCCGAAATTCAGACCCGTTTCGAAACTGGGGCTGCCAAATCCCAGTGACCACTGATCAGCCAGAGACCATTGACTGAGACTGACTAGGGCATGATACCACCAACTGGGCAGGCCGATACAGATGGAGTATCTGAGGAGGACATCATGTTAGTGCGTGAGGTGATAGGGTTTGAATGGATAAAACCGACAGCAGAATAGCCCATATCCAACGTTTCCAACTCGCTGCCTGGAACCAGCGTTTTCGGCCGGACAGCTTTCTTGGAGAATGCCCGTGCAGCCCAGGGCGGAGCGTGTGTCCATCTTCCAGACGGATGTCGGCCAAGTCATCCAACTGTATCGATCGAGTTCTCCGTCGAAGAAGTCCCACGCGATCGGGTAATGGCTCCCATTGATAGGGACCCTGTGTCATATCTGCCCGCGACATGAGGCAACGGCCCTGGGTGTTTGTATCGGGCTGGCTCAAGAACGACGCTACGGCGTCGCCCACTCGCAGCAATATCCCCGGACGGTCTGTCCGAGCCGCTACGAACATACATATGGCCTTGATGATGTTGCATACGATGACGGCGAGTGCGATCGATGGACTGAAAAGTAGTTCACACCGCTGGCTTGCGCGCTTGGCCATACAGTGGGAGATCGGAATATCTTTTGCTAGATCCAGGTCCATGTATCCCCAGTCCACAGTGAGGTTCCAGGTCATGCCCTGTGCAGTCCAGTCGTTATTTGCGATCGCATCCTTGGCGATGTCAGTCCCGTCCCCGCTGGTATAGTCGTAAATCGAGGTGTAGCCATCCATCAGTGCGCTGAGGCTACTTTCGTTGTTGAAGTATCGCCTCTCAGCCACGAAGATCAAGGTACTCAGCTGAGTGTTGTACTGAACATCATAGTTATTGAGACATTCTTCGTTGGTCATATTCATGAAAGTGCCATTGAATATTTCGGTCAGGACTATCTCGGGCGTGCTACCCACTGCCGTGTAGAACTGATTAGGATAGTTCGCCTGGACCAGAGGCTCTGTCGGGCTCAAATCATTCGGAATCAAAAGCATGCCGTAGTTGTAGGTGACAATCGACGCATAAACCACTGAATTGTATCTGCGAGGACAGGAGTCAGTACAAAACTGCCTTTTATGGAGACATGGTTTTCACCAACAGCATATGGATTGGCGTCGAGCTGAGGAGGAGCAGTATCCACAGGATCTTTCGCTTAGTGTTCATAATGCGAAAGTTGCGCCAGCTCACGACTCCAATGTCCAGCCAACGACGCTGCTTGTGCGCCTGATCGACATCCTCCCTGGTAGGGGCGCAGACGCACTGCATGGCATGACTGCTGGCCGTCAACAGGGCGGTTGAGAAGATATTAATCACAATATGGATGCCTGTCGCCCAATGACTCGTTCGATTGCAGTGCCCATGATACAGCTGAAACCGGGAGAAGCTGCGCGCATGAGATGGTCTCGAATAAGCGATCCCCACTGCGACGAGGGTGAAGATGACATTGGCACCTGCGATTCCCATGGCGATGTAAGCGCAGAACAAAGCACCCTGCATCCATTCTTGGCCCGGTGGACGCCGCGCACGAGTATATCTGCGGGATCTTGCCCGGGTCCGCCATGTTGCACGACTCCTAGCGAATAAAATGAAGGGCCTTAAGATTGAGTATCCGGCCAGCGGTGGCCAATTCCAGGGTTGGGCGTCTTCCAGGCCGGTGGTCGTTACAGTCGGACCCTTTGGTCTTCCCCACAGCGCCCCCAACCTCATGGTAAGCAGGTCATTGGGGGTCAACGAGCTTAACACAACTAAGGTGTGCGCGAATACATTGCTTTGCTCGGTAAGATCGGGGGTCCGAAGTGGTTTAGAAGCGAGTTTTGAACGATTTGCGCAGGCCCGCCTCCTTACGCACTCTTTGCCCCCGACCTCGATTAGCGCCCTTCTAAGAAAAAAATAGCAGTGATGGCTGTGGTCCCGTGATTGGCAGAGCCCTGGGAGAGCGCTCCACTGGCAATTCTATTCTGGGATGAGCCTATCCGGCCACAGTTGCCAAGATCGGGTCTTAGGAACGTGCACGGTGCTCAGTGCTGCGCATTTAATTCCCCTTGCCCTCGTTCTTTTCACCGGACTCTTGGCGTTTTGTCGATCAGTTAGTCAGCCCCCTAAGGCTGCGAGTTACCGCCGCTCCCATCTTGTCCTGTCGAGTCATTATCAACCATAGATTTACAACTGGGCCAAAAATTTCTGATAAGCCAGGTATTCGTAGATGAATCCTCCGTGGGTAGATCCAAAGGAGACGGCACTGTGAGGCGTCCACGGTTAGTTGTACTACCAAGGCTCAGGGCTATCGATGTTTCTTTCCATTTTCTGACTTGAGAATTGCACTTAACCATTTGGAGTAATGGCGCAGCCGCGGGCCCGCGGGCCCACCTTCTCCACTGGGAACTGTAGTTTTTAGCCACAGAAACATCACAGCGAACAGCTGAAGGGTATAAATCATTTGGCAACTCGGATGAGCTCTTTTGTCCCTGCTGCCGATTAGTGTGTATATTGCTCTTTTGCTTGGCATGTGTGTTGAACAACTTGTGCACCAATGCCTGTTCGGGGGCAGTCAGGGGGAAGGAGACGATGCGGTAAGATTGATGAGAAGCTGGCAGGGCGATAAGGGCGATGCATGCAATGCGAGATGGTTAGCATCACGGTGAGATACAAGGGGTAACAATACACAGACCTGCTAGAGTATTTGGTGGAGAGAGGTGCGTTAATCTCGGGTCAAAATCCATCAAGTTGGCTACTTATCACGCCATTCCCGTGATTGTGAGGTTATCCTCAGACGAGCCAGGGAATGCCTTTGTTTTCCCCGTTCCATCTTTTCTCTCTCCTTCAGAGAAAGTACACATCCCTAAGAGATCATGTATAGTATTTACTAAACTCCACCTGACCTCATCTTTGCGGCAAGCACACCATTGGAAAGTTCATTAGACAATCGCTCTCGGCCGACAATACATTCGTTCACCGTATTCGAACAAGGATAAGCATACTCACGCGGATTCTGGTCCAAATGTGCTGAATGCTAGTGGCCCATCCAGGTACGTATCTTCTCTTTAGTCGCGCTCATTACTACGCTTGAAATGACGTGCTGGCTAGAGTACTGCGTGCCATGTGAGCATTGTCTTGCTTTACTCCAGAATGATGGTGTCCAATATATATATATTTGAGGGGAGCTGAAATGGGAAGAGAAGGTTCTCTTCTACTTATCAACGCAACAATATTTCTTCAACTGTCTTACCATGTATCTACTCAAATGGAACAGGCTGACCACTTTCGAGTCAATTGATTATGTCACTACAACACAAAAGAGGCTTCATCGTCCTTTGATATCGAGCAACACGAGTCCCGGCATCCCGTCGACACTAAACCGGTCAAGTCGCTGGGCGCAGGGGTATAAATAATACATTGATAGTGGGAGTTATCGCTAACGTTACCCTCAGTCGGTTCTCGCACTCGGCGCGTTTGGCACTACCCTGACAACGCTGTCGTTGAGTCTGATGGAATGGCGTGGAGTCACCACGACCAATGTCTATGTAGCCAACTTCTTTATCGCGGTCTTTGGGCTAGTGGTGACCGCTAAGTGGGAATTCTCCATCGGGAACGGGTTCGCATATACGGTGTTCAGTGCATTCGGTAAGTACCACGAATGTTCTGTTGGACGAAATGTTGGACAGGATACCGATGACCTGAAGGTCTCTTCTATGCAGGCTACGGAGCCATCCTAACCCCAGCCTTCGGGATCGAAAAAGCATATGGGAGTGATATTGTCCAATACAGCAACGCGCTTGGATTCTTCATGATCATGTGGGCGGCCTCCGTCTTCACTTTTTTCGTTGCGTCCCTTCCTAGCAATCTCGCCTACATCGCTGTGTTCTTTTTGGCTGACCTGGGCTTCTTGACTGTAGCAACAAGCCATTCCGCAGAAGTCGACAGACACAATACAGCTTCGATTGTGCTAAAGAGAACAGGAGGAGTACGCTGCTTTGTTGTAGATTGATTGGGTGGTATATTGTTTTACATCTGCTGCTCCAAGAGTCGATTGTTGGTCGCCCTTTGGGGGACACATCGCGCTACCTTGGCAAGATATAGAAGAGTCAGAAGAAGTATTAGTCTGGAAAAGGATGTTGAGGGATAATTCCTGTATAAGTTGTACTGCCCAAGTTACAATGACTAGCTTGGGAAGATTAGCATAGATATGAGCACTTTACAGCGTGTTTGCCTCAGGCCTACAGGCAGCAGTGCGCGAGTGACCGGCGGCTGCTTATCGCTTATCGCTTATCGTTTATCGTTTATCACCGACCGGGTGTTGTTCTTTCTTCTTCCCTATTCTCCTCCTGTCAACACCACCACAATTCCACCAACTCAGCCACAGTGGGTCAGAATGGGGAATATTCGCATTGACTCTCTACCACCAGATCGTCTCCTTGCTTCGAAAGGTGAGCACCTTGTGCTGTTCCCTTTTGATGGAATGTCCCCTGACAGCATTACCCCAGACTGTCGCCTGTGCACCAAGCGGCGCATTCGATGCGACCGCATCCTCCCTCACTGCCACAAATGCACCTCGCGCAAGCTCTCTTGTCCCGGTTTCGATGCATTTCAGCTAAAATGGACCCTTGTGGCTACACAGAAAACGGGAATGACGAGGCTACCACTAAGCACCTCAGAGAACGCTCCCAATGGCGTGGTGGAAGCGCCGACCGAGGCCGCGGTCGCAGCAGCCCCCAGGCCCTCCATCGTAGACCGACTGCAAGAGCTGCAGCCCAAATCGCATATCGACTCCGATTCGCACGAGCATGTCTGGCGCACACCATGTCCGACAACGGACTACAATCTCATACAGCAATACTCGTCAACTTCCTTTTGCGACAAGCTGCTGCACTACTCCCACTCTACGGTGATTCCCCGCCTGACGTGGTTGGATAGTGTGGATACTCCATGGAGAAAAGCCATTCTTCCGCTGACTTCCCGCTCGGTCTCTCTCCGATTGTCCCTGCTCAGTCTAGCCGCCGCTCATCTGTCAGTCACATCTGCTCCAGGCAGTGCACAGGCAATCGTCGCGCAAAGGGCCTACCCCGCTCTCAGAAATGGCACCCTTCGAACCCTTAACCACGCAATCAGCCGTGCATTCAGCCAACGCCACCATAGTCATCAGAGCGCTGCTGACCAATACTGTGACCTTGGTAGGCACCAGTGGCCAATCTGAGAATGATGACCCAATTGAATGGACGGGTTAAGCTCGTTTTACATCAGATGCCCGTAAGCTCGCTTGTAGATGCAGTTATCCTCATGCTAAGTTCTTCAGGCGCCTATAATGTGTCAGGCTCTTCTTTGCTGATACATGATGCAACAACGGTAGAGATGTATTTCGATGTAGAATCGAACTTTAGATACTCAGCCATTACCGAACGTGAGAAAGAGATGCACCGGAAAATAGACAGTGCATACAACCTTGGCTATGACGCTGTGAGGAATGCGGCCGTTGCTGACACCGAATCCTTGTTGGATCGGGTTACGCTCGACCTGGGTCAATCACATCACCAAACGGGTGGGCAAATCTTCCAATTGACCAGCGCATCAGCAATGCCCGCAAGACTTATACCGACGTGCAGTTCACTGTTCTAGTGTTCAAATCTGCTGCTAGCCGCATCGTCGCGCACTATCGATAACGCAAAATCGCTTCCCGCGAACCTCCAGCGAATATGGAACAGCTCGACGTCAGCTCCGTGGGGAGGCAATCCCACCATGAATATCAACATTGAGATGAATTACTGGCCCGCTGGGCCCACAAACTTGATTGAGACCGAAGAACCTTTGTTTGATTTGATGAGTGTTGCCGATACTCGTGGGCGGTCGTTAGCCGAACGCATGTATGGCTGTTCCGGCACAGTCTTCCATAATAATCTTGATCTTTGGGGAGATCCAGCGCCGTCGGACAACTACACTGCATCGACTATGTGGCCAATGGGAGCTGCTTGGCTGGCATGTCACATGATGGACCACTATCGCTTCACTGGCGACACAGCATTCCTCCGAGATGTCGCTTATCCGTTCTTAGTCAACGTCGCCACATTCTATGAATGCTACGCCTGCAACTACGAAGGGTACAGGGTAACTGGTCCATCCTTGTCGCCAGAAAAGAACTTCTACGTCCCCGCAGGCGAGACCGTTGCCGGCACGTCCCAGAGCGTGGATATAGCCCCCGCCATGGACAACCAGCTCATGACAAAGGTGTTTCGCAGCGTCATCGAATCGGCTTAGATCTTGGGCATCAATGACACCGCTGCTCAAAGCGCCACGAGATCCTATCTCTGATCCAGCCCCCACCAATCGATTCGTTAGGACAGATTCTGGAATGGCGCAAGGAATATAAGGTAAAGGCCATCGGCTAGAAGCATCTTTCTCCCTTGTGGGCTCTCTTTCCCGGTCGGCAATGCAGTCCGCTGTTGAACAAAACCCTCGGGACCGCGGCGGAAGTGCTTCTGGACCGACGGGTCGCTCACGGGTCCGGTTCAACAGGTTGGTCTCGGACCTGGCTGATCAATCAGTATGCCCGGGTCTTCCGCGGCGACGATGCATGGGAGCAATTAATTAAGTAGTTTGCGGTATATCCCACGCCATTCAACCTCTATAACACAAATCAAGGTCCGGTTGGTCCGTCCTAGTTCCAGATTGTTCCGTTCTTTTGATGTACGGCCAAGGTGCACTTGTACCAGGCTGCCACTCTAGCTCAAATCGGTACTCCCCCAGCCCTAGGCTCGGACTCGTTCCACCCGTTCCTGAAATTGGTGGTGTTTGTAAGCTAGCTTTGAGCAACTGAAGTGTTAGAAAATACTTGAATCTTCCAGATAGATAACCTCCCCACCCTAGTCAAATTATATGGAAGCCCCTCAATTTGCTCTTCCGATCAATCTGCACCGTCGCTGAGGCCTCGAGCGCCAGCAGGCTACTGGGCTGGGCCCAAAGGACTGGGAAGTCAATGCCAGTGCTAGTGCAAAGACCTCCACGCTGTCCAATGCTCTTGGCGCTCACATTACTCTGGTGACCGGCCGCCCTTCCAGGAGGGGGATATGATACTCCCGCTCGAGAAACCGTTCTCGCCACCTAGACCATTGTGATCACTATGCCCATCACCTCTTGGGGCATAGCTACGGCTATCTCTGTTCCCGACGGTGTGGACGCAGTCAGCGTGAACGGAGAGCCAGCTGCAATACTTCTGCCCGCAGGAGTCTCCGGCTCCTCAACAAGTAGCACAGGATATACCATTGAGACCTTCCACCTCTACCTCTATTGTCGACGACAGCAGGTTCCGTGGCTTCTAGGACTAACGCCTTTGAGTCCGCCGTTCACTGGTAAAGCGTTCGTGAGCCGCTTGCCCATGTCTAACACTCTGGGGACGATTGGAGCTCTCGTGGTTGCTCTCCCGCTCTAAATACAGCGCCTGTCTCTAGAATGAAACTGTTACACCCACTACAGCTGAAGTACCGTCGATTTGAGCATTCGTTTGTCCGGCCTGATCAAAACTATCCTGTACCGTCCCTCTCTCAGAATGAGATCTATCAGAGCTTGCTGCTCCTTGAACCAAGCGCTTCGTCTTTCGCGAATCTATAATAATACTCCAGACTCTGAGGATTGAGCAAGGTACCAGACGGTTTGATAATCTTTCCAGAGACAATCTGCTTGACAGGGAGTTCTACCTTCTTCCCATTGACGGTGGTCTATGATTGCATTGTCAGTATCTACCTCCATGTCATGTCACGGACGAGGAGCACTAACCGGGATCTCCGGGGTTGGAAAAACGAATGCCGGGACATGTCGAGGACTGAGCTTTCGACGAATCACGGTCTTGATTCTCTGAACCAGCTCTTCCGTGAACCCAAATCCGGGTTTCATGAGAAGGAACAAGATCACTCTTTCATCGCTATCCGAGGGTCGCCGCTGACCAACGCAGATGGAATCGACTACCTCTTTTGCAAACTCCTCCTCGATGACTTGGTAGATTTCCGATGACCCAAACCTGACACCAGATGGATTCAAGACACCGTCCGCGCGACCGTGAAAGACCAGCTGTTTTGTCACAGGATGAATGGAAACGAAATCGCCGTGTGTCCAGACTCCTATCGCTGTGTCAGTGGTTTGGGGTAAGGAATCGATGCAGCTGGGGTGGGCCTACCCTCGAAGCGGTTGAAATACGCGTTCTGATATTTTTCTGCGGCGTCTGCTCCCCAGAATCCGACGGGAACATTGGGGAACGCAGCGGTAGCTACCAAATCTCCAGATTCACCGTGAGAGACGGGTTTTCCTTTCACTCTCTCTCCTTCGATGGTAGAGTCATAAACCTCGACGGGAATGCCAAGGCTCATCCCTGCACACCCACCAGCGTACACAGGGAGCAGTGGGTTGGACAGCCCAAAGCAACCTGCAATGTCCGTGCCACCGGAAATATTATTGAGTCGCACATGCGGAGGGAAGCCTGCGTCGTAGAACCACTCAAACAGGTTTTCGGGAAGTACCATTCCGGTGCTCGTGACAATCTTCAGTGACGATAAATCGGCAATCTGTCGGGGCTGGATGTGGGCTCTCTGCAATTCCAGCATGTACCGCGGGGAGATTCCAAAGTGCGTAACCCTGTGTACATTTAGTAAGCTTGTTTCGGAGTCTGGATATTGTTTGCTCACCGTTCCTGTTCGACCAATTTGATCAATGACACAACTTCAGGAAGGAAGGGACTCCCATCGTAGAGGATTGCCCGGGCTCCGAACAGTAGAGTGCTGATGGCCGACATGTACATGATCCAGCCAGTCGTGGTATACTGCAAGCCCACACTATCCGCGTCAATTTCGTGGTGCAAGATAGTCTCTTTGTAGGCATTGAGGAGGGCTCCACCGACGGAATGCATGATGCATTTGGGCTGGCCGGTCGTCCCGGACGAGTAGACGATGAGGAAGGGATCTCGGAAGTCAACTTGCTCAAAGATCAGAGTTTCTCCGACCGCAAGGGCCTCCCACACTGCCAGTGATAATGTTCGCGGGACATGAGCCACATCTGCCGGTCGTTTGACAAACCTAGGCTGGGATACGATGCCCTTGAACTCGGAAATATCTTCCATCCCGGCCACGATTTCCTGCATCTTCGGGCGTAGGTCAATCGACTTCCCATTATAGAACGCTTGATCGTCCATGAACAGCCAGCGAGGCTTGATCTGGCGCAGGCGATCGAGAATGCCTTTGACGCCCATATCGGTGGAGCTGGAGGAGAACATTCCGCCCAAGGCGGTCGTGGCCAGAAACACGAGCAACGTGTCTATGCTGTTGCTGGCACAGACCGCGACCCTGTCGCCTTTTACCACACCATGCGCTTTCATTGCTTGAGTCAAACGACCGGTCCGTTGTCGTAACTCTCCCCAGGTGAGATGCCTTGCCTCCTTATGACCCCCCTCGCGGACTTCGGTGACGGCGACCTTGTCATCTTCTTTCCCGATCGTGCCTGCCGTGTTATCCTGCCACGAAAAGAGCATGTTCTCTGCGTAATTGAGTCGGATACCCTCGAACCAGCGCGGCATAGTATCGATACGAGCGCTTTCGTCGACGACGGAGGTATAGGAGCCTTCGTGAAGGATGTGAAAGTATCGCCAGCAGAAGTCCCAAAACTTCGCCCGCTTGGTGACGGATTTCTCGTAGAGGTGGTGGAAGGTCTGTTCAGATTAATTGATGGAGGCCATTGAGCTGCGAACCCGACCTACTGGCATTGATTCCCCCAGCTCGTGCTCCCAGGCGCAGCGGAATTGTCCCATGCTGGTCGAGTCTGGATCCGGGTGCTCCCAGAGCTTGCGAGGGATTGAGTGGGAGGACATGATGGGAAAGGGTCGAGGTGCAAGAATGGTGATGGGTTCACCAGGTCAATCAAGGTCGAGACGTGGATAATGTTTGACGATGGAGGGAAAGAGAGAAGAGAAGGTCGAAGAAGCAACTTACCTTCAATCCCTCCCCCTTGCATGTGTTCTACGCGGCTTTCCGCCTTTCCGCCTTTTTTTCTCCCCGCAATTTCCCCCGCATGCACAATGAGGGGGATTTTCCGTCAGTCCGGTTTTTGCCGAGGTTACTTGCGGGATGTAGAGAGAGAGTATATCGAGCTTGAGACCAGGATAGATAAGGACTTATCAACGTACGGCCATGTAACAGAGTAATATACGTAATTGTAGGAATCTCGAAGTCTCTGTAACGAGACTCCAATCTCTTCTCAAGATAACTCCTGCGCGACATCAACAGCTCAGCAAGGTCCGAAAGTCCTGACATCCCAGCAGTGCCCTGTGTAGCACATTCCATCTGGCTGGAAGGGGATACGACTCGAGCCAAGGAGCCACCATCCTCGTGAAATGGATTTACACGCCGAAGTTATTTCGCTTTTTTCTTATCCCCAATCATCAAGTCGCACATGATTTCTGCGAGTGATGAAAATGTCAGGAGAAGAACCCTTTCTTCTCTCATAAAGAACAAGATTCTCCTGGTACAGCAGAATCGGACGTAGAGGATTTCTGGAGTATGGCTCTGCCCCCTAACCTATGATGATTTGCTTGAGCATGGCTGATCTGGCGTAGCTTTGCGAGTACGATACGCTTCTGTGTTACTGTTACATGCATTGGGGATAGGAAAGATTCATTGATTTATTCGGAATCCTTTTCCAAGTAACGGGCTTTCGGTCACACTCGTTCGCGCCACCCTGCGTAAGATGATATATGCCACCACAGTCTGGGCGTACCATCTCTACACAAGATGCTGACTGTGTTGGTGATGATGAAATGCAGTATAATCAATAGCATTCATACACCAAGTGCATAGTGAGAAATAAATATGTTCCATGGCATATGGGATTCGCGATTCGCAAACCATCAGCTGAGCTGAATATGTCAATCTTGCTTAACGCATATGGTTACAATAAATGTAAGCCCTGTGACCTAACGTCAGATGCGGCGTTGAGTGACCTTTCCTCGCGACTTGACGCCTTATCCCTTCCACCAATATCTGGCTTTGTCCACGCTGCCGGTGGCCTTGAAGATCATCTAATCTTGTCGATCACAACGGACTGATTTAAACGAGTGCTAGGACCAAAGATCAGGGTTTCTTTGGTTCTACACCGCTTATTGCCGCACAAATAACTTAACTTCCTCGTCTTGTTCTCACCGTGCGGCCACTTGTTTGGCTTTCCTGGACAAGGATCGTATGCATCAGTTAATAGCTCTCTGAACGGCCTTGCCGCTTACCGCCAGCATCTGGGTGATAATACCCTTTCTATAAAATGGACTAACTGGCGCGGGATGAGAATGGGGGCAACTACTGTTAACACCAGATATATCGTCCTCTTCCAGCAGTTATAGCTACGAGATGTCATCGCCAGAGTCATCTATAGTGTGGCCACTGTCTTGCATATGGACGAAAGGGAAATTGATCACAAAGTGCCACACAGTAGCTTGGGTCTGGATAGCGTCATGGCATCCAACCCGAGAACAGAGCTGCGCAAGGCCCTCAGACTGCAGGTTCCTTAAACATTGTCTTGGTATCACCCGACTGTTGACCGTATGGCTTCGTGGTGCTGGGAACAACTAAAAACTCCGTAGAGGCAGTCTGCTGTTCAACTATCACCACTTTCCTTAACATGTCGCACTTTCAATCGAAGCTCAAATTTCTATGTGTCCTCTTCCTCCTTCGCGTCATCCATGTACTGAGGCGCATAATGACTGACAAGCATCACCCCAATACAACCTAAATCTTCGTCGACGATCCTTGCAGTATGCTGGAAGGGGCTGCCATGATCTGGCCTTGCTCGTGCTAGCCTTGCGGCATAAGACGTCAACCAACAAATTGGCCAATAGGACCTTGCTTAGGATTTCTCCTTTCCTTCGTTACGCTTTCTTTCAAACTTTCCAGTCTCAAAGATGGCCCTTCAGCTTGGAGAGCTTTTAGCAGTGGCAGTTTGACAGCATGGAACAGTATGAGGAACCTTTAATTGTCCGGGCCGATCTCATACTCCAGCCGGAGGATAACATCAAAATTCTAGATTAAAGCACGAGCGGTTTGAATCAAGAAAACGCAAGGTGCCCTAGAGCCGCGTGAAATAGCTTATCAGAATCCCATGTGCGAGTCTAATTTCTAGAGATTGGTCGTAAATTATCATGACGCAGTGCCCTTTTGGCCAACCTTAGTCCTCGGGGAGCAAGCTTCCCAATAACTGCATCTTCCATTAACAAATAACCAATTACAGAGCAAGTAGTGTGCGCAAATGCAAGAGAGCTTCATGATTCTCGATGCGCCCGGCCTTTAATAGCTCCGATCAATCCAATCACCCCATGTGGAACCCAGCACCGTGGTCTTAGTCACAGCCGCCGAGATTGAGCTCTCGTATTTTCTGCTCGAAGTGCTTGATCCAGCACCCGAATTATTGTACTCGTAGTACAGTGGGGTCGCGCCCTCGGCCATCGTGGTCCATCCCTTGGGGTTGATGATGTTCGACAAGACCGAGTTCTGATAGATGACCCGGGCCAGCACTCTCCAAGGACGACCCAAGTACACAGACTGGGTCAAGGAGACATCTGAGGCGGCCTGAATGTTGCAGTTGTCGAATGCATACCAGCCGTCATCAGTGGAGGTTTCGCGCGAGGATGCGGTGATGGCTCCCGAGCCATTCGAGACAATGTCACATTCGCCGAACCAGGCGGAGGCATCTCCAAAGATATAGTCGACAGCACCTGTTCACAAATTCAGTCGCTGAAAATAGTTATTGTCGCCCCGGGGATCTCTATGTACGTACCCTCAATGTAACAGTTGGAGTAGTATTGAGTGCCAGCTTTCACGTAAAGAGTGTCTTGATATCCCGTAAACTTGCAGCCGTAGAATCCAAGCTGATCCGCATTTGCGACAAGTCTAAGAATCGCACGGTGGAGATAAGTCATTCGTCACATAGGTGGGAGATCTCGAGAATACGTACGCCACAGCTTGAGCACCTTTGCCGTAACCATTGGCCACATTGATATTGTACATCTTGAAGTTGTCGGACACCACGTTCACGGTAGCACTCTTGTCCAAGGACCCAGCCTCGGGCGAAGAGATAGTGTGGGTAATGGTCACAACATTGTTCTTGTATGAGCCAGTGTCACTGGTTTGTCCGTACAGTGTCAAAGCTCCGCCATACTTGATGGTAAGCTGCTCGGAGTAAGTCCCACTGGCGACAAAAATGCACGCATCGGTAGTGGACGAGCCCAAGGCTGTGAGGGCAGCTCCGATGGTCGAGTATGTCTGACCAGAGCCGACGCTCAAACAGCCCGAAGGCGCGCTGGTGCGACTCGTGCGCTTCTCCAGGTTTATCGCTGGCGCTGAAAAGACCGGGGCAGTCAACCCGATCAGGGTGACGAGAGTAGATTTGAAATGCATGGCAGAATATGCAAGGAGGATTGAGTTTATCCGAGAAAGTGCTGATCCTTGGACTGTTGATCATTGACCAAGCGGTAATGAACGGAACGAGATATATAGGGTTCGCCTTAGGAGTGAAATAACGTCATGCAATGTCGGAGCTACAGCTGCATCTTTCTGATTTATTTTCCACCTCTAATTGTGGTATGCCCTTGCGAGCTATCATTCTGACTGGCTCGAGCTGAGGCTTGGTCCGAACGAGTTTGGAATAGACAGTGCGGAGAGTCCGGAGGAACTCAGCCCGGACTGACTTGATGCTCCACATTTCCATGAATAGGATCAGCTTCCCCGGTGAATTGACGAGCCGCTCTGCCCAGACACCGGCAGTTTTACTCTGCAAACCAGGAATGTCCCTGACAATTACCGACGGTTTCAATTTAGCCTGTGTGGCAGCGGGAAGCTGAAACACTGGACTCACTGCCAATACCTGCCAAGTTCTCCTCAGGGTCCTGGCTAAAGTAACCGGCTTGCCACATAAGTGTTCTGAGCCAGAATAAAGCATCAGATAGTTTACCTCTTCAGGAACACCCTTCCGACCCCCCGTTATCCAATTTATCCGCAAGCGAACCATCACAATGCCCGCACGTATCCCGGACCTGTGGAGGAAAGGGGTGCAGCATTACTCCAGTTTCTCCGTCCAGTCAGGCCCACTGATGTTTTACATTAACATGTCAAGCGTTCGGCTCTAATGGGAATGTCCCGCAACGAGGCGCTGAAACAGCGGGTGAGGTTGCTACCGTCCGTGGTCAAAATAGTACGCCGTTTATGGCTAACTGAGCAGCGAACATGTCTATCTCGGCTCGAGTATATATGTCCGGTCCGAAGACAAGAAGATCAATTTATTCTCTTTGACCCTCTACTTGTTTGAATCTGTTCTATTCAACAGACAGAAACAACATGACGCTACACTGGAGTTTCTTGCTGCTGACCAGCATCGGCCTGATTAGGGCTGCCCCTTCCCCCGTGCAACACAGTCCGGATCTTGCTCTACGCCCTCGCGCGGTCTGCACGCCAACTGCAGGCGGTAGCTCGTCTACTGACGATGTCCCTGCCATTACCAAAGCGATTGCCAGCTGTGGCAATGGCGGCACTATCGTCATTCCTGCAGGCACCACCTACTACTTGAACAGTGTGCTGGACTTCACCGGCTGCACGGGATGTGACTTCCAGGTCGAGGGATTGCTGAAGTTTTCGAGCGACACCGATTACTGGGAAGGCCGCACTGCCATGATCAGTATCTCTAAGATCAACGGACTGAAGCTACGATCGCTGACCGGCTCGGGGGTGATAGACGGCAATGGCCAGAATGCGTATGTCAATCCACCTCGTCAACATTCACTGATCCTTCTTTGACTCTATCCGGTATCAAGATGGGACCTCTTCGCCTCAGACACGAGCTATGCTCGACCTACTCTTCTCTATATCACAGGCGGCAGCAACCTCGAATTCTCCAACTTCCGCCAGAAAAACCCTCCCAACGTCTTCAATTCAGTCAAGGGCGGTGCCACCAACGTCGTCTTCTCCAAGCTTCGCATGGATGCAAACTCCAAGTCCGACAACCCACCCAAGAACACCGACGGGTTTGACATCGGCGAGAGTACTTATGTCACCATCTCCGACACGACCGTCAAGAACGACGACGACTGCGTGGCTTTCAAGCCCAGCTCAAACTATGTCACCGTCGACACGATCACCTGCACGGGCTCCCACGGTATTTCCGTTGGCTCTTTGGGCAAGTCCAGCAGCGATACAGTGAAGAATATTTATGTCACCGGTGCGACCATGATCGATTCCACCAAGGCCGCTGGGATCAAGACCTACCCCAGCGGTGGCAGCCATGGAGTTTCCACGGTTTCGAATGTGACCTTCAATGACTTCATCGTCGAGAACTGCGACTACGCCTTCCAGATCCAAAGTTGTTACGGCGAGGATTCTTCATACTGCAAGACCTATCCCGGCAACGCCAAACTGACCGGTATCAAGGTCCAGGGTTTCAGTGGCACCACTAGCTCCAAGTATGACCCAACCGTGGCCAACTTGAATTGCGGACCAGGTGGAACTTGCGATGTGGCCATCAGTGACTGGAGTGTCAAGGCTGCCTCTGGCAAGTCGCAGGTGCTGTGTGCCAATACTCCTTCGAAGTTGGGTGTGACTTGTACTTCTGGTGCTTCTGGCTAAGGCATTTGCCTCGAGCTTATCGAGCCCTTGTCTGTTGTAGTTTCGTTGTTATTAGGTGTTCCCTCGGTTCTACGTGCTCGCACTATATGTATATCTCTGTCCAATCTCAAATAGTCATTGTTATGAACTTTCATTCATGCAACATTTCCTATATTGTGGTTCAATACCTAGGCACTGCCTCCTTCGGGATCTCTAACAAATCCCCCACCGGCTTCCCCTCCAACCACGCATCCATCGCCTCATACAGCTTGAAAAAGGGTTTATTGTTCATCGTCGGGAGATCGTTCAGAATCGGATGGCCCAGACGCGCCTGCGCGACGGCGAGGTACTGATACCCCGGGGGATACTTCTTCAGCTCTTCGCGGTGGAACTGCGGCACCGTCCGTCCGTCGACCGGCACCACGCGATCCTTCTCATAGAACAGCTTGATATGCACAACCTTCCATTCGTTGGCCTCCTTGAGACAGAAGTTGATGAACCGACAGTCGCACTCGACGTCGAAGTCCACTCCGTCCCAGCCGAAGCGCTGCGTGATGGTGGCTTTCATCTTCCCCACGGCACGCTGAGTGGTCGGGTTGAGGTCGACCAGAGTGCCGTTCTCGCGGTGCATGATGAAATCTCCATTGGCGCGGCCCTGGATAGATGTATCTATGAAGTCGTCAATTGGAAGGCCACCGCTCCATGCTATTTGATTGTCAGTACTTGCCTATAGCAGCGTTAATTCGTGCAGACTTACTGGTGAAGACAAATGCGCCCTGCTTAGCGAAAAGGTGGCGATAATGCTTCTACTCTGAGGCGTCGCGGTATACAGGCCATCCTTTGCAGAGTTCTGAGACACAATAGCGATCATTCATCTCCGACTGGCTGCCGTTGATGTGACTGTAGATGGTCGGCTGGGTTTCTTCTTCGGTGATGTTGTAGGCCATGGTGCTGGTGAGTATCCCGTCTAGCAACTCGGATTGAGATGACTCGTGTGTTCTTCATTCGGTCTAGTTTATCTGTTTTATAACTTATCCAGAAGGGTTTCATACGCGATCACCCTTGATGTCATATCAAGGTATTGCGTGGTGTTCCGAGATTTCCGTCTTCGGGAATGCCTTCGGTACTTCTACCAAGGCCAGACCGTTATCGTGACATGGATGAGGTCGTTGCGTTTTCACTAGATTTCATCACAAGTGGATATTTGCAGCAAACAAGGTATATACATGTATCCTCCACAACTGCAACTATTATACGTGTCGTCAGTCATAGAGCCGATCATCCGTGCATCCTATACGACCGGCTAAATCATCTACCGTCAGTCTCTCTATGCATAAAATTCGGCCACCCAGGCCTTGATCTGGGCGACTTCGTTGATGACCACCTTCTTCACTCCAGCGTTGACCTCGGCGTCCGAGATGTATAGATCCGAACAGTGGAAACCCCCGGGAATAATTTGCACTGGCTCATTCGGGGTGCTGACCAAAGGCCCTCCCGGTCGGAAAATCGATGAGACCCCGGCGTCTCTCCAGGGGTCATATTGACTATCCAGCGTCAGTCATACTGCAAGGCTTTTATGAGGTCATTCACTAACCCATTGGTCCAGATCAGTCGGGTCGAGTTTCCGGTCAAGAACCAGCCATCTGTCCAAGCGTTGAAGGTGGATGCGGTCTTGCCCTTCGCGCTGCCGTAGGTATAACCGTTGACTTCGGGGAAGTACAAGGAGCACTGTCTCTGCCAGTAGTCGGCGCTCACGAGACGGGGAATGAGGCTCGTCTCGCTCTCAGGGGCACCACTGATTCCAGTTAGTTCGCAATTTTCCAACTGAAGGGGCTACTCTTACTCTTGCCACCAGAAGAACGGCTCGTTGCAGAGGAACCAGGTCCATTGGCGGTCGACGGCGTTCCTCACAGAAGTATCCCTGAACAAGGGACTGGTGGCGTTGTATGTGTCGAAGCAGGCCACAGTGTACTTGTCGGACCAGTAGCCGTAAGTCGACGCGCAGTCTGATATTCGCAGGTCAGTCAAAGTCCTATGTTGGTGTGCTTTGGAATCTTACAATCGGGCAAGATTTTATTCTTGAACCAATTGGCATAGCCCTTCAGAGCCTTCTCCAAGCCCACTCCTTCAGCACCAGGAGTCACAGCCGCGCCAGCTTCGACGTTCTACTCCCCGTTAGCAACCTATTCAAGCAAAAGCGCCGGACCGCAACAGCGGGACATACCTCCACAGCATCGCAGAATGCAAAGAAGCCCGAGTATCCTGTCGCAAAGCTATTGTCCTGCCAGAGGTAAGGCCCGATGGGAAGAACGCTGTCCCTGTCAGTAAAACCTATGTTCCGTCTGCAACCAAGCGACAATGATCGGTCACTTACGCCGCAAAGTCATCGAAATGCTCGAGAGCCTCCAGGCCGAACAGCTTCTTCAACGCCTTTTGTTGGGCTTTCGTTCCGAGCTTGCCAACCTTGTCGACGTGCTCGGCCACGAGCGAGACATCTTTGCTGCAGTTCTTAGCCATGCCCTCCTGGATGGGTCGAAAGTATGTCCACTGTTTTGGTCAGCTACATGGGTCCGGCAGCCGTAGGACAAGGCCACTCACGAAATCATAGATCGACTCCATAGGAGCACTGGTCGCATGATAAGCCCAGAAAGTACCGGGGGCGAGATGCTCGGTCCAGGCCGTCAGAGCGCCACTGTAAGAACCACCGACGAGCACCCACGGCTATTACTCCAACTTAGCGAAGGTCATTCGCGACTGCCACAGGCGCGACGACTCACCACGTGGGGGGCATTGCTGCTAGTGCTGTTCTTCGCAAAACCCAATTGCACATTTTCCGCGAAGTAGGTCAGATCGAGGACAGACTGTTCCAGGGTGAGGTACTGAAGTGTCTCGGCGGTGAGGTTGGCATACGGCGAGGAGCCGCCCCAGTATCGATCTATCAAGGTCAGTGGACGAGATTTGCTTTTTTACCACTGACAACTCACGCTCAATCAAAACCACGGCACCCTGCAGCTGCTGCGCATAGACACCAGTCAAGGTTCGATTGGTCAGATAACCCCCATACCCATCGGCCGCAGCTTCACCCGGGGTGAAAAGGACAACCGGGGAGCCAGGACCACCCCAGTACTGCGTACTGTACCAGTAGCGCTGGGAGAAGGTGCCCTTGGAAGGATCGTTATGGTCAATCAGTTGCTCAAATGTGCTTTCAACGACTGCTGATTGAGTGGTTGCCGTGACAGGACGTGGCGCAAGACGGGGAGGACGAAGGGCTGCCGTGAGCGATGCCCACAACGCCGTAACGGCCACGACGCTGACAGGAGAACAGAACCGCATGATTATCGTGTCAGAGAACCAGTCGGACGAGCGACGAGAGGAAGCCAAATCGCACGATCAGCCTGCGAAGAAATTGGGGGACATGCGAGCAATTTATGAATGCGCCGGGGCCAGTCAGTCGCTGCAGGGCGGCTAACAGGCAGCACGAAATGAGTCGGTCATGGTGCGCACAATGCAACCCTGTCCCACGCTCTATCCGGGAATATTGCGACTAGTCGGCGATGTCTGCAGGTGAAATGGCGACGCTGCGGGTTGATTGTTGCTGCAGAGAGCGCGGAGCTCCTCCTTCCTCCGTCGGACAGCGTCGGGCCTGCGCCCGTAGTGGAGCCAGCTCGTGCACATTGTCAAGAACCGGTGTGCAGCTTATACCAGATAGGGCATAGAACTTTTTTGCTCACATCGATTGAATTGCATGAACGGGCACTGCCGGTCGCTAGACTTGCAGGGTTAGGGCGAGAAAAAGAGGGGGGAGGGTGGTGGTGAGTGAGCATTGGGCGTTGGGGTCAAAGCAAGATAACGACTCGTTTATCAGCCCAATTTCCATTCTTATCGGTCCAGCACGCAAGGCATTCTGCAGGGGCGGGGCTGATTAATGTAGATTAATTCCATGCGCTCCCCAGTGGCGTCGTTCGATAGGGAGTATTCCTCAGCTCCCATTGTTCTTTGGCCATCAGGGCTGTTGTGGTCACTTGACCCCACATTCTCCAACAAGTTGGGGGGGTACCTCAGTTCACACCAGCTCTTCTTGTGGCAAGGCGTGCGTCAAGGTGCAAGAAATGGCTTGTTGGTATGAAGCTGAAAAGCGCGTCTACATGCTAGCATAATATGAGGTTCACGACGAGATTAGGGGTAAGTGCGGGGATAACATAGACCGGCAAGAGGTTGCGGTGCGTCGCGTACAACGTTCGCTCGGTCGCTACTCAGGTCCGAAGATTGCTTTCTTCCCGGGGAGTGCATATCAGAGAGATCCGGCAACTATGCAAAACTGGGCTCAAGCAATCGGATTGACTCAGCGCGAGTACCGTGCCTGATTTGCGAAAGGGCCTGTATCGTCCGATCAAGCCAACGACACCCTACAACTATCGAGCAGGATAACCAGCTCATGGAAATGGCTCACAATAAGTTTTGAAAAGCGGAAACCCAGTAGAGGTTTGATTTACAAAAGGCCCGCTATTGCGTACATCATACGCATGTGCGCGAATCCACCGATCGCATTCCCGAGACCTTGTCTACACGAATGTGTTGTTGAGTCGTGCAGAAATGTATAGTAAGTATTAGTAAATCTACAGTTGTTCCATGCTTCAAGCCTGCATATTGTCTATGTGTCCAATATGCCTCGCTCGCCTCTGCATTACCCTACCCTGCGTTCGAGATTCGTGTTGTCTTGGATGTTCGGCCGTATTCTGGCTCCCCTGTCCGTTTCCGAACAAGTTCGATGACACCTTCCACATTGCGAAGAAGAGTCAATAGTGTTTGATCCCAAGCAACCGGACGCCAGAAGCTCCGCTGCAGCCTGCCAGAGAAGGTATTGGAAGGCAAATATGGTACTTGTTTGCGTCGAATTGTGGACCATTCTATCGGACAAGCTGGTGTCCTCGGATTCCTGGGCCCAGCTAGAAGCTCTGTTGTGATATCGGCCTCGTAGAGAAGTATGTTCTCTACATGAAGTATGTTGGAGATGAGAAGGCGCGACTGTAATCTGATTAGCCTGGAATCCGAAAATCAGGCAGTCTGGTACCTACCGTAAGCACGTTTGAGCTTGGCCTATTTGATTATGCTCTTCAGACTGCGCAAGGGCCAATAGGTGACACAGGAAATAAGGGTCTTCGGTCCATTCTTTCGAGGTGATCCGAACCAGTCGCTCCACGCAGAGACGTGCGCCAGCCCAGTTATTAGTCCCTCTCAGGCCTGCACGGGGCTCAAACAGTCTTCGACGTGCTCCGTTGACGCTTGTGTATTGCAGATAGCCAACCGGTGTGGGTGAGGCGATAGAATCGGGAATGGTTTCATGCTGGATGAACACGATATACTCCGCCAATCGACGCACACGTCGGGCTTGGAGTCATAGGGGACTTTCTTTGTTGTAAAATGTGTTTGTCAGTGATCCCTCTGTATGTATCGACAGATCCATGATGACTTGTATACCTGAAGCCTGTGAACAAGCGCTTCTCGTTCACCGAAGTGTCGAAAAGTGCGCAACGCTTCGCGCCAGGATGTAAATCCCTCGCAAACAACTCAGCAGTGTCCTTCTAAATGAGATCTTGATCGAACTTTTGGTTGGAGCTCTGGTTCACTTGGGTGCAGGAAGGGGTAGTTCCGACATCTTCAAATCGACATCCCACCAGGTCGAGATGGCGGGAAGTCTACTGAAGAGAATTGACGAGAAAAAAAGGTGAGATTGGGCAGTAACTTGAAGTGATCCGGACTGATATTCAGCCGCCATCATGATACGGCAGCATTAGCCGACGAGGATGGGAAGAGAGCTGAAGAAGAAGAATGATGGAGAATGAGACGGATGGATGGATGGCAGATGCGAACGGAGTCTGACCGCCTGTTTGACCGCCTGCCTTGCTTCCCCATCCGTCACCGCTTACTCAGCCCCGCTACCATCCTCAGGCATCATTAGGCACCATCGAGCATAGATGATGCTCTCAGCGCCTGCCGGCTTATTGGACTTGTACATAATTAGTCCAGCGAGAAAGGACTGGATTTTTGCATTTTGTCTTCATTGATCAGGAGCGCCTAACCCCGTTGCTTTGCCGGCTACTTTCCTTGATTATTCTATGACTATACGAGTCACCTTCCTGTCCATCAAAGTATCAACGAAATGAGGCTACTCAGGAGATGGCTTCGGAACTTGAGATGTTGATTCCTTGGTGTTGACTGTGTTGGTGGCTAACTGACTTCTCTGTGTGGGGAAACTCGCTTATAGGCCTAAGTCACGTGGCCAGATTACTCAGGCGCTGATACAAAGGTCATGGGAAGCTGTTGAGGTTCCCCGGTCAATATTTATATATGTTTGAGAGCCAAACACCGTTTCGCATCCTTCACAGCCACAAGCCATATAGTACTTCAATCTCATTATCCCGAACTAGAGTTCTGGATCGCTTCTCGACTCCTCCCTGACACGAGATGGCATTGAGTATTACCTATAGAACACTGTACCTCACCTTGTAAGTAAAGATGTCTGCCAGGTGCACCTGCACTGCCAGCAGCAAGACGGGCCGCCGAATTTGGCAATCCGATGCGACAGTCACCTGATCGAGCAGTCCCAAAAGGGATTAGTTTCTTCTGCGTGTCATCGGCAGTGGATTCACCACCATGAATCTATCATGATTCATTGTATCATTGCATAAGGATAAATCAACATGGTGACAGTACAAAGCAGGGTCAATGGAATTTCGATGTAGCACTCCCAATGACTCCACAGCAGGCCTGCTATACCTGCCGATATAGGCGCATTCAGTGCGACCTGTCTGCACGGCCCTGCAGAAAATGCACCAAGGCGGGGGTGGAATGTCTCGATAAGAGACCCATCCGATGGGTCAAAGGTATCTCCATCCGGGGCAAAATGAGGGGTATATCTTTGGAACATCCAGCAGAGAATCCTTCGACTGGATCGGCCATTATCCCCTTTGTCGTACGTCCCAAGCTATCCGATTCAGTAGTGGCGTTTGCGGAGCCAGACCCTGTAATGAGGATCGGTGAGAAGTGCTGTACCTTTCCCAACTGTCTCAATTGAATCGATTCACGTGAGGCTGACTACTGCTTGATGGCTCTCAGATGGCCACACTATGCCTCTAGAGCTCGGGGAGCCATCGTTTTCCTGCCTAGACCCAACATCCAGATATTATTTGAGCTACTGTTGGTGCCTAGACCCAGCCGCTTCACGTATCATTTTCTCATGACTGGCCTACAGATGACGACTGTATATGCAGCCTTTTCATCGTGTACGATGGCAACAACAATCCATTCCGGAAGTTGCTGTCGCTAGCCCTGAATGATTCCACTCTGCTCAAGGCTGCTCTTGCTTTGGCAGCGCGCCACCGAGCGAATTTGGGTCATTCGTTCCAGAGATACGACGAAGAGACCCCACCCACTCCCTTGACCGTGCATCAAGATGCCTTGGGGTACAAGCATCGCGCGATTCGGGAAATCTCAATTGCCTTGGATGATCCCACACTATGCGCTCGAGACAGCACCGTGGCCAGTGTCTTTTTGTTGATCTTTCTTGACCTGCTGGAGTCTGGGAGCGATCGATGGAACTTTCACCTGGAAGGTGCTAAGAAGCTCATCAGCTTCAGCCAACAACAAACGGGAGCATTTTCTGAGATCGGTCAAGAACCTGGTCAGACAGTTAAGCTTATTCGGGAGTTCATCAATAGTCAAATATACCTGTGAGTGCTTGCCACTGACATGCAAATCCATCTGTTGTGATTTTGTAAGTTGGTTGACAATAATGCAGGATCGAGACCCTTGGAGCCACCTTCGTTCGTCCCAATCTCTTAACAGACTCTGATCCATTGGACTCAGCACGCGTGGTGTCGCGAGTAGCAGAGACGGTAGAGCAATCGTTCCTCGGCTGTCCCGACTATCTCTTGATTGCTATACGATGTCTATCCCTCTCCCGAGACTCCATCCACGATCTTTCCAACCCTGAGATGGTGGAATACCATCAGTATAACGTGACTTCTGTTCTGCAATCGATCGAGGAATTTGACTGCTTTGCTTGGGCCATCAATCTGCCTCAGCCCAATCAAGCAGCCGCGAACACGGTCGGCGACCTTTGCATGTTGGCTGCGTCATATAAGCTGGGGGCGCAGATCTACGGGCAGCGAATTCTCGATACCTTGTCTCAAACCGACACTTCCATGGGCGAGCTCTTGAAGGAGCTGATGCAGTCCATCCACTCCCTTTGCGCCAGCGACAATCTGCTCAAGTGTGCTCTATGGCCTATTTGTATTGCCGGCTTAGAGTGTGAGCTGCCGGGGGAAAGATACTTTCTGATTCAGTCGCTCGAGCAGTTTTGGGAGAAAACCAAGTGCGTCAACGTCATCAACGCGGCGAAGATCTTGCAATCGTACTGGCAGCGAAATGGTCACCAGCCAGCTATTCCTTCAGCATGGATCGTCGACATTGGCTTGTCGGGTCGTGACTGGCTGTTGATTTAATGTGTGGCACGGTCAGAGTGTGGCTCGTGCAGAGTAGGTGTGGCTTGACCCGAGATGTGGCGGAAGGATTACACTAAGCCTCTTCCGGTAATCTGGTTCGATGCCGTCGACCATTCCGCATGAGGAAAGTACGAGGAGTGGGGCGCCACTCACGTCCGCCACACCAACCCTTATAAGAATTATAAGAAGTCGGCATAGAAAACTCAGGGCTGGACTATGAAAAACTATCAACGTGGAATTCTTTCAAGTCTTCCTACTCTTCTTTCTCAGTCGACACCTCATCTTCTGTGTTTCCAATTAGCACAGTCTCGATCATGCCACCAAATCAGGTACATCCGTCGACATTGGCACTTCATGCCGACGACCCTCTGCATCTCGTCACCGATGTCGCTCCCCCTATTCACCTTTCCACCACCTTTCGATTTCCTGACAATCCAGATGAATTGCTTCCATCTGTGGATCCAGTAGTACGTGGTTCCTCATGGTCCCCCAGCCCAACCTCGCTAACCAGTCAAGGACGAGTTTAACGGCAAAAATTATGTCTATTCTCGAGAGTTCGCTCCTAATGCAACCCGCTTCGAATCCATCCTGACCAGTCTGATCGGAGGCCACGCGGTCAGCTATTCGACTGGGCTCGCAGCTCTCACTGCCGCGTTGACTCTGCTGAATCCGCGCCGCATCTCGGTGGGACAAGGTCACCACGGAAGCCATGAAGTCATTGCCGTGATTTCTCGCCTTTCCGGGCTTCAGAAGCTTGAACTAAATTGCCCAGCGGAGGACTTGGAGGAAGGAGATGTAATCCTCCTCGAGACTCCGATCAACCCCTTGGGCACAGCGTATAGCATTGAGGAATACGCGAAGAAGGCGCACTCGCGCGGTGCATACCTTATCGTTGACAGCACGTTTGCGCCGCCCGGCCTGCAGGACCCATTCCTCTGGGGAGCAGACCTTGTTCTACACTCTGGATCCAAGTACTTCGGAGGTCATAGTGATATGCTGTGCGGAGTGCTTGCCACTCGAAACGACAAATGGAGGAAGCAGCTGATTGAAGATCGCTTGGCCGTTGGCAACGTCATCGGCAATCTGGAGGCTTGGCTGGGAGTGAGAAGTCTCCGAACCTTGGAAATCCGCGTGCAGCGCGCTAGCCAAAGCTGCAGCAAACTCGTCTCATGGCTGGATCAAGCACTGAAGTCCCCCAACCCTGCTCCAGGGAGCGAGGAGAGCATTGTGCAGTCGGTCGTGGGGAACATTTACCACGCTAGTCTGCAGAATGAGCCATGGCTGCAGAAACAAATGCCGAATGGGTTCGGTCCGGTCTTCGCGATCGTGCTCAACAAGGAAAATTTCGCACGGACCCTACCAAGCAAGTTGAGCTTCTTTCAGCATGCAACTAGTCTCGGTGGCGTGGAGTCCCTGATTGAGTGGCGCGCTCTTTCGGATTCCCGTGTGGATCGGAAGTTGCTGCGGATCAGTGTGGGACTTGAGCACTGGGAGGACTTGAAGAACGACCTGCTACAGGCCTTTGAGGCGCTGGCCGGTGCTTAGCTGTCGCCCACTATGAAAGCACAGCCTAAGCCGCATCAGTGATTATGACCAGGTCCTAGAAGCCACATATTCTGTGTGTTTTTGATGATTGAATAGCGACCGGCCCATTTCAGAAGCCTCAGACAATTCGTTCTCAATCAATTTCTCCGGAGACCCTGGCGTCTTGTTTAGAATGAGGATCCTCGGCGACGAAGCGTACATCCTCTTTTGCTTCGCCCCTAGGTGGAAATAGTCTAGTAGTTCCGTTAGCTGACAAAATCAGTCTGGGTCCAATGCATCGGATGGATCCTGACTGAACCGGATTTAGTCGGCAAGTCCCGATTAAATAGGATTGGGATAACAATATCCTTTAGTTGATGGGTGTAGCCCCGACACTTCAGTTCAATATAAGTTAGAAGGGAAGGATAAGTTTCACGGAAATCACCGGAAATTAATCAGGAACCGGAAGGTGCAAGGAAACCGTCGTAGCAGAACCTAGAAAGCCAGATAAGCATATAAATCCCTGCTGCTCTCTACCGGATGTTTTGGGCCGCCCTCAACTCCCAGGCTCGCTGAATCGGCCTTCTTCGAGAACACCCGAGAAAAGACTAGACATCAGCGAAGAAACTATCAAGATTCCCCATCATGGAACCATTGTACAAACCCAATCCCTCTTCTGCCTTCATTGCAGCCATGGCAGCGCAGATTCTGGACGATGTCGCGGACATCTCCTACGTACTCTGGGGCGAGCTGTCTGTACGGCTGGCAGGAGGAACTGATCCGGATGGTGTAGAACAGTACGACAAATGTTCTATCGTGCTAAAAGATGCGGATATGGGGGATGCGATCCGCACGCTCGCGTGGGAAGGGTTCCAGCAGTGTGTTCCCAAGGAGGCGTGCCCTTACGCTTATGGGGACGCGCGGCTGGAATTCGAATACCACCTGCACACCCGTGGGCCGGGCAAGGCTCACGATGGCGCCTTGCTGCTTTACCGCAAGTCCCGAGTGCTCCCCGACGTGCACGGGGTCATAGTTCGGGCTCAGCAGCGCCAATTTGGACCCGGCGTGCCGTACCTGAAGTCGAGCGATCGGCATAGGGTGCCCGCGCGCCTGGGAAACCAGGGCACTAGGGTCTGGCGCGGGCTCTGGCCTGTTCGCGGGCCCACCACAGACGTGCTGGCAGATGCGTTGCTCCATATGGTTGTTTCTGACATCGCGGACAGCGACATGACCCAAGCCAGCACCGAGTGGCCCCGGCTACTTGGTCTTCTGCGGGATCGCCCAGACCGGTCTAGGACGGTGCGGCCCGAGTATCAAGCCTTGTGGACGGCGTGGGATGCTGCGGCAGATATCCGGGAAGATAGCCCTCTGATATCGCTGATCGACCAGGTACTCCGGTTCCTGGAAGCAGCCGAGTTCGACCGGGCTGAGCATACTAATGAGCATGTGAAGCAGGAGAAAGTTGAGGATATGGAGATCGATGATGTGCAGGAGGAAAATCCCGAGCAAGGAGGCCAGCAACTGGGAGAAATCCAGGAGGAATGGAATGATTTGCTTCAGAATATGATGCGAGACGATCTCGACCAGGAGGTTTTCTGGCATCACGACCCCCCTCCTAGGGGCCATTAGGGGTCATCTGTAACGCTCGCTGGGAGATCTAGTGCTTCACTATTGCTATATCCCGTTGTTAGCTGATTTGATAACCAATGAAAAGGTCTGAATAGACTTCTAGACTGATGTGATTTTGAATTTGTAACTGTAGTTGGATGTAGTTGGATGTAGTTGGATATTGGATGTAATTGGATGTGATTGATTTCATTTGTTGTATAGTCAGCGAGAGTCTCGATGTAAACAGGACAAACAAACAAACCAAGCTGAAGCGAAGTGGCGGTGAGGCGGTGAGAGACGGAGGCGGTGAAGACGGGCAGGCGGGGGAGAGAAACAGCAGCCAATGACTTTATGGCATCATCTTCTCTTGTCAACTTCGCGTCTCTCATCAACTCCACCAGCTGGCCGTATTCCCCCTTCCCTTCCCATTCTTTTTCTTCTCTCCTCTGCTCTCTCCTCCTCTTCTCCCCCAACACTACGCAAAGTCAATCGATGGTCAACTAACAGCCAGACTCTTCCTGAAGATGCGCCTCCATCTATCCGGCCTCTCGCGCCGGACGCTTAAGCCGTACGTTGCCGAATTTCTCGGCACTGCCCTCATTGTTGTTATTGGCGATGGCGTTGTGGCCCAAGCCTTGCTCTCTGACTACCAATATGGCACCTGGCTCTCCATCAATTTGGCCTGGGCTGCTGCTGTCTGTCTGTCGGGCTACATTGCCGACCCCAGTCCCGCCAGCAATCCCGCCATCTCCCTCGTTATGGCCTTCGTACGGCCTCAACCCGACCAGTGGAGGAAGTTGCCCGGCAAACTACTCGCTCAGTTCTTGGGAGGCTTCGTCGGGGCGGCCCTTGTCTACATCAACTACCGGTCGGCCATCCTCGACTGGGATCCGGAATATACAATTCCGGGGGGATCGATTCTGAGTCCGCGGGGCCATCACTCGGCGGGCATCTTCTCCACATATCCGGCCAGCTTCTTCTCTTCCAATTGGGAGGCGGTCTTCTCGGAAGTTCTCGGATCGGCCGTGCTCATGTTTGGCTCGCTGAGTGTGTCCGACCCGGCCAATGCCCACCGGTTCCACTCGCCCCAGCTCTCGATGTTCGTGCTTCTGCTCGCCATCGGTGCCGCACTGGGCTGGCAGACAGGTTACGTATGTGCATGGATGAGTCCCTGTGGTGATTTGCGCCGATTGCTGACTGTTGGAACTCTGCTCTAGGCCATCAACCCCGCGCGAGACTTTGGCCCGCGACTGTTCTCCGCCATCCTCTACGGTCGCGAAGTGTTCACAGCTGCCAACTACTACTTCGTCGTCCCCCTGTTTGCCCCCGTGCTGGGCTGTTTCGTGGGCGCGACCATTTACGACTCGCTTCTGTACGAGGGGGATGGATCACGCATTGCTGACGCTCTGGATAAGGCTGAGGATGTGGATGGAGAGCTTCGCCTGCACTAGGCGCACTGCAACAGACACGACTGCCTAGATTGCCATGAACGACTACGACAAGAGAATCCGCCATATCGTCTGGACGATACTGGATTGTATGAAAACCACTTGGGCGATGGAAACCGTGACGATAGACTGGATGCACGTATGCTCCATAGATGACAGATGACTATTTAGACCACGATCGCTTTTAGAATTGAATGACACGATTTATATACATTGGCATTGGCATGAGACTTCCCAGACGTGACGCTTCTGCCAGCTCTCATCCGGACAAGAACACGCTTGACCCTATGTGACTGGCGTCCGTTCACCGACACTGAGTGGAGATTGAAGTAGAGGCGGGAACAAATTCTGCCATCCTCAGTGACTCACTTTGAATGATGTCCTGGATCATACAAAAGCCAATGCTGCAGACTCCTCCATCAATTCCCATAATAATACGGATTGTTTGACTGCAAGAACCATTCTCCCTCTCCTATCGCGGTAATACTCATTGCAAGGTTAATCTTACCAAGGTGATGACTGGGCTCCGCTAACTCCCCCCGTCAGCCCGATTCTTACTATGGAATCCAAGCCCTACACGTTATACTACTCGCCTGGCACTGCAAGTCTGTGCGTGCATTGGATGCTGATCGACGCCGACCTGCCCTTCAATGCCATTCCAGTAGATTTCACCACTGGGGCACAACATGCAGACACGTATCGACGACTGAACCCCACGGGCCGCGTCCCCACATTGATCATCGATGGCGAGGCCCGGGGAGAAAGCACTGCGTTACTGATGCTGCTCGCGGAGCGCCATCCCGACCGCGGGTTGATGCCCGCAATGGACGCCTCCACGCGCCCCCTGTGGCTGCAGACGATGATCTACCTGGCCAACACGGTCTTGCCCGCCATGCGCGACTGGTTTTACGCCGACCAGGATGGTCCGGCCGCAGGGGCGGCTGCGGTGCGCGACCTGGCCCGCCGACGGATCGAAGGTGCCTGGGATCTTCTGGATGCGCGCTTGGCGGGATCAGCGGGCTCCCACGGAGCTTCCTTGACTACAGCGGCAGCCAAATATCTGGTTGGAGATACCTTGACCACGGCGGACTTTATGGCAGTGATGCTGATGCGATGGGCGCGGGATATGCCTCGACCAGCCACCAGCTGGCCGCATTTGGCACCGTACGTGGATCATTTAACCGCGTTGCCCTCTTTTCAGGAGGTTTGTCGTCGCGAAGGTTTAGTCCACTGGCCTCCATCCAAGGATCGATGATGAGGGTTGGTCGGGAACAATTGCGAGAAACCGAGTGAGCAATCGAGCACAGGACTACATCTATCCAGCTTCTGTCCCGTGCCGGGAAGGATTCCCAGTGAAATTAGATGTCAAGGACTTCAATATGCCGCACCGTTTCCTGTTAAGGAGGACTGCAGTATTTGTAAATCTGTAACGCGAGTCATAGGGAGCATGTGATTGCGTGGAGATGGATTCGGATTGATTGCGGGCTTGTGGCCGATGTGATGGGTCAACTGCACGGGCCGAGGGATGGGGGAATGGATGACTTCACCATCGGTGCAATCACGATTCTCATTATTCTTAGTTGGAGACGGAATTATAATTCCCAGCTGTTATAGACCGACTACTACTAAATTAGGCAAGATAGGCAGGGCTAGCTGGCGATTGACCCTCTACGACGTCCCTTTCATGTCTTGTAAGGGAGAGCAAATCGACCACTTCAGCACATCTACCCCGTTGATTAGAACAGCTCCAACGGGCAGTCAACGGGCATTTCGGATGATCTGCCGGCTCTAGTATCATTGCAGGCGGTGGTGATGTCGGTGTCGAGATCCTGACAGACCTTGATCTGCTCCTGACCCTTGGTTCGGCCGAAGGAATCGTAGGCTGCATCCCTGGTTTGTCCGGCGAGACATTTTGCTGTCAGTGGTGGATGCATCGCGAAGATGGGTCTTCAGCGTCAACATGCCCTTTTTGGTCCACTGCCTCCTGCTGGTTGGGGCTCAATTGGCAGGTGCCATTCGAAGAAGCATCCACATCGCTGCACGGTCAGACCGTGGATCGGTTTCATCTGCTTCAACTTTAACGCTCGGTCGCAAAAATTGGGCAGACGCCCGTGCATGCGCCAGGGATCCGATGGCTCACATCAGTGGGCCTTGAGTGAAATTAAAAGTGCAAACCACCAGCACTTTCCATCCAGATCCTCATTCTATGATTTTCTCCATTTGATCCGCAGACTTCCCCTACAGTGGCGGTCGATGCGGGTCAACATTGCAGTTATCTAAAGGGCACCATGTCCGCATCGCTATTCCTAGCAGCCAGGGCCGGAAACTGTCAGTCTTTGCGGGATATCGACATTGACTTACCCTGTGCAATCTCGAGAATCTGTACCTTCCATTATTTTCTTTATCTAAAATAACTCAGCTAGACTGAGTCCTGTATCACGCCGCCATGCCCGGAGGGCTTCACCCCCCGCTGTCGGTGATCGAGTCATGGCCAGCCCCCAACACCGTCAATCCGGAGTCGCATGGCCCGGCAGCCATTGTGGTCGCTGCAGTCTTTGGAGGAATCGCCTTTGTGACGGTAGTGGTCCGTCTGTACGCCCGCTGCATAATCCAACATCAAGGCGGAATCGATGATATCCTGATTGCGTTGGCGCTGGTACGTGACGTCGAGCGTTCTTCATCGTCAACCCTAACTAACCGTCGCCACCCGACAGCTGCCAACCCTTGGTCTCATCATTGCAGTCCCGATCGGTAAGCCGAAGAACGACCCAGAATCGCTGACCAATGTGGATCACTGGCTAACGGCATGATCGCAGGCACGGAAGTTTACGGCGAAAAGCATCATACCTGGGACAACAGCGTTGCGATGCTGATTGGGGAGCGCAAAGTCGCCGCGGCCTCGGAGCTCTTCTATGTGCTGGCCTCCGGACTCATCAAAGCCTCAGTTTTACTCTTCTATCGTCGCATGAGCCAACGGACTGTCTCTCCGCGCTTTCGGGCCTTGATCTGGGTCAGCATTGGATCGGTTGCCGCTTACAGCCTGGCCTTCGTTCTCGCCCTCTTCCTCTCGTGCCGGCCTTTGCGCGCCTTCTGGAGACAGATCGACCCGGTGTGGGATTTGACGCACACTTATCATTGCTACAACGAGGGCGCCCATCTGATCGCCGCGACCTCGATCAGCCTCGCCCAAGACCTGCTGGCCACCACGCTTCCGGCGGTGTTCTGCATCCGACTGCACATGCGCCGCCGCCAGAAAGTGGCGCTGACAGCGGTTTTCTCGGTCGGATATCTGACCGCGGTGATTGCGGGGATCCGGATCTACTTTCTCTGGCGCATGTTCTACGCCTCGTACGACGGGTCCTGGATGGCCTGGTATTGTTGGGTGCTGGCCTTGCTGGAGGTAGCTCTGGCGGCCACCTCGGCCAGTCTACCCGCCGTCAAGGTCTTCTTCCGCTGGTATAATGTCCCCTCCAGCCTGGCGGGCAAGATTCGCTCTCTCAAGCACAGCAATAGTCATAGTACTCCGACCGAGCAGTTGAGGTCGGCCATCCCTCGTCCACGCGACCGGCAGTCGGGCGATACGGACCAGTACCTGGTCACGGTAGAGGCTGGTGCTGGGATGGAGCTGGAATCGTTCTCTTCGCCGGGATCGGAGCGCGATGAGGCCCATAAGGCTACCTCTGAGAAGACGTGACAGTGTTCGAGCAAGGATACGCTGGTTTAGAATAGCTGGGCCGGTGTATTTCTGTGGTCTATTGACTGTTAATGAAACCCACTCATTCTTATCGAAGTCGAGAAATCGCTGGCTTAGGAGGGAACCTTTTCATGACAAGAGAGTATATATGTATGGGTCGTAAGGAGAATTCCTTGTAGATTGACGTAGAATAGCTAGCAGCTGAGCTCTTGGACAAGGCTGCGACGAAGAAGTTAGGGCGAAAGGGCGGAGGGCGTTACTTTCCCGCGGCGTCTCCATCCACGGTGGGGTTCGATCTCCCATTAATCCTTCGTAGATAAACCGATCGCGCATCGGACCGCCAAAATGGGTTAAGATACCCGGCCAGTCCCAGCCGATGGCGACACTTTCGTGCATGTTCAGTCGAGATGCCTATGCATTTCCCTCCCCCGCATGAGGGGATTTGATTTCTCGCTGAGGGGAACAATGCCTTTCAGTCCCATGCGTGGCTATAAATTAGGGGCGTGTAGTGGTTGTCCGGCTGAGAATTGCTCTCTCACTTTCTCACTGTACCATAACCTCTTTCTCGGCTGAATCAGTTCGTGATCCCTTTGGCAATCATCAAAAATGGCACCTTCATTGCACCCTCTCATCGACTCCGGAATCCGCAAGGGCAACCCCAACTTCAGCGGCGGCACGCTCAAATGCCACTGCACCACCGACCCCATCACCGTCACCCTTGCCAGCAACGTCGCCCACAACCATGCCTGCGGCTGCTCCAAGTGCTGGAAACCCGCTGGTGCCCTCTTCTCCATCGTCGCGGTTGTGCCCCGCGATGCACTGCGCGTCACTGCCCACCCCGAAAAGCTGACGATCATCGATCCCTCGGCCGTCATCCAGCGCAACGCCTGCAACAAGTGTGGCGTGCATCTATTCGGACGCATCGAGAAGGATCACCCCTTCAAGGGATTGGACTTTGTGCATGTCGATTTGTCTGATGAGCAGGGGTGGCAGGAGCCCCAGTTTGCGGCCTTCGTGTCCTCTATCATCGAGCAGGGCTTCCACCCGGACAAGATGGACGAGGTTCGCGCCAAATTCCACGAGATCGGGCTCGAGACGTATGATGCCTTGTCGCCGGCGTTGATGGATGCGATCGCCACCTGGACGGCAAAGAAAGAGGGCAAATTATCAGCTTCGCTGTAGAATTTTGCAGGAGTTGAACGATACGAAGAGACGAGATGACCTGCTGTGGACCACTTGTTGAGCGAGATGGCTATTAGCGACGATGAACAGATCTCAATATAAATCCATGATAGTAAGAGAATCTTGAAAGTCTTTACCAAAAAGGCATTTTGAGCAATGTGCGTAGCATCACTGGAATCTTCTCGCTGCTACTCACCGGGTTTGCATTATGGTGCTCCGGGGTTGCCTGAAATGCCTGGAGAGCCTGTGTGAGAGAGAGGGCGAAGGAGGGGTTTTGTAGAAGGGCGAGCTGAGTACCTTTGGGGAGTGCTAGCTGGATACTTGGCAACAATTAACCAGAATGGTAGGATTACCCAATTTGAACGAGTCTGCGCCAGCTGAGGCATTCATGGCCGTACTATATACTCGAGGACATGTATGAGTCGAGGCAAAGTACAAACCGCAATATTCACCACAGTGGTAGCAACCATGGCCGACCCTCTCAAGAATGCTGCGTTATCTCAATCCCGAGTAGAGGTAGTATTATCTAAAGATGTATTCTATGAATTGTCTCCAGCCTCCCCGCAGTCAGAGCCTATCATGTTGAATATTGCCAGTGCAAATCCGTGCTGATTGACTTTCGGATCTGCCTTGTTCTTGGGATATTATTGAGTTTTCCCCGTCCCGCGCTGGCCGGCTTACTCGGTGTTGCAAAAATAAGAAAAAGCTTGCATCGCAGGGATATCATATAATGATGCCATTCTGGGATCAATCCAGGTGGCCTGCCAAGGACACAGGCTTTAACCCACTAGTTGTTCGCCTCGCAGCCCTACAGAAATGGATATCTCATCTTTCATGCTCCTGGGTTGAGTATTCGGCAGCACGGCGAATTCCGGAGAGAAATTGGACCGACTGGGTGGGGGTGGACAAGACATGAGAATCTACCGATGGAAGCATATTCTGACTGAGATTCCGCAAGAGTTGGCGAAGCATCTGCAAAACCAAGCGGCAGCAACAATTTTTGCCTGGTACGATGTCCCTGGTACAGGTCTCACTGCACTCTCGAGGCGGTGCCCTTTGTTTTGGTCTTAGTTGTCCTCGGTGATAGTTTCTTTGTAGATACTATATATCTGGGTCTCAAATGAAAGAACTGAGATTGCAATGATGTACTCTACAACCAGCCCACCGAGCACAAGTGAAGTTACAGGGTGCCTCTTAGGGCTTCTACATTGGAAAGGGATCTTCTGGGGTTTTCGATGGCTCGGGCTGACGCGGTGGTTGGCGATCAAGATAAGGAACCTGCAGCCCGCGTATATGTTTGTTTGTTTTGCCTTGCTTGTTTGTTTTGCCAACAGTTTTGTACTGTACGTACAGTTCTCCCGGCTGTTTGCCCCATTTTCCCTCGCGTCAGATGCCACCACACTGAGACCATCATCCCTCTTGCAGACGATTAGATGAAATATGTGTGCTTCAATGCAATCTCCTCTGCAGCTTTACCCGACTAGTAGCTGTAAACCCCGCCTTGCTATGGCGCGATAAGCCGGACTCCGGTCTTGTTCCGACCCGCCAAGATACCTACCTGCGACCACGCTGCAGCTGCTCGAATGCAATCTCAATCTCGTCACTGGGTATGGGATCCAGACAGTAATAATGAAGTTTAAGATCTTACAGTCATTGCCGACCGTCTCTGCGATTTGGCATTCAGGAACTACAATCTGGCTGGCAAGATACCGATACCCTTCATCGGTTCACGCGGACAGTCACGGATGGATAATCACTGATAAGCAATCGGAAAGGAAGCTTGGCTTCGGTTTGGCAATGGGCTAGGATAAGGGCGAATCGCATTGTTCGATTATCTAGTAGGTCACTGCAGAAAGGAAGTGTCGGTTCATGCAGTGGTTCCTGCGTTGGGCCTCACTCCTCACTTCTCACTCCTCATGCCATCGTTCGGGGTTTGACCGCTCCCCGTCGGAGCAATTAATTGTCTACGATGGCCTCATCTGCCACAATGCCCTATAAGAGGCCATCGGGTCGCTGTCTGCCTGTCTGTCTGTCCTTCTTTCCTGCTCCCGTCCCTCTGTCGCCGGATCCTTCTCCACTATGGTTGCCTTTTCCCGCTTATCTACCGGTCTTTTGGCTCTTGCAGCCCCTGCGTGGGGCAACGTAGTGCTGGAGAAGATCCAAGCCGTGCCAAATAGCTGGTCACTCGTCGAGGAAGCAGACACTAGCTCGAACATCACCCTTTCTATCGCTTTGTCGCGCCAAAACCTTGAGCAGCTCGAGTCTAAGCTACTGTCTGTGTCTACCCCTGGTCAGAGCACTTACGGCCAATTCCTTGACATCGATGAAGTCAATGCTCTGTTCCCCCTTACCGATCACTCGGCGGTGGCTTCTTGGCTTACTGAGGCGGGCGTCACCAATATCTCACGTCAGGGCGGTTTGATCAGCTTTGCCACTACAGTCGGGACGGCCAACAAGCTGCTGAACACCACTTTCTCGGTCTACGAGAAAGCAGGGACTCAAAAGGTGCGGACTACCCAGTACTCGGTTCCAGACAGCTTGAGCGGTTCCATCGACTTGATTTCGCCAACTGTTTTCTTCGGCAAGACTCGCGCCGAGCGCTCTGCCTCCTTTCAATCTCTGAAGGTGGCCAAAAGATCAAGCAGCAGCTCCTCTGTCTCCCAGCATATTACTCCTGCTCTGCTAAAACAGCAATACAATATTGACTATACCCCTAAAGCATCGTCTGGCAGCAGAATCGGTTTTGGAAGCTTCTTGGGCGAGTCCGCTCTGTATTCGGATCTCGATCTGTTCACCGAGCGATTCGGCATCCCGCAGCAGAACTTTACAGTGGAGCTGATTAACGGTGGCGTGAACAATCAAACCTACGACGGGGGTGAAGCCGACCTGGATGTGCAGAACATTGTCGGACTCGTGCATCCTCTGCCGGTAGTGGAATTCATTACTGCCGGATCTCCGTACGCTTCGCACCCACGATCGCGTATGAAGGAAGCTAACGGAAAATTGCAGCCCGTTTATTCCCAACGTCCTACAGTCTACGGACACAAACGAGCCCTACGTGGAGTACTATGAGTATCTGTTGGCCAAGTCCAACGACGAGCTGCCGCAGGTTATCACAAACTCCTATGGTGACGACGAGGATGTATGTTGAAAAAGCCGTGATAAATGTCTTCTAACTGACCATCGCAGACTGTCCCTTATGCCTATGCTACTCGCGTTTGCAACCTGATTGGCTTGAATGGTCTACGCGGTATCTCGGTCCTTGAATCTTCTGGCGATTCTGGTGAGCTTTCTAAACCGAAACTCGGAAACAAGACACAAGAGTAAAGGCTAACGTGCCCCAGGGGTCGGTGCGGCTTGTCTTTCTAATGATGGAACAAACACCGTTCAGTTCACTCCCTCATTCCCCGGCACATGTCCCTATATCACGGCCGTCGGTGGTACCCAGGACATTCCCGAAATTGCCTGGGTCGATAGCAGCGGTGGCTTCAGCAACTACTTTGCTCGGCCATCCTACCAAGCCGCTAAGGTTGAAACATATCTGGAGAAGCATATCTCGAAGGCCGTGAAGAAGTATTACACCCCCTATGTCAACTTCAGCGGTCGGGCATTTCCGGATATCTCCGCATTTGGTGGTTCACCATAGTAGGTTTTCCCTTTCACTGACGTCCAGTCAACAGCAGGATACTGACACATGTGATTTACCAGCTATGAAACTTACGTGAACGGTGAGCTTGAACTCATTGGGGGCACTTCGGGTTCCAGCCCAGTTGTCGCTGCTGTGATCGCGCTTCTCAACGATGCTCGCCTACGCGCGGGTAAGCATTCACTGGGCTTCCTGAACCCCTGGCTGTACTCGAGTGGATATAAGAGTCTCAATGACATTACTGGAGGCACGGCGAGTGGTTGCGATGGCAGTCACGCCGGTGCAGGCTACATCCCATGGGCCAGCTGGAATGCTACTGAGGGTTGGGATCCGACCACTGGTCTGGGAACTCCTGATTTCGCTAAGCTGAAGAAGGCCGTGTTGGCTTTGTAAGAAGTTGGACAATCAAATATGTGTACGGTTTTGTTAGACTCCATATTTCTAATTCATGCCTGGATTCAGGAGTGATCAATGCGAAAAAGCCTTCGATGCGACCGGAAGCGCAGTCCCTCCCGAACCAAAAATCACAGACGGTGTTTCAGGACCGACAGGTGTTTAATTTGCGTGTCAAGCTGTCAAGGTCAGGACTGACACCCTGACGATTAAGATGAAACAAACTTGGATTATTGCCGGGCGTTCGGGTGTTTCAGCACTCGCCCGTCAATCTAACTCTGACAGCCTCTCCACCTTCAATTGTTCCACCCTGAGTAGACCAAACCTCCAAGATAAAAACTCACCTCAGCCCAGAAGTCATTGTCCAAACCAACTGTGCCGGTCACAACTAACATTCACTTCCTTTTCTTTTGTCAGTCTCTCACCCGCCATGAAGTCCTTCGCTTCTCTTCTTGCCTTCCCCGCCTCCTCGCTCGCTGGAACCGTGCTGTGGAGTGGCATTTTCAATTCTTCCGCTACTGTTGAGGACTTTGATGATTGTAAATTCTGGCGTCTGCTTCGTTCGTGGTTCATCTTTGAGCTAACAGACTAGGGTCGTGGTCCAACCAGATCGAACCCTGGCAATGGTATATTCATGGCACTGGCAAGACGTCTGATTACCTGGGACTGTCCACCGACTTCAAAAATCCGGCCGACACCAGCGACGCCCAGGGGGTGCGGATCAGTATTGTATGTCCAGACCTGCTCTCTTGAATGTATACAGCTCGACTAACTCCGACGACGTCGTAGGATGGAACCTCCTTCTGGAACGGTCAGACCATGGAGCGATCCGAACTGATCCCCCAGACCAAGGCTGATCTCGGTTCTGGTCACCTGTACTACCACTTCTCCTTGTCCACCAAGACGACCAATGCTCCCGATGCCTCGTTCGAGCACCAGATCGCCTTTTTCGAGAGCCATTTCACCGAGCTGCAGTACGGTCTTGCTTCAGGGGCTTCGGGTAGCTCGGACAACACTCTGCGCTGGAACGCGGGCGGCCAGACACACTGGTCGGTGCAGCTGGAGGCGGGCAATTGGTATAACTTTGCCTACGATATCGATTTTGACGCGAAGACGGTTGGACTGTGGGCATCAAACGGTTCGGATCCCTTGACCCAGGTCGTTGCTCCTGTCAGTGCTTCCACCTCGTCCAACTCGGCCGATTGGCATGTCGGTGAGTTGCGTCTGCCCAACGGAGGCCCTAATGATGCGGTCGAGGACTGGTTCTGGTCTGGCATCTATGTCGAGGAGGCTCCAATCACCAAGGAGATCGGTTCCGGCAGCTCGTCCAGTTCCTCCAGCTCGTCCAGCTCAGTCAGCTCTGCGAGTTCTTCAGCTTCCTCCACCGCCCAGTCCAGTGCCGAAGCAAGCTCTACCACCACCACCGCAGCTGCTACCATGACTGCCGCCACCAGTACATCTGCTGCCCAGACCGTTATCTCGACTGCTGAACCCTTGATCGTCTCTGCTGTGGCCACCAGCTCTGCTTCATCAACCGTCGCCGCCGTGACTTCGACCGTTTCGCCGTCGGTAAACACGGAGGCGGCCACCCCTGCCACGAGTTCCTCAGTGGCCCTTGCTACTCCCACTACTGCCACCGAGATTCTTGATGATATCCGGGCACTTTTCAGCGCCCTGGTCTCTCGACCAACCGGTGTGCATGCTCGGGACTTTGCCCGGCGTGAATAAGTCCTGCAACGCGTAGTCTCTCGTAGGGCCACATTAGTACAGTACAGTACATAGAGCCGCAAGCACTCAGCCGTGTCCAATATCTCTTACTCAATGTTGGTCAAATGTCATGTTGTGTCCCGAATTCAAGAGATCCGTAGTTCCGATACCGATAGTAAATCCGAAGCAGCCAAGATTGTGGAAGCTACATTGCAGAGAGACCAGGGGTTGGCCAGGAGCGGCCTCCTCCTTCTCACAATTATCTCGTGCCATGCATTCGGTTCAATGAACCCATTGGCCTACTTTGGCATCCAATGGCAAGTCGTACGCTGCCAAGCGTCTCGCCCCTTGCTGGCCATCATCTGAAGACCGAATTGACAGGACAGACTACATTAGACATTGTTCAGGGTCCCGGGTGTGACGCTCACCGCCGCATTGTTAAAGGACGAGAATTCCATCTCTGCGCAGGCCTCACCTATTCTACTTTTGCAGCGTTCACGGTCGTCAGGTCAATCACAACAATCATCCCCGTCATTGGGGGGACCTAGATCGAAAAAAAACTGGGCCCACAGGAATTCCACCATCAGCGACCGTCCGTGTGCAACTGCAGACGTTGTCTTCGTTCATGGGCTCATGGGCTCTCCCGCGCGAGCCTGGTACCATGAGAGAGGCAACTTCTACTGATCAAATGATCTACTGAGCGTCGAGCTTCCCAATGCGCGGACCATGACTTCGGGGTACGAGGTCAATGTACGGCATCCCAATCCAGTGTCCCAGGAATGGATTTCCGGCTATGCGATTCACCTTCAAGGCAGCTTGTCCGATCGTAGAAGACTTGGCTCGGTACGTACGAACATATGGGACGCCACGCAGATTGAAAGAACGGGAGCAAGAGAGATTCTGGCCCGGCAGTGGAATAAAAATGGCTGGTGGGACACTGATCCGAAAGACGAGTACAAGGTCTAGTGAGGTGAATGGCCGCTAGGATAAGACAGGGTACCCTTTCGCACTTTTCGCACTGAACCCTTGTCCCATGTCATCTACACTGCTATATTTTTGCATGTAGAGTCTTAATCACTGCTCGAACGGCAAAATTGTCCGGGCTTTGCTTTTCGTACACTCATGCCAATTCCTTAAGCAGATGTGGTGGCAGCGGCAGCTCTGGAAGAAGCGAACCCAGAGCCCATATCGCCCATACCAGCCATGTTCATCACGAAATCATTATTTGTTTCGCCCCCTTCTTCGGTTCAGTAACCCTCCGACGGAGACAGGGTGTCAACGCGTTTGCCGTCTGAGATGCGGTCTCCTAAGAGAACGTATTCCATGAAAGGATCTGTGGTATCGGCTTCGGTTTCAAGAATCATGTCGTCTTTGTTCAATGTAAAGTCTTGGGTGTTGGTAGCGTAGGAGATTCGTCTTTTCAACCTCGGAGGGCAAATCCTGATCGAAGAAGACTTGACCAACGCGCGAGGAGTGGCCATCATACATGCCCGCGATGGTTCCGTTGAGAAGATGTTTGGTTTCATTGGCGGGGCGGGTGACAACTATTGAATTGTTAGCCAGCGGCATTCCTGGTCAATCAGAGAATAATCAAATACCGTGGATGTGGATAGCCCGCCCTGTGCAATGGCCAGGAAAAACTGACTCAAAGCGTACGACTCCGTCTTTTCCGCTGGGCTGGACACCGCGCAGGAAAGTTGTGTTGAGGTTGCTCTCGTCATTTTCGTTCCCATTTCCACCCGCGACTACTCCTGAGTAGACCCCCTGTTCCAACGAGCCACATGAGCAAAAAGACCTATTAAGGAAGTGGAATGCAAAAGGCTCTTACCATAGCGTCACAATGCCAGATATCTGTGTAAATGCTTGGTAGTGGTTCGTAAGTGTTGGTGTCAATGAGTTGAATGTCCATGAACAGAGGCACGCCCTGTTGGTCCTCGACGACATTGCGGCGGATAAGTTCGCTAGCGATATCTGTAAAGGGAGTATCAGTATGTTGCACTGGCAAACCGTAACTTATATAGACCTACAGTATGGCCCTTGAGTCACCTCAGGCTGCACGATGCAGGTACCACCGGATGCAAAGAGGATGCTGGGATCCGTGGATGGAGCAATATTGGTCAAGTTGGAATGATGGTCGGTTGCCAGAACAGAGTCCAGATCGCGTGCTTTGAGGTATCGAGTGCCTGAATGATCAGTCGAGGTTCGTACTCGCATGATGAGAAAATTGAAGTCTCCGGGAAGGGATTACTTGGAGCCAAATACATACCGGACAGTTATCTCTCCCTACGAAGGTGATGGAGTGCGTTCCCATGGCGAGCGATGTTCATATCCTCAATTCCACCTGCTTTGAAGTTGGTTGCACAATGGGCGAGGCTCTAGGAGTGCACAGAAACATTTTCCAGGAAGGATGACTGAGAAGACTGGAGGTGTTGACTGCCGGGTGGACAAGGAACTGGAGTGGGTAGTGAAAGAGGAATTTGTGGGCTTTATTTAATCGCTCTCTACCACAGCTTTTACACTAGTTCTTGCACCCAACAAGCCGGAACCCGTTTAAGATCCAATTCTCCCGCCAATGTTGCATCCCCAGCTTCCATCCATCAGGACCAGACGTACCCTCATCATCTTGTTGAGCCAGGATCTGCAGCGGCTGGGGACTGGTTTCTCCGTCTTGGAGAGGGGAAATCTGGTGGAAGCATAAGCGTCGATGCCTCACTCGGAGCATTTAAGTGGAGAGACTGAGAGTGCAACGAGCTCTATTGTTAATGATTGTTATAAAGAACGAGCTTGGCAAAGAAGAGCCAAGGAGCTATCAATTAGCGATCTGCAGAGGTGAGGCCGTCTCCTGTGTCAGGTATGCTCAGTAAGGCCAATAGAAGGAGGATAGATAGCTACCTATCTACCCCAAAGTCCAACTGTTCCAGACCATCCTCCAGGACAGAAGTCTATGTAAACCCTAATAGCTGAGTAAGCGGGATCTGCAAACTCCATCCCCACACTGGATGGCATCGTTTCGACCACACTTGCCCAATCATTGCGGAGATATTTCGTATTGATGGTCCTTGCATCCAGGGCTCACCCAGGGGAACCGCCAGGCTTGAGAATTTCCCTGTCTAAATTTTCAGTCACGGTGTCTGGGTTCCCGAATGCTCAGCATCCTCAACACTGTCGCTGCAATCCTGAGGCCGAGGCATAGCATAAAGCACAAGAACAGCTTACGTCATTGAGACCGGAAGGACTGATTGGCCGCAGCCGAGCGAGGGCCCTCTTTGTTCTGTTTGTTCGGTCCGCCTGTTGGTGTCCTGTCGAGGTGCTTTCTATAGAGACAGGTTGACGCTCAACTGCTCTCCCAATCAGCCTTGCCGTGATCCCTGGTAAGAAGTTTGCACTCTTCATTCAATGAACGATTTTCCCGTCGCCCCTCGGGCAGGACGGGCGCGTACCGCTTGTGACGTGTGCCGACACCGGAGGGTATGTCGTCCAATGCTCCAATGCATTTTACATGCATAAGATTCACCGGGCAATTTAGATTCGCTGTGACGGAGTGAAACCTGCATGTGAGACATGTCATTACGCCGGGGTACCTTGCGTCTTCACGCCGCCACCCGCCGTACCTCGGAAGACAGTCCGAGAGTAAGTTCTGGCTTTCTCTTTGTTCTGAAAGAAAAGCTCCGGAGTTAACAGTCGGGCTTGGCAAACAGGCAGTTGGCGGAGCACAAAGTCCAGGTCCAGCACTTGGAAGAAGCTTTGAGAGCAGAGCGCGCGAAGAACGCATTGACTCGTTTTCCTCTTATCGATCAGCCTTCTCCTGATCCTGCTCCGGCTCCTGTAGGCGGCTTGGTGGATTCATATGGATTTGACGCGGCATTGTCCGCATTCATGCGTACACTCGGATTCTGCGGCTTCGGCCCTAAGCCCACTCCTTTTCTCTTTCCCACCGACCAGCATCGCATGCCCTCCATCTTCAACCTCGATCAATTTGCGCACCAATTGACATTTTCGTTCAAGGCTGAGTTTCCTCACCATACATCCCGAATCATTCATCCACAGCAACCCCCACCGTCACTGATTCGTACCGTCATCGACTACTTTTTCAACAACAGCCTCTACTCGGTCTTTCCCGTCATCGATCCAGACACTTTGCTATCCCTTCGCGATTCAGATCTTCTCAATGCCTTCCAAGATCCTGTCACCCCTATGAGGAGTGTCCAGGTATGTCTGGTGGCCTTAACGGCTCTGGTCACCCGTCTGCGCGATAATGAGCCCGCGTTTGCTGGGGCCGACTCGGAAGCCTTCTTGCAGTCAGTGCTCGCGCGCTTGCCAGAGCTGGTTATGTCCGGTGATGATGATCTCTGGACCCTACGGACTCTGATTCTGGCGGTGAGTCACTAGCAACCATGACCCCTTCTCGCCATGATCTCTGACATGTCCAGGTGATTTACTTGGCTCCACTTGGTGCACCTCAGTCCGCCGAGTTGATTCTGGCCATGGCAATCCGGCTGCTCATCAATCTAGGCGGCAATCGTACTCAGGATATCCACAAATCATCCAGTCTTAGGAAGCATGCGGGGCATCTTCGGGCCCTCTTTTGGCTCTGCTATTCCATTGACAGGGAAATGTCTATTCGTAGTTTGCACCCACCTTTTCTGCACGACATCGACTGTGATATTGAACTCCCAGAGCAATATCTCATGGCTTCGTCTGAGCATCAGCCTGACCTGAGCCTGTCGCCAACCGCAGGGCTGCTCTACCCGACTGACCTTCGCATGTCAATCATCAAGTCCAAGATTTATCGTCTTCTCTATTCCGACTATGGTCTGGCGCAATCGGCCGCTATACGGGTGCAGTACATTCGCGAGCTGGATGAGGAACTGAGTAATGTGAAAGCCCGATTTCCCGCCGACTGTCGCCCTGAGAATCTGTCTCCTGGTAGCATCCCTGATTCCTGGGTTCTTGATCTCAGTTTGCGAGCGGTTAACATGCATCTGGAATACTACTACTGTCTTGCTATAATTCATGGGGCGTGTCGCATTACTGGGAGTCACCCTTCCCCGGACGAGGTATCACCCCTATCCTCTAGCATCGAGCTGTGTAATCAGGCTGCACGCTCCATCTTGCTTTATCTTAGTCGCCTACGTCATCTGATCATCCCTCAAACTTTCTGGTCGGTTTTCCTTGTATTTTTCAACCCAGAGTGGTTTCTTACGCCTTGTTTAGGATTTATGCGCAGTTCATTCTGTCTGCACTCGTGTCTCTCGGCTGGAAACTCATTGCGGAACCCATTCACCCATCAGCGATCGGCGATCTTCACCTCATTGAGCACACAAGGGAAATGTTCACCGGACTGAAAGAGATGAATAACCCGAGCAAGTTTCCAGCCTTCTATGTTATGGAGGCTTTTATTCTACGGTTGGTGTCTCTCGTGGTTCAAAGTAACCATTTGCCAAGTGGGTAGAAGCTCGACCATTCATGAACACGCGGTTCCCGCCTACTTGCAGCACTATCTTATTCTCTGCGGTGAAGAGAACAATATGGCCATGCGAGGGTTTTCGTTCATTTCGCTCTCAAGACAGCTGAATGCATTTAGAATGTTACTGGTCTCCGCTACCTGCAGCCATTGGCACTGTTGTCAGGTAGTGCCTCGATTGATGGCTTGCAGTTCGTGATTCCTTTGTAGGAAACCTCATCTTTACCAAGAGCTGATGCTCACTCGCTGCATGGAGACCGATATCTCAATGTCCGACATACTCGATCAAAACATGATTTCATGCAAGTCCGCAAGCCTGATGGTTGATCCGCTATGCCTACCGTATGTGAAGCAGTCTCATTATGCGTAACCGACGGCCGTGGTTCACGGAGATCACAAAGTGGTCCTATGGTCGGCGCTGCCACTCATCTCCTATCGCTCAATGCAACTAGGCTCCGACTTCTCCGTGCCCTCAATGAGGTTTAGTAGTCATCATCCTTCAGTCTTCGTGTAGGCAAAAATGATTTGACAGGCATGCTATTGTTGGTTTTTGGCGACAGATATGAACGGAGGTCTTTATGTATCTCACTCACGCGCGACGATGACTTTGCTACTCAAGACTATACGCTCCCCAACCAGAGTCCTGTTCAGTCGGACAGGTATAATGTTTCCAGGTTGGTGTTCCCCTGCCTAAGCCACGCTGAGTGATACATGAATTGGAGCGCCAACCGCGTTCATTGCTAAGTATTCACATGTTCGCCGGTATCCCTCTGATCAATCGTAATCCGTCTCTCCTACAAGAGGGGCTACGAGTTTGTTCTAAATCCATAGCTCATCCGATATCTTGACCACATTTCAAACTCAGTGCGCAATCATGTCATGGTTCTCATTTCTGGTGGGATCACATCTATTGAGCCACCATCGTCTTGGGGTGCCATCAACAGTCTTGAACGGGCAAGTGTAACACTTATTATCGACCCTGAATATTGGCCTCGATATCCTCGACATCTGGGCAATCGAAGAATTGATCATTAGGTGATGTAGCTTGGCAACCGCTCAGGAAACTTGAAGTGTCGTACCATCAGTGTGTAAGAAAATGCGCTGCTAAGATGTGGATAAGCGGTAGAACAGAGAGTAGATGAGGGCTCGTGTATACGGAAGGATGGGCTAGTCAATTCCGCCATCAGCGCTAACAGATCTAAGCATAGATTCACCATTCCTCTCCGCAGTTGCGTATGTTATGCCATCTAAGCGAGTGCCACATATGAGAAATGACCCCGCATGTAGGAAGTCCCATCTTGCAACTTATCCGCGTCAGTTCTTGCCACAGGCAAATACCGAAAATGGTCCGTGCACCGTGCTGGGCGAGGGATTGTGGCATTCTTTGCAACACCAAGGCGATTTTTAGATAGAGTATCATCCAGTTACTTCCTGAATCCGGACTAGGTGACTCTAGTCAGAAGTTGATGCAGCAGTGGAGATAACAAGGAAGGTTAATGGATGTGGTCTCGACCTTCTGAGAAAATCTCATGGCACGGATATTTGTTGTTCTCGAACTTCTGCCTGAGGCAGACAAGCAAAAATCCGCCACTGAAATCAAATTCTCAACGTAGATCACAGTAGACAATGCTCTAATGGGCAAAATTAAACTCGATGGCCATGAAAAAGGCAATGAAAGTACACGGGACAATGGTTGGGCTAGTCATCTGGAGCATACAATTCCTGTACACGATGGCGCAATCCCATTAATACTAACCTACCATACGGAATATACAAATAGACAAGAATGTCTCACCTTTTCAAACAGCTCAAAGAACCAGAAAGCAAAATATGATGTATGAGACTAATTCCATGGCTCATAAAGTGCTATTCTTGCGCATAAAAGTCTTCTCGTGGGGATATGTACGCGGTGTGCTGCGGGTGTGGTTGCTAGAGGATGAGATATATCATCGCGGGGCTAAGGGCAGGGTAGCTCAAGAGATAAGAAGATGGCGTAATGTGGACAATCAATGACCCCATGTCTTGCTTGTGCGAATACATATACTCTATATCGTCTAAATTGTACAGCAACGGCAAGAAAGCATCGTTGACCATGGGGCACAATATAGAGGAGAAAACCTTGTCTGACAATCCTCATCCGGAATCCGGAACGAGAAATGTCAACGAAAAGCTCGAGGTCAGGCCCCTCCGCTCGTGGAAGGGATACTTATGGGACACCTGGGAGCTTCCGCCAGACCAACGATGGCTGTTGTTCAAGGTGGATGCCTTTGTCCTTACTTTTGCTTCGGTACGGTTGTGACTCTCGGTCGCAGATGAAGTGTACTTACCGGATTGTTAGATTGGTTATTTCCTGAAAAATCTTGATTTAAATAACATCAACAATGCCTATCTCAGTGGAATGGAAGAAGATATGAAGATGTACGGAAACCAGCTGGTGACAAGCACCTCGATCTATACAGCAGGATATGTGATCGGACAAATTCCTTCCAACCTGCTGTTGACTCGAGTCTCACCGCGATGGGTCATTCCGACGGTGAGTCCTTCTTCTCCCATATCGACTGTCTTTCGATGGCTCACAGCAAGACACTAGCTGGAGGTTGGCTGGGGAATCGCCACCATCTGTACATCGACCGTCAAGTCCTACCATGCGCTTTATGGAATTCGCTTCCTGGTCGGGTTATTCGAGTAGGTTCCTCGCTGGGCCTAAAAATTTCAAGTTCAATGCTAACTATCATGGGGTAGATCGGGCTTTTACCCCGGGATTCACTATCTTCTCGGATCGTGGTATACGCCGCGGGAGATCGGAAAACGCGCAATGATCTTCTGGCTTGCGGGCTCCATTGGTACTTTATTCAGTGGATTTCTCCAGGCAGCTGCCTATACCAACCTGAACGGTGTGAGCGGGCTGGCTGGTTGGCAATGGCTGTTCATCATCGACGGAATCATTACACTGCCTCTTGCGCTAGCCGGGTATATTTTCTTTCCTAATCTCCCACAAGACGGGCGGAAGACATGGTGGATCACTCAAAAAGAGCATGTGCTCTCCGTGAAGCGCATGGATGCTATCCATCGCGCAGGCAAGTCGCCCTGGACGAAGGCTAAGGTCAAGAAAATGTTCCTCAGCTGGCACATCTACCTTCTGCGTACGACATACCACTGCTTTCGCGGACTAGAAAAACACTGACTGCTGTTAGCTTTGTTGTACATCGTCTGGAACAATGGATTTCCCCAAGCGGGAATGGGGTACTGGCTTAAAAGCTTCAATACAACGCCGGCGCCTGTCCCAGGGACCACCTACACAGTCCCGCAAATCAACGACTGTAGGAATTGCATCATGAATCCCTCGGAGGAGATGCCAGAATGCGCTAACTTAGATTTCCAGACCCTTTACTTACGACCGGCTTGTTCATCGTTGTGTCGTTGACTTGGGGCTGGCTATCCGACGGGCCCTTGCGAGGGGCTCGCTGGCCCTTCATTTACGCTGGCGCGGTGATTACGGTAAGAATGCAGACTCCTGTGATCGGATCTCATTTGTTCCACGCCAACTAATTGACTCCATTTGTACACGCCGGTCCAGCTTGTCTTCTGCGTGCTCCTGCGGCAGATGCCTCTTTATAACAATATAACTGGTCGGATGGCGGTATATTGGCTCAGCAACATCGGGGTAGGTGTCGAATCTCACTGCACCATTGAACATTCACCGTTGCTAACCAATCAATCCATTGCAGCTAGGCGCTGGCCCTCTGATTCTCAGCTGGGCCAACGAAATCTGTACAGCAGATACCGAGGAGCGAGCCTTGGTGATTGTACTGGCCAATGACCTCGCGTATGTTGTACAAGCTGTTGTGAGTGCCTTGGATGACCCCGATAATGAATCGAGATGCCCAGACTTACCATGCCAGGCACCAAACTTTGTGTGGAAGACGACCGACTTTCCCGCTGCAAAGAAAGGGTATCTGTGGAGCATTATTTTACAACTCCTGAGCAGTAAGCCAATCCAACACGACCTGAGTCGCCATGTGGAGACTTGCTGATTCAGTAACCGAGCCTTCAGTTGTCGTTACTGCCTTTATCCAATGGCTCGTGGCACGAGACCAAAGAACTCGCAAAAGCTAAGACAACAGCCGACTGGTACTCTGCAGCGGCAATCAGCGACGAGGCTGTACAGGCCGACGAGACAGGAGGAGGAGGAGTTACAGAACTTAAAATTGTTCCAAACCAAGTGTAGCTTCCCGTCGTTGGTGGAAGTTGCAGCCGAGGATCGGAGAGGAAAAGGAGGACTGCGAGAGCGGGGAAGTGCAAACAAAGCAAACAGGGCCTACAGCGCAAATGTCTCTCAATGCCAATGCAAATCTTCCAAAACACGGCACCCAAATCATGACTTCAAAGCTTGCACGGCACTGAGTGTATAGACTCATGTGCGTATTGCCAGCATGTACTTTAGATTCCTGCTGCTGCAAATAGACATCGCTGGGATTTCTTCTTGGGGAAAATTGAATGCGTGATCCACATCAGAATCGATAGTCCATCGTGTTCGATCTTATCACCAATGACAACCTGTCTTGGCGTCGCCTACATCTACCGCAAAACAACAAGCAGGGTCCCGATAGATGGAACCTGAAGGGCCAGCCCTCCCCTGAACTTGATGGATGATCGGGCTATATCTTCCTCACATGGTACTCGTGTGTGCGTCCCTAATTCTTTCCTTGATGCCCACCGTCGCCCCATTCCTAACTACTCCGTCCATCTTTACGGGCCGACGCCATGTCAAAGTCATTCATTATATCAGCCTTAGTTTCCGGCTACTTCGTTCATGCAGTAGTTGCGACCGTGTCATGCAAGACAGAGATTGTGAACGCATTCTCGAATCCCTCATTTGAAACCGGTGACGCAACAGACTGGACAGCATGGGTGGCCTCCGCAACTGCAACCTCCATGGGCCAGGTCGTGTCCGGCGAGGCGTCGGACGGCAATGACTATCTGTAAGTTGTGCTTGGAACTGTTAGGGTGACGGAGCTGATATTGATGATCACGATCTAGGATGATCAAGCCGGATTCTTCGAAGTGGAAATACATCCAACAAACCATTACCGGGTTGGAGGCTGGCAAGACATATGCACTATCGGTGGACTACAAAGTCCGCGCTGCTGCTAGTACTATTCCCGCTATGTACAATACGTGCTATTTGGGATGGATGTTAGATAGATGGAGCAGCTTCTATGATCGGATTTCAGTCAGCGCTGCCACCGGGGGCGTTGATCCCGACTGGACGACGTACACTACCTCCTTCACATCCTCCACTTCCTCGCACACCATGATGTTTCTATTCGCTTGCAATGACTACACCACTTTTACCTTTGATCTCGACAACTTTAGGCTACCACTATCAGCTCAGGAGGTGTGCACTACCTCTACTACGCCTACAGTCACCCCGACTAGCACCCCTGTTGAGTCGTCGAGCAGTGTAATAGTCCGTTTACCCTCCATTGCTCCTTCCAGTGCGCCTTCCAGTGCGCCCTCCAGCGTTCCAGCAGTTTCCTCAGCGGCACCCACTATCTCTTCTACACCGTTGCCGTCGACAAGAGTCGCTACCAACACTTTCCCGGCGGTTTCCTCTGCCATAGTGATCGGCAGCAGTCCGGCATCATCATCATCACCAACCAGCCTTCCGCCTTCGTCTGCACTGATCGCCTCTACAAGCGCGGATGTGCCCCGTCCATCGCCTAGTCAGATCACTTCATCCAGGCCGACGGTCTCCATCCCCGTGATACGGTCGTCTCAGCCCACAATTGGCTCGCTGAGCACCCCGCGGGGCCCTTTCGCCCAGAGTTCATCAATTGCTCCGCCCTCCAGCTCAATTCACTCTTCACGTCCTGTGGTGACAAGTCCGTCCGGCCATCTTTCGGGGCATAGCACTACCCCAACACGCGCCTTGACATTTGCCACATCTCGTTCTCTGCCAGTTCAGGACCCCTCCAGCGCCATTTTCTCTGCCCCTCGGGGAAGCGCTGTTAGCGAACCAGGCTTCGCGTCCGCAAGCTCGAGCTCGCTCTTTATCAACCCCCCTGCATCTGGCCAAGAGACCGCAACCAGTCTTCAGACCGTAGCCTCCGGCGTTGTCACTTTCACTACCTCCACAGTTTTTACCACCCGGACCACGACCGTGACGGCCTGCGCTTCGGATATCGTGAACTGCCCTGCCCATCAGCAGACCACGTCGCTTACCACCGAAACAGTCGTTGTTGGAACGATTGTCCGCCCTGTCACCATCGCCGCCGGTCAGCCTACAGAGGCGGCTGGGCTTACCACTGGGGCTAATCCATATTCTGGCTCAACCAATGACCTCTTCACTACATCCACCGTCTTCACCACCAGAACCTCGACCGCTTGGGCTTGTCCTTCCAGCGTTGAACACTGCCCTGTTTCCGCGCGCAGTACATACCTCGTCACGGAGACTTTGGTTGATTATACGACTATCTGCCCTATAACCGCAACTCAAACTGCCGTGCCCAGTCCGAGTGTCGACCGTGAAGTTATAGTAACCGCTTTTCCTGCTACCTCCGCACCAGATTCACCGAGTGACAAGCTTGGCTCTAACAGTGAAACTGATACGATCACCTCGGCTGCGGGACCTGAGGCAACCCAGCAGACCTCTCAGAAGCCCGATTCGCTCCCTGTCATTTATTCGACTCAGACAATTACCATCACAGCCTGCCCCAGTTGACTGTAAGATGATGTAGAAATTCCTAAAATATGACGTGCGCGGTCGGCGCCGACAGACTCGATTATATTCTGATCGCCAGAGGGAGCATTTGTGGGACTTGATTAAGGGATGAGAGGTTGATGGCGCTATTTGGAAGACAAACAACATATTATTTGCCTCATGGCTGATGACTGCATCCTTTACTGTCGACACTCCGCAGATGCTTGTATCTAAAGAGAATTATTATGGTAGTCTGATGTGCAAGCTGACTGAAGACCAACTACGTAGCATGGCTGGGTCATCAATTCGTATGCATGGGCAGTGGCACTCACTCACTGGCACACCCCCATTCAATCTCATCTCACAGCTCTCATGTATACGGTTGCAACACCCTGTTTCTATGCCAGCTCCGTGTTGGGTCCCCGGAACACTCGTACCTGTATGAATACCTTGCTGCGGACCATCTTGCCGCAGCTGGCCCGGCAAAATTCTCTGGACTAACACACATGCTGCTTCTGGCACAGGATATTCTCCGCTCTCCAGGGCTATGATTGCCGTGGCGGGGATGCAGCTGCCCTGGGTAGGATGGTGGCCGATATATTGTGCAATGCGGAAGCAACATGCACGCCACTCAGTCGCTTCAACCCTCCCTGACTGATACAGTGAAGACTGGCTGTGACGACCGGGTTATGGCGACTGTGATCCCGATTCTAATGCATGACTGACAGTCTTTGTTAAACCGGCGTTGAGCCACACGATGCCAAGATAGCCACAGCCAAGCTCATGATTTGATTAGATTTTTTTTTCTTAGCACGTGACTGTCTTCTGACGCACGCTCTATAAGACGCAGCCATGCTTTTAGGAACTTTTATCACATGATCTATCGAGCCCAGACTTTCTTGCTGGGAATAATGCTTTCCTGAACTAGACGGTCAAACACGCGAAAATACCCATCTGCGACCGGATACTCCTCCGTGAAGCCTATACTCCGGATCTTATCCAAGCTCAGGTCACGGTTGCGGCCCAGAAAGCTGAAGCCCGCGGCAAGAAAAATCCAAGTCGCTTCAGAGATTTCTCGAGGTCGCAATCCAAACTCTCGACACATCTTCTGATAGTCATCCTGGTGTGCGAGCCACCACTTGTCGATGTCCTTCCACCCCTTGTCCTCGGGGCTTGCGCCTTCAGCATTGAGGCCAAAGTATTCGCACATTTTCGGCCATACGAGGCTCCATGAGGCGGGAGTGGCGTTGTCGGCTGTGTTGAATGCCTCTCCGTGTGCGTCGTCCGGTTTCTCGATAGAAAGGTAGAGCTCTGAGCGAGCGATGATATCTTGTGAGGACGGTGTATGTGTGTGGATGTAGTTGGTGTAGGGTCCGGGGAAAACAGCAGTGGCACCGGCGCCATACACATAGCGATACAACATCAAGTAAAGTGCCAGAGGCTCGACGTATGTCATGCTTGTGGGAAGGGGAACGTGCCCTAGATACCGGCAAGGTTAGCAAAGTTCCCACTCACAAGATTGATTTGAATCACCTACCGACAATCTGATCTGGTCGGACCTCGCACCATTTCCAAGACTTACCCACATTGGCCTCCCGGATCAGGTCGACCTGCGCATAGTAAAAGATCTCGTCTCCCCACGGTGACGGGATGCGCGGGTTGTCCTCGCGCAAGGGGGGATTGATTTCAATGTGTTCTTGAAAGCGAAACACAGCGACGCCATAGTTCTGTGTGTCGTCAGTCAGCGCCACGGGATCGTTGTAGATTGAGATATACATTAGTTCCAGTTTGTAACACGAAGAACTTCAGATTCTTGCACAGTCGGTCGACCGCGTGCACGGCGTTATAGGTCATTCGCACGTTGATGTCCCTGATCGCCATCACATCCACGGAGTATGCAGTTGGATTGGAATATGCTGATACCGTTAGACGAAGACTGTGTGAATGAGTAGTCCCTCCATAGCCTGACCTACCGAGATAGTACACATGGGTCACATCTTCCAGGTTTGGAACCTTCTCTTGAAACTGGGAGAGTACCACATCCAGATCCCTCTTCAGGTCAATTCCGCAATGCAACTCCAGTCGCGGGTCAGGGGGCAAGCCACTCTTTTCTAAAGGCAACAGTTTGTTTGTCAAGCCGATTACTCGATCAAAGGTGGTGGGCGTGGGGTATTCAAGAGCGCATTTGGTGACAGCCCAGCCGGAGATTCCGCTGGCACCGAAGATCAATGCGACATTCTTCTTCGAGTGCGCCATTGCGATCGTTGTGTCTTGCTTTGCTTTAAACAAGGTCTAAACTCGATCGGCTTCTTCTCAGAGTGAACTGGCATAAAGGAGCTTTATTTAGGAAGACACACCCGCTACTAGATAGCAATATGCTTGACGCCTGTTTTTGCCTCGGTAGCCAGCTGAATTGCTCCTATCAGATATCTCCGACTCGTGCACCGGGTGGAAACATAATAGCCATTCCTGTTCGCGCCAAGAGGCTAATGGGTCGGCTGCATCCAAACTGCATATCCGATGTGAATATTATTCGTGGAATTCGTACTCAGGGTATTGCAGTGGATCCACCGTGCAGGGTTCACTGTGGATCCTCAGCATGCGGCAATTTCGGTGCCTACCGCTGTCCGCACTATCTACTGTAGGATGGCATGATCCTGGATTGGGACCCATATTTTCGCCCCAAAACTTGAGGGATCCATAAACAGATTGGTGAGCCCTGTGTGCATCTTCCCATCATCTTCATCCTCGGTTAGCTTTCCAGTACCAGACCAGGCGCAGGGGCCAGCACGATCGATCCCACCGTGCAGCCGCCCGCAGAATGAAATCTGCGCTTCAATCCTTGATTGATAACTTCCAACCTCGAATGGGAAGGAGATCTTTGGCTCCCCTCAGAAACCGGTACCCTGCACCCCTGCAGCGGCCATATAGCCATAGTCAAGTTCTCTCCTGCATAACTCCCAATGGGTAACACCCCAGCTCGCAGGAAGTAAGCTGTCTTTAGTCTGAGGCTCAGCATTACTCGCCGCTAGTCAAATCCCGAGCTACTAAGTCGACAAGGATGTAGATTTTCCGCTTCAGAGAGTGCCAAATTGTCTTAGTTATGGCCGAATACTTAGCTAGTTCGTTGACGCCTAGGTCTGCGCTTGGTTTTCCTCACTCCAGCAACACTGGGAAGATGGACGTTATCCAGACTTCGACGGCCCCGGGCAAGGCTTCCGAGAACCGACATGCAGCTATCTTTGCGGTCGGCATTGGGTTCATCGCATTCGACTCCATCGTCATTGGGCTGCGTATCTACGCACGTGCATTTATGCTGCACGCTCTTGGAACGGATGATAGTATGTCAATCTACATCTCAACCGGGGGAACCCGATCTAACCAAGGCTTTAGTTCTGATGGTAATCGGTGCAGTAAGCGACTTATCAGCATAGCGGGGAAAGCCTAGCTTACTCATTTCCAACCAGATTCTCAATTTCGCACTATCAATAACCATTATGGTTGGATCCAAGTACGGAATCGGAAAACACGCACTTGCCATACCGAAAAGCGACACTGTGCCGATGCTGAAGGTACTCCAATCCACCACACGTTTCCTTCTCTTCCGCATCCTAACCATTGCCAGTGTATTTGGGCTACGCGCATCCTCTACACGCTTTCGATGGGAACAGTCAAAATGTCACTACTGTGGTTCTATCTTCGCCTCGATCCTCGCAAGTCCATGCGCTGGGCCGTCTTCTTCGTCATGTTCTTCAACGTCGCATTATCTCTTGCCAGTTTCATCGGCGCACTGGCGAGCTGCAGCCACCCCTCTTTATTCTGGACTAATCCAACTTCGAGCTCATGTATGCCCCTGGAACAACAACAACTCTTCTATGAAGTTAATGGCATCTTGAATATTGTGGCGGATATCCTGACCTACCTACTGCCGGTTCCGATGCTGTACGGACTACAGCTGAACTGGCGCAAGAAGGGGGCTATTCTAGCAATCTTTGGCCTAGGCATCCTGTCTCTTGCCGGTGAGTCCTACTCTCGCTAAATTTACCCAGTAGGCCATTACTGATGCTTTCCCCCTAGCGGCCTGCGTTCGATATGACTTTGTTACAAAACTAGCCTCTGCTAGAGAGGAGTACTACCTCCTTTTGGCTGACTCACTCAACTGGTGCACCATTGAGGCTTACGTCGGTACGTCTCTCTCAATCCAGTGGTAAATCACCTCTAATTGTCCTCCACAGCCATCTTCTGCGGCTGCGCCCCATCCCTGTCTGCCCCGATTAAGGCCTGGGCCCCGTCTCTGTTTGGTTCCAACCCCACCAAGTTCCCAGATAGCGCACGGTTGCACAGACCAAGTTATCTGCAGCGGCAAAGCCTGCGAAGAAGTTCTCGCCGCCGAGGACTGGGTGAGACTATACTGGAAAGTGAGGATGCCATTGTTACTGTGAGTGACTGTGATCCGGGGAGTGATGGTATTATGATGAAAACAGTTATACAGACTGATGTGGCTATACTGAGCCCAACAGAGGAGCTAATTGATAGAAGGGGGTGTAATGAGTTTGCAAGGCGGGTTTAATGTTAAATTACTCTAAGACTGCTTTGATTTTAAGATATTGTAATTACAGAGTTTTTATCTAATATTTGAAAAAAGAAATATTGGTATGAAGTTTCTAGTAGAGAAAGAGTATTTTTATTATGAGAGAATTCAAATAAGACAGCTAGCCCGTCTCCAGCCTCCGCCTCGCCAGCCCCGAGGAGGACGCCGAAATCCGCTCGTGGAACTCCCGCCGCCTGCGGTCCGCCTGCAGGCTCGTCCAGGATAACTTTGAGAACGAGGCCCTCCTATACCTGGCCAGACCGGGAATCTATGGATGAGACCGATCTTTCACGTACGGCGAGCTAGATTCCGCAGCTGAGGCTCTCAGCCAGCACATTATCTCGCTAGGTGTTGGTCCTGGATTCTTTGTGCCGGTCTGCTTCGAGAAATCGGCCTGAACGATTGTCGTGATGCTCGCTGTTCTGAATGCCGGTGCGACCGTTGTGGTACTGGATGCCTCGCACCCAGTCAGCCGATATAGCCTGATGATCAGTGGTGTCTCTGCGAGCCTCATTCTTGTTGGCGAACGGCAGCGACATCTGTTCTCGGAGCGCACCGAGCAGGATCTTGTTGTCGACGCCGCCTTTATCGAGAGCCTTCCGAGCGATCAACACCTCCCTACAGAGGAGTCCAGCGGTTCCGACATTGCCTCTGTGATCTACACCTCGGGCAGCACGGGAGTCCCCAAGGGGTCCCTCCTCAGTCACTCGGCAGTGTCCACCAGCATGGATGCCCATGGCTGCGCCTTGAATATCGGTTCCTCATCTCGGGTATTGCAGTTTGCCTCGTATGTCTTTGACATTAGTCTTCAAGAGGTGTTTACATCCTTGAACCGTGGCGCCTGCGTGTACGCACCTTCGAAGAGCAGCGAGTCAATGATGTGGAAGGCTTCATCCGCGAGTCACAGGTCAACTGGGCCTGCCTGACGCCAACCACCGCCACTATCCTGCCACCAACAGACATTCCCACTTTGCAGACCCTCACACTCGCTGGCGAGGCCGTGACTCAAAAAGCAGTAAATCTTTGGCGGGACAATGTGCAGAGATTCAACAATTGCTACGGCCCTGCGGAATGCATCATTTACTGCTCGTGGAACGGCTCCCTCGGAGAGGACGGGACAAAGCCCTTCATTATCGGCAAAGGCCTGTCCAGCCACCTGTGGGTGGTTGAACCGCGATAAGATCACCCCTGTCGGCTGTGCCGGTGAGTTGCTGGTCGAAGGCCCGCTGGTCTCTGTGCGTTACCTCAACGACGGAGAGAAAACTCGCCAGTCCTTCATTGAGGATCCCAGCTGGGCCCTGATCAACGGCAAACGGACCGGACGTCGCTTCTACAAGACCGTCGACCTGGTGCGCTACACCACTGCGGGTTCGCTCGACTACCGCGGGCGCAAAGACCACCAGCTGAAGATCCATGGCCAGCACGCTGAGATTGGGGGGATCGAACACCAGCTCCTCCGCGGCGGCGAATTCGAGCATGGGCTGGTTCTGCTGCCTGAATCGGGCGCTGTTCGCCAATGCCTCGTCGCTGTGGTGTCTCCCACAACCTCTAGCTCTGGCAACGACAGCATGCAGCTCGTTACCGTTTTAGATCGGGCACATGCTAGTTCACAACTGCGTCGCCTTCGCTCTCCCCCGATTGGAGACCTTCCGTCGTACATGAACCCATCTGTCTGGTGTGTCGTCAGCAGCATTGCCCTCAATACCTTGCGCAAGATGGACCGCAAGCTGGTCTCTCGCTGGGTGAAAGAGATGGACAAGGAATCTCTACAAGAAGCGAACACCCTGGCCGCAGATGACGAGAGAACCGCCGCTGCCCGCAACGACAACGAGGCGCAACTCCAACAGCTCGTGGCAGAGGTCTTGAACCGCAGCCACGAGCAGATCCTGCTCAATCGCTCCTTTGTCAGCCTCGGGGGCGATTCCATCACAGCCATGCAGCTGGTCGCGAGAGCTCGAGCAGTACACCTCTAGCTCACCGTCCGCGATATCCTCAGGAGCCACGATACCATCCAGCTGGCAACCCTCTTGCAGACGACCGAGAGGGCTGTATCCCTCGCCGAGGAGAAACCGGACATGGTCTTCCCCCTCACCCCGGTGCAGCACATGTACTTTAAGATGTCCGGCCAGCAGCCCACGCATTTCAATCAGAGCTTCTTCCTCCGCATCACCCGCCCGGTGCGTCCCAGCAGGTCGCCGACACCATCTACCAGCTCGTTGCTCGACGCTCCATGCTCCGAGCCCGTTTCCACAAGACCGAGGACAACAGCACCTTTACTCAGCTGATCTGCGGCGAAATAGAGGGTTCGTTTCGCTATCGCGGCCACGAGCAGCTCGACCGCCCAGCGGTAGCTGCGGTCATGGGAGCCAGTGAACGCACCCTCGACATCACTTCTGGCCCGGTGTTCAGTGCTGACTACTTCGATTCTCCCGGGAAGCAGCTCCTTTTCTTGGTTGCGCACCATTTGGTGATTGATCTGGTATCCTAGCGGATCCTCATGCAGGAGCTGCAAGAATATCTGCAGTCTGGCCGTTTGGCAGACACTCAGCCCTCCGTATCCTTTCAGTCCTGGTCCTGCCTGCCGGCCCAGTATGCTGGCGAGAACCTGTCAATCGAGTCCGTTCTTCCGTCCGAGGTCCCCACCGCCAATATCCAGTACTGGGGCCTTTCCAGCCGAGAGAACAGCTATGCCACTGCATCGCGACAAAGCTTCACCTTATCCGCAGAGCACACCTCGGCGCTGTTGGGCTCTGCCAATCAGGCATACAATACTGATCCGGTGGACCTCTTCGTCGCATCTCTCATGCAGTCCTTTGCGCAAACCTTCCGCGTCCGCGAAACCCCCTCCGTCTTTCTTGAGGGACATGGAAGAGAGCCAATGGACCCGCCATTGATTTGTCCAGCACTGTGGGCTGGTTCACCACCGTGGCCCCGGTACAACTGCCTGCAGCCGACTCCAGCGATATCGTCGAGACGGTGCGGCGACTCAAGGACCGCAGACGCCAGCTGCTGAGCAACGTCTGGCAGTATTCCACAGCGCGCTATCTCGCCCGTGGTTCTGGCACCGGCAACGCCTTCCCGGATCACCTGCCAATGGAAGTTCTGTTCAATTACATGGGACAATACCAGCAGCTCGAGCGCACCGATGCCTTGTTGCACGAGGAGCCCCGAATCGACCTTCCTGGGTTGGAAGATATTACCGGCGATGTCACCCGCCTCGCTTTCTTCGAAGTATCAGCGGTGATCAACAATGGGATCGCCCGCTTCGACTTCACATTTAGCGACCAGATGCGCCACCAGACCAAGATCAGCCACTGGATCGAGACCTTCCAGGAGACCCTCACCGAGGCCGCCACCCGCCTTGCCAGTCATGGATCCCGAGAAAACGCTCAGTGACTTCCTGTTGATGTCGCTCACCTACAGCAGCCTTGATCGGCTCCGCAAGGGGACGCTGGCCGATGCTGGCCTGCTCCATCTCGGCGTCGTCGAGGAGATCTATCTCTATTCTCCGATGCAGCAGGGGCTGCTTCTCAGTCAAAGCAAGTCCGACGGGATTTACCAGCTGCGCTTCACCTTCGACGTTAGCAGCAAGCAGGCAACCGTAACTGCGCAGGAACTCTTCGACGCCTGGCAGCAGGTTGTGGACCGACAGCCCATCCTGCGAACCTTCTTCGTCGACGCCATTTCTCCCAACGTCCTGTTCGAACCAGGTGGTGTTGAGCAAGCTCGTCGCCCGCACCGAGCTCACAAAGTGCACAGGTGAAGACCTCATGGAGCTGCTTGATACACCGCAGCCGCGCGATGACGACAACAAACTGCAGCCCCCGCACCGACTGGTGATATTTGAAACTGAAACGCGCCTCGTCCCGGTCGGATGTGTTGGAGAACTCGTCATTGAAGGCCCTCTCGTCTCTCGAGGATATCTGAATGATCCGGTCAAGACAAACGCTGTCTTCGTCGAGAATCTCGCGTGGGCCAATGCTTAGGGACCGTCACCCTCTTCTACACGCCGACGCTTCTACAAGACGGGGGACCTGGTGCACTACTACGCTGACGGTACCCTCCAGTATCTCGGCCGCAAGGACTCACAGGTCAAGGTGCACGGACACCGCATCTAGCTGGGCGAGGTGAAAACCCACATCAAGTTGCTAATCCCGAATGTCTCCTAGGTGGCCGTCGAGCTGGTGCAGCCCCCCGGCCGCGCTGATCGCACACTGGCGGCCTTCATTTGCTTCTCGGAGACCATTTCTGTCGACCAGGAGTCGTCCGACAGGCTGCTTCTTCCCATGACTGACAGTAGGCGTTCGAATGTGGTATCCAACCTCGAGGCTCAGGCGCACGCGATGCCCGCCTACATGATCCCCACCTTCTTCGTGCCCCTGCACCACCTGCCCCTTAACCTCTCCGCAAAGACCGACCGCAGCAAGCTCCGCCGCCTGCTCGACCACGCCTCCGTCAAAGCCCTACAGACCTCTTGCCTCGCTTCGGAAACCCCTAAGCAACCCCCATCTTCTCCGCTCGAATCCCGCCTCGACACTCCTCTGGAGCCAAGTGCTCGACCTCCCCACACACGGCGATCGGCGTCACCAATCCCTCTGTACAGCTCGGCGGCGACTCCATCATGGCCATGTACCTGGTCAGTGCCGCGCGCGAAGGTGGCCTCGCCTTTTCCGGCGCCGAGCTCTTCCAGGCGCAGACCATTGCCCAGGTCGCCAAGATCGCCGAGTACATCAGCGAGGACGATAGAACGTCCGGCAGCGACTCGGTCGAGCTGCTCACACTCATTGACGATGCTCATATTTTAGCACCCTCCGTGGGTAAATCGTAGAAATTTGTGTAGAAATGCGTAGATTCAGGTAGCGATTTGTAAAGCGCAGGAGATACATCACAAACTCAGCAGAAGGATTTAATGGACGACAAGGGCGCATAATCAATGAGAAACACCACGAGAATCACTGGGGGAGCTCAAGAACGACCAAACATAACCATCCCCGCCAGGTTGAAACTCTGGTTCATCGCCAGCATCGCCAGCCCCGAGATAACAGCCTCATCCGTGACTAACTCATCCATCGCCCCATCCAGCACCTCAAAGGTGCCCACCCGCTCGTTAGAGAAGGCCTCGTTCCGGAACTTGACCAGCACTTGGCTGTCCCCCTCTTGCACCAGCCGAAAGTTCCCGACCGCGTTGTTCTCCGAGTCCGTCTCCCACGTCAGGACCACAGCCCCCCCCTGGCCCACCGACAGCGCCGGCGAGACAAACGAGTACCGCGTGCTCAGCACCTTCTGCCGCTTCAGCTCAATGTTGCGCTGCTCGCGTATGCGCAACTTCACGTCCAGACTGGTCAACTTGAACTGCGCGGTGCACACGCGCGATTCAAAATAGGCCTCTTCATCGGCGGGGATGGGCCGCATCCCGGTCCCTGTAGCGTCGGCCCCCGCACCCTCTGTCGGAGGAAGGTGGCCCGTCAGGCGGATCATTTCCATCTGCGGGGTCTGCCGGCTGACCTTGACGTGGTAGAGCGGCTGCTTGGTGGTCGCGTCCATGAGCGAGAGCCGCTTGTCGGGGGTGTAGTTGATTAGGATTGTTTGAGGAGACATGTTGGGAAACTGGAAGGTGGATAGAGGAACTTCGGGCAAGATACAGTGGCAAGGGTATCGGGGACATGTAGACAGTCGAGTAGATGGAATCTTGGAAGACGACACAGCCTCTACCCGCCAAGATGTGTTCCTCTATGCATCAGGCCCCCATATTCCCAATGCCCGGGCTATCCCTATCGTGGTCAGGTGCCCTATCAGCAATGTAACCCCACCCTTATTTCAGTGAGCTCAGGCCCTTCGCTGAATACTGCCCGGCCATGTGATAGTTATCTAGAAATTTAACCATGTTCATGAAAGTATATCAGTTAATCAGAGAGTATTAAGTTATTTAAATCTATTTAACCTATTTCTTAGTAAAATATCTAAGTATTTGATATATTAAACTTGATACATATATAGTATAATTATGAAGGGCTGAAGTAAGACTTAAATTTAATCTAACTAGGCCATAAACTGTTTATAAAAAGCTTGGAAAGAGAGAGTTCTTTACAGATATATTTTTATATTAGTAGGCTAAGATTATATAGTTCATATAACTAATAATAGGTACTAGTCTATAATAATATTCTTCTTTTAATCTAGTCCTTATCTAGAGGATTATAATATATTTATTAGTATTAATTTACTATTAAATTATTATTAAAATAGGATTATATTATTTTTTAAATATATTTAATATAGTATAATTCTAGATTATATCTAATCTTTTTTATATTTATTCTACTTAATCTATTTATTTTATTAAAGTTTTATTTTAATATTCTTAATTAATCTTTCTATACTATATAGCTAGAATTTATTTAATTTTATATTTTTTTTATTAACTAATAATAGAAAAGATTATATATTATTAATAATTTAGAATAATAATAAGTTTATAGCAGCTAGATAAATTAATTTAATATAAAAAATTAAATATATATTAATAAAAATATTAAATTAAATTATATAAAATAAGAAAATTTTTAAAATATAATATTAAATATATATCTAATCTAGCTTTTTTAATAATTATTATATATATATATTTTAGAGGTTTAGTTATATTTAGTTATTTTTTTATAGATAAAAATAATATATTATTCTTAATTAGTTTAATTGTTTTATTAAGTTTATATAAAAATAATAATTATTTAAATCTAATTTATAACTTTTTAAAAATATTTTATAAATATTTTATTAGTTATTTTAGGCTATATTAAAATATCTTAATTCTGGTTTTTATTATTAATATTAATTAGATTAATATAATATTTATATATAAAGAAGAAAAGTAAGATCTTTATTAATATAATATTATAATTATTAATAATAACTATAATTATTAATAATAATTTTTTTTAATTATTCTGAGTATATATAATAAATACTTATAGAATCTATTTAATTTTTTAATTTATCTATTCTAGAGTGGCTTAACCTGACTGTTATACCTTAACCTTAACCTGACCATAACCTGGCAGTCAGGTTAAGATATAAAAAGTGATTTAACTGTACAGTTAAGGTCAGATTAAGATATAACTATTACTTTAATTATTTATATCTGCTAGTCAGAAAAGTCAGGTATAATAAATAAATTATTAACTACAGGTTAATTAATAATATATATATCTTTCTTATATAGATAATATACAAAGTATAATATATTTTTAATTATAATATAATTATATTCTTTATATTTAGCTTATCTGTTTTTTCTACTCTATTTATTTTATCTTTTCTATTTATTTTACCTGTTTCTCCTGAGAGATATACTGTACTTTAAAAAAAGCTTTTATAAAACTTAATATAAGAAAAATAATATCTGATATAAGATATATATACTAATTACTTTTTATACTATTTAGAACAGTAATTATAATAGTATAAAAATTATAAAAAACAGACCTCTACCTAAAAGTATATAATACTTATAAACTTAGATAAAGTTATTTTCTTTATTTTTAATAATAATTTATCTTCTGAATTATCTTCTAGATTATCTATATTCTTATTTTTACTAATATAAAAAATAGTAATTATCTTATTCTTCTCTTAATTTTTAAGTATAAAAATAATTAAGTCTAGATTAAGATTCTTAAGAATATCCTGGTACTTCTTATTTATAATAAAATAATTAATATATATCTAAAGTATAACTATTTTAATTATATTAAGCTAAAGACAACTCTAGTAATAATAATAGATATTTTAAAAACTATTAAATAAATATTTAATACTAATATTATTAATTATAATAAATAGGAAATCTTTAGTTATCTAGTAAAGAATAAAAAACTAATTATAACAGAATTTCTAATAAATAAAAATATTAGTATATCCTGTAATATCTAGAACAGTATTAGTTAAATTAAAGATAAGTTAATAAATTATATATTTTTAATATCTAAATATATCTTAAGTTTCTTAAATATCTCTACTACGGGTAAGAGTCTCTAGTATTTAAAAATATTATAAAAAACTTTATCTAAATCTGAAAATAATCTAGAAATAGTAGATAATATATTAATAACCAGATTCTAACTATAATAAAAATAGAATATTTTTTTAAAGATAGTCCAGTACTTATTATATTAATTAATATTATTATTAAATTATATATTTTTCTTAAATTTCTTAAGCTTAGATATTAGATTAAGAATTATTATAATTATATAGATATAGTTTTCTATCTGATATATATAATAATAATATTTCTACAGTTTTTAATATATATTTTATAAACTCTTAAAAATCTTTTTTTTCCAGGATACTAATTTTTTTACCAGTTAATTAATAGAGTAATCCAGGTAGTTAAAAAAATTATTATAGATATTATAAATCTTATAAATAATAGATTTACTATTTTCAGATAGACAGAATATAAAAAGAAAAAATAAATATAGAAATTTAAAAAAATACTCTATTTACTTCTATTTAATCAAAATTAATTAAAAATAATTAATATTAGTATAATTACAGTACTAAATAAAGCTTTTAATTACTTAATAGAGATTAAATATCTGGTAAATTATAAGATAAGTTAAATTCCAGCAGATCTTATAATCCAGAAGAAGATAGTAAACTAAACCAGATTTAAATTATTAAATAAACTAGAACTTCTTACAGTATTAAGAGCTTATATTTATAAATTATATAATCTTCTAAATCTATAATTAAAAATTAGTATAATATACTATTATAGAAAGAAAATCTCTAGAAACTATCTGTAAAAGACTTTTATAGATAATTTCTAGAATATATCTTTTTAAGAATTCTTAAAATACTAGAAGAGACTTTAAAACTTTTATTATTATTATTTTAAATATATTTAACAGTATTATTTAAGGCCTTAATCTAAAATTTATATAGAAGAGTATTAACTATAAGCTGAATTATATAAATAAAATAAGAAATATAATATTAACTTTAAAGAATTTTTATAAGATTAAAATTAATAAAAATATTATAAAGCTGAATATTCTAGTTAAACTAAATCTAGAGTTCTAATAAAATTAAATTAAATATTAAATTATTATTATTAGTATTATTAGTTATTATACTTAACAGCTGGTAGAATAAGTTATATTTATATAAAATTAATAAAATAATTACAGCTAGATTCTTACTAGTATAGAATCTAGATACTAGTTAGAAGCCTAGTAAAATCTTATAATAATCTATATTTTTTATTAGAAAATATCTAGTTAAAGTAAAAAATATCTTCTAATTAGGGCTGGTCCAGTAGTTAACTATAATTAATATTTATCTAATATCTAGAAACTTTAATAATAATTTTATATATATTTTTTTAGATAGCTCTAATAAATATTCTTTAATCTATATTTAATTAGAAAGACTTAGTCTTTAATAGAAAAATAAAATAGTAAAATTAATTATCTATTTAAATTATATATACTTAATAGTCCGGAATAGTAGATAATAGATAATTATAAAATATAAGACTTAATCCTAAAAATCCTGTTTATTATAGATAGTAGAGGCCTAGAAATAGAGAATAATTAGTATAAGTTTATTTTAAAAAAATAAATAAATACCTATAATAGCTCTTTACTTAATATTTAACTAATTATTTATTTAGATATAACTAAAGATAATTTCTTCTTATAACTCTTATAAAGATAATAGCTTATAAAACTAGTTCCTGAGTTTTTTATTTCCAGATATTATAAAATATAAAAATATATAAAATAATAAATATAAGAAATTCTGTTAGAAAATAATATATCTTTCTAAAAACTTTTTTATAATATTAATAACTTCTTTTAACTGAAGTAAAATAGTAGTCTTTAAACTTATAAATAAATTTTAAAAAAAATATCTTCTACTATTAATTATAAAAGATAAAAAGTCTTTCTTATAAAATTAAATATAAAATAATCTTCTAATTCTTTATAATATATGTAATCTTAAGACTTAAGAGAAAAATAAAAATCTAGTTTAAGTAGCTTATCTTAATTTAAGATTTATTATTATTTATAAAGATCTAAGAAATAGAAGAGAAAAGTTTAATAATATTCTTTAAAAATAAATTAAATAACTATAACTAACTTATAATACTAGAAAAATTCTGTAAATAGTAGATTAATAAAAAGAAAAATAGAAAAACTCTATAAAAATAATATTATTTAGTTTAAAGATATACTTATATATAAATATAATTTATTATATTTCTTCTCCCGGCTTAATCTATCTGCTATATTTATTATTATTAATAGATATAATAAACAGAAAACTATATTTAAAATTTAGAATTATTAAATACTTTCTTTTTCCAAATAACTTAAATACTTGATTATTTAGAGTTATATTTAAAATTAAGACTTAAATAATCTCTTCTTTTATTATAAATCTAAAATCTAAATATACTACTTTATTAAAATATAGACTATACTTTAACAGATACTCTACTATTTATATTTTAATTTCTAGAAATCTTATAATTTTAATATATCTAGCTCTTTCTAAAGATTAAAATATAGATATTAAATAAAAGTAATAGATTTAAATAAAAAGAATATTTATATAAAAAAAATCTAGAAAAGGCTTTTACAGAATCTATTATTAAAGATATAATATAGTATCTGATATTTAAATTAAATAATTATAAATAATACAGTTACTAAGATAAATTAATTATATAATATAATACAGATAACCTTTAATCTAATATATAAATAATTAAGATTTTTTTAAATAAAAAATAAGAGAATAATAGGCTTATTAATCTTATTTAAAAAGATCTAATAATAATCTAGAGATACTATACCAGTTCTTAACTATTATT